AAACCGCAGACATAAAGGAGGGAGCTGCACATATCTCAACCAAACCTTAAAGGACTTAGTCGTGAAAACATCTAAAGCACGTCCGACAGGGTGAGCTGGATAAATGTGATGGTGGATTTTTATGAAAAGCTCTTCTTATCTTTAACCTCATTTCACCTTTTGAAGCCTCTGGAAAATAGGGGGGCCTAGCCAAGCGGTCACATGGGCCTACTTGGTGAAAGAAACTCAAAACCGACACCTTCTGCGTCCAAGAACATGTGACGTGAGACACACAAACACAGTCAAGCAAGAGGAAGACCACTGACACCTTCTTATTGGTTACGCAGAGCATGAAATATGAATCAAATGTAACCTGGAGCGTGGGCAGTGATTGGCAAAATGTTGTCAGCGAAGCGTGCGGCACAAAGACGATGAAGAGGTTTAATAGCAGCGATGAAACTTGGCCACTTCCTTTGAATCCTTATTGATTCATTTATTGTTGTTGAGCGTCACCCGAACATATGAGAACAACAGATGCATCTAACATGATCACCAGACCCCATATCTTCCACTGTGTCCAAAAATGTGCTTCCCCCGCTGGAAGCCAGGCTGTAGTCCCACACCACTGATTTGAGCGGCATGGATTAACAGCGGAGAAACACTGTCTTTGAGCATCCACAGCATCACAGTATCTTGCCCATCTGCCATGAAGACATGAGCTAAAAATACAACTTTGCCCCAGTGGGAGGAGGCATAGTGGGGTTGAGAAGGTTGCAAAGTGTCCACAGTGGGAAATACAGCCAAGAAGCTGGAGAGGGAATATACACCTGGCAGGTGAAGACGTGGATCTGATATGATGCTCCTGATCTGTTTTCTTTCTCTGTCACAGTAAAACACTCGTTCACTTCTGGGAGTGCGTGCAGCTTCACAACACAAGAACTTACATGCTTTCTCATACATAAGCACTGTTGAGCAGCTATAAATCTACCAATGCCAAATTTGACCCAAGCTCAATTACAGGTCTGTGTTTATTTATAGAACAAAGCACTCGTATTAAGACATATCTTTGTATCTGATTTTTTAGCTGTTATGAGAAGAAGACAACGTTTTGCTGGAGTAAACTTTGTCTATTCTTGAGGATTAACAGCTAATAGTTCCCTGTTATATGAAAATGACCTATGCAAGTTTTTGGTATTCATGGATAAAATTGCATAACAGCTCAAATATAAACCTGCTATCTTAACATTAGGAATGAGTCCAATTCGACAAGAGAGGGGGAAGCAGTGAAGCCAGAAAGATGAACCAAAACTTGGATAGTCATCAGAGCCCGTTCAGCACCTGCAAGTAAGCCCTTTAACCTGCAGAAAACTCTTAACGTAGTGAGCTCAGATTTAGGCTCAGTGAGTGGGACAAGACAGCAGAACCAGGTGGCAGCTTACCTTCCACAGCAAAGCAAATATTCCAACAGAATCCAAGTATTTCAGAAAAACAAAATCCACTCTTCTGTCAAGCCTCACTCGTACTCGAGGACGTAATTCTCCCCCCTATGGCAGCCAGTGCAGGGCTGCAGGACAGCTGTTGCTGACGCAGTGTGGTGTCCTGCAGTGAAACCGGAGGAGTCCAGTCCAGGTAGGATCAGATCAGAACTTTGACACTTCTGCAGCAGAATACTTCTCATTCCCTCACAGCTGGTGGTTCCTGCAAGCATTTACAACTGTGGTAGAAAATTAAATAAGCTTGTTTGTTTAAAGTGAGGTGCAGCCGCAGCGCTGTGGATGAAACCTTCAGCTGGGATCACCCTGCTGTGCAGCTACCGCAAAAAACTTAGAGCACAGATTCCTCTTGGTTGAATATCTATCATTTTGATCATGTTATTTCTGTCTATTTCATGTGCCTCTTTTTTATTCATTTTCTTATGATTAACATTATTTTTCCTAGTGTAACTCTTTGCATTTCTTTCTGCAAATATGTCATTTAAAACTTTGTCATTGATACTTTATTGCGTTAAAAACTGATTAAATTGATTTAATTTGATAACTGTTTCGTCAAACTTTGGAGTCTTCATGATTTATGATCCATATATAAAACAGTTTCCAGAGATGGTTTTTGGAAATGATTCTTCAAATCATAGTCTAAAGATCCCAAGTTGTTTTCCTAAGAATCTGATGCATTTTGAAACAGAGATATGAGGATTCATTAGTTGTAGATATGTGGAGCTGTCTCTTTGTCAGTTTGAGAACTGTCTCGTTCATTTGATGATTTACGATGAAGAATATGCGCAGCTTGTTTTAACTGAAACCAAGGCCTGAAACTGAGATCTTCGCTCCCATAATTAGAAAAGGAAAACATCCTAAAAAGCCTGAGAAACATTACAAGCCAAATCAACCACTGGGGGGCAGTATAGTCAGTTCAAATTTCCTAAATAGTCTTTCACTCACAATTTATTTTGTACTCTGTCGTTGCTGACTCCTGATGACTGTTTTTCCCCTTTTTTCACAAAAAAAAGTAAAATTTACTAACTTTGGACACAATGTTTAAGTCCTAGTACATCATACATTTACAATCTGTTTACAATCAAGGGTGTAAATTCAGTTGCAGATAGTAGCTTTAAATGGATAATAACTCTTCATAACTCTTCAAACTCTTCCAATCCAATCCAGGTTTATTTATAAAGCACATTTAAAAACAACAAAATGCTGACCAAATTGCTGTACGGTAAAAATTAAAATCAATAAAAACAGTTAATTAACACGAACAATAAAACAAAGAAACAGGAACACATTAAAAGCAGGGGGACATAGATGGTCCAGTAAAACATGATTAAAAAACTTAAATTTATAACTTTTCATAAAGAAACTGGATAAAAAGTTTGCTGTATGATTCTAGGGTTGAATATGTTTTGATAATCCAACTTTTCAAATAACATTTAATCAAAATTTTGTCATTTATGTGCAGTAGGACGGACGGCGTCATTCGGTCTGATTGGATGAGTTCTCCGGGTGACGCAGCGCTATATTTGGCCGAAAGGTGTGTAGTATGATTATACAAGGAAAATGATATCTGTGATTACAAATGCTAACTGTCTGTCATCTGTTTCTTGGAAATGGAGCCCGCTTACAATTTCCCCACCTTCTCCTCTCCCATGCGTGCAATGTGTCCCCGCTTGAACACAAGATGCATGTGGAATCTTAATGTATATTAAAGAAGTCTGGCCCGGGCATTGTCATATCAAGAATATTGGACTGATATGAAAGAAATTGTTTCACACTGCTGAGAGATTAACTTTACAAGCAGTGGGGTTAAGTCCCCAAATTCAAGGTCAAGGCTAATGTGATGTTTTGCAGCTGCTGTGATTTGTTAGGGTTTGTTTGACGCATTTGTATTCTCTTATAACCAGCTGTTAATCAGAATTTTAATCACTGATCTGATAATCACTGGTCTTTTTTATTTATTTAGGTTTTTTATTAGTTGGCTAAAAATGACAAACAGCTTGTTCTTCCCCCTTTTAACCTTCCTCCAGTGTTAGCCGGCCCAAGCCTCAATGGGGCCCTAAGCAAAATTTGATTTTGGGGCCTTCTATTTCTGCCAATAATATTGATTGTTGATCATTCACACACCTACTACAATATAAATTCAATGTGCCTGACATGTCTTTACACATTTAAGGGGGCGGCCTAGGTAATAACATAAATAATACCAATGCAACCATACAAATAATCCCAATGAATGACTGATGAATGGTGTTAAAGGCAGTAAGAATCATAGGCATACATCAGCAGCAGCACTAAAATGTTTTTACTTTATTTTATTTTATCTTTACAATTATATATATTTGATCATACAGAAAGCATCACTCATATATGCAAAAAATAAAAAATATATTTTTTTTTTGATTGCTCTTGGGAGCCCCCTACTGGCTGTGGGGCCCTAAGCAGAGGCTTAGTTCGCTTATGCCTTGGGCCGGCTCTGATGTTAAGGGTCGGTTTTGACCCGTGTCTTAAATCAGCTGTAAATTACACTAAAAACATTTCTCTATCATCCAGTCTGGTTCACATCTCTAGGTTAACTTTTTAGGCTTCATTATCCATGAAAATATTGCTTATAATAGATTTTGTAGTGGTCCTCTGGGTCTTTCTTTGTCAGTATACCCCTGGACATGTCTGGACATGCCTGATGTTGTTTTTTGTGCAGAGGAAAACATGAAAAAATGAGAATTTCATAAATCTCACAGAAGATCTGACTGTCAGTGTGTTGCCTGACACATATGATTCAGGTTTTTGCTCTAATCATTAGATATTAATCTAACCGGATCAGCGACCAGCGACCCTAACAAGACAAGTGCCATAATTTTAATAAGAGCATTTTATAATTTAGTCAATTTGATTTTTTATATTTTGATTTTCTTGAAATAGAGGTTCCTGACAAAGTCAAAAAGTCTTGATGCAAAAAAGCTAATTTAAGTGGTTCTTTGAAGCATTTAAATCAAAAACCTAAGTTATACATTTTTGGTTGATTTTTTTTAAACATCATTTTTTTTTTTTTAAGGGTTCAGTAGAGTATAGTATTACCACTATCACCGCTGTGATGACCATTGTAAATAGCCTGTTTGCTATAATTAATAAGTCAAATACAAAGCAGATTTATAATATCAGATGATACAGTAGTTCTAGTGGTAGTATGATAATAGTAGGAACCATTCTACAGGAGCTGAGGGGAGCGCTAATGATGAGACACCGTTACCATGGAGACCCAACCGCTACACCCAGACGCTCGGTGAAAAGGTCAGTTTTGACGATGATATTTCACTTGTTTTCTCGTAAGATTAATTCATACCGTGTTACCGTGTACCTTTGCTTTTTTACGAAACGAAATTATTAAAATTTGATTCACATTTAAACAAGTACGTGAAAGAGCAGTTAAAAAGTGCAGCGTTTTCCTTTACCGACGCGAACTGACGAAAACGGTTTGTTGCTGCCTCCTGACACTGTTTTCTCTGTCTTTCTTGACCCATAAAGGTAACGATGGATTCGGAGTATTTAAAAAGACACCTGGGTAAATGTCTGGTTGAAGGACTGGCTGAAGTGGCCGAGCAGCGTCCTCCTAACCCCCTCTCATACCTGGCTCACTGGCTGTACAAGTACAACGACAATGTGAACTATGAGACCGAGGTAAACTGCTGTGCTCTGTTCTGTCACTAGGGGGAGCCATTCAATCACATGCGTTTCCACCACTTATCAGATTTAGTGTTAGATCTTAGTTTATCTTTATGATGAATTTCTCTGTTTTTAAAATATGACTCATTATGAAATTTTCTTCAACTTTTATCCATACTGGACGGATCATTTAGAAACAACTCCTTCATCCAGGGTGTTACAATTGTAAGGAAGAAATATTAACTATATAACGTACATATTGTGTACAACCTAGAACACTATCGCTAAAATTAACATGAATACTGCAACTAATTTACTACAAGCACAGACCGCTTTGTTTAAAATGTAAATCTGAAATGAGATAAATGTTTAGCTTCATGACTTAAGACTGTGCTCAAACCACCATCCAGATCGGATTCACTCCCAAATTTGGATGTTTTTTCACTTAATGCCTCAGGATAGGAAAACAAGTGTTCTTAATCACAGGTTGTGTTATAAAAGCCGTGAAATTGTGGCTATTCTGACACTCAGGGGTATGACTCCAGTCATTGTGAGGAGACTAACTTCTTGGAAACACTGCCACTGGCTTCAACCTCCCAGGAACCCAAAGTTGCTTCTGCTCTGACCTCTACTGCCTTTATCTCCCTCAAAGTCCTGGTGTCCAGTAGGTTTTGAGGACTGTAGTAAAGCAGTAAACACAGACTTAGACTGTCTAAGCTCCTCAGACTGGGAGGTATAAAGCTCTCGAGCTTAGCGAGGCCATGACAACACAAACCTTTAACCTTTAGCTTCTAATAAGACGCTGCTATCATAGAGAGGTGAAGGGTCAAGAGTTTTTCGTCCAGTTTAGATGTCAGGCATGCTAAAAAGTTGTGTAAATGTGAAATTTATACATCACCCTTTTTTATTTCTCTTTGCAGAAAAAAGCTAAACTGAAACTTTTGGAGGAGGAGGAGGAAAAAGCAAAGGAGGAGGCGTTAGCCCAGAAGAAGCTGAGAGAGGAGGAGCAGAAAATCAGCAAGGCCTCAGAGGAGTCGAAAAAAGTAAAAACACTCTCGCTTCTTTTGATGTAATAGTGAGTCTGAGCTTGATTGACTATTGTTTTGTCTGCATTAGTATTTCGATATCAGATGACCCTTTGTTATCACAGTTTTAAGCTAAATTTAAGTGCTAACAAAACACCTGATCAAGAGGAAAAAGGAAGGCCAGGAAAGCAAAATTGTCAGTGTAATTGTCCGACATTTAAGCCCCATTTGCAATGCATTAAACAGATCTCTGAGCAGGAGTCTTCAGGGTCTGACACTCCCACACCAGCCCAAACAGGAGCTGCTGAAGACAACAAACCTGCAACAGAAGAGAAACCAAGCACCCCAGATCCAGAAATCCACCAGCAACAAACAGACGACCACAAAACTGAAGCTCAAGACCCTGAGACTGAACCAGAGGTGATAAAAAGTTGATCTCAAACCTGAGTGCTCCTGGTGGTGGTTCCTCTCTGATTGTTTTAAATCACAATGCAGAAATTGTGCTTCTCCTCATGCATGATTTGCTTCCTGTAGTGTGGAGATCCAATGATTTCACGTGGTTTACAGAGGTTATGTTGTGCCAGGTGAAGGATGCAGATAGTTTAACCAATCCAGAGTTCCATGAGGTTAAACCTTTGGAGGTCAGCAGATCTTCACTCTCAGAGGTCAGAGAGGAGTCTGCAGAAGAGCCCGGTGAAATAAAACCTGAAACAGAGCAGAGGAGTGATGAAGCAGAGGAGAAAACAGAGGTGGAACCAAATGACAATCAAGAGGAAGAGAAAGAAGAGATAGAGGTCGACCCGGAGGAGAACAAGGTATATACAGTACATTAATACAACTCTTTGTCTGGAGTTGGAAACAAGTCGAGTTGTGATGCTTTAAGGTTTATATTCTGATTTATTTTTGCTCTGCAGGTGAACGATGAAGCGAACACTGAGTCTGAGCGAACTGAAGCATCACAACCAACTCCCAGTCCTCGCCAAGACAATGACGCCTTAAAAACAGATGATCAACTCGAGAAACAAAGCCCTCGTTCTCCTGAACCTCAACACGCAGAGAAGGTGACAAAATACACGATTCGTGCAGCTGATTTGAGTCGCCGATATTTACAAATTCAAGGTGCAAGAAATGCAGGATGAAGATCAATAAAGGAGAGGGAGATAAAGAGGAAGATTTCAGGACAAAGTGAGCTGAAGATAAACATTATAGATCAGCTGAGGACAGTTGGAGCAAGAAGAGAACAGCTGAGGAGATAAGGACGATGTTTGTTTAAGAAGGAGTCAGGCTGAGTGGCAGCAGATCTCATCTTAAAGATCCAACTTTTGGTCGATCGAGTTTTGAAAGTATTCAAACAAACTTACAAAGTCATTTTGTCACTAAGAAAATATCTTAATTTACTGGTTTTAGCTTCTCACATGTCAGAGTTTGCTGCTTGTATTAGTCATTCATGAGGATGAATTATGGGGCCTGTAATTGAAATCCTTTTTTTTTTGTGTCACACTGTTTCCGTAGCAGGTGGAGTCAACGACAGAAGCTGGAGAGGAGACACAGAAGTCAGCTACCCCATCTCCTCAGGAGCAGGAAAAGGTGTTCAAATATTTTGTCTTATTCACGGTAAAATTTACTCAAAGAGGAGATGAAAGTGAAGAAACTGCCCGGGGAACTGTTACAGAAACTTTCAAATCTTTATAAATAGAGTGTACTCTTAAACTGACATCATTGTTTAGTTTGGAGATTCTCAAAATTAGCTAAACTCCATGGTAGGGTTGATCACCTCTGCATAAGTTAGCCAAGCTTTCGTTCTGCTTCTCTGGACGATCTGGAGTTGGCTGAGTGGATAATCTACCTTCTGTCCTTTCAAATGCTTAACATAAACTGTATGGGCCTCTTTTTTATCTCAGGAGACAGACGATCAATGCAGCAGAGAGGCCGTGGATATCTCGGCTCCAGCTGACAGCGAGGTTACAGCAGAGGAGGGTGAGAAACCTGCAGCTTCACAAGAGGAACCTCAAAACCTTCCCTCTGACGTGGACAACATGTAGAAGAAGGTAGATCATCAAGATGAAACTGATAACAAGTGGGGAAAATTTTCGATCAAATACAAATGGAAATAAAGTCACAGGAAAATGCGTGTTTGTTGAGGTTTTTGTATTTTTTTGTACTTTTAACTGTGATAAAATTTCTCCAATTTTTCTGAGAGAAGACACCAGATTGAGGTAAATAACTTCAGAATTTGTTGGATGTACTTGTAGGTACTTGAAAAAATAAACGTTTACACCATGTTATCTTCTCTGAGATTTGTTTGGCAAGTCTGTCCAAAAAGGCTGAAAAAGAAAAAAAAAAAGATTACAATCACAACAGATCAAACATATCCAGCTAATTTTAAAAATAGGTTAGTTAAACTGGTTTGAACTTCATATTTTGATTGTGTAAATTCACAACGTGTGACTTCTGTGTTTCTCAATGACTGAGCACATTTCCTTTCCCATACTGACCTTTGAACTGCACTGCAGGGGAGGAGCGACATTTTTGCACAATGACAGTTTTGTGCTTTTAATTGTCAGTATTTCCTTTTTTTCACGCTGTAGACTCGACGGCTGCGTCACTGATCAGACGCAGCTGTGGTCGCCCTCTGATCAATGTCTCAGTTTAGAAGTGTGGTGTCGTTCGAGAACGAGTCGTTCAAAAGAACCGAATCTTTTGAGTGAACGTACTGAACCGAATCACTTCCTCGAATGATTCGTAAACAGCACTGCCAGTCGAGCAGCCAGCGAACGAGGGACTGCATGCACTGACATCTGAATCGCTTGATGAACGAATCACACACTTAACTACACTCTCTGGAATCATATTTGACAGAAAAAACTACCTTTTTTCTTTGTTACTGCTAAATTGCCACCACAACAACTTGCATACAATAGGACACAGCATGTAGCAAGTAGAGCATCCTATCATTGCAGTGGTTTGCGAGGGAACGGCGCATGTTCATTGTGAATTCCTCTCAACATTCAGTGAACGAATCACTCACTGAGCCCAATTAACCAAGCAGACCTGATAAATAGAATACCATAGGACAGTAGGCTACACTTAAAACATCATGACTTATACACAAGTTCATTTTTACAAACCTGTTTGCCATAGCAACACAGCCAAACACTCGTTTCTCCAGAAGCTTTGAATTGAACTGAATCCTGAACCGTTCAGTTGTGTATCAGTTCAGGAGGTCGGAGTTGAAGGCTTCTCTCGCCGAGTGCTACATGATTCAGTGATTCGGTGAACGAATCTTTTGAACGATTCTTTTTAGTGAACTGATTCTACTGATACAGTTCATCTAAAAGAACTGCCGTGCCCATCAGTACAGTTTAGGGGGCAAAAAACAGCTGGGAGGGTCTAGTTCGGCTGGAGTTTAAATGTTCGGCTGCAGTTACGCAGCAGCAGTTGTGTTTATGGTGGAAGATGTTTTAAGGCGTCGAACCAACAGAGAGAGGAAGAATGGCGGCAATCATCGCCAACGCTGTAGCGACTGTCAGCAGCCTCGTTACCGGAGTGATGAACTACTTCACTGACATGTTCCTGACTCCTCCACAGACGGCAAGTCTGAGGTATTTAGAGGAGACGGAGCTCAAAACTCTGCAGGGAGGTCAGTGAAACTCTTTGTACTGTTTGAGAGTGAGATAGATTATTTTATTAGAAGTTGAAAGAGTTTGTGTGGAGTTGAAAGGAGTCATTGTGTAGCTGGAATGCTGCATTAGTGTTGCTTAACTCTCTTAACCCTTTTGCCTGGTTTCTTCCTCTCAGAAAGGAGGACCCTGAAAGCCAAAACTCTGTGGCAGAACTCTGGAGCTGTCATCATGGCAGTGAGGAGGCCTGGATGATTTTTGTGCAGAGAGGTAAAGTCACTGAAAGTTTAGTTTCCTTGTGGTTTTACATAGTTGAAAAACAATGACTGACAAATGCATCAAGCCATCAACATAAACCTTCTGTATTACTATTTTGAATGCCTGTGAACTTCTGTGAGGAGGCAGGTGTTTGACAAGCACAATGAAGAAACACAGTATTATGGGTCTGTAGAGCCAGAGGCTGCAGTTTCAGAGCCACAGTTCTAGTGGTGCCCCTGTGGGATACATTGTCAGTCTTGTTGCTGGTGATCTTGTTTGCTTGTGTAGGTCATAAAAAGACAACTTTAAACTTTTGCCTCTTTCCTAAGCAGCTTAAAACTCCTCACAGAGACCTTAAAATCAAAAACAGAATCGCAGTCATTGAAGGAATATTCCGGCGTAGAATTCATTTAGGGTCAAACGCACCCTACTACAGAGTTCGACAACCCCTCGAGAGATGAATGTTGCCGACCGCTTTCTTTCTCTAGTTATACCAACTTTATCAACGACTGCATGTTAGCAATACACAGCGGTCTACATCTCCACTCGCAAACTGCTACCAAAAAGCCACTCTATAGCCACAAATAATGCTCAGAACAGCACCTAACTTCATCAACAGTACATATAGGGTCCAAGCCACAGTACTAGCCACCAAACATCTTTTTATCTTTGCCTGATTTCTTTAGCAAAGAGACCAAACACAACTCACCTACTCCGTTCCAGCAGCCGCTTGTTTGGAGCAAGACCTCAGGCCAGTCTATTACAAACTACAGTGGGGTTACGCAGCTCAAGGAAGAACATTTATGATCTTTTCTTTATCATTTCCTTGAAGTAATAATCACCATATTAATCATTTTGCACTGCAGACATGGTAGGTCTCCTTCCTTGACGTCTCAGTCTAATTGCGTTTCGGTGAAGAAATGATAATAAATGTTCTTCCTTGCGCTGCGTCACCCCGCTGTAGTCTGTAATGGACTGGCCCCAGGTCTCGCTACAAACAAGCGGCTGCTGGAAGAGAGTAGGTGAGTAGGGGGTGTCTAACTCGGTGTTACGGTGTGTTTGACCCTAATTGATTTTATGCTGGAATATCCCTTTAACTACATGTGACATTTTCCTGTCTATTTGTCTGTCTGCAGGAGGCTGCAGAGCTGTCCTCTCTCAAACCCCTGTTGGATGAGATTGGGGTCCCTCTGTACGCTGTGGTGAAGGAGGACGTCGGTACGGAGATCCAGAACTTTAGACCATACTTCAAAGGGGAAATCTTCTTGGATGAAAAGGTGAGACACAGTCTGATCAATCTCCTCATGATGCAAAGATTTTCCAACCCTCCAACCAGATTTAACCAGATTTTCAGCGAAACTTTTATAAGCACACTGAAGCCATTCATGCTGTGTGGTGAATCGGTTTAGATCCGCATGAATCGATAAAAGGATCTTGTTTGTTTGTTTGATTGCAGAGGAGGTTTTATGGACCCCGTGAGAGGAGCATGGGTTTTCTGGGGTTCCTGCGTGTGGGCGTGTGGATGAACGGCTTCAGGGCCTTCAGGAACGGCTTCTTTGGAAACGTTTCAGGCGAGGGCTTTGTACTCGGCGGGGTCTTTGTAATCGGTCGAGGACAGCAGGTAAAACTTGCAGTGCACTTTGACTGTAGACATGAAATAGTTTTAGTTTCTTTTCTACAAGAGGGAAAACATTTTTGTTCTCTTTCAGGGAATATTCCTGGAGCACAGAGAGATTGAATTTGGAGACAAAGTTGATGTTGAACATGTCATGTGGGCCGCAAGAAGAGTGGCCTAAGAGCTTCAACAGAAGGAGGATGGACCTAACATCTTCAAGAGTGTTTGGTCGATAAGTGATAAAGATGAATATGTGAGTTTGTTGGTGGACTGGTCTCAGGATTCATTTTGAAGTGTGACTCTGTAGTCAAAGGATCTGAGTGTGTTCATGACGGTTTGTCTTGAAACTCAACAGAGGAAGCAGACCTGATATCTAACACTCAGTTTCCAGGTATTACTCTGTGATACTTTAATTCTGTTACCCTGAAGACTGAGAAACCGCAGCCTTCGAAAATAAAGCATTGCTTTGTGCTCTGAAGTTTGTTTTCTTGTGATTCTTAGGAAAAGTTGTTTAGATTTTTTTTTGGTTTTTTTCAGAATTTTTCAGAGATAAGGTGGAGTCATCGTCAAAGCAGACATCACCATGCAAAATCAATTTGTTTTTATGCTGTTGCATCTTCCTCTTGACTCGGCAACACTAAACAAATCTCTTTACCCTATAATGCCTGAAACCACAAACTGTGGCCAGAAAATTCAATTTTTTGGAGCTGAAATGTTTCTTTCACTTACTACTAAAAATAAAAAATATCAAGCTATCCTTAAAATTTAACAAATATATATTTACCTTGTTTGATACATTAGATGTTTTTGGAAACTGATAAACTACAAACTTATCATTTATCAGACTGTATTTCAGTGTTTTTTTAGTAATTTGTTGATCAAATTGATTTGATAAAAGTATAATAAAAGTATGTATTAAATATGATACAAAAGGCATTAAAGGGCTGGAGTATTTGGAGCCAATGTGGTAAAATCTCACGATCTTATGAGTACTTTCTGTGTAATCCAAAATATTTTTTTACCTTTATCAAAAATCTGTTTTTGATTATTTCGATCAAGCTTTTTATTTCTCACCCTGAGGAATTTGGACATCAAACTCACCCAACACTCCTTCTATCAAGTCAGCCCTGAATGTAAACAGCATCAGTCTGAGTTAAAGGTGTTATCAAGGAGGAGCTGACAGCCGCAAAGTTAGGAGAGGTTTGTTCAATGGGTGCCTCTAACAGTAGCTGAATTTTTGGACAAGACTCGTGGTCTTATTGTCTGTTTTTTTTTTTTTAAAGAGTGCAAAATATTTCATGTTAAGCAGCCAAAATTTGGGTCTTCTTAGTCAAAAATAGTAATCTTAATGGTTTAAGACTACACAGTAACTTGGTTTTTCTCTGAATTAATTGAAATACATCTAAATGTTTTAATATTATTTCCTTTTCTTTAGTTATTTTCAATAAAGAGTTAATATTAAACATCTTAAATGGAAACTCATGGGGTCAATTGGCTTCTCTTTCCTGCTACGACCCCTCTTTCTTTTTCTGTTAAAGTTAATTGGCATATTTCTCGCCCAATGATATACCCTTAACCGGCTTCAATCCAGCCAATCAGCTTTGCAGTGGGCGGGTCTTTACCTGCCAGAGGAATGTTCCTGACAGGTGCGTTTGATCGATTTGTTTAACATGGACTCAGATAGGCAACTTTTAGTTAATTTGAGTAAATTTACAGAACACTGGATGAATTTGAGTGATGACAGGAACACCTTATGGTGTCGCCTACCTGTTTATAAGCGTCGGTGTGTGTTGTGAGGTAGAATTTAAGCGAAATACGTAAGAGGAGCTACTTTGGAGAGTTGAAGCCTAAAATGCGCGGTGAGTATTTCACTTTTTGGTCTTAATGTTTCTTCAAATCGTTGTGTTATAGTGTGTAATATCAGCGGAACTAATGCGGAAGTTACACAGTAGATTAAGACTAAAATAAACTAGATTAAATCCATCTCCATGGTTACGCGCTGAATGTTAAACGCCATCTTTCGACGCCATCGCTTCGGAGCGTCGCTGTCCGAGGTGCTGAAAGTTTAAGCACCGCGAGACACTCGGGGGAAACCCCACGAGGACACGCAGGTTTAGTTAAGTGACTTGTTTCCATGGTATCAACACCATGTGACATCCGGACTCTTAAGAAGGTCAAGTCCGAGATAAATAAACCTGTTAAATCCAGTTTACAACCGCACTCCAGGTGGAGAAGACAGCCTTTCTGATGGACTATCCATCCAGCTGGGATACAGTAGGTGTGGAGAGGCATTTCTGCTTTTTATGACGTGTTGCTTTATCCAAAAACTGTGGTTGTTTTTCCTTTGGGGCTCAGGCAGGTGAGAGAGATGCATCATGGGCAGGTGTGGACTAAAGAGTGACTCCAAGAAGACCAAGAATCAGCTGTCATGTCACAAAGAAACCTGCCTCAGTGAGTTTATTACCCACTTCAATTATGTGTGTGTGTGACCCTCTGTGAACATAATACAGTCTCAGTATGGAGGGTACACACCGTCTGAGGATCCCCTTCCTCCTGCTCTATGCTGCTGTAGACTCCTCCACCTGGAGCTGAGCCCGCGGTGGAGCGGAGTGTGTGTGAAAGGAGACCCCGCCAGCCTCCATGGCTCACTCGTCAGACCCGTCCCGCAGGGAGAAGACCCCTGGGACCCAGGGGTCACACACAGCTACGCGCAACCTCTTACGGAAGAAGGAGCAGCGCCGGCGCGGAATCCGATCCTCCTCGCCCATGGGCCGGGTCATCCTCATCAACTCTCCTGTGGATGGTGAGGAGCAGTCTGGCTGCCTGCTGGTGCAGTGCAGATTACAGATGCAGATTACACTATTGGATACTGTTGAATAGTGAGGAGTTATTGTCTGTCTCTGATAAGTTTGAGTCTTTCCATTACTTCTGTAATCATGTTTGGGAAACTAATCTTATTGGAGTTCTTGATGTACATCCAAAGTCTCTTTAATTGAATCAAGGTCTCCTTTCTTTGAGTCTTCTCTTAAGTCTGTCTTAGAGGGGTAAAGAAGATCTTGTTGGTAATGCTTCAGTGGCGACAGGTTCTTTCCAGCTTTCCACCAGAATGAATTAGCACCAAACTTAATCATTTGCCTCCTTTTTTGTTATATCTCACATTTCTCATAAAGGTTTTTGCTATTACCACTTAAAGGGATATTCCGGGGTAAAATTACGTTAGGGTCAAACACACCGTAACACCAAGTTAGTCACCCCCTCAAGAGATGAATGTTGCCGACTGATTGCTTCTCTAGTTATACCAACTTTAGTAACGACTGCAGATGGCAATACATAGAGCCACGCACTCTACCAAAAAGCCACTCTATAAACCACAAATAATGCTCAGAACAGCACCTAACTTCATCAACAGTACATATAGGGTCCCAGCCACAGCACTAGCCACCAAACATCTTTTTAGCTTTGACTAATTTCTTTAGCAAAGAGACTAAACACAACTCCCCTACTCTCTTCCAGCAGCTGCTTGTTTGTTGCGCGACCTCAGGCCAGTCCATTACGGAGTGGTGTCCGTAATACAGCGGAGTTACGCAGCTCAAGGAAGAACATTTATGATCTTTTCTTCATGGAAATGCAATCAGACCGAGATGCTAAGACAGAAGAAATAATGTGTCTGCAGTGCAAAATGATTAATATGGTGATTATTACTTCAAGGAAATGATAAAGAAATTATAATAAATGTTCTTCCTTGAGCTGTGTCACCCCGCTGCAGTCTGTAATGGACTGGTCTGAGGTCTCGCTACAAACAGTCTCTTTGCTTAAGAAATTAGGCAAAGTTTAAAAGATGTTTGGTGGCTAGTGCTATGGCTGGGACCCTATATGTACTGTTGATGAAGTTAGGTGCTGTTCTGAGCATTATTTGTGGCTATAGAGTGGCTTTTTGGTTGAGGTTTGTTGATGGCTCCTGTGTATTGCTATCGTGCGGTCGTTACTAAAGTTGGTATAACTAGAAAAGCAATCGGTCGGCAACATTCATCTCTCAAGGGGGTGTCTCACTCGGTGTCATGGTGTGTTTGACCCTAAATTAATTTCATGCCAGAATATCTCTTTAAGTTTGAACTAACTTCAACGTGGAGATGCTTGTGTGACCTTCAATGACTTTTTGGCTTCTTCTCTTTTGTGTTTTCAGGTGGAGATGACAGCGAGGACCTCCACACAATCACAGTGGATAAAAGTGTGGATGGGAAACTTGGCTTCAGCGTGCGTGGAGGCTCTGAACATGGCCTCAGTATCTTTGTCAGCAAGGTGGAGGACAACAGCACAGCAGGTAACGTCGCCATTCGTAAATTTAAGGTTTAAGATTCTTTGTATTGTTCTGTTTAAGTATACATGTGTATATTTTCTGTGTCCACAGAGGAGGCTGGCCTGCTTGTTGGAGATAAACTGGTGGAGGTAAATGGTGTCAGCCTGGAAAGCATCACAATGAGCAGTGCCGTGAAGGTCCTCACAGGAAACAACAGGCTGAGGATGGTGGTGAGACGTGTCGGCAAAGTCCCCGGCATCCGCTACTCCAAAGAGAAAACCACCTGGTAACAAAAAAAAAGGATCTCTATGATATTTATCTTGAAAATACCAGACAGTAAAAGATAATCATGTGCACTGTCTGTCTCTGTCAGGGTGGATTTGATCCACAGGCGTATGGTGGTGGAGGAGAGCGGACAAACACCGTCAGAGGTGAGCTCAGGAAGCGCTCTGCAGAGGATCGTCCACCTTTACACCACCTCTGACGACTACTGCCTTGGCTTTAATATCCGTGGGGGGAAAGAGTTCGGTCTGGGGATCTACGTCTCCAAGTATGTCCCTCGGCTCGCAGAAACAAACTCTGAAATTCTTTCAGTGACGCGCACCACAACATTCATTCTGAATTCTCGTTGATTTACTCCAGACTGGATCCCGGTGGTCTGGCGGAGCAGAATGGGATAAAGATGGGGGACCAGATCATGGCTGCCAACGGGGTGAGCTTTCAGGACATCAGCCACAGCAGTGCAGTGGAGGTGCTGAAGAGCCACACGCACATCATGCTGACCATCAAGGTGAGGGGACATGAAAAATATGGAAGCCCTGAAGGCCCAAAATGGGATTTCGTAAAATCTAGAAAAAAGGGACGCAAGTTGGCCAAGAGTTTTGAGTGTTTTTACGGGCATTCCATTTGGTCCTGTACTGAAGCGGTTCTATCCATCCATCCATCCATCCATCCATTTTCCTGTTGGGGGTTGCGGGGGGCTGAAGCCTATCCCAGCATTTTTGGGCCAAAGCAGGGGACAAGTCACCAGTTCACTGCATATAAAGACTTAACAACGATCCACGGTCACATTTACACCTACGGGCAATTTGAAAGTGGCCAGTTAACCTAACCCCACTTTTGCATGTTTTTGGGATGTGGGAGGAAACCGGAGTACCCGGAGTAAACCCACACAGATACAGGTAGAACATGCAAACTCCACACAGAAACGCCCTGAAGAATGTTCCTGGATTCCAATCCTGACCTGGATTTGAACCTAGGACCTTCTTGCTGTGAGGCGACAGTGCTAACCATGGCACCACTGTGCCACCCCTATCCATCCATACATATCTATAAATTAGGGTTAGGATTAGGGTGTACTGTACCACCATAACCACAGGGGGCGCCAAATTCCTCCCAAAATGCGAAGTACAGTTCCTCCTTGTAGCCTTAATGGGAGTTAGTGGAAACGTTTTTAAAGACAGACTAGCAAAGGTCATTATGGTCATTGGCTGTTTACAAAGGGGTGTAAAAGTGATTTAATTTGGTAGGACAAAGACCTGACTCCATGCTGTCTATAACCTTAAGTTGCATTTGAGCAAAAATTTTTGGAAGCTGTGATATTAAACTAAAGTCAGTCATCTGTCTTTGCCCAATAACATGATGATTATACACAGGAGTGAAGGTGTCTCTATTGAATGTTTGGATGTTCGGGCTAGAGGAGTATTCTTTCTTTATCTGACAGCTTGTTGGTTCTTTTATTACGACTCCATCATACAACCTCACACAATAACCCCCTGAACTGTTTCCCACCTCTTATCCCTCCATCAAACTTGGCTGAGTCTCCTCACGCTGTCGGTGGATGCAGTGTCTGTTTGTGTGGCAGGCCTGACAGCTGGCACGCAGTCGTAATATTCCTCGCTCACTTTACTTGTCGCAGCTTGGGTTTCGCTCTGTGAAAAATAGCCAGGTCGTGTGCATTATTCACCAGGCGGCCGGGATCACATGCTGATCAAAGCTTAGAGGCGTGTTTTAGGCATGTTTTGTGTCATTATCCCTCACTTGAAACAAAGAACCGGAGTTGAAGAAGCATCCTGACTATCCAAGGTTTCTTTAAAGTAAAACAAGGAAGGGTGTATTCTTCTTGGGAAGAGGAGGTGTGAGAGATTAGGCTCTCCGTGTAGCTCTAGTGTTACTCTTTATCAAATATAGCATTTCATTAAAATTTAAAGATCTCTACTGTATCTCATTTACATATCTGTGTCCATGTCTTCACAGGAAGCAGGGCGATACCCGGCTTACAAAGAGATGGTGGCAGAGTACAGGTGGCTCAACAAGCGTATGTATCAGCTGGTTTTACACACCTTATTATCTAGAAATCAGTGTTCCTGTAAGCACCTGTGTTTGATTTGTTAAATACACTGATATTCTTGGATGGATTTAAATTTCTTTGTTTTATTCCCTAGTGGCCAACGGCACTCAGAAATCTTCCTCCCAGGGTTCAGGCTCTACCTCCTCAGTCTCCTCTCTGTCGTCCGGGACTCCAGTCAGCTCTCTCAGCGGCCTCTCTCAGGTCATGTTCCCTCCAAGCACGCCGTTTGGTTCAGACATGGTGGATGTTTGCATCTCAACGGAAGACCTGAGGTCAGGGTGTGCAACTTGGCAATTTAGCTTAACACAAGAGTGAAAAAAAACACTTGCAGACAACAGTAGACATTACTATCCAAGTTTTTATCCATCCAGGTCTGAGTCGGAGCGAACAGAGACCGCCATCCAGACAGACTTCCCCTCCCAGAGGACAGGTTTGGACACGACTCGCAGCCTCGGACCCACCACTCTGCTCAGAGACACGGCCATCAGAGGAGAGGAGGGGCAGACCAGAGGGAGGCGAGAGTCCACCAAGACCGCCGTGCTGATGGCTCTCAGCAGGCCGAGCCGACCGATCAGCAGGTCCCAGAGCCAAGTCACTATGGCAGGTAGGACGAGGATAGAGCGGGTGACGTTGAAGGGAATAAGTTTAACCACATTAATGACCCGCTGGTGCGGTCCGATCACAGAGATCAGTCAGAAGGAAGAGAAGAAGCAGAAAGGGAAGGACCCGGAGGAGAAGAGCACCCTGCAGCGCTCAAAGACTTTGGTCAACCTGCTGTTCAAGGGCGGACGCAAGGGGGACACCTTCAAGGCGAGATCCAAGTCCCCATCCAAAGACAAGAGCAGCAAAGGTAAAAACAACCAGAAAGGGTGTAAAGGTGCATTTTTGCCTTACGCTAAGACAATGGTGGAATGGGTAGAAAGGTTTAATTGTCTTGGTACATCACAACACAGACTGTAAAAAGGTAGAAGTATATTTAATAAGGTGAAATGAGTCCTGCTGTGATGTTTCCAGGACGACAGGTTGGTGGGAAGCCAAATTCAGAGATGCTGAGTACAGTGGATGACATGGCGCGCAGGCTGCTGACAGACGAGGAAGTGGACGCCGTGATGAAGACGTGCCGAAGGGTAAAGAGCTGCAGAGACTCTGTTTTATTGTGCAAGAACTTCTTTAAAAACTTTTTCCACATATCAGTTAGAGGTTTTTAGAGTCACTTGACTGATTTTTTTAATGTTACTCCGAACAGTATGTGGCCGAGCGCTCTGTGGAGAACTTGATACGGCACCTACTGAACGTGTTGGACCGGCCTGAGAAGCTGCTGCTGCTGAGGGAGGTCAGGTAAGGAGAGAGAGGCAAGGAGGCAAGGAGAGACGTTCTGCAAATGATGATACAGCTTCAGACACACTAATGTTGACTTACAGCTCTAGTTTGTCCACTTATATACTCATAAAACCGCCCAAAGCTGTATGTAGACCACCTGTTAATAGAGTCAAACATGTCTGAGGATGTCTCTGTTCATTCCTCAGGATGCTGCTTCCTCCCTCTGACCTGACTGCCTTCAACAACATGGTGACCCCGCTCGAAGCTGAGGCCTACGACATCCTCAAGTATCGCTCCGGTGTGTATGACACGATATCAGACTCAAAAGGGGTCTTAAAACTTTAACAGACTTTAACAAACACAATAACACTTTTCTCCTCTCCTCTGTGTTGAAGTTAAAACTCCCCCTCTTCGATCTCCTGTGTCTGGTCGAGCACCAAAGCGGCGCCTCATCACTCCAATCCCAGGTCAGTATGTTTGCCCTCAGATCCCGAACTCATTCAAAGAGTTTCTTTTAATCTTTCCTGGGTTTCCTTTTAGATTTCAGAGGAGGCTTCGAGCTCCACAGTGCCGAGGAAGTGGAGAAAGAGAGCCACCTCCTGGACCAGCTGGAGAAGCTCAGCGTCTCTGGCCTCCAGAGGTCCAAAGACAGACCCAGCAGCCCCAGATCTTTCTCCCAGCTGCTGGACATACCCGTGGATGACTACGACACAGAGTCCAGAGACCTCAGATCGTCCTCTGCCAGCCCCACACTCCCAAACTGGCTTCTGGCCCGCGGCGAGGACCCCCGCCCTCCTCTACGGACTAAAATCGGCACCATCCGCTCTGTCCACTTCGACGAAGTTTCCCTGCACTCTACTCTAGAAAGACGAAGATCCCCGTCTAGAAACGGACACTCCAGAGGCAGAAAGAAGAGCGTAGATAGCGATAAGGAAGCTGTTTTCACGCTGCAGAGTGCGGCTCGCAGGAGTCGACCGCTGTTGTCTCAGGTTTTCAGTTCAGATCAGGAGACGGGGGGCGAGCAGGTGAACGGACATCAGGATAAATCTGAGAATGGACTCAACGGCTCCAACTTGGAACAGGAGTACAAACTCAAAACTGTCACCATCTCCAAGACTAAACAGTCTCTGGGTAAAGTGGAATCAATATATCCAATGCAATGTACTTTAAAGGGCCAGTTCACCCAAATTTATTGCACTTTTCTTTGCCAGGTGATTAAGTCTATTGTAGGAAAAGAAATGGGATAATAAATTCCAGCCACATTTTAAAAGCTTCCTATAAACGAATTCTCTGTGGTAAAGTGAGTCTATAAACCTGTGCAAGTGAATGTCCTGATTTAAAGAGGGCTTCTCTGTATTTCGTTAATACTCTGCTTTCATGAGCATCCTAAATAGAATTGATGGCAGATACTTAGACAAAGACATGGCACTTAAAAAGTTAAAAAGCACTTTTTATACTGCTGGAAAAGAATAAGAAAGTATATTAGCATTAGGATTCATTGTTTGTGATGTCTGTTATATTATCACACCAGCTCTGACTTGTGTTTTCCAACGTCTCAGGCATCAGTATATCAGGAGGGATGGAGTCCAAAGTTCAGCCAATGGTGAAGATCGAGAAGATCTTTCCTGGAGGAGCCGCCTCCACCTGTGAAGTGCTCAAGGTGATTTAAAACTTTTTAACATCTGGACAGTGTAGTTATTCACACCATCACATGGTTCGAAATATGAGAGCATGACAGTAACTTGTTCGAACTATTATATCATGTTAAAGGGATATTCCGGCGTAAATTTAAGTTAAGGTCAAACACAACGTAACACAGCATTGACCGCTTGCTTCTCCAGTTATACGAACTTTAGTAACGACCGCACGATAGCAATACACAGTGGTCTACATCTCCACGCGCAAACCACAACCAAAACGCCACTGTATAGCCACAAATAATTCTCAGAACAGCACCTAACTTCATCAACAGTACAGATTGGTGGCTAGTACCAGCCATAGTACTAGTCACCAAACATCTTTTTGGCTTTGCCTAATTTTTTTAGTAACAAGACCAAAAACAACTCACCCACTCTCTTCCAGCAGCCGCTTGTTTGTGGGGTAGTCCTGACGAGTCGATCCCCGATGAGTCGATTCCCAAGTGCAGAGGAGTTTTGCAGCTCCAGGAAGAAAATTTATGATTATTATGATTATTATTATATGGAAATGCAATCAGACCGAGACGCCAAGGCAGAAGAAATACCGCGTCTGCAGTACAAAATGATTATCATGATGATTATTACTTCATGGACATCATTTTGGCTTTTATCTCCAAATAGTCTGCTAGTGGTTATCAAACTTTTTATTTTAGGTCAAACTGGCACCCTACAAAAACATTTCTCAGTGATATGAAATACTTAGAGCAGCCAACTTCAATAAATAAAACAAAAACAAAACGATGTTTATGTTCAGGTGAATAAACATCTGATTCTGTTTCTTCCAAGTCTGTTCTCCTAAATGCGACCAAATCCCCTCTTTTCTCCTTAGGCCGGGTTTGAGCTGGTGACTGTGGACGGAGTCTCCCTACAAGGAGTCACCCATCAGCATGCCGTCGACATCATCAGGAGAGCCTTCAGCAACAAGGCCAAAGACCCCATGGTGCTGGTGGTCAAAGTCCCCAAAAACATTTCAAAGGAGACTTGAGACGCTCGTCATGAGTTAAGAGACACAAACAGACATTGGGACAGACAACAATCCGACTCTTTGAGGTCAGGTATGTAACTTTGCCATTCTTTTTAAAGTTCAGGATCAGGACATGGACTCTGAGGACGTCCTGAAAATAAGAATGGCCTGAAAAAGCACAAGAGTAGATTTACAGAGGAATATGCAGGAAAAAGAAGATGTAAGAAGATACTTCCAGGAGGACTTAGAAGAAACCTGAAACGATGGTGCTCCTGATGCCTTTTTCAGTTTAACCCGATTAAAAATAATTATGGATTAGTACTCTTGATATCGAGAGAAGCAGGGTGATAAAATGAGACCTGAGTGCCTTGAGAAGGCATACAGACTGACTAAATCACCATTACTTCCATGTTGGTTGAAGTTTTGACCAGAAGAGGGCAGACGTGAGCTGATGAAACCCATTTCAGCTCCGAGAAAGAGCTGAAACTAAACCCCACTGCCTGGATATGAACTAAATCCACACTTTAGAATTCCTGTCCGGGCTGCCATTAAGAAGACTGACAACCAGAATAAACTGATTTTCATGTTCTGAGTGCATCCTGAAAAAAATAAAAGTTTATTCCTACAAAAACTCCAAATCTCTGTGATCTGTTGAGAAAAACAAACTTATTAATTTTGTACTTTTTTAATTAAAAACATAGTTGGTTTGTTCAAGAAATGTACAGCATGAAAATATACATTAAATGTCTCCATACAAATATCGTGGATTATAAAATTACAGAACAGACACTCACACGGACGTTAATATACAGGCGTCAAATCTGCAGGAGCAAAATATATCATGTGCGACATTGCTTTGGTCTATTCACAGTGGCTATGTTTTTATGTGTTTGAGATGGACACGCAGCATCTCTGGAAGAAAAACGGATGATCTGTCGGGGGTATTTACAGAGGAGGGGGACTTAAATCAGCAGGAAAGAAAGAATAAAACATCTTTTCTTCTCAGCTTAGGAGAATTTTCAGAACAGATCTTGGTGGGAAACAGTCAGGTAGGTTATACAAACAGGCTTCTCTCAGTGCACGATTTCCCATCAGAGATTTTAACATTAGTAACATCACCGACACACAGTAATCTGTTTAATCAGCTCCAACAAAGCACAGATTTAAAGTGTTTGCTCTAATTATCAGAGAAATGAGTCATCTCTTAACGTGGATATGTTTGTCTTGAACTGGAAAAGAGATAAACAGTCTGAGTTTGATTTGCCTCGTGAATATTGCATCAGAAAGTCACTTTATACCATCATTCTGCTTTAGTTTAAACCGTCACTACCTCCAATTTAATACCTCTCAGTGTTGAGGACACTTTAGACAAGACTGGAAATAAATGAGCGGCACAGCTTCAGTAAAAACGTCTTTTAACACTGTTAATTATCCTCTCCTAAACGCCTTTAGTTCACCTTTAAAAGAGAAACATGATGATTAAGGACCAAGAAGACTGATTTCAGGAGTTGGAAATCATGATGTGGTTTACGTAAAGGCTTTAGCAGCTCTGACCGAACATCCTGACTCTCTGCATCATCAGCGCCTCACTGATTCACGCGCTGAATGTGCGGAGTCCCATGTTTTCTGTCAGCGAACAGCAGCGTGGGCTCCGTCCGCATTAACCGCAGTAATGGCAGCGGGCTGCTAATGTGGAGTGGGAGTGTGGCGTTAGTCTCAGCGGGGAGGAGGCGGAGTCACGATAAACAGGTTGAAGGGGTAGTTACTCACACACACACACACACACTCCCAGAAAAACTAAGACTGAGGTTAAAGAGAAGGAGGAAGCTGAAGCCTCATTAGGGACTGCAAACACTCACACTGACATTAACGAGGGGGGCAGAGGACTCAGGTGGCCTACTAATGACTAATAGAGGTCATTGGCTTTAAAGTGGGACCCCTCAGAGAGTCGACCAATGAGGCGGAGTTAAAGAGTGGATGATTTCACACTGCATATTCTTTTAACGTTGAGCAAAATGCCCAAAAACGGCGCTAATCCAAAGTTGAGACTGCAAAAAGGCGAGCAAAGGTAAATGGAGCTCATTGAAGAGAGAGCCAATCACAACAGGTCCCTACAGAGATATGTGGAGATGCGTGATAACACCAGGTGTGAACAGCTGTCTACTTGTGACTCTATCAGCCAGGATGCGCGTGAATTAAAGGGATATTCCGGCGCAAAATTTAATTTAGGGTGACACCGAGTTAGACACCAACTTGAGAGATGAATGTTGCCGACCTCTTGTTTCTCTAGTTATACCAACTTTAGTAACGACCGCATGATAGCAACACACAGTGGTCTGTGTATTGCTATCGTGCGGCCGTTACTAAATGTTCTTCCTTGAGCTGCGAAACCCTGCAGCAGTCTGTAACTGACTGGCCCGAGGTCTCGCTACAAACAAGCGGCTGCTGGAAGAGAGTAGGTGAGTTGTGTTTAGTCTCTTTGCCAAAGAAATCAGACAAAGTTAAAAAGATGTTTGATGGCTAGTACTATAGCTAGGACCCTATATGTACTGTTGATGAAGTTAGGTGCTGTTCTGAGTATTATTTGTGACAGTTTGGTCGAGGTTTGTTTATGGCTCCTCAGACCGCTGTGTATTGCTATCGTGCGGTCATTACTAAAGTTGGTAAAACTAGAGAAAGAAAGGGTCAGCAACATTTATCTCTCGAGGTGGTGTCTCACTCAGTGTTACGATGTGTTTGACCCTAAATTAATTTTACGCTGGAATATCCCTTTAAGCTGAAGGTAGTGCAAATCAAACATGAACAGACATGAGGGTTAGATTTCCGTGGCGGCGATCTCATCAAAGTTGATCTCGTTGCCGCTGCCTTCGTCCTCCTCCTGACTGAGCTCCTGCAGCAGCTGCTCCAGCTCGCGGTTCCTGCGGTACATCTGCACGTAGTTCTGCTGCAGCTGTTTCTGGTAGCGGATCACTTTGTCCTTCTCCTCCTGCCAGATCTTGCGCTCCTCCTCGAAGCTCCCTTCCTGCTGCTCGGCTCGCTGGCGCTCGAAGGCGAGCTCCGCCCTCGTCCTGTCCATCTGCGCCTTCATGCTCTGCAGCGCCTCTGTGCCGCTCTGTCTCTGGGCCTTCGCCTCGTCGCTCTCGTAGGCGAGCAGGTGTTCCTCCGCCTCCTGGAACACCTGGCACTGCCTGTTTCCCGGGCCCTGGTTGGTTAACGCTTCTCTGAGATGAATCAGCTCGCCCTCCAGGCGTCCCACCTTCTCTCTGAGCAGCTCGGCCTCGCTCTTGCGGCGCTGGAGCTCGTTTTCGCAAACCTCCAGCTCGAGGGTTCGGGTGCGCGTCGTCCCGTTGGCCTCCTGCAGGAGGACCTGTGTGTTTGTGAGCTCACCTCGAGTCTCTCTGAGTTGACCACGCAGTGATACGATCTCTCCCACCCGCTGAGCCAGCTCCCCCTGCACCTCCTTCAGCTGCTGCTTCAGCAACGAGATCTCCCCTGACTTCTGACACACCTAAGGAAAGGAGAGAAAAGAAACTTTATGATCAATCAAATTTCTTTTTATGCAGAGTTCAGAGAGGGTGAAACTGTCAAATCAACAGTTGCTGAATCAAACATCTGTTGCTCCTCTTACCTCCCACTTGCTCTCCTCCAGCCGAGGCCCCAGTTGGATCTTTTCGTGCTCGTAGGAGGTGCAGCGCTCCTCCAGCTGCTCCCTCTCCTGCAGGAGCTGAGAAAAGTCCTCCTGCAGCTTCTTCTTCTCCTGCTGGAGCTGGAACACCTTTAGGAGAAGTCGTTAAAGTCATGTAAGCTGAGGTGGCATTACGATAAACGAGAAAACACACCTCTTTATTTCCCTAATTTGTCCTCTAAAATTTTTGTGTTAAATTTAAAGGCAAATTTTGAACATTTTCTTCGACAGCTTCCATGTCATGTGACCAACTGACCTAAAATTGATTTCAAATAAAAGTACTTATGTCGACCAATAAGACAAACATTATTTGATCACTTTTCACTGTGCCCCTAAAGTTCTTTGTGTGCTCCCTATTTGTGAAAAAAGTTAGTGTCAAGCCCTGAGGTGCACAGAGCGCCCTGACTGATTGTTTTTTATCAGAGGTCCTGACCTGCAGCTGAAGCACCTGCTGAGCACGCTGGGCCTTCTGGGAGGCGACCTGCATCCTGGTGGCGCAGCCCTGCCTCAGCTCCTCCAGCTCCAGCTCAAAGCGCTTCTGCTTCTCCTCATAAACCTGCGATAAAGGGCCAAACCGCACAAAGTTTTCACCACTGAACAAATCCTTTGAGTTAGGGACTCATATTCAGAGTTTATACCAACCTGGCAGATAGCAGCTTCGTTCTCGTCCAGGTTGTCTCTGAGTGTTTGCAGCTCCAACTCTCTCTCCCTCAGTTTTTCCTCCAGGTCCCTCACTACTCCTTCGTATCCCTCCATAGGTCCCGGGGAGCGCCCCCCTGACCCGCTGTCAGACAGAGGGTGACCTCGGCCGCTGAGCGAGCCTGAGCCTGTGCTCTTACTGGAAGACGATCGTCCGCTGTCAGAGTTTGAGTGTACGTGCGTGCTGACGGCTGGAGCGCCCTTCATGGGCTCCAGGTGACCAGCAGATGTCTCCCCCGAGGTCTGGCTGTAGGGGGCGTTGTTGTAGGGGGGAAGGCTGCAGAGAGAGTTGCGCCCCGAGTCGGTCAGTTGACATGACTGGTTGCCGGTGCTGTTGCGTGTCCGGCTGTATGCGCCGCATTTCTCCGAGCTGGAGGGCGATGCGTCCTGGTGGGTGGGGCTGAGCAGGTTCAGGTTGTTTTGGCTTTCTGGTACGTTGGCAACATGGCGGGGGGAGAGGTACTGCATGGAGGTGCGGCTCTTGGGAATCACGGGTTTGAAGGCAGTGGGTCGCAGCACTGTTTTCTCCATATTCTGTAAACAGAATACAAACTCTGTTAGGAGAAAGCGAACATGGACGAGTATATCTGTCTTTTAACGCCAGAAAATAACTCTGTGTGTTTTCTGTTTTTAGCCTGAACGATCACGAACTGCATCTGTTTGAGATTTATTCAAACACTCACCCTCTCCAGTTTTCCTGACACAGGGATCAGTTTTGGAGGAGGTCCCCCCACATTCCCGTTCAACCCTGATCCTTCTTTCATCCCGTCTGCATCACTCCCCGGGCTCCCGGGTGTCACATGGTTGTCATTCCAGTCTCCTACAAAGTCCTCATTTAGATACGTGTGATTCCCGTTCCCACTGTCTTTCTCCTGCCCCCTGTTCGAGCCGGTGGAGCTCTGTTTCATGAGTGGGGGGATGTTCTGCATTAAAGGGTCCTGTGGTGACTCCGAGCCCAGACAGGAGGTGCCTGGTGTTGGCCGTCGCATCCTGGTGCCGAGCTCGACGCCAGATCGCAGATCCTGGTAGGGTCCGGGGCGGGCGGCGATGAGGCTGCTGACAGAACCCATGGGATCCAGAGCGGAGGCTTGAGCGATGGTGGGGGGTGAAGAGGAGGGGTGTCTCCTGCGGGATCCTCCACTGTGGCCGGGGGTGTGAGGCTCAGTAGAGAGGGGCAGAGCCTGAACCAGGGCCATGATGGCGGCGTAGAGGGGTCACTCGCTCTGTGAGAGGAAAAACACAACAGTGGTGTCTTCATTATTTTAATTATTGGTGTTTCAGGTCTTTAGAGGCAAGTCTCACTCAAGTCAGTCAAGACAAGTCCTAGTCAACTCTGAAATCAGTTAGGAGGCGAGTTTTCAGTTCTCTTGAAGAGGTTCAAGTCAAGTACAAATCAAGTCTCTGGTCACAAAGTAAATCAAAGTTAAGTCTTTCAACAGCAAGTTAAGTCACCTGCCTGAGTCGAAGTCTTTTACTTGCTATTTTGAAGTTTTTACAAGAACAAGTCTGTGTCGAGTCTCTACTCAAGTCCACAGTTGTTCTTGAGAGATCTGAACCAAGTCCCCACTAAAGACAAGTCTATCACATTTAAATATACTAAAACAAGTCCAAGCAAAGTTTTAAAACATTTGTGAAAATTTTAGGTAAAACGTAGTTAAAGAAAATTTCAAGTCTCTGAGAAGAAGAGCAGGTCAATTCTTGAGTTTTGAAAGCAACTTGAAACGAGTCAAACCAAGTCTCGAAGCATAAGGAAAAAGTCAAAGTCAATACTCAAAACAGGACATTAATATTTCAGTCTTGTACTTTGAAGCTCGGTTGAGTCTCCAGAATCGAAAGACAAGTGCTATGTTAAATTTGTGATTTTTGACAAGAGGAAGACTTGTGTCAAGACAACTTCATTTCAAATATTTACTATAAGAGTTGCAAGTCCTTCGAATCAACTCCAAATCAAAAAAGTCAGTCAGTCAAGTCAGCTTTCAAGTTAGTAGCAACTCCAAGCCTAATATAACAAGTCCTAAGCCCTCAGGAAGAAACTTCAATCTTAATTTTTGCTATAACAAGTCAAAAAAGAAATCGCAAGTCATCCCAGAGATCCCTAGTCAGCTCTCAAGTCTAGTGGAGGCAGGACCTGTCAACTTGCTTAAGGCCAGTGTTGTAAATGTCTGCAGGCTTAAATGTAATCCTTGAGTCATTTTAAAGTTGACCCAGTGAGGACATGTTTGGATTAAAAGTCGAGTTTCAAGTCTCGGGTGCTCCTGGGAGATCAAGTCTCAAGTGTTAAAGAGCAAATTGGGAGCCGTCTGCAAGTGTTTCAGCTCTTTATGTCATTGACGTCACAGTGTTTCCCCGTCAGGGCTGAGCTCATTGTCATTTTTGCTGGGAAATTAAACACTTGATGAAATTATGAGTATGTTTCTGTGTTTTCTCTACAAATATTCTCTATCTTGGATATTTTTTTTTCACAGGATGCTTTCAAGGAATTTTTACAAAAGTGGAAAACCAAAGGAGCTGCGACAAGAGGCGAAACAGAGATGATATACAGTAGACTGAAGCATACAAATCTTCCCACAGGACCATGTTGGCCCACACACAGAGAACCAGGACGAGCCATTCATGAAGCCCATTCAAGCAGCACAAACACGGCTTGCGGCATGAGGCTCTGGAAGCATGAGGCAGCAGAGGAAAAGGCTCTCCTTTCATTTGAGATGTAAAATGGCTTCTAACATGCTGGCATTTTCTCTGACAGCAACAAAGGCTACTGTCCGCACACATCTTATCAGCCTTGGGAATCCCTAAGAGTCCATAACTGCGGATAATATCTCAAAGTAAAATTGCAAAGAGGAGGAGACAGGTTGAACTGGCTGTGATACTTCAGCCGTGGGTGCTGAAAGTTTCTGAATTCATCTTAAGAGGAAATGATAAAGCTACGAGAAGTGACAAAACACTCAAGGAGGAACAAGAGCCCACTTACTTTTATCTCCCTCGCTCTCATACGCCTGCCGCTGGTAAATATTGACACTATAGCAGACACACAGTGAGACTATGATGTCAACATCAGTCCCGTGGATGGTGAATAAGTTGAGTGTTGTGCGGAGAACAATGGCCAACAGGACGCATGATGATGAGGTCATGGTTCACTGACAACAATCCTAACAGCAGAGCCGGTGTTGCTCTCAAAACATCACAGTGAGTCAGAATACGAGGATATCCGACTGACGGGTGTGTCCTGTTCTTGAGTTTCACGGCTGTCTAGCAAGTCGCAGACATCTGACTGAAAGATTTCAAGTATGACAAAAACGGCGGCTCTCACTACATCACTCTCTGTTTTGCAGGTTGTTGGTCAATCCCTCTGTGTGAAAGAAAAGCTAGACGGTCCCGCTTGTTTCGCCCACTGTCTGATCCTCTTAACCTTCCTGTTGACACAATACAGGTTTTAAACCTGGGGGGGGGGCACCGTCCATGCTGTTAATTAGTGTTAGGATGACTAATAAGGTGAGAAATGGGCCGACAGCAGGCGAGCTGGCTGCACACATCCGAGGGTCCAACCTGCCAAGACAGAGCCTTGCCAAGTTATTGTCCCACCTGCCAAGTGCAGCGAGAGCCTTGACGGCTATGTTAGCCATTTAACTGTAATTACAGCACAGTAATTAGCAAATTCAGAGTTAGCTGATCCCTTCTTAGGTTCATAATTATGACTGTGACAAATCTGGCGCTGCAATATGATGTCGGAATATGTGTAATCTCTATAAACAGATACTGTATCTGCATATCTATGCATAATCTGTAGACAAAGACCAGATTTAGGTACATGAGTAATGGGATTATACTAGCCTTCTAGTATCAGCACAAAAATAAACATTACAGCACTCACTGTTAAGGGTATGGGTATATAAAATGGGAATAAACTGCAATAATATTCAATGTTTCAATCTTTCTCTTTGTCTAACTAAACTGAATGTGCATATGTGTTTAGTGGTGAATGTTAAGGGTTTGTTCTACAGATGCAGAGCAAATTCAGATGTACACTGTGCACACACACACAAAACAAAGGCATTCTATAGCATTTAGATATTCTGAGTAGTATCGGCCAATCACATACATCTAGAGGTGGTGAAAACACTGTCTGAATCCAAGAACCAAATCCACTGGCTATCGTGTAATGAGGATTAAGCTCCTTTTTGTTTCAAATAATCATAAATAAATTGCCATTTAATCCTCCCCTTTATGTTTCTGCTGCCACAGTCTTTACATTAATCCACAGGGGCTTGTGCCATTATGTCCAATGGTCCAACAATGTCCAAGTGTTACAAAAAAACAACCAGGGGACTCATTCAAACATGAGACGATGTTTCACTGCACAGATTAATGAAAGGATTGTGTGTCTGAGACTGGCTTTGTTCTCATGTAGGAGAGTTTATACACCAGCTCTGTGTAGGTTCTGTCTTCATATAGAGTGTATAGAACATGCACTGAAACTGGATAGTTTATCACTCATGTTGTGTGACGTTTATTTTCCCCATACAGATGTGAGGTTCATTTTCATTTGTACTATGTGATGTCCGAATCAACCATAATATTAGGGCGGGGCGATATGGCCTCAAATCAATATCACGATATATTGAGCAGTTCATCTCAATAACGATAAATGGACAATGACTACTCCACAAGCTGCTTACTCCCTCCCACATTATCTTCATCTACCTCAGCCGCCACTTTTGAACCGTCCTCCATCTCCGCACCTGTCTTTCCCTCTTTGTTACGGAATGGATGGGGTGGAGTCATGTCTCTTTTGTAGGACAGCATCTAAAAGGGAAATTAAACCGTAGCCTACCTACACACATCCAAAACCAACTTTTATTTATTATTTTTTAGATGGAAAATACAGACATGGGCAAAATGACATTGGTTATTCTCGTAAATATCGATATCGGTAAATTTTCGGTTTATCGCCCAGCCCTACATAATATTGCTGCAGATATTACATGTTCCCACATCTCTCATGCGTCACAGCCTCCTCGCTTTACTGGAACTACTTCAGCTTGTGCAGCCACTAACTCCTTCATTCTGTCTCAAATCACAAATCATCCTCAAACCAGGCTGCATTTGAACTTTTGCATAACTGGTGCAACCCGGCGCTTGCCCCTGAAAGCACACGCCTTGTTTTCAACATAGAGAAGGTCTGCAATAAGACAAAAATCTAACATCTTATAGTTATCTAATCTAATATCTTAAAGTTACTCAAATGCTTCTTCTTGCTTTTGGTGGGGCATTGATGAGGAGGGGGATCGGTCACTTCCTTCACTCACTCCACATAAGAAGTGAAAAAGCTCTAATCCCTCCAAACTCAAGATGACTGAAGCTATGCAGGGACTCTACTCTCAGAGTGTTTTAAAGCCCCCGTCATGATCATGCGGTCTTGGGCTTCCTTTCGTTGTCATAGCGATGGGGGCCTCAAACATTACAAGGGGGAGGATGGGAGAGGGGGTCAGAGGGCTGACAGCGAGGGCAAGACCCCTCCTTAGCCTCTTAAAAGCCTTCAGTTGTTCTATAGCTCTGACACTCTCCTATAGGCTCTGAAACGGCCCAATAAAAGATAAATGGACATTAAAAACTAATGACTCCGAAAGAATCCATGACGACGATACAAGAGGGAGTGGATAAAGACAATACATATGAATAGATACACTACAGTGAGGCTAAATCTAACTACTTTCATGATTTATTACAATTTTAAAAAGGTTTATAACTAATTTACCAACATTACTGACACAGAAAAGCACAAATCCTCACATTTTAGAAGTTTGAACCAATACATTTTGGCTTTTGTGCTCAAAAAAAGAAATCAAACCATCTCAGCTTCCTTTTAGAATCTATTTATGTTCATTGTTTAAGCACAAAAGCTCAACAGTGACTCTACATCTCATATATGCAGTTCAAATGTCGCAGCAAAGCCTATAAATTGTTTCTTCACCACCCACTCTGTCCACAGTGTCAGCTGACTGTGAGCAGACTGTTTTTGTCTGTGGAAAGCCCTTGAAGGGTTTAATGCCCCTCAGTCAGTCAGTCAGGCTCAGTGAGTCAGTCACTCCTCCAGCAGGAGGAATGTGCAGAAACACCAGCAGCTAATGAGGGCGAGGACTGTGAACACGGACACAATCAGAGCTGGTCAGTGTTTAGATGAGGGAACTCCACAGCCTCTGGTTTTCATACATCTCTTCATCCTCCAGCATTACAGAGTGTTTTTTTGTTTTTAATTTGTTTGGAGCAGCAGCTGCAGCAGCTCCGGAGATGAAACGCTGTCACCTCGAGGTTTTAGGGTTTCACTCCTGAGCTTTCAGCGCTGACAGTTTTATAGATTTTCTCACATAGATCAAACTCGGTAAAAACAGCACAGAGAGAATCTGCAAACACTGCAGTTTTTTTTTTTTTTTAAACTGACAGTTCTGCATAAAACTGAGGGTCCATAAATCCAAAGACTGAAACGAGCATGTTACTACTGGGCTCTTTGGTTGAAGAGATGGCTTACGGAAATGCTGGCCTCCACGATCAAAACAAAACAGCATGAAAACCAGATATACTCTGACTCTGAGCCCAGACAGATACACTAAACTATATCGACCCCCAATCATTCAGTTATGGTCTAAACAGCCTTGACCTGATGAGACATGAACTCCAACAGACCTCTAAGGGTGTGTTGTTGTATCTGGAACCCAGATGTTTGTACCAGATCCTTCAGGACCTTTAAGTTTTCAGTTGGGACCTCTCTGGATCCACCATGGATCAGGCTTTGTTGTCCAGCACGATTGGATTGAGATCTGGGGTAGTGAGACTACGTTTACACGTGCCCGGCTATTTTCAGAAACGGACATTTAACCCTCTCTGATCACAAAAAAAACCTGCGTGCACACTACTACGTTTTTGGAAAAGTTTTTGTTTACACCCGAGTATATAAACTGTCAAGAGCATATCAAACATAATAACAAACAAGACCCTCCTGAAACTTTCCGAAACTTTTTTACCCTTTCATCCGACCTTCACACGTACTTTACAAGACAAAATGCCCATCTTCAGTTACCTTCCTGTCTATGTCCTAGTTACTTTGTTGTTTGCACCCTATGCCTTCACTGCCCTGACCGGAGTGGAAATTTGTATAAGCCTATCAGCTTCGTTCCCTCCTTGCACTGTTTTTAATCTGTGCTTAATAAATAAATACAAAATACTAATACAAACCTGTAGGTGGCAGTGTAGCGAGTAGCTCAAGCTTATGTTAGCCAATCAGAATCCCGCATAGCAGAAACAACAACGTCCCTTCCTTCTTTCCCGCACACGATCTGCCGTCCGTTACCCAAATCTCTGTTTTCCCGTGTTTTTCTCCGTTTACACGCAAGCGTGCAAACAGAGTTTTTAAAACTTAAGGGGCGAACTCTCCGTTTTCGTCTAATCAAGGGTGCAAACAATGGTTAATGTCTACGTTTTTAAAAAATAACCGGGTATGTATTGACGGGGCCTTAGTGACCAAGTCAGCACCACCATGTTCATCCAGGTCACCTTTCCCTTTGCTCCATGGTCCTGTCCTGAGGCTCTCATCCCCAAAAAGTAGAAGGAGGTTATTTTTAAAATCCTGAATTTAGTGTTTTTTTTCACAGGCTGGAAAGAGGAGATTAAAGTTTAGATAAGGGATTTTCTGGAATTAGAGCTTATTTGGCACGTCCTGTTTCTGTGATGAAACTCTTACCCCAGCCATAACAGATGAAAAATCCATGCCTTGAGATCAATACATTCACCAAAAGTTGCTGAGCTGCCAGTCTACAAGACTTGAGTGAATAAGAGATGAGAAACAGAGTCAGCAGTCTGCTCTGTGGACTGACAGTCAGGTCACTCCACTCACAGCAGTGTATTTAACTCCGTACACAGCAGTAAGACAAGATAACGCTCAGTGACTTTCACTGCCTGGGCGACCTTATATTTCACTGAGGCCCACGCAGTCTGAAGGCCTTTATACAGAGCCCACTGAACAAAGATACAGTATCCACAGTTTACTGGCCCTGCCCTGCTCTGCCAGCCTGCAACGTCACACTAACCTGCTTTCAGACAAACTCAGAGAGCCTGCGCGCTAAATCCGTCTTTGTTAGGACCACGCCATAAACACACAGCCACAGAGGTGAGTCTAAATATACTCTCCAAACCAGGTGGAGGACTAGACTGGGGAACTCTGGGTCTAACCTGAGGCTTCAGTAGAGAGAGGAGAAAGACCTAATTTTAGGAAATGTGGAAAGACAGCAGGAACAACCTCTCTGTCCGAAGGTGCATTTTACTTGTTATCTCAAGCTTTTTTTTTTTAAAGGGTTTGTACTGAAGAGTGGAAATGAGGACAAGGATCAATATTCTCAGTTTCACTAGTGTAAGCAGTGCACTAATGAGGGTTTCTGAATTAAGACACAGCAAGTGTCTCAGTTTTCAGCAGAGAGGATTTGCATGAGGGGACAAACAAATGAGTCCGGAGATCCCCTCCTCCGCTCTGCACTCCTCTCTCTGCCCAAACATCTGAATCCCTCTCTCTCGCTCTCTTTCTCTTCTGGCTCCTCCTCCTCCTCCCTCCTATCTCTTTTTATTCTTACCCTCTCTCTCTCTCTGGAAACTGGAACACACAGAGAAAATGTGACAAAGCTATTTTAGTGTTGCAGATGACCTACCTACCTTTCCACAGGCAGACACCTCAGCTAACCTTACATTGACTTCAGCGGTCACCAGGCCAAACGTTGGTGTTTCCAACTAGGGCAGATGAAAAGTCTCACAATCTAAATTGATATTTTAATCTCTGTTATAACAGACTTCAAATTCACTTGACCGAGTCTTAAAATATGGAAATTGCAAATTTGGACTTTTTCTCATCAGTTGTTGGTCAAAAATCATGTTGACTATTGAATCAGTTTAACAGATACTTGTTGCATGACTTGTATGTTATCTGTCCAAAGACGTTGAGTCTCCTTGTTATCATCTCTTATTGGAATTATCAGTCATTCCGTAGGGGTGTCCTGATGCAACTTTTTTAACTTCTGATACGATACTGGTATTGTAGGCTTTAGTATCGGCTGATACCGATATTGATCCGACATTGTGCATGACAAGTTTTGCACTCAGCCGCAATGTCTTTTTCGGACTTTAACGAAAAATACTGCCACACAGCTACTTTGTTTGTTCCTTAGTACACACTGTTGTTGTGATCACGTGGGCTCTGCATGCTGGATCCAGGCACTGCTAGCTAAAGGAGTGTATCGGAGTGCTGATATCGGAGATTTTAGATACAGGTCGATATATCCCTATATTTGTTTTTTGGCAGATATTGGACTGATATCCGATATCGTATCGGGACAGCCCTACAAGTACGCGAATTTAAAGAATATTACAAAGCAGCAGTGCAATATTCGTTTAAACAGAAATATAAAGTCCCACTGACCAACTAGTCCAAAGATCTAAAAGTAGGTGGCTGTACTACAGCTTACAAACAGGCACTCCAGACCAACAACAATAGAAAGTTTTAATAATCTATTTGACCGAACAGCAACAGACTACTGTCCTTGTCCCAGTCTACAAGCACTGGCAAGAATCGATTTATCAACAAGAACACATCCTCCTTCATGACAGTAGGTGGCCTCAAGCCTCCTTTCAGCTCGTTACTATCAGGTTGTCTCCTGATTGACCAATTACATATCAAAACAGTCAGCAAAACAAGTTAGCAAGAGGCTAACAGGATGTAGGTCGAATGATGAAAACACTGTCGCTTCAACAGCTCTCGCTCTCGGCGTCCTAGCAACACATCCATGCTATTCAACTTCCCGCAAACACTGGGGCACACACAGAGCATGCTCGGTTTTGTGTGATCATGCTCAGACTAATGCGTTAACATGATTTTAAAAGTCAAGTGTCAGTTGGACTAAGGCATACTGAATGAGTTATTGTTTAGTTGACTACAATCACACATACCTCACTAATCTCTAACATAAAACACCTGATTGGTTTTATCTTATTTATCTTATCACCGGTGTGAAGGTAACCCAGATTGATTGTGAGTTGCAGCTCTACGTATGAGTCACTGCTAGAGTTTCTCAGAACGATTCCTGATTAAAAAAAAAAAGAGTTGAGTTGATAACAATCTTATCAAATTCCTCAGTAAAGAGAGTACGGTGCAGACTGGGTAGCCTCTGTTAGTTTAATGGATAATATAAAAAAAAAACAGTGACCTACACGGGAGTGTCTGATGAAAGCCTGCTGGTATGTTTGGCTGCTCGATGAACACTGTCAATGATTACACTGCAGTGAAAGAAAGCTCAGGCCTCCTGTTTCTCATCCCATCTCCCACTCACACACACACACACACACACACACACACACACACACACACACACACACACACACACACACACACACACACACACACACACACACACACACACTGAGGATTTATCTTCAGGTTGAAAACATTTTTGAATCGATGAGAAAAGATAAAGATAAGAGACAAACTTGGGATGCTTCAGTCATTCTCAGCTAGTCTTAAAGGTGCAATAATTTATCCTCTTCTTTAAGTTGGAGATAAAAATAAAAATATCAATTTAAAGTCAATCACTACTTTTCAAAGGCCTGAATTTATGAGCACAGTTCACTTTTTTTGGTCACTACTCAAAATATCTTAAATTTTGTGTCGCATATGACGAAGAAAGAGTAAACAGTTACACATGGGGAGCTGAAACTAGAGACCATGTGACTCAAATCATGACACAAATATTCAAAAAGCTGCCTACAGGCTTTACACAAATCAACTTCTTTTAAAGTGACATTTAAGTGCATCAAATACCAACACGTTTTCACTGAGACTGTTCCCAAAAAACATCACTGCCACCTTGATTGCAAATAAAATCTTAACTCAACTTCCCCTTTCTCCAACCGTCCTTCTCTCCCAGTTTCTTACCCCAGTCTGTTCCCTGCATGTCTGCTCCTGAGTCTGACCGGCTCCTTCCTCTCCTCCAGCCTCAGTTCCTTCAGCGTCTCACTCTCCTGGATGTTTGGCTCTGTTTCTAACCAGCCCTCCTGAGGAAAACTTCTCTAACCCCCCTCTGTCTCAAAAAAAGACATTCTCCAGCCAAATGCCGCCAATGTGAATGGAAGCACAGTCCCCTCCTCTTCCTCCTCCCCCCTCCACCTCCTCCTCCTCCTCCTTGGTACAGCCTAGCCTCTCTCTGACAGATACACCTCCTCTCTCCCTGCTCCACTCCTCCTCTTCCATTTCCTTTGACCAAAGAAACTGAACTCTGCAAAGTCCTGCGCTGCTTTTGTCAGTCAGTGAAAAAGAGGGAGAAGAAAGAGGCTGTGAGCCGGGAAATGGGAGCTGTCAGTTAAAGACCATTCTGCTTTCCCTCAAGAAGAAAGCAGGGGAAGAGAGCGGAAATGTGAGAGGATATCCCCTCACTTTTATAAAGTCGGGATTTGAAGCAGACTTAGCCGTTGGATTTCAGCCTTTTCACCTGTCAGAGTTGAGTCTCTATTTAAGAGCTGACGCGAAAAAGCTGCAGAGCTACAAATTTAAGAATATAAGATTGAAAAAAAGTTGACAGTGTAACCGTCTTTAAATCTTATCCAGTAACACTAAATTTTTAGTTTTATGACTTACAGTTTGTCTCAAAAACACATTAAGCTAAATTGAGAAGGACTTTAGGTTTGCACAGATTTTAGCGCCCCCTGTGGGCAAAGATGGAGACTCTGCCTCTACATAGTGAGGTACCATTCCTAACAAAAAAAAAGTTCCTCTTGTTTTCTGTGAACAGTCTAATGTGTCATATATTGTGGAAATTATGTGCGGCCAGACACCTTCCCACTTTGTTTTTCTAATAAAGGTCCAGATATTTCGAGATCATCTACTCGGTGTAATAAACCGCTATTTTTCGAAGATGTACAAAAAATAGGAAACTTGTTTATCTGACAGCAGAAAAGCCAAATTTTTGACTGAGATAGATCATCCAGTTAGAGACTCTGTAGTAGGGCTGGGCGATACACCGAAAATTTACCAATACTGAAATTTACGACTCTAACCAATGTAATTTTGCCCATATTGGTATATTTGGTGTCAAAATAAATAAATAAATAAAAGTTGTTTTTGGATGTGTGTAGGTAGGCTATGGTCTCATGTCCCTTTAAGATGCTGTCCTACGTCAAATTCATAACTCCACCCCATCAAGTCTGTAACAAAGAGGGAAAGACAGGTGAGGAGATGGAAGATGGTTCAAGTTGTAGCGGCTGAAGTAGATGAAGTTAATGTGGAAGGAGGTTAGAGCAGCTTGTGGAGTAGTTATCCTCCATTTATCGTTATCGAAGTGAACTGCTCAATATATTGTGATATTGATTTGAGGCCATGTCACCCAGCCCTACTCTGTAGCTATTGACATAGAGTCCCAGCAACATTGCGCTCACATTCACTACAAATGAAAAGCTACATCCATAGAGATGTGGTCAGATCAGGGACTTAACATCAACTATTGATAAACTAAAATAAAGATACAACATGATTTGACACCTACTGCATGAGGATAACCATGTGTTGTTGGAATTAATATAAACTGCTTCATACAGACACATGTAGTGTAAATGTGTACTTTAAGACAAATAAATTGTTTCACTTCAAAAAATTTCAGCTGTTAACAATATAGTTTATTATTTGGTCCAGACACCACAGGTCAAACCTTGAGCCAAACTTTTACATTTTTCCCACTTATTATCCTAACCTGAAAATATGTTTGCAAACAGCTGCTCAATCCAGCCCCCTTTTGAATCTAAGTCCAGTACCCTGGTCTTTTTTTTTTAGCTCTTTTTGTCTCTATTACTTTGTGAGAGAATATCTGGCTCTTTAGCGACTAAAGCTAGCTGCCTAATATAGCTTCATAAGAGGATTTTCAGTACAAACAGCTGTCTGCTGCTGCCAGAAATAAGGTCGTAACTTCGTGGAGAAGTTTTTGATAATGTGTGGATCATTTATTTTGAGTCAAACAGAATAATGTGTTAGTTTGTGTCCTTGTTAAACCTTGAATAATAAACGACTTTTATTGGGGTGCTCAATCATTGGAGTGTAACAAATAGTCTCTCGAACTTCCTGAGTTGCTAAGGGATCAGCTTCCAGAAAGTCTTCTCTTGTGACCAGGGAAGCATTCAGCCTCTGCCTTGACCTGTAATCCACCATCTGGCCAAAATGAATTAAAATAAAGGAAAGAGCAGGACGAGCTGGTGCGGCAGGAGCTCAGCTGCTCGGCTCTCAGATGAAGAGCAGGGTAAAGTAGGGTACGAGAAGTAGGCTATGCCCTGCCACAGCCTAACACACACATACAAACACAGATTTGTCCATTCCTTTTATCTCCATGCTCCTAGAACTGGGTCACACCAGTGAGCGTACAGTTTGTCCTTTAGGCAAAGAGACACCAGTGAGCCGGGTCAAGGTCAGTCGTGTCCTCCTCTCCATAGGGGGTCAAGGGAGCATAAATACGCCACAAGTAAAGTCCCGTGCCCGCTGCAGCCGGAAACCATTCACTGTTGGAGTCCAGGATTGCACAACAAACACCATCAATCAGCCGCTGCAAGGCCACCAGTGCTGGGGTAAAGAGGCAGGCTGCAAATCACCTCTGTGAATGCCACCGTTAACACTTCCTCTTTATAGGCTTGAGGGAGGGGGGGCAAACATGACTCAGCCTCTTCATCTGAGGGAGTTGAATTACAGGCTGAAGCAGTGAAATGACAACTCTGTTGCTTCCTTTTCTGTCTGCCAAGAGAAACCGAGAGGGGAAATTAAAGTGAAATTCCAGTTAAAACAAGAAATTCAATTGTGGCTTTGCAGCAATGTTGGGTACATCTGTCTGGTGGTTTCGGGGTTTATGCTCTTTATTTTATTTTTCCCAAAAGAGAACACAAAACATTTAAGAGGGATGATTTTAGTGAGCATTAAAAGCGGCTCCGTGGAGGCAACAGCTCAGGTTTATCAGGAGCGGGGGCCCTGCTGGTGGTCATCCATCAAAAGCCGGTCTGCCATCTCTCTGCGGCCCATCAGCCTGCTTCCCTCCATATTTTCATAACAACGCCACACGTCTGGGACTGGGAGCGGACAGAAAGCTAGGCCAATCCATCAACGTCTCTGCAGCCTCTGCGTGGGGACATCGCTCCCTCTGGATGTGCAGCAGCTAAAACCGGCCTCCGCCAGGCGACCCTTTGGACTCCTCGCTTCCAAAGTAATCCACTCTGGCACAAAGCAATCCGCGAACACCTCCGAAATAAAACTGGTGCAAAGGTTTAGCACCCAGCAGGGGGCGGTTTATCAGTTTAGACACAAATGAAGAGAAAGGAGGGAGAGAGAGAGAGCTTTGTAGATTGAAATTACTACTCTTCGTAAGTCCGGTCATAAATCCACAGAAATGAGATGGCTGTATCGAACTGGCAGGCACCCGACTTAGCCACACTCTGATTTACTGTATAATGTGCCAAAGAGATTAGGGTTACGCCTCCAGTTTTGGAATTACAGCAAAACCCCTATCCGTGATTAAGATCTGCTGCTGACTCCCACACAGCAGGAATGTGTAAACATCCACACAGAGTGGGATGCACACTGCCTTTGTGGGTGTGGGCAGAAAGCTGCAGGCCGATTCTTTACGACAATTAAACCTTAACCATGACAGAGAAGGCACTTTGTTTGAGAAGTCCGGGAAACTGACTGGAGTAAAGGCAGAGAGTTCATGGGAGAGTGCAGTCCTCCTGCAGGTCACTGTATGACAGCACAGATCAGGGACAAAAATGGGTGATATTATTGGACAGATCGAACAGCCTGACAGACAGCAGAAACGTAAACAACTCCAGATTACTTAGTTTGCAGTAGAGTGTTTCTCAATGCTTCAAACTAGGGATGTCCTGCTGCTGATGTTAACTTTTAGCTCCGTCTTGTTGATGTTTTAAACTAACCTGAGATCTGCAATGCGAGCCAGTCATCCCTGATCATTTACATCAGATACGCGCCAGCTGAAATGTGGAAATATTTCAAACTAGAATGTAAAACAGTCCACTATCCTCTTGCGATAGTTTCATGAGACGTTAGCAACAGCATTCAGACTCCAGGAACAGACTGTCCTGTTCATGTTTTCACCTTTTGAACCCTCCTGTTCCTGGAGAGTTTCCGTAGCCTGCCATTGTTGATGTTGCTGTTATAACCTGGCTGGCTGTGCGCATGTGTTCATGCAGCCTTAGCTGGAGTTCTTCATCAGTGTCCTTGTTTATTTTATTTTTTTTTACAAAGTGCACACACTTGGGTGAACCCAGAATGCTCGGTTACAATTCCAATTTGATAAGACATCAAAAAACTGGAAAAACACCCTGTTCAGAAAAGCGGCGGAGGAGAAGCTGCTGCTCCAAAATAACAAACTCTGGACTTAAAAAGGAAAGAGAAATACCCAGGAGAGAGCAAGAAGGCCAAATGATCACAAAGGAGGTGGTTAAGCTCTTTGCTTTTGATAACTGCTACATCTCAGTGGTAGAGGAAACAAGTTTTTGTCGTCTTTTGGATCCACGGTAGTTATTATAATGCAGCACTTGGTAGATTTGTCATTAGTTTTTGTGTCTGAAAGATCAACTTAGCTATTACATCATTCTGAGTTGTATTTTGATTTCATGTGTGTGTTTTACGACAAAGCTAGGTGGTCTAGGTTGAATGGAGTTCGCTTGTACTTAATTTGTGTTCTTCATGTACTTTTGTTAACAACAGATTTGGTGTGCAGCTATGTTTTGTTTGTAAATACAACTATCAGATTGGGAAATATTCAATATGCAGAAAATCTAATTGGGATCAGAGGAGTGCTGATCAAGAAATCTTGAAGAGGCCAAGACATCTGCAAATGATCTGCTTTCTCTCTCTCTTTCTTTCTCTTCTCAAATAAAAAAAAACTTGTGAGCGAGTGATGAAGACTAATTGAATCCTCATCCAAAAACATGCTGAGCTCTGAGAAACAAGCTCTGCTAACAGCCCTCCTGGACATGCTCTGAATGCTGGGAAGCGTCACACTGATTTCTTTGACATGAAACTGCTTTGGTCGGCATTTCTTTTTAATTATTGATACTTTTACAGGAAGGTAAAGAAGCGTTCATGAAATCTGAAGTGCCAAGTGTTCGAAACTGTCTTAAGACGAGGTTTACCATCAGGAGGACACTGGTGGAACTAACAGCAGTAAGAAAGCACACATACTGACCAATGTAGTATATATAAAGTTATCATTGTCATATTTTTCCATATCTCTGAGCCTTCAGGAACAGTTCAAAGTCCGAAGAGAACATTTCATGATTGGAAAACGTTCCACTAACCTGTCAGAGACGGCCTGTCTTAGTTTCTGGAGGCCTTCAAAAAGCATGTGGTGCAGGTCTGTCGAGCATCCCAGAGACTCACACCGACGAACACATCTTCATTCTCTCCTCGTCTCTCTGTCCGCGCAGGCTGAGGGGATGAAAAGCAAAGAAGTGCGGCATGTTGATGAATCAGCAGAAGAGAAGCAGCGAGACTACAACCACTGTGGAGAGTTGGAAAAAAAAAAAAACTTGAAGTGTGACAAGTGTGTTTATAGAAGTCAGGGAGAAAGAGGAAAATCTGAGTCATGACGGCGAAAAAAATCTGCTCAAAGGAGGAAGGTTGAGAGTAAGGGGATTTTCCATGTCAATAAGAAGGAAGACTGAACCCAAGAGGAGCAGCAATTACACTCAAAACTGTCCCCAGAGTAAAAATGTAAATTTTTATTCATATATCTGTTTAAGAAATCGCCACAATGTTCAACAAGTTTTACATTTTTGTGATTAATTTCCAATCAAATATGGTTGCAAGAGATTTATAAAGTGTGTTACATGAGTTAATGAAGAGAAATGAGAATTAAACTAACAGATTTTGGACTGAATTGTCCAAAAAGACAGAGAAAGTGAGCAGCACACTGCCACCATCTGGAAAGAAGTACAGAGTCCATCTGCAGTTCATTAAAGTGATGTTAGTGATTAATATGAGTGGTAACAAAATATTTGAGTTTGGGTAGAAGAGCATGAGAAAAGTGCCAGAGGTGAGCCGACCAGACAGTCATTATCTCTGTCTGGATACTCGCTATCCTGCTGCCATGAGAATGTTATGATTGTGACTTTCAATTACATTTGGCGCTGTCTTACTGTTTGACTCACCAACACTGACAGAGGGTGAAATAATAACAGCAACATATGGTGCTGGAACAGCGAACCCGCAACTTTTACAAACTTAATTTATTCAGGTTCCAGGTTTCAGCCTCTCTCCTGCTTTTCAGGCCAACTTTTCAAGGTGTCCTTTCCTCGCTGAATTTCATAAATATCTCTGCTGCAACAAAGCATGGGACCGATTGCGAGTGGTGCCTCCAGAGATCATATTTCCAAGTCATACAGTTCATGAATTATTCACAGGGCAGAAACAGTTGACAAACTGAAGCCAGGGACAATGTCATTACAGGGGCTGTGCGATACAATTAAGTATGTATTATGAATCTTTTGACCTACGGGACTGAAAATTGTTTAAACAACCACTAATGTCTAACCTACAGTTCACAATGTAAGTGTGCAACTGGCCTTAAATTAAGATAACACAGCACAAAACCCCTGATGTTAAATAATCTACCAAACCAACAGTGTGTTAACTAGGGGTGGGAGAAAAAATCGATACAGCATAGTATCGCGATATTTTGTCTGGTGATATATCGTATCGTCTCATTTACCAAGTATCGATTTTTCAAATCAATTGCTAATATGAAGCCAAATCTATGATAATGTCCAGTGAGGTTGGCAGAGGTGACATCATATAGCAAATATATATATAAGGTTTGCAGAAGGGCTGGGCGATATGGCCTCAAATCAATATCATAATATATTGAGCAGTTCACCTCGATAATGATAAATGACATTAACTTCGTCTACTTCAGCCGCTCTCTTCCCCTCTTTGTTGACTGGATGGGGCGGAGTCACATCTCTGACATAGCACAGCGTCTTAAACGGACATGAGACCATAGCCTTCCTACACACATCAAAAACCAACTTTCATTGATTTACTTTTTGGACACCAAATATACCGATATGAGCAAAATGACGTCGGTTATTGTCATCAATTTCAGTATTGGTAAATTTTCAGTTTATCGTCCAGCCCTAGTTTGCAAGATGTGCTACATGAAAATAAAATACAGCGTAAATACGACAAACATAAAGGACAGACAAATGCTAAATTGGCTAAACAGTTAAAAAAGTTTTATAAATCGCAATATTAGGGATGTAATGATTACCGGTAAAATGAGAAACCGCTGTAAAATGTCTGAGGGTTAGTACTACAGATTCAAATTTTAATTATTTTATTTATTTGTTATAATGTTAATGTTTAAGCCACTGGCACATTACTTTGTACTTTATTACTTGTACTAGTGTTGATTACCTCCGGCTCTTCTAAGGCCCCTTCTTCAATTTTTTTAGCTTATCGTTCCTTTGTTATCTAAGGTTAAGGAAAAGTTAATTCTGCATGTTACTTTGATTGTTTTTTCAAAATAAAACTTTGTTAAATGATTTCAGGGCGTGTATAAGTACGTTTTAATATTGATAACTGTGATCATTTTGGTCACAATAATCGTGATGTGAAATTTTCATATCGTTACATCCCTACGCAATATATTGTATGGCAATACTCACTCTATTGCAAAATGTAAAAAAATCGCAATAATATCGTATCTTGGCCCGTGTATCGTGATAATATTGTATTGTGAGTCCCACCCGTAATATTAACCTGAAGTATGAATGTCTGAACTGTAAAGAAAGTTGACGGTGAGAGTGGAAGAACGGCTAAATGCTCACTGTGTCCTGTTTTATTAGCAGGATCAGGGATGTTTGCTAAAACTAACGAAACTAACCGCAGACGGTGTTTCAGTTACAGAGCGGGCTTAACGTACAGCTGAGCAAACCTTCATCTCCTCCATCTGTGCTTCACATCCTCTAAGAGAGCGTCTAAGACAGATGGAGGAGCTCCCCACACCAAGTGTACCTCAAACCAGATGGTTTTAATGCAGCTTCTTTAGTGTTTCACTGCAACAGAGTGTGCAGTTTGAGCTCAGAGTAATACTGTAATGGCTGTTTGATTTAAGAACAGACAGTCGAGACCCAGATTATGAACAAGTGTTGACATAAGAGGGCCACTCCTCTCACCTGTTATTACACTGAAGGGGGATAATCCTCATTAAAGGAGGACCAAACAGAAGGGGGACAGACAGAGAGATTCACTGAATGGAAAGAGAGTCAAGTATAGCTTTGTAAAGACCATGTCATTGCAGTGTTTGTCTGCTAAGGCCGCTCATACTACATAACCCTTAACCATGTTCACGGGAAAAACTTCATAAATTAAAAACTCCACATGTTCCCTTACTAAGATTTTTTTGCTTTCATGATGACTCTTTTTTACACAAAACAACGGCAACGAACAGGAGGCAGTCTGTACCATCACTGAGCAGGTAGGGTCCAATCGAAACCCTGACCTCATTTTCAAAAAACGGCAAAACACCCAAACTAATCCTGAAATGAAAAAAAAAAAGTCTCTTGACATTGACTGCAGAAACTACAAAACTAACCCGAGACCCAAACAATCTGTCAGGCAGCCGAATCCTGCCCTGTCACAGATGATAAGGCGCTCATAAAAACAAAGTCTGAAAAATAGTGGCTGTTCGAGAAAGGTCATCTGACTGCCTCAAGGGAGCCACACAGGAGAATGTGCAAGGGTAAGACTGACAGACGAGCTACGGCAGAGCTGAAACTTTTTAATTCATTCATATTTGTATTTTTTTTACATACCGTTGAAGCTTTTAATTTGAGCCGACCTACTCTCTTTTTTTCTCTGTGTGAAAACCAGAAATGAAAAATGTCTCACAACTAAGATAAACATGATCCAAAAAGCCATATCCAAAAGACAGATACCATTAGTGCTGTATCCACTGTATTACTGTAAATATTTATGCATCCATGTGGGTGAAGTCAGAGAAAATTATCCAAAGAGGCTATAAACAGATGACAACTTGGACAAAACAAAAACATTCACAAGTTTGGACCGGACCAGTTTGGCTGCTCATATCCTCCAGAGAATCATAATCCTCTGAATCTTTCACAATAATTCTTCCAACAGCTATTTGTCATCATTTTAAGTTGGCTTTGATTACCGAGTAGAACAAATGATCCATGTCTAATAACAGACTTGACAAGATAAGTGATTTTACAGCTTCCATGTGCAGGGCTCAGGAGGTTACATTAAGTAGGATACATTGCAGGACAGACATTAAGATACCTGTTTGGACAGGCGGAGTAACAGAGACAAAGAAATGAAGATAAATGAGGATCAGTCTGCGATAGGCTTTTAGGTCCTTGGATACACACAAACACGCACACAGAAGGAGCCAGTGTGGACTATTAAGGAACAGGGTGGCGACCCACTTCCTCCCTATCAAAACACTACCACCTCACAGCACTCAGGTTTATTATTCTAATGTTGAGCCGTGTGCCAAAAGTTTTAAATGAGTTTCAAAACTATAAGAGAAGCTGGAGCAAACAGTCTTTGAAAGAAAGTCATTCAGAAAAATAGAGAAATGTCGCACCTTAAACAGTCTGTGGAGAAGTGTCGCCAAGTTTATTGAAGACAAAAATACAGCAAGAGAGTGAAACCGCGGGGAAAACTAGTGTGACAATGGCTCCAATGGAAAGAATCACAATCCGTCTAAACAGCATAAACTCTTTTTTTTCTCCTCATTTAAGCTCATCCAGGCCAAACCTCAAACATCCACCCACATTTAAAAAAAACAACTGAGATAAACTCCATCTATTTTCACTGCACTGAGCTGTGAGGATGAGGAAGAAAACAAAAGATTGCAAGTGTGCAGATGTCTGGAACTTTAAAGTATCTGTATGGTCAAACCTGGTCGTTCTCGGTGAACCCAAAATGCTCTCACTCTGCCAAATTCACTTGTTTCATTAATGGAGACAAAACTTTGCTGCTTAGTCCCTCCGCCATCATTAAGCTAATGAAGCGTAGCCTCCCTGTCTTTCTGAGAGCTCAGCGCATCAAGCTGCTGCACCACAGGTGTCACTTTGTTTATTGTTCTGTACAGATTGGGGGAAAACATAATGAGAGTGACAGCAGAAGCACTCAGTGCAGTGGTGCCTTCATTATTAAGTAAGTGTGACAATTTTAAAGCACGGTTAATAGAGAAATCTGATAATTGCTGCATCCCTCCCTGCAGTTGATTCAATCATAGGCTGCCATTGTTGCTTACACTAAGATTAAAAGTGGCAGCTGTATCCTGGGTTGCAAAGTGTCCCTGTGTGGCATCCATTCAGCTTTTTGAACCTCTATGCAAGAACAGTGTAAGTGAAGCTAGGGCTGAGCGATATGGCCTCAAATCAATATCATAATATATTGAACAGTTCACCTTGATAACGATAAATTAACGATAACTACTCCACAAGCTGCTAACCCCCTCCCACATTAACTTTGTCTACTTCAGACGCTCTCTTTCCCTCTTTGTTACAGACTGGATGGGGTGGAGTCACATCTCTGACATAGGACAGCGTCTTAAAGGGACATGAGACCATAGCCTACCTACACACATCCAAAAACAACTTTTATTTATTTATTTATTTTTGACACTAAATATATATTGACATGGGCAAAATTAAGTCGGTTATTGTCGTAAATTTCGGTATCTGTAAATTTTTGGTTTATCGCCCAGGCCTAAGTGAAGCCATATAAAAAAGTTTTAAAAGTTTCGGAGGTGCAACTGTGAGAATATAGCGGATCTGATGAAAAGTTCATTCATACATAATTTAGTGTGGGGCTGTAGAGTTTTAGTGTAAGAGGCTGTAAATTTCGACCACAGTGCAGTAAAACGAGGCATATTAAAGAGAACTATATTTAATGGTTAAAAGACCACATGTCCCCATGTGAACTGGATCTTCTCCTTAAGAATTTTTTTTTTAGTCTTATTATATGGAGGCCTGAACAGCAGGAGCTGGAAAAGATGTGTTAGCTAAGTTTATCTTCTGACATAGAAGGACAGATCAAGCCGTAAAAGTCAACAACAGGCGGAGTTGACTGTTCTGTCCCGCTCTAATGGACGGGCTGCACATTGTTTGAAAAACTCAACACCTCACCCTCTCTGAGTGCTCAGGCAGGGCCACGCTAATTACTTCAGATCCATTTCCCCTCTGCCTGCATAAGTCCTTATGCAACTGTGTGACGCAGCCTCTGCCCAACCGTGCATCCCACCACCCACGCAGCTTCTGATCTGCACCCTCATCCATCCCCGCCACCTCTTCACCTCGACGCCTCCCACCGCCACGCCGTCAGCCTCTGTAAACCTTCATATCGATGTTGCGGTTGTCTTCTTTACGGATACATGTGTTTAACAGAGAGGATGTTTGTGAGCCATCCATCTCGTGGTTTTACTCAGCAGGAGATAATCAGGCCACAAATCACACAGAGAACGAGGAGAAATGTATTTAAAAATATCCAAACAAGCAACCTCAGGGACGGTTCGGCCCACTTACAAATATTACCTCTGGGTGCAGGAGAACTTAACTAAGAGGGAAAAGGGAAAAGAGAGGAATCACAACAGCTAGATTAATTCAAGACAGGACTGCTCCTGGAGATCCTCCATGACAAACAGCATTCAAGCTGAATTCCTGGATCAAACAACAGGGACAGAGACTGTAACATTACCCTGAGTCATAAGTTTTGAATTAAAGGAAACAACCGTGTCTGATGTTTGACCAGTTTTGAAAATCTGTCAAACCCCCAAAAAACAAAGCAGTAACATGACCTTGTTGGACGTGAGGGAAAGTGGAGAAAAACTGAGGAAGACACTGTTACAGAGAAGAGTTAAATGACCTAGGCCGTGACTGTGTTGATTCAAATTTTGGTGAAATGTCCTGCCAACCCTCCAATCAGTTCATGTGCAAACAAAAGATTTAGGAGATGTGGGAAAACAGCCTCATGGATAGAAGTGACTCCAGACCAGAAACAAGATGTCAAGCAATCAGAGTGTGCTGTAAACATGCTCACAGCTAAGCAGCATTATCCAAAGCACTTTAATTCAGTGGTGATGCCTGAATATTTTCAGTCATAACCTCAATTTGCACTGAAAAATTGACCTTATTACAGTGTTGAGAGGAACAAGTTGAAAAATTTGTCAAAACTATAGGGCCAGGCGATATGGCCTCAAATCAATATCACAATATATTGAGCAGTTACAACTTTTGAACCGTTCTCCATCTCCTCACCTGTCTTTCCCCCTTTGCTACAGACTAGATGGTGTGGAGTCACGTCTCCAACGTAGGAACGCATGCTAAAGGGTCATGACACCATAGCCTACCTACACACATCCAAAACCAACTTTTATTTATTTCATTCTTTTAACACTGAATATATTGACACGGGCAAAATGATGTTGGTTATTGTCGTAAATTTCGGTATCTGTAAATTTTCGGTTTATCACCCAGCCCTATGAGACAGTCCAGCTTTTTTAGTCCCAACACACAAGGCTGCAAGTCAACTTCTTGACCCTAATTATGCAAAAACTCCAAAATAGATGATTTAGTTATATGTTCAACATGCAATTCATGCGACTAAAGAAGTGAGCTATTTTGACTCAAACTGTTTTTATAACCGGGCTGAAAACATGTAAATTTTCCTCTAAACCTGTGCATTGTTGACAGAGGTCACGGCTCAGAATAAGCATATTAGTTATATAACTTCAATTATATACAGAGGAACTTGGAAACATGATGGAAATAATATTGTAACCTACTTTTTATTGGATAGAGTTAATCTTCTTTATGTGCTGAAAAACAGTACAATCTGGCAGCTCGTGTTTCATATCTTTCATAACTTATTCACGTATGGTTGGTACTGTAAATTAATGTCAAATTTGTTTTTGTTAAAAAAGCATAAGGGGACATGTCTGTCTTTTTCCATCTGTTATACAACAAGCCTTTTCCAAACTGCTGAACTGTTGATCTGTTTCCTGAGTGTTTTCTGTGTTCCCAACCACAGTCTGTGATTGTGGCTGTTGGCTAAACCACAGTCAGAAGGTGTGAGATGGGCCGCAGCAGGCAGTTGACACAGCTGAGGAGTGAGTGAGGAGAGAAATCGTGTGAGATCAACCAGGGAATGACAGAAATGTTAAAAAATAAACAAAATGAGGAGGAGACGAGACGGAGACGGGAGAGGCTCCAGGCCGTCACTGTACATCAGCACATATGGGCCTCTCAGGAGCAGCTGTGAATGTCATGCTCACACTTAAACACGACCGCATCACAGCTGCTCATGGGAAAAGGGCATGTTGTTTTTCGAGCGTTTTTTCACTCCTCTCTCGAGCACGTAATCACCCTCAAGTGGCAGCAGGATGATGCAACACATACCATCTCCATGCAATGTCAAATGTTCTCTCCATACGAATAACTTAAAGCTTCAACATGGCAGTCAGTCCAAACGTGACAGAATGTGCCCGTGTGTTACATTAGCCATGAAGTCTGAGCCAACTTAATCCAATCAATTACACTGTGGTTCTTTTTTATTGAGCAGAGGATATATTTGATCAGTGTGAAGGCTGTTTGGATTAATTAGTACTTTGAGCTTTGTGGTAACATCTGCATACCAACCTGCTCACAATAATGGCATTAGCATGTGCAGAATGTTCTAGTTTTTACTCATATTCCCATAAAAGCACAATCACTACAAGGCCTATCACAGGGGCTGATACACATATAAGGGTGTCCTGGTACAACTTTTTTACTTCCGATTCAATACTGATATTGTAGCCTTCAGTATCGGCCATAGTGCTGGACGATAATTCGATAACAATATATATCGATCGATAGACGTGTGGTGCGATAGGAAAAAAACGGGTCGATAAAAAGTTCGATAGAAAAGCACAGTTTCCCTTTCTTTTTCATCATAGCCTATCATGTAGCTTTTACTACAGTCATTACTTCCTCCCAACCAATCACAAACGCAGACCCAGGTACGCTACGGCACCAAGCCCAACCCCTATCAAACCACAACAGACAGCACGTGTATTAGAAAAAATGATACAGCAAGGAGAAGCGGAGGACATTGTCCCGAAAAAAGGTTTCAGTAGTTCTCCAGCATGGCAATGTTTTGGTTTTTAGAAGTCTGACAAGAAGCGAACAGCGGTCGTTTGCAAAATTTGCAGAGAATTAGTAAAAACCAAGTCTGGTAACACAACCAACTTGTTTTACCATCTAAACCGATCGCACCCGCAGGAGTACGAGCTGTGTCGGTCGCGCCGCGGCTCCACGTCGTCGGAGGAGGAATCCTCTGGAGCCGCTGCCAGCACCAGCCCAAAGCAAGTGAAGCAGACCAAACCGGACTTCGTTTCTTGCCAAAATGCGACAGAGCGTCCGAGCGGCATAAGGACATCACCCATGCAGTAACATGCTCCATAGCGAGGGACATACTGCCAATAACTACCGTTGAAAAGCCTGGCTTCGACCAGCTTCTAGCCACTCTCGACCCGCGATATGAAGTGCCCGGCCGCAAGTATGTCTCAAACACAGCGCTTCAGGCATGAAAATGGGTCAGGGGTTGAAAAGGTGAGAAGGGTGCGGAGGAATTACGTTCCGGTGTTGTGCTGTAGAATGCATCCCTGCATCCCGTCCACTCATTAGCTTCTTAAAGTGGAAGAAAATGAGCTCATATTTTACAAAGACGCGAGTATTTGGATCATGGCTGCTAGCAGGGGGTGCATTCGGCAGGGGTGCATTCTACGACACAACACCGGCGTGGATAAGTCCTGCTTCTCGTGCTTAGTTTGTGTATTAAGTCAATCACATGATAATCTAAAAAAATAAATCTCCCGACCCCGGGAGAAATATTTCAGTGTTCAGACACCAGGCTGTGGGCAGTTTCCCACACAGTTAAAACTGGTAGTATGCTATTCCCACCTAAAACTATTCTGTTTATTTATATATTTGTTTGTTTTGTTTATTTTCATCAAAAGACTATTTAAATATTTATTTATCAGATTTTCTGGTCACTTTAGTCTTTATGTTTGTCAGTATTTACTGACGTCACTCAGGCCACTTAAGTTGATTTCTTTTTTTTTAGTTCTTTTTTAAAAAACTTTCAGTTGTAAAATAAAAAAGGTGGTTGAATAAAGGTTTGAATTGGAATTCAGTGCTTGTGTGTTCTTTATTAAAAGTAGGTCATTAAGCAATAGCATAAAACATCCAGGGCTGCAATTAAAATATATGTTAAATAATTATAATAATTATATCGATAATTATCGATATCGATCAATATGATTTATTTTTTATCGATATGCTTTTTTTCTATATCGTCCAGGCCTAATCGGCCAATACCGATATTGACTCAATATTGGTGCAAACTTGTGCATGACAAGCTGCTAGATAGAGGTGCCGGAGTGGAGTCTGGAATGGACTGCTTGTATCAGAGTGCTGGTATCGGAGATTTGAGATGCAGGGCTAATATAATCCAATATTTGTTTTTTGGCTGATATCGGACCGATATATGATATCAACATCGTATCAGGACAGCCCTGTACACAAATACACAAGAAATGGAAACACTGATGTGGACATACAAACTAACTAACCCTAATTTCTACCGCATCCAGGAATGGCTACGAAAAGGACATATCCGCCGATCGCAGCTAACTGTAACCATTCAAGTTAATGTGTCAATTTCCACTGGCTTCTTTCCGTTCCACTGCGGATCGCTGGACTATGCAGCTGATCGCAAGAGTTCTATTTTTTTACGGTCACCGGAAAAATTTAGCACAGATCAACCTGTGCTGGAAAGGAAGTCAAAGTTTCAAAATAAAACACTCTGTGTTTCAGGCAGATCGCATTTCACATTATGCAAACAGGCGGGGACAAACAAGCGAAAGGTTTTAAGACACCCCGATGACACAATGGATAAGGAGATGCTGATTTTATAAGTCTAGAGGTGGATTTCCTCCTTTGGAAGGACACAATCTACTGCTTATATAGTTATGTGGCCGTCTTCATAGAGACAACTCATTCTTGCATGATGGTTCTTGTGATTGTGAGTTCTTGCGATTCCTGCTGTTTGTAATCTGCCACGAAATTCGCCTCACAAACGGATTCAGAAAGCAAAAAACGCTGCCGTTCCCGATGCAGTGGAAAGCCAGAGTAATGCTGTGAGAGTGATCTAACTACTCCTGAGTCCAAATTAAAGATACACCAGATAAGAGGAGTTCATTCCAGCCTCTAAGTGACGGTGATGACAGTGACTTTGCTGTGATGCTGCTCTTTCAAAACTGTAAATCCAATCAGTGGTGCAGCTGTTCTCTGGGACTCATTCCCAAAGCAGCTGCAGGAAAAGATTCTGCGGCGCGGGTCAATTCTCAATAAAAGACAGAGGGCACACATGTGGTGAAGACTTACAGTTTCAAAATGAATACGAGGATAATAAGCAACATTACTGAGATAATGGAGATATCCAATCTCTATTCCACTACATTGCAAATTGAATCTAGAGGGAGGAGAGGACCTTCATTGTCTTCTCAGTATTCATATGATGAACTCTGTACTGTTTGCGGAATAAAAAATGTTGGTCATGTCATTTTTACTTTCAGCCATGCTCAGTCATAAAATAGGCATACATTTTCTGGATGTAGTTAGTGATCACAACATGTAGAAGCAAAGTTCAGCCCAGAAGGCTGAAGGGTGAAGGGATAACACTGTTCTGTGTAATCCTCCTGACACAGACAGGTTTTACTGACAATATTTAGTGCAGTCGTATTTTCTCTTCATGTCTCTGTGGCTCAAGATCTACAGAGATGAAGACATAAACACATAATTTTCTGCTTCTTCTATACTAGCTTTACATTTCTGTTTAACTCTCCACTTTGCAATATTGGACGGCCAATCAAGATGTCGTCCTTATTTAAGGAAAAAAATATCCATACAGCAGGGGAATACACCATCAGTGTCTCTGTTTAACTCCAAATGTATCCGGTATGTATTTGTTTCAGAGCTGGGATGGGAAAGATTTTGACATAAACTATTGTACTGGAAAAGAAGTTTAAAAAAATTCAATTTTTTCCAAAGTTGAACAACTTTCCAGTGAGCTCTCTCTAAAAGGAAAAACTATCTGGAAAAAGTGTTGGAAGATCACATAACTGAGGGCTGGCACCAGTTTTGGTATATGGACTTGTGTTGTACCATGATGGTCCTTTAGCCAAAATAAGACATTTGGTCTAAGCGCACAGAAAAGAGGTGACAGAATACAGTGGAAGGTAAAGCATGTCTGAAACAAAGCAAAAATCACATGAGGCTTTAGCCTGAGGACCTAAGAGGGAGGCCTGTGTGTGTGCGTGTGCATGTGTCATACACCTACTGCGAAATCCTCTTAATACGTTCAATCCTCAATAGTCTTCAAACATTTATAATCACAGACGTCACCTGCTTAGGTCAGGACACACAGTCAGGCGAGACCACAACACAAAGAAACACAAAGGGTCGAACGAACCAGTTCCCAGACTCAGGATTTAAAAAAGTCTCTGAAACTCCAAACCGCTGCTCTCAAACAGCTGTGCAGGAAGCTTCAATCTGGCCTGTTTGCTGTCTGACTACTTAATTCAGCTTAAATTTCTATTTAGTATTTGAATAGATGTCTGGATAGATCTTGCATGTACACAGACCAACAGCACTATTCTTCAGTTAATGAACAATGCTTTTATGCCATTTGTTCCTATAATCACAGGCCTCAGATATATAACAAAGAGAGGATATTTGATACCCCTCTGTATTATGCTGTTTCATCTGTATTCATGTGAGTAACTGTGGCAGAGCACCAAGAAAAGAATCAAACACTGAAGAAAAGGAGGAACATTTTCAGCAATGCTGGTTCCAATTAAACAGTTTTCAAATCAGCTTTGGGAAAGTTTCATGAAGACGAAGAGGCACTGAACACATTTGTTAAGGTCTTAAGAGTACAGAGAGAGAGAGAGTGTCTTGGTGGGAAACACAGAATGGAAACATAACCGTGTTTGTTTATGAGAGAAGTCCTCAGGGCAGATTTTAATGTTTGTTTTGAGGCCTGAAGGACTGTGTTACAGCTTAGACAAACAGACTTCAGAAACCATTATAAAGTGAAATGAAATAGTTTATAATTCAAGAATTTTTTGGATCAGAAGTGGGTCAACTGCATTTTTTAGTCAAGTTTATGAAGTCACATGTCACCTTACTGACTTGCCTTTCCCGGATTCAACTGACAGCTTTGCTTTCTTCTAAATTATATCAACATGAATTTGGCCGCAGAAATCATGAGCTGAAACTCTGATACTGTGACAGACAGTCCTGATTTGCATGTAAATTGAAAAGTAATGAGTTATGTTTGAGTCACAGGTTTGCATTAACAAGGTGAGACCAACATTTGACTCACGGGTTGAGTTCAAAGCGTTCAGAAAACCTCATTTCAATTACTCAGTTGAATTCCCCTATTATACTAAAACCAATGTGCTGCTAACACAGATTGAAAGAAAGGAGAAAATCTCCTTATAATGCGCCCTGAATACGGAGTAATGGGAGCTCACCTGCTCACTGTTTAGTCAACAAACTGCATGTGTTGTGGATTCAGCTTAGACAGTTTAAACAGTGTGTTGTGGAACTACAGCGGATCCCTAACAACCCGCAGTTTGCCAACTAGACCATGTAATCCCCAAATAGAGACAAATCAACTTACAGCAAGTCTTCCTTGAGCAGACTAGGATTTACAGTAACTCCAGGATCTCATAAAGAAAAGTCTTTCATAAATGAGGTTCTCGCTTTTTTGTCTGCTCCTAACCAAACAGACATGAAAGCCCGAAGCTTACTGCGTCACATTTTATTGTTTGAAAAGCCACTTACAGAGTCACAGAGTCATTCATTTGAGCTGGTTTTAAATCCTGTGGTGTGGGAAAGAGTACAAAATCACTAATTACAGTAAGAAACCAAAACTGAGGAGCAAACTCAACACAACCAGACACTAAACAAACAGAGAAACCTGCAAAGCACTACAACAGCTTTCCGTTAGAGGGGATGGACCCTCAGGAGAAGGGAAAACACAATACAGCCTTGAGTCCTCATGCTGCCTGACAGCAAAAACACCTTCCCCCCCGTGTTCCCTATTGTTGCTTTGTCATCTTAAGTTTCTCCCTCTATTAGTTCTTCTAGGATACGGTTTGTGTAACCAAACACAAAGAATGGAGGGACTTGACCTTCAGTATAAACAGCTCAGGGCAATATTCAAAGCAGCAGGGCAGAGAGGTATGGCTTACACAAAAAACATTATCGATTATATAACACAGCGTATTAAACTAATGATTAAGCACGCCTGTATTCCTGTTTATATCATTCAAGGTGTGTTAATACAAAGGAATCATTAAAGAGACATGACTGTGTACTTTTCGAATACAGATGAATGACTGATACTGCTTGTGCAACTTCAGGTACACCTCAGAAATACTACAGTAGTTTCTCCTCAAGAGGCGAGGTCCAGGGTTCGATATATGAGTTTAACACAGAAACTGCAGTTCCACAAGTGGCCATTTGCAGTTGTTTCAGTTACTATAGTAATGCATTATTTGCAGGTATTGGGTCTAAACTTACCATACTAGGCTTACTGGCTTAGCTTGTTATTAATCTAATTATCAGACTAATGAATTACCCCTGGGTGAGGACTACAAAAGGTCTTATGTAATGAAACATGTATTTTCTCTTGCCTATACATAGACTTTGCTTTTGTGTTGCAACGTCAAAGGTTACACTCAAATGTCAATATTATTGCTGCGTTCCAGTTACCTCTTAAGTCATATGTCGGAGCTGGAAATAAAGCCACAACCGTGTTACCAGCGCTCCAGTAAACAAGTCGGAAAACCAAGATGGGACCCTTACTGTTAGCCTGTAGTCAGCTGTTGTTAACCGTTGTCAGTTGTTGTTAGCTATACTAGTTGTAAACAACACATAACAGTATTTTACTCTTACAAAGCACTGTGTGTTCACAGCTAGCTGTTGGGCAGTACAACATATGCCTTTTTTTTTTTTAACATTATGACATGGTCGTCAAGTCGGGGTTGGTGAGGATCGTCCGACTTTCTGAGTCAGAAATCCGACTTCAAGGGGGCGTTCCAGATAAATTTCCGATTCAGAGTTTGGAAATCCCGACTTCGGAGTACAACTGGAATGCAGCATAAGTCCTGTATGATTTTGACAATCTCCTAAACCCATCATTTTTCTACACATGCAAACTTCAGCCAAGTGTGTTTCCTTTTAGCTGGAAAAGTTGGCAATGACCAAACTGCCTGACTAGAGGCTCCATCGCAGAAGTCCTCAAACACATAACAGGTGGAATACATCCACTTGTTTTCTTCCACTGCCAATGGCCATTCTAACTGCATGTGCTGCAGCTCAAGGCTGCACATACCTCAAAGACCTGCTCTGCGACAAGTCAGCCCGACTTTGACAACAGTTAAAGTTATCACCACATGAAAAGCTGCTGCCTTGGAAGATCCTTTCATGATAAAGGCTTTACCTCAAGGCCAGAGGGGTATGTACATATTTACCATCATGAATAAGAAGCAATAAAGCAGGAGTGGTCCGGTGATACCATCTCAGGCCTGCCAGCTTAAACAAAACGGGTTCAGAAAGCGAGACGGGAAACACTTTACAATGCTGATGAACAGAGAGGGTCCGACATTTATTTGAAACAATCTTTTTTTCATGATGGTTGGATGAATTTCTTTCAGCTGAGATTCTTTAAGAGCGTCTCTGAGATTTAGAAAAGGTCACTCTACCTACTTTAGATGAGAACTGAGATTTAGCAAAGGGCCAACATCACTCTTGCAAGTCGATGCGAGAAAAAATAATGAATACTTTCATTACATTAGTTCCAAAATGATGGTCATATGTTGTGCCTGAGCTGTAGTGCAGCCATCTGCCACTGTGGCCTCTGCCAGAATGCTATAGCGCTCTATACTCGAGATGAAACCAAACACAGATGACAGATGACATCTCTTAGAATGGTGAGGTTGGGGACTGGACACTACTGCATTTCCAAAAAAAAGAGTCTAACATTTAAATATCATTTTCATACCTTCACTGAGAGGTTTCAAACCGTATTCAGGTCCTCTTGAGAAGAAAAAGTCCTCTCTTCTAAACTATATTGATAAATCTACAGAGAATCCAAAAGGGCACAGATCCAAACAGCTGATTTATCTCTGAATTCAGATGAGATAAATCCTATAAACTCTCACCCATAAACATGCCGGGTTAATCATCCTGCCATGTAAAAGAGAAAGCGTAGACACTTAGTAGTCTCTACACAGACGCTATCACCCTGATGTGCTGACCAAACAGTCCTGAGGATATCTTGCCATGTGCTAATAAAATCACTCGAGAAATTATCAATGCAAATAAATCGAGGCCTCCCACTGTGACAGCTCACGGCTCGTCCTTGACAGGCTTGCTGAGGCGTTTGACCTCTATGTGTGTGTTCAGGCTTGTGACACCTGCAGGGTTTGAAGGTATGGGAATTTAGCGAACAGAGTTGCTCTGTTGTTTAGTTTGTTGGTTTTTGCTGTGAAGTTCCTGCAGGTTTTAATTACAGATGAAGCTGCAAACTAAAATAGACATGGTACTCTTTAGTTTTGTTTTGTAAATAGGCAAACTTTGGATTTTTTTTTTGGTTCACACTATTGTGCTGCCGGGCACACATCCGCCATAAATCCCTCTTAAGAGAAATCCAATTTGAATGCATTACTTAACTTTTTCTCTTGTTGCTTGTGGCAGAAAAGAGGAACTGGATTTTTGCTCTCACACTGCACCTGGTAATGTAATAATAATACCCAGAAAAATGCCTCTGTGTCTGGCCACTGGTGGCTTCAGACAGCATTAGGAGTGGAATGCAATTCATTTTAAGAATTCACATATGTTATTGCTGCACCCAAGGCATGTCATCCATTATACTTGTGAATGTGAACTACTTTCACTAACATACAAGCCAGAAAATAGATCATGGACTGCGTTGTGGTGCCACTTTGAAGTAAATCCCCCACTGTCCTCACAAACAATGGGACAATAGGGGTGTACAGTGAGGCCTTTGTGAGTTACTGCACCAAGAAAATGTTTGAATTAGAGTAAATGCCTGGTAGCAGAGAAAAAAACTCTGCTGCTTTTTCAGTAGTGTGATTTAATCACAATTTGCACAGTATAGATAACATATAGATCTCCTGTTCTGGATTAGTTCACTCAACTACAACCATGGTGGGGCCTGCTGGTTTGACAGTTGTCAAGAAGAATCTCCACAAAGAGGGTAAAGGTCCTTACATACCAGGAGTGGGTTTTTTTCGTGTTGCGCTTGATATAGTCAGGCGCGTCAAAATTCACCTCCAAATATTTCGTAATTCTGCGTCGTATATTTGCATCATTTCTGGTGTGTAAGGAACTTAAAGCCACAGAAGGTCATTGCTGGAAAGGCATATCTGCTAGGAGGTTTTAGAGATGTTCATGCTTTCATCTACCGATGAGCTTTATGATAATGCCAGCCTCCTTTACAAGCAAGACCTAGCACCTGCCCACAACGCCAAAACTACTACCAAGATAGTTTGCTGATCGGCATATTTCTGTGCTTTATCAGCCAGCTGACTCCCCTAACCTGAATTCTCTTGGGAACCTGTTCAATTGATAAGCTGAAGGACGCTATAAAGACTACTTAGGCTTCAATAACACCTCAGTATCACAGACTGATCACTTTTCTGCCATGTCCAATGGATGCAGTGATTGTCGCAGAGCACGTCTATGAACATGTATCAAATCGATGTATTTCTGATGAGTTAAACTTCCCAGTTCTAAGAAACACCAAAACAGGACCTAACTTTATTTAACTGAAAAATAATATCTGAGTCCTAAAACAGTGGGATTTTTCAAAAAGTTGTTGTAAAGTGACTTTAAACTACAAACTTACTGGAAAGCATTATCACCCTCGATTCAAGGGGCACTATCCAGGTCACTGGTTTGAACAAAGATAAGATAACACAAATGGGATTAGTTTAAAGTGGAGGGATGGTGAGTGTATGATAAGGAAATAGTTTATTTATGACCTGAGCTTAAGCTGAGATCTGAGCAGGAAATGAGTGTGGCTGTAGTTTCTGTTAGAGGGGGCACTCTGTTATGTCTGAACCAACTCACTCTGCCATGTCTGATACACACGTTGATAAGAAAAAAGAGAGCTGAGGTTGACTGTTTTAGAGGAGGAAACCAAGCCGTGACTGTTTTTTTTTTTTTCACATGTTTGAGGGACTTTTAAAGGATAAAGCCCGTTTTATTCGCCCCTCAAAATGTGTTCCTATTAACGGAACCAAAAACCCACATAGTTCATTTAGCTTTCACACACCTGTGCAGATGTACGTTGAGTGACAACGTTAAAATTCACACTGTAATTTAAGCAACTGCGCTTGAATGTCATGCATGTAGCTCTAAAGTTAAACTTAAACATTAAACTGAACTTTTCTACATTATTTATTGACAAAATACAGTAAATCCACTAAAAAAACGCTTAACTTACCGTGAAACGTTGGAGTGGTCCGACACGGGGCAGCCGTTGGGTTCTGTAAAGTCTGCTAAAAAATGAATATGACGAGGTTTGTCCGTTTTTAGCCGTCTAACTCTCAAAAATATAACTTTCAAGGGTTAATGTCCACAGAACTACATGTTTTCTGTTCCCTCTTAGCTTCCCGTCCTGCCGTTGAAAGGCTATTTGTTGTTGTGAGGGGAGCTGTACAGAGGTGCTCGTGTTTAGAGTAGGGGAGGTAAGCTAGCTCGAAGTAACGGCTGCATCCGGTTATTCTTTTCAAAATAAGGCACACTCAAACTAACCCAGGTTTTACAATTGTTTTACTAAGTCTAGCAATTAAAAACCCTATTTATATTCTTCACTCATGCAAACTGATACCCGGATAGTAGCCTATTTGGCCTACAATGAAAGGCACTACATTTAAATTCTGCTTTTATGATTGAAGCTTGAGAAGCTGTTGTTAAACTACGGTGGCCGAGAACCACCACTGCTGCAAATAAAAATAAAAAAAATTAAAAATGCATTAATAAAAAAGAAGTTACAACAGAAGTCACCTATAGAAAAAAAAAATAATAATATAAAAGAAACCAAAGCCCGCTACAAATAAAAAAGAAACACTGCAGCTTAAAAAAAAAGCTGCAACGGAAGTTAACGACGCAAAAAAAAAAAAGCTGTGAAAATAAAAAAATTAAGAATTAAAAAATAAAAATGAAATAAATTAAACAAATAAATAAATAAAATTGAATAATAATAATAATAATAATAATAATAATAATAATAATTTAAAAAGCCACAACAGAAGTGATCTGTCGGGGACCAATAATGATGATGCACTAGTGTTTTACGATCTAGGCCCAGAAGACAATGGCAAGAAGACAAGCAAAGAGGTAAGTGGAAAGGTTATTGTTTTATTTTGCTTTGTAAACCTTTCAATAAATCATTTGGTTAGGCCATGTGGCGCCTGAGTCGATTTGAAGTTGAACTGGAGTATGCCGGTGTAGCGCTAACTTCAGTTCAACTTCATATCGACTTAGGCGTCACATGGCCTGACCAAGTGATACATTGAAAAGTTTACCAAGCGAAATTACAATAAAAAAAAAAATAAATAAATAAACAATAACCTTTCCACTTACTTCTTTGTTCGTCTTCTCGCCGTCTTCCTTTGGGCCTAGATCGTACAACACCAGTGCATCATCATTATTGGTCCCCTGCAGCTCACTTCTGTTGTGGCTTTTTTATATTTGCATCCTTTTATTTTCACAATAGTAACTTTCTTTTCCATCGCAGCGGGCTTCGGTTTCCGTTGTGACTTCTTTTCTTTTTTTGCAGTCTTTTTTCATTTGCAGCAGTGGCGATTCTCAACCACCGTATTAAACATCTCATGAAAAGTTTTTAGCCACCCATGTGACAGACTTTACTTTATTCTATCAAAGCTACAGAAGCAGAATAACCCCTCAAAGAGATTTTTATTATTTCCGTTAAGTACTTTTATTCAGAAGTTTTTGATGGTGGTTTTTGTGGCTGCCTTGGTGCCACACAGAGCCCCATCAAAACAGCCTTTTTTCTTTTCCATTCAGAGGAAGAAAGAATTTGGCTGTTTATAAGGAGTAGGTTTCTGAAATTTGCACTCACATTTACAGAACAAAATCAGCAAAGAGATAAAAGTTTTGGTTTGGCAAAATCAGCTCTAATGGAAAAAAAAATCACAAGAGCTTTAAACTAAATTAATCCACAAAAAGCCCAAAAAGTGGTAATTAAACATGCTGCTGTCATTGATGCTGGGATAAATGGGGCAAATAAAGTTTTGAAAAACAGTCTTCATACCTTTGGAAGGAGTTAAGAGCAAGAGTCAACATCCAAGTAAGCTATAAAAACAGAGATTATGCAAGTTTTGCCACTCTTTCTGTGCTAGTCCTCAATTTATAGTTGGTGTGTGCATTCAAAACTGGTGCTTTTAATTTGTAGGAGAAGTTATTTGCTTCCTGTCAGTGAAGCAATCCTGGGACAACACTCCCACTCCCCCAAAGCACACACTTGCTCTCATGAAATGCATACAGAAGAAAGACACTGTGGAGTCTGATAAAAACTATACACTAAAGACATCTGACATCTTTTATTCATGTCCTTGTTAGATACTTTTGGCTGTACTGTGTTTCAACAGTCTAGAGGCTGACTGTACAAAGGTTTGTTATGAATATAAAGTAGCCTAGATTCAGCCTGTTCCAGCACAACCGGTTCTCTGGCTCTGTGCGCTAAATATGTAGAACGAGGTCATACCTGACTAACCTCAACCCTCTCAGTGAGTCTTTCAGCTCTACAGGAACAAAACAAGGCTACACATTTTTTCTGCTATGCTTTAATGAAAAAAGGCTATACACTTTTACAAACTACAGTAAAAGAAACCATGTGTCAGATAATGTATGAGATGTATTTTGATGGTAACATCTGGTGACAGAAGTAGGGACTTCTATTCTGCAACCAGCCAGGAGGTGGAGCTCTAAATGCTTTGACTTCACTTTGTGGAAGCCATAATGTCCGTTGATCATCTTTGGCAATTAAATGGTACAGATTTGGAGGATGGGGTCAAAGGTATTCTGTCACCCATCCTTCCTCACTGCATCATGAAATTTCTTCTTTTCAGATCCGCATCACAAACCGGTAAAATTGCTGTTTGTATTTGCATTTTCTGTTTTTACTTTTATTCTCTGTTATTAAATTGATTGTATTGACCTCCTTAAGTTGATTTCTCAAAACTCAGCTTCAGAGTACATCATGTAAACATGACAGCAGCACACTCATTCAGACAAGTTGTCTCTAAATTAAACTGAAGCCTTGTCCCGGAGTGGAGAGGGATATTTCTTGACCATTCATATAAATAACCAGTGCTTTTCAGTGCCAAGTCCTCACGCCCCCAATACCCAATTTAGATGAGAACCGAGATTTAGCAGAGGTCCAACAGCCAGGCCCCTCCCTGGTGGCTGGGCCCAATTCTGGGCTTGACTCCCAGTCCACAGGTCCCACCTCGCCCTTACACGTTCAGTCACAAATGACGATAGTCTGATGGTTGTTCCAAGTGAATTTAGAGAGGAACTAAAATACTAATGGGGAACAAAGTGTTCTAACCAAGGTGAGACTTGAACCCATGGCTGTCGGGGCAAGGTACAAATATCAAGACTTGGTGAGGGCTGTACTTTTGATTCAGGTTTCTCTTGTTACCTTACGTGTTCAGCCACAAATGAAGACAGCTGATTCTTATTTGAGTGAATTTTGATGGCCAATAAAATATCAATGGATGTTTGTTCTGGCCAAGGTGAGGCTTGAACCCATGGTGGAGCAAGGAGCAAGCTTTTATTGTGAAAACTTGCCGATTTACCAGATGAGATAGTAGACTGTGCTTTTGTCTGGAGGAGGCTTATTCCTGCAGGAAAAAAAGGAGCAGCAAGAGCCTAGAATAACATTTTCAGACTAGGATGGGAAAAACAAAGCCTGGCAAAAGTGAGACTCGAACCCAGGCCTGGTGCTTCAAGTTTAAAGTATAGTATGCCCTTTACCATCTGAACTAATACTAAGTATTTTTGGGATGCCTTGCAGTTCAGGCAAGAAGGCATTAGCAGTTGATGAACTCATGTTGACATTTGAGCATGGTTATATCTGGAACAAAAAACTTCCTCCTGACCAGCAGTAGGGTGTAGAGGTTAGGGGTGTTGCCTTTCCGTCTGGAGAGTGTTGGTTCAAATCAGGTGACTGGCCAGAGCTGTCATTTGTGGAAAGTGGAATGATCTCTGTGACTGTGTGGGCTGTCCACCAAACAGAAAGATGAAAAGAAAGACAGGGGAATTGCAAACTACAGTGCATGCATTTCCTGAGTTTTGCTTAATTTCCAAAGATTTCAATTGTGATAATGAAGTTGGATTTACCCAAGTAAGTGGTTTGGTAAATCTCATGGGACTCCAGTGCTAAGGCCTTGAGGGTTCAGAGGGAAAATTGTCTCACACTTATCTGACCACTAGAGAATTCGAGAAGAGCTGTTGTGGTAATTGATAATAGCGTGTGGGATGAAAGCAGCATGTCTGTTGATAACAACTCCCTAAATCAAACCTCTCAGTCTGCTCTCAGTACTCCAACGCTGGGGACATTGTGTTCCCGTATGCTCTCTACTTCTGGCTTGTGCATGCCTAAGATGCCTATCGCTGCCCAGAGCATTCAGCCGATCTGCAATTATGTTGTGTTGGCTGATAATGACCTTCCCTCTGTGTCTACTGTGAGCTCATTTTATTCATAAACATGCTGGATGGAGATAATTGGAGGAAAGTAATTGGTCAATGACGCTGCAAGTCATTTCACACAGAAATAACCCCAAGAACTCTGCTATCTGAGAGTCCATTTCCCGCATGCAAAACTGCACTACTTTCCATTACACTGCATTAGTTGAGTGCATAAGAAGCCAGGAAAATGTATTTTCAGGGTTGTCCCAGGTGCAGTATTATGCCTCATGCACTATTTGATATTCCCATTGGTGCACTTTGCATTTGATTTACATGATGTACAGAATTTTCTGCAGAGCACATCATCCAAGCCTCCTTTGCTAGCATATTGAGCTTTATTCAACATAATGTTTGCTTTTGTTTTGGGGCCTGCAATCAGAAAAACAAAAAAGACTGAAAATTAGTGTACAAGCAAACCAGAAGCCGACTGGAGGCAACAATCTGTAAAGAGGAAAAGGGTTTAACCACAGCAAATTGCATGGCTGATAAGTAGGGGAAACAAAAAGAATGACCTGCTGACATGTGAACCCGGGCACACCATAGAAGAAGAGAAACAAACAAACCCGGTATCAGGTTCTTTGTGCTCGCTGACCTGCCCTCAAGCCCGGTGACTCAGCAGTAACAGAAAAAGGCTGCTAAAATACAAAAACAACATAATGTTCCTGCTACAAGCTGAAGAAGAAGAATAAAAGCAGATGCTTTCAGGAGTCCTGAACTTATGTGACTGTTCTGAAGACCAATTTTGGCTGTTGAAAATGTTCTAGCAGCCATTTTCTAATAAAAACACAATAAGAAGAATCAACCAAAGGTACAAATGACAGTAAGAAATCTGGCCAAATTTTTTCAAAAACATATATTTGATGATCCATCTGCCATCATAAGGCACCTGGGCTGAAAGCTGAAGATTTCTACTGTTATGTTAAGTGTGTAATATAATGTATCATATTGTATTGTATCGTCTCGCATCATATCAAATCATAAGGTATCATCGTGTTGTATTATATCATATTGTATTGTATCGCATCGTATCTTCTCGCATCTTCTTGCATTGTAACATAAGATACCATATTGTATTGTATCGTATTGTATCATATTGTATTGTATCATATCGTAAGGTATCGTTTCGTATTGTATCGTCTTGCATCATATCGTATTGTATCGTATTGTATCATATTGTATCGTCTCGCATTGTATCGAAAGGTATCATATTGCATCATATTATATCGTAAGGTATCACATTGTATTGCATCTTATATCGTATCGCCTGGTGTTTTCTAGCGTCATATTGTAATCATGTAGTCTCAACTCATATTATATCATATTGCATTGCATCGTATCTAACTGCATATCAATTAGAAGTTGCAGACAGGGTTTTGCTCTTAAACTGAACCTCTCCCAGATAAACACAACATATGTTTTTCAAGCTGTTCCTAAAAAAGAAAAAGTGGATTATGCCAACAAACCAGTTAGTAATGCTCCATACATGCCCCCTTCTGTTGTCATTTACCTTGAACTGACATATGTAAAGTGTTTAATGAGGTATTTCTGCAGATACAGTTTGCCAAGCTTACTTTCTATCATCAGAACTTGTTGCTTAACAATTTTGGCAAGGCTCTGCATCGGCTCTGAGTGTTTTTTTTTTCCACTGGAATTCAGCTTCTATTGTTGTTATTGACTAAAGCTACAAGGTGCCAAAGACTCCTTCGACCGTCTAATTCTTGGTGCTACTGTGCCAGGGAAATTGCTTTGGCATTTATTCAGTACTGCACTCGCTTGTTACCCATTATCAAACGTTGCCCTCTTGTAATTGAGGGGCTTAATTAAAACATCGAGCAGAAAAAGAGAGGATTAATTATTAAACTGGATATTTGGTCTCTTTTTTTCTTTACAGAATGATAACTTACAGAAAATGTTGTGTCATTCATAAGTGCTGCATGTTTTTTTTTTGGGTCTATTTTGAGATAATCAGCTTAACTGTACAATGCTTAATGCTGATAATGCATCAATTAACCACTGCGCTGAGGCGACCACTGGCTCTGGTCTTCAGTGCCTGTGGAGCAGACGGTCAGTGTGTGCACACAGTCTGAGGAGATTAGGCAGAGAGAGTGGGGCCTCATTTGAAGGTGGCCATGCAGACGGCTAATTTGAGAGTGAATGGCGCATTTTCTTTGGCCTGGCTGTAGAGTGCGGCTAGGTCGGCTGTTTGAAAGCTGTCTGCATCACCACTTTCCTCTGTCCTCCTCGCTCTCGGAGTGCATTAAAAGAGAGAGTCTGGTGTGAGGTGCTGGACTCCTGCCAGGAGCCTCTCTTATCCAGGGTGTAGGATGCTAATTCTGACCTACTTGCCAGAGAGGAACGAGGCCCTCCACTCTTTCAAAGCAAAGAGAGCTGATCCACGAAGCCCCACCTGCAATTCCCTACACTTTGCTCACCACAAACTTCTACCGCTGCAATTATGCTCCCATTGTCGACACTACCTGCCCTCTCGGTTAACCTCTATGGTTTTTCCAGAAGTCAGGAGTGCAGAGTAAGTTGATGCAACCTCTCCAGTTCGCCTTAGGGCTCTTCCAAAGGTGGTGCCAGTGCAGATTAAGCCCCTCGGTGCTCTCTTTGACCAGATCCCACCGTTACATAAGCCCCTGGCAAGCTGGTGTCTCTCTAAAGCTTTCCCTGTCGTGCTCAAAAGGCCGAACATGACTAGCAGAGCACATCGAGACGGCAGGTGTTTACAGTACAGATCTGGATGGTCAGCTAAAGGACTGAAGCTAATGCTACATGACAGTTCAGGATTTGAGACATGGGCACACGATTTCCCCAGAGAGGCTCAGGAGGACCAGGAGAGGGAACTACATGCTGGTTGACCTTTACTTCTTTGAAGGTGAACAACTCTGCCTCACCACCCACAGAGAGGAAAATCACTGCAGGTATTTTCTTAGAGGGGGGTCTAGTTCAGGTTCAATACACTAAATTTCTCTTTTCTCTGACTCCCCAACTGTTCAAGGCCAGCAGGTTTTTTAGGGGGTCAAACATGGAACAGATTGGGGCACTTGACTCAAGAGCAGAGACAAACAGAAAGTGGCTTTTTAACAAGTACGGTGATTGTTTTTCACTGTACCCTCTCAGAAACTGAAGAGCAGCGACAACAAAACACTGACAAAATGGAAACACTGAGCAAACGGCCCATTTGGCAGAAAAACAGCCACATTAGCATGAAATCAGAATCATAAAACAGATGATCGTGAGTCCAATATTTACGCTCTTGTAGCTCTGCTGCTTGAATGGTTAGCTAATTCTTTCCGAAGCCAAAAAACAGGGTGTATTTTCTGACAGAGCAGCAATGGTGAGCAAAATGACTAAAAACAGAGCTGAAGACATGTATTTGAAAAAAGGTTGTTACTTTGTTCACAATAAACTAGTAGATAAACTGGGTTTTGAAAAGGTCTTTGCTGAAATTAGCGTCCTGTTGCAACCATCAAGACCACTGTAGTAAAATTGAATTTGACCATAAGTTTTTTTTTTTTTTTTTGTCATATATTCAAAGGACCCACTGCGTTTTTTGATCTAAAAGAGGTCTAACAGACGTCTAAATGTAGCCTAGATAACTGGTCTAAAAGAAGACTACCACAGGTCTGAAAATGAAAGTTTTTTAGACCAAGTCTAAATTTAGACCCAGTCTAACTTTGGGCTATATCTATACGACACTGTATATTGCTCAACAGCTATCGTAATTATTTGGGTTAAGTACTTGGAGATCAGTTATGTAACTCACAGTTGCACAAAATTCTCAAAATTTTAGGGAGAATTCCACAAATTTTTCAAAATTTTTGGCAGTTTTCAGGTTTCTAAACAATTCCAAAAACTTACTTCAAATGATTACTTCAGAAAAAAGTTAATAAAAGTTTCATAAAAGGAAAATTCTCTTAGCGGCCAAAGATTAAGGGGGACGATGTCTGCAACAGCAATCCAGAGGAACCCATGAGACGAGGGAGCTCAGGGACCCAAAAAAGACTTTTACCTTTAAGTTTCCTTATCCTTTTATTTCTCTTTTGTTTTTGTATTTATACTGCTGTAATTTTGAAATTTCCTCCCTGTTGGACTTACAAAGGTACATCTTATCTTATCCTATCTTTATAGGAGCACAGTTGAAATCAATGATACACTCATAAATGGAGGACAGAGAGAAAGAAGGATGCTCAACGTGCCTGTACCCCGGGTAGTCTAGATTTATAGCAGCATGACTGAACTAGCTCTACAAATGAGCTTCATCAAAAATGAAAGTTCTTAGTAAATGTAACACAAACAAAAAAAGGGAGTTTGTTGGGATCAACACAGATTTAGCTAACTAGAATAGTGTCTTGAATTGTCTCAGTATCAACTACAGCTACTCGTTTCCTATCATATTCTGTTGATAGTGATAAAAATGTACAATAGTCTTAGCCTCAAGTTTTACACAACGAGCTGAAACACGAGCCGTCTCCTGATCCGGGGAGCGCAGAGGCACACGTTTGTTAGTACACACAGAAGCAGGCATACCATTGAGTAATGTGGGTCAAGTGTGCAGAGAGCTCGTGAGACAGAGTCGCCTCCCACTCATGACATTACAGGGATGGTGGGACATCTTGAATCAGCGCTGAGTCTAAAACAGCCCGCAGTCTGACTGTAAGCGATGTGTGTATCCTCTGCTCACTCGCTGAAAAACACACAAATAAAGCATGCAGTGTTTGTTACTTTGATGAAAATGTGGGGCTATATTTAGGCGCAGAGGCTGAATCCAAAGACGCTGTAATGTTCCTGGTAGAAACACCGAGTCCTACTTTTGAACTTCATGAACATGAAAAGTTTCTGTGCTTGTTACAGAAAGAGAAATTATACCGTGACAGACACAGTGTGTACCGATGAACTTGCTCTACATACTCTCCGTCCCCCTCCATGCGCTCGATATTCTCCCAGCATGTTCTGTCACACTTTCTATTTTAATGTCAGTCTGGGTCATAAAATATTCTCACCCTCCCTTTCAGCTAATAAATGTGAACTTTATCAAACTGAAATCAAGTCTTAAAATGTTTGAATTAGAGTCAGACACACAATAAATTACACTTGGCTGTTTTTTTTTCCTGATAACTCAACGAAACCGGTTCACTTCTCGAGGACAAACAAAGGATTTGACCGTTTCACTGAGCTTTTTAAGACTCTCTAGAGCTTGACAGTCATTTCTTGACCTTGAGCACCGCAGCGGACAAAACAATCTCAGACTCAGTCATGTACTCGTTTGTTTCAGAGCTTTCAACCGAACGAATACTGACATGTTTATGGAGGGTATTTGTTCTGGGTTTGTCAAATGGGTCTGTTGTTCAGTAGAGGAAGCAATAACTCAAGTGCGCTTCAAGCCTTTTTCCACTTTTTCATACATGATGTTAAACAGGAGTAGAAACAGTCAAAGTTACAAGGAAGAGAATGCTAAAACAAAAATATAAGATATTGTCAACAGAGGCACGAAAAACGTCTTTCAAATACAGGGATGGGAATCGAGAACCGGTTCTTGTTGAGAGCTGGTTCCAAATGGTTCAATCCATTGACATCATTTACATTTTACCTAAACGATTCCCTTAACGATTCTTTTCTTCCGATCGTCAGCCGCTGCTGCTCCGTCTCAGCAATGGCATGAAAGGTACGTAGTATGTCCTGTGTTAACATAAGCTCAATGCATGCCAGACTCGGACCAACTGAGTTAGAAGAGTGTCAAAAACACTCGACCCGACCCAAAAAACCCTCGAAATTTTGCGCACTACTCCACCTACGCTTGGTAATGAATCCAGAATATGGTCACCCTAATTTGACTTAATACTGACTGAAGTAATCGCTGTACAAGTAGTTTGTCATTTGATTATTTTTAGACTACTGTTATCAGAGACTCAATAAAATTTTGAGTTAACGGTGAAAATCTATAGTCTACTTTTTTTTAAATTTACAGAAAGGCACCGATACGGGAATCGTTAAAGAATTGAATCGATAAGCAGAATCGATAATGGCATTGATATTGATAAAATCTTAATAATTCCCATCCCTATTCAAATAAGCAGCAATCTTGAGCTAATATGAATATTTACAAAAACCCCTCATTGAATAAGTATAAAGATTTGATTGAATGCAGCCTTTTTGTTGCTGATCTCCTCGTCCCACATTATCTCACTCCTTTCTGATTCAAGAGAAGATCAGCCAAAAATGCTTTTAATGTGATCCCGTTAGTTGAAGTTCCATCCCTGCAGCTGGAAAACTGATTTGAGGTCCAAAAATTACCTCCAGACTCAGTCAAGTAGTTTGTTTAATGAAGGGAAGCTAATGGTGTGCAGAGCCATACATGCATGACGTCCATCCATGGGGCCTCCAGTTCATTCATTTTCCTATTGTTATAACTCTTGGAATTTTTCCTGTTTGTAGGATCGGTTTATGAGATTTATAAGAAATGCTGCCCTGATGTCTGATCATGATGTTTTCAGTGAATTCAGGGTCAAAAACTTCACCAGAGAGGAGTTCATCTGCAGCTGAAACATCTTTTCCTGAGCGTCATTTGATTCACATCCTCCTCGGTGTTTGTTTTTTTGATGAGAAGGAATGCTTTTGGTGTTTGCACAATTTGTTTCCATCCTGATTAAGAGCGACAAGTTGATTCATCTCCCTCCTTGCTCCAGATGGCAGCTATTTGAATAGGCGTGCAAGGCTCTGATCAGGACAAGCTATTTAAAATAAACTGGGCAATCCACTACATAGTTGTACTGTGATATACTCGAGCATTAGCCATCTATATTTCCTCCACAGATAGAGAAAATGCACGCTATTTTCTGTGCAGTCTTACTTGGCGGAAGTTTGGTATTGCAATCAAGTTTTCCCGATAGCTATAGAGGGCAAGTTCTGTGCAACTTTGCATGCATGTGCACCTGCATACATTTATGTCAAAGTGATTCGTTCCAATGTTTGTGTGTTTTTCTTTCTTTTTTAGGATCCTAAGGGCGACAGAGCGGCCATCATCTGTTGCAGCAGTGCCTCGAAACACAAAGAGCCCCATTCAGAGGCCTCAGAAGCAGTATCCCACACCCACACGGCCAAGAGGACACTCAGACCCATCCAGCACACAGCCTGGAGTCATTATAGAAGCAGTGTGGACGTCTCTGAGAAGAAGAACCAAAAGGATGAAACTCAAACCAACAAAAATGTACAGGAAGTGTCCCCCTCCTGCTGTCTCATCTGCTGTGATTTATGCTCATCAAACATACACAGGGATTATTCCCACAGCTTACAACAATATTTTACAGTTTCAGCTATCCAAGGAGCTCAGGGGCCCTGCATACCAAGTGTAAAGTGATTCTGATGCCAGTAGCTTCCCGGACCGGTCTGTCAGACGGAGCCAGCGGGGATCTCAGAGGCAGACAGAGAGGCTTCAGACTCTGTGAACTCTGAGGTTACAATGGAGGGGCAAAATTAAGGGGAAACTGTAACAAATACTGTCAATCTACAGGTCTGATACAGAGGCTAACACACTGTTAATAATGGGTTCGATACAGACTTTGTGGCTGTGAAATATCTAATGGATTTCTTGAGAGAAGGTCACTTAATTCATGTTCTTTGGTTGTTAAGTTGTGGATTTTTATAAATGTGTGTTTTTTGGCCTTTACTTTAATGGGAGGAGTGGAGAATGATTTGAACCCAGGCCACCTTCCTCAAGGACAAAGCTACAGGTTAAGTTTTCTTTTTTAAAGCTGCTGTGAGGAACTCTTTGTCTGTATTGATTTTGGCGCCCCATGTGGCCAAAGTAGAAACTCTTTATTGTTGCTAATTTCTGCTCATTAGTGTGAGATTTTTAAAAATCACATGTTGTCTCTTTTGATGAAAAGTCTAAAAATGGCAGGTGAAATAATGAAGGACAATAAGTTGAAGATTAAAAATAACGCTATTAAAATCTGAACATCAAGTACCAAAAAATTATTCTGCGATCTAGTTACCTCGGAGGTCAGATGTCAGAGCTGAAAATGACGTCACAGCCAAGTCAGAAAAAAGCAAAATCGGAGGCGGAAACAAGATGGCTACATCTGCAAAAGTTATTTTAGCACTTGCATTGTCCTTGTTATATTTGGACAAGGCAAGCGCTAAAATAACTTTCATAGATGTAGCCATCTTGTGTCCGCCTCCGATCCTGCTTTTTTTTTCTGACTTGGTAACTGAAATGCTGGTAACTCGGCTGTGACGTCATTTTCAGCTCTGACATCTGACCTCCGAGGTAATTCGAAAGCAGCATAACATAATCCCGTCATAAAAGCCAAACTAAACATCTGGACAGAAAACATGGATGATAATTTGTTTTGATTTCTTATTTGAGTTTTTGTACCAAACTATAAACCAGATAAATTAAGGGTAAGATAAAAACAAGCAGCGTTTATCTTGGATTTGATGTGTCATGCCTCCCGCAGTGAGTTTTCATTTGCGATGTGACAGGAGCCCATGAGCGTCTTAATGAGATTCTCAGAGTGCAGGGATCGTTAATCTCTTAATGAGTCGAACTCCCAGGGTGGGACAAAAACTGCTGAGTGGATCTAAGTCAGTAACAAAATCATCACAGGCTCTGGTATCAAAACAACACTGTCACAGACCCACACTGACCTCTCCTCTACATGACAAAACTCTGAAATCGCAGTTTTTCAGTCACTAAATGATGAAACATGACACTTTAAAAACTATCGAACCACAGTGCAGCAGCTCCATGCAGACTCCCTGACCTCTGAAAGCTGCTGATTCTACATGTAACCCCACACCTGTGTGAGCTGGGCAGGGCTTCTGGCTTCACCCATGAAATATTCAGAGGAAGATATTTTTGAGGACATTTGCATTTATTAAAAGTCACTCAGTCTAAATAATGGATTGTGTAATGTGATTCTGGCTCAGTCTGACAATAGAAAGGATCCACTTCACTGACGCACAATAACCGACTGAAGAAGTTGCAGTCAAACACAATTATAAGTCTCACAGGTGTGTCTGTTACATTTTGGCTTTTACTTGGATTTAATTCGTCCAGGTCCTGTTGTTCATATATTTTGATTTCTAAGGAATATACCCATTAAGTTACAAAATCTCTTATTTGAGAGAGTCCTGACTTAAACAGTGAAACAAAAATTTCACAAGAATGCAAAAACTACATTTGTTGATAGATTAACAGTGTTAAGAAACATCTATGTAGGCTTTTTATAACTCTGGTTTTTGTGTTTTTTTTAAAGGGTTTAGTTTTAAACTTTCTCTTACATTGAATTATTTCGAATTTGTCAGTTTGAATACTTCATGGTAAGCAGTAACCCAATAATACTGTCTTTCTTTAACAGTCCAGGGTTTTCACTTTTAAATACATGTAACCTCAATTCCAAAAAGTTGGGACATTTTCTAAATTATTGATAAAAATCAGAATTTAATGGTCTCCGAACTGACAGCTTAACAATACAAAAACAAATATTTTTATTGTTTTATGAATAAATGTGTGCAAATTTTTGATTTGACGCCAGCAACATGTTTGAAAAAAGTTTGGGTTGGACAAGAAAACTCTAAAAAAGTTCTGTAATGTTTAAAAAAAACATCTGGAGAGCATCTTCTTTTAATTATTTGCAAAAGACAAATGACCCTTATGAGTTTAAAAAAGGGCTAGTGTTTCAGGCGTAAAGATAATAAGAGGTTCAGCACTGTGAGAGGCCGGCTGAGCAAATTGATCAACAATTTTTGCGTCTTTAATTAAATACTCTGTTAAAACTTTAACTCCCAATCCTGAAAACTAAAGTTAAAAAAAATGAACACGTTTTGCAGTCTGTAATACCGTGATATTTACCTTCTTCTTGTAAGTTCTGGCAGGAGACTTCATATGAATCCTTCATAACTTCAAATGCGTCTGTAATGCGCGCTCTGCCCCCTGCTGGCCATAAAGTAAACCTCAGAAAACCTTTTTTTCTTAGACATTTTATTTAAGAAAGTAGCAGCTCATTCAGTAAGTCGTACAAAAACAATAACAGTCAGTAGAGAGCACATTGTAGTCATGTGTAAGTGCTAATGTAATTCTGAACACGTACAGTGTGATAGTGTCGACTGTCGACAAAACTATTTTACTTACTAGAAAATTAGTAGGATTTCATTAACACTTTGGACAGAGGCTTCAGTCTTCATAAGTAGTTGTGCCTTCATAAAAAAGCTTATCAAACTCTCCAGTAGTTTAACCAGAAACACTTTTCACATTTTGGAGGAAAGAAATTAATATTATTATAGTTTTATTGAGAAACCGTTTGACTGTGTGAGTTATCAAATGGACATAAAACGGTCTTGAATGATGAGTTGGACCAGTTATCTTTGTTTCACGCAGTCAGATCATTACGTTGAAGTCTGGAAATATGATATCTAACAATGATCTACATTAGTCTCTGTGTTAGTTTTTCTTCTGTGCGCTCTCATTTCCAGCTGTGGCGTTTTTGTTCGTTTTTGGAGTCTTTACTGTTTTTGCCGCCTTCTCCTTTTTCACCTCTTCCTTCTTCGCCGCCGCCTCCTCCACCTGCTCGGCCTCCTCGTCCTCCGGTTTGGTGGGAACTTTCCTCAGCTTGTGTTTGCCTTTGACGGGAGAGGAGAAAGTGAGCGAGGACTTGATGAAATCCAGCGGGAAGAGGCCCACATCTCCGTCGAAACGGTTTTTGGTAACCTGCAGGGACCTGCGGCCGGGACGAGTCACCATCTTTTTCTCCTGCAGGATGAGGACGTTATCAGCTTCTTGGCTGGCCTGGAAGAAGATGAAAGGTGAAATTATTATTATTTTTTTTATGAATATGGCAGATTTTTGAGTGTATTTATACTTGTTATGTATTTATTTTTCGTCTTACCTTCGCTGAACCAAAGATGGACGCTGTCTGCAGTTCGCGGTCGTCCTCCTCTTTTCTCGGGTGAATGATCAGAGTTACATGGCAGCTGCTGTTGGTGGCAAACTTCCTGAAGGCCCCGATGATGTGGTCCTGGACAGCAAACCTGGACCATACCAAACATTATCTATGTTTTGTAGGCCTCTTGAATTGAGCCTTTTAAGAAGAGTTCCTTTAATACCAGAAAAGTCCAGAAATTAAGAATCTGATTGAATTTACTGACCCAAATTATATAGGTTTATTTGTGTGGCACCTTTCAAGATCAGAAGGTCATGATGAGAGATATGAGCTCTTCTGTCTCGTCAGTGTTCAGCTGTAGGTAGTTATCTGTAATCCAAGTTTTAATTGCACTAAAGCAGTTAAGAAGGTTGGACAAGATGTTGACATTTTCGGTGTGAATGAAATATCTAACTAAAAGTCATCTGTATAACAAAGTTGTTGATTTAGAGGCCAAGTGGAAGCAAGAACTGGGCCGAGGACAGAACCTTGAGGTACTCCCCAGACCAGGGATGTATCTAATGAGGGATAATTACCCACTGCAACTGAGTAAACCATGTCAGACAGATACAAAGAGAACCAGTCTGAAGCAGGACCAGATGACATCAAAGTGGGGTTGTTTTATGAAAGTGTTTCGATATTAGTTATAAGGTTATTAATCATTATTTGTGACAATAATCAGTGGTGTTTCATGGCAGAGGCCAACTGTGACTCCTCGTGTGACACCAGAGGATGACGAGATGACGAGAGAGTAAACTAAAAAGTTAGACAAGATTTCTCGAGACTTCAAACAGTCTGGGCCTTAAAATCATGATTGTTCCATAATGGAGCCAATACTGTTATTTAGTCCACATACAGGATGGTAAATGTAAATTAACATGGTCTTTTCTGTTTGCTTTGTGGGTTGTTTTTGAAAATAAGAAAAAAAAAATTATTATGTGTTTAGTTGATTTATATCTTATGCTAAGAGTTTTCTTCTTTCTGCTCCTTTTTATTCACGTTTGAGATTTTTCCTTGTTTGTGTTGAATTTTTTAAAATATTAACTGAAAGAAATAAAGTTTGAAAGTGAAAATGAAAAAGAAATGGTAAACAATGAACCTTCTGGCCTTTTTCACTTCACTCACTTGTCCACAGAGAGGTTCTCCTGGCCCATCATGAACTGCAGGTTGTCAATGACGACGTGGTTGATGTCATACAGGTAAACAGCATGTTGCATAGTGTCCAGCACTGTCCTGTAGAGCAGGTAGAAGAAGATGAAAAAATAGACATAAACACACTGAAGTCCAAACAGTTCAATTCAACTTTAATCACTGAAAACATCCTTTAAACTCACAATAATCTTTACATTAGTCAATACATTGATACATGGATTAAACCCATACAAAGACATCTAATTGTATTTCTAGACCTCATCGAGACTCACTTGATGTTCTGCTGCCCGTGGAAAGTCATGAAGTAAAGTGGCAGCTCTTCAAACTTGTCCGCCCAAAAGTCGTACTGCTCCAGGTTTTCCTCCAGCCTCTGCATGGCGAACTGTGTCAGCATGATCTTAGCCAGACGTACGTTGTTGATCTCAAAGCTGCCCCACAACGTGTTGACGCCCTGCATGCAGAGGTCCAGAGCGATCTCGCTGATGAAGGTGGTCTTACCACTGCCAGTCGGTCCTGGAAGACAAGAACACCAACTTTAAAACTCATATCAATTAATTCAGTTTGTAGGGGTAGATCTTGAACCCTGAATGAGGACTAATTGTCAAAAATTGATAGTTCAAATTGATAAAGTATGAGAGAAAATGTCTTAAAATCCAACCTCTGTGTCACAACAACATTTTTAAACCTTGTCCTCTTAATATCGTGTTTTTCTCGTACCTGTAAAAACTGTCAGCTCTCCTTTGCGGTGTCCTTTCAGGATCCTGGTGAGCTCTGGAAACCTCGCCCACTTCACCCCAGCCACCTGCTCCGTATTGATCAGCTCCCCGAACACGTCCTCTCTGAGCTGCTTGAACGACACGATGGATTTGTGAGCGGCCGGGATGGACGATTTGATAATGTTGTTGAAGTTCTTCCCCAGGGCCAGCGCCTCCACTGGACACGGCCGGTACTCCCCCGGGCGCACCAGCGAGCAGCGTCTCAGACCTAACTTGCGTGAAAAGATCTTCGACGCCTCCCATGAGCGGATGTCGCCTCCCAGCCACAGCGTCACACGTTTGAACTGTTCCAGGTAAGGCAGCAGGATCGGCGGGAGGCAGCTGGTCCCGCGTGGGAGGGCGACACTGGGGAGTCCCGTGGCCTGACTCACAGCCAGAGAGTCCAGCTCACTGCCTGTCAGAATCACCTCTGAGTCCATGCGGCTCACCAGAGGAAGGCCGAACAGGTTGTAGTAGGAATTAGACTTTGGTATTGTAGCTTCATTGTAAGTCACTTTCTCATTGTCTGTGCTTTGAGCGGAGAGGAGTTTTACCCCTTTAAGAGAGGAGTCAGGTCCACCAAACCAGGGGAAAACTAGACTTTTGGTGGGTTTGAAGAGTCTCACACCAAACTTCTTAAGGGTGGCATTGGAGATCTTTGAGATCTGAGAAGAAAAATTAAAGGACCTCATCAGACAGTTAATATTTAGCATAGCAGGGTTATAAGGAAGCAACCATATCGTAAAATACAATCTATATAACACCTTATAAGTTTGCTTCCTTTACAATTTTTGGTTATCTTATTACTTAGCTTGTGTTCAATCCAATACAATCTACTTTAAAAAACATTCAAGTTTGCCAAAGTGCTGCCCACTCAAATCTAAAATAACAAACACTACAGAAAACATCACAAGGAAATAAATAAAAACAGGTTAAAAAAAATCTCAAAATGACAGAGTTGTGTTGCATTTGCATTCGGTTTAGTGCATTTTAATATCTAATTTTTAAAGATTCTTACAATAGCTGCTTCTGTTTTAGTCCATCGCAATGAAATTAATCTGTAAGTAAACATGTAACTGGTGCAAAATTCTTACATAAAATGAGAAATAATCAATATTTTTAAATTTGTGTTGATGAATACAGAAATTAAAAAAAATTGAATATGTTTTTTTTTTGTTTCTCTGACTCAATTTTCACATTTCATGTTTTATATGCCTCCTTATTTTTAAAAGGGATATTATATTGTTACTAAAGTTGGTATAACTAGAGAAGCAAGCGGTCTCCATCATTCTTTTCTCAAGGGGGTGTCTAACTTTGTGTTACGGTGTGTTTGACCCTAAATTAATTTTACGGAATATCCCTGTAATATCTGAGGTGATACACAAATGCATATGTAAAACACTTCTCTCTAATTCACACCACATCATACCTTAAACATGGTTTTTATCAGCTGAACCTCATCCTCAGGGAGGTCAGTGAAGGGCACAGAGCTGGACCAGATCCTCTGCACCTCCCTCAGCTCTCTCTCCCTTTCCTCCTGCTCCTCCACGCTCTCTGGATACCCCAGCAGCACATGAGGACTGAGGGAGTCCTGATCCTCCTTCCTCATCACCTCCAGGCAGTCCTGCAGATCCTCCCAGCTCCCCTCCACCAGCGTGTCTTTGCACAGAAACTGCCCGGTGGTTTTATCGATGAATAAGGAGAAAGAATCCGTCCTCGCAGACGGATCCACAAAGATACTCTGGATGTGGAGACAGCTGTAGCCATCATGGAAGGAGATTTCTTTGGAGCGCAGATACTGTTTGATGTCTGTGACTGTGATGGGGCTCAGAGGAAACTCTACAGTGGACTTGGCATCCTTTTTATACGCTCTGGTGCCACCAGACGCCAGGAATAAATCTTTCCCCCTAAACCTCAAACCAGGGGAGGCATCAGGGTGTCTGTGGACGAATCTCTCAGAGAGGAGCCTCACACAGATGGATGAAAACTGTCTTTGGTGCAGAAATCTCACGTCTGCCACCTGCAAGAGGCATGAAGCACCCCTCAGGAGTGATCTCCTCCACATTATTAGTCTGATTAGGACATCCAACCTGCAGCAGAGATAACAAAAACAGCAAATATAAGACTTGGACGAATAAACACATTGAAGACGCTGCACGAATTAAGTGACCTATGCTAACGGAAGGACAAAATGAAGCAAAATAATGTTGTTTTTCTGCGCAAAGGACACTGACAACTGTGCCCAAGATTAAATTGAAGCATTAACCGTGAAAACATGAAAAAGGTATGCTTAAGAAAAGAGAAAAATAGCTGAAAATCGACTTACTGGCTCTATAATCTGCCCTCATTTCGCCCCATGCTGCGTGCCTATCGCGGGTTTTCGGTGCATCTTCAAAACAAGTCCGTAAGAAATATGTAGCAAGAAGGCGCAGGAACAAATATACTCACGCTAACTCAATTTAACGTTTTTAAATATTCTATATATTGTCATTTCTGCTTTAAATCACCAAAAGTGCTAGTTATATTTTCAATTTTAAATTTCCTCTTTTAAGTCTTACGTTTGTGTGACCGTCGAGTTGATTCAATGTTTCTCTCCGGTGTTTCTTCTCGACGGACCACATCTCGTACATGCCCGTGAAGTCGCCCTCTGTGGATTTTGGAGTCACTCTGTTGAATTTATTATCGCTGTTTTTTTCCACAGTGGGTCTAAAAACAATTTAAACCACCTTGTAGTCGGTTAACGGTTAGAGGGATGACAGCCAGAGGGACACCGAGCCGCTTCCTGAAGAGCGTCCTACAGAATGGCGTCGGCCGTTACGTCTGTCAGCTCAAACGGATTTCCATTATTTTCTCCAAAAAGGGACAAGGCTCTTTAGGAATCAGGTAAAGACAACACAATAAATAAAATATAAGGTTCATACATGATAACTTTTTCTGTACTGGTATCGTATATGCCGTAGAAGTCAGAATTTTAGGTTTAAAACGACACTGTGTAGCAGCTCTCTCTCTCTTCACTTCATCTCTATGGGACTCGACCACAGCTGCTCTCCTCAACTCTGGGTTGAAAATGTGACTTTACACCAGTCTTTTTCATCAATTTATACAAATTTTGACCGCAAAATGTAGAAATATAATGTGGAAATAAAGTAGATTATATTACTTGGCAGCACGTCGCATAAAAGGTCTAAAAAGTGGGTATTTTGACAGCTGTAGTCCATGATACTAACTGGAACCAGTTTGACATAAAAAAAATTTCTCACTAATAAGCAAAACTCCATCTGATCATCTCAACAAGAAACACAAACTATTAACAACATCAAGTCATGCTGTGTCCTCCAAACTTATGTACTTACTGTCAGAGCCGTGACTGACTCCACCATGTCATCTTTTTCTCTTCTTTTCAGGGACTTCATAGAAGAAGGAGTGGTGGATTATGCCAAGAAAAACCCAACAACTGTGGTGTATGTGTCACCTCAGCCGTGCAGGATACCCAAAATTGTTGCAGAATACAGTAAGTGCTCATGAGTTTGTATTTTGTCATAATATTTGAAAAGTCTTTTTCGCACAGGAGTAAATGGCTCTAAAATTTCCTGCATAGTTTCATAAATCTTTCATAGACAGAATTTAGATTTGATATTTTTGTTTGGACGGGGAAAAGGGAAGAAAAGTTAGTTTAAAAAACAGGTTTTGCATGAAGGAATAAATAGATAAATCCTTTAAGTCTGTATTTATATATTACCACTTCCAAAGAATCCATGTAACATTTAAGCAGTCTTCAAGATCTCATTAAAAATCCTCAGTAAGTTTTATGTTTGTTAGGCTGAACTTGTCGTAAATCATAGATACTGTAGATGGCAGTATAACACTGTTTTTCTAAGATCTGATCAGTTAGATGAGATTGCCGCTGTGGGTTTCAGCGAAGACAGGGTTATACTGTGTCAGCCAGAGTCAGAACTTCTTATAGTGTTTGATTTCACTTGAGGCAGATCAGTCAGTAAAACAGCTAATCACTCTCAAAAGCCTCTTACTCTCTGTGTTTTTTATTCCCCTTCCTGCAGTGAACGGCACCGTGAGGGAAGAAATCGTCACAAACAAAACGTCTCCACAGATTTCAGAGCTTTTGGCCAAAATGACCAATCAGTCCGGTCTGGACATCATCCGCATCCGAAAACCCTTCCACACAGACAGCCCCAGCATCCAGGGCCAGTGGCACCCATTCACCAACAGACCGCCGTCCATCGACCCCATCAGACCAAAGAAAGAAGACTCTCAATGAGGACTTACAAAGTTTAATTCCTGCTCCTCCTTATAAGATATGTCCTTTTTTATTTCCGAAGTGTCTGCCTCCTGAATTAAATCATGACTACAACAACTTCCTGCATATTCATCGGAGATTCTTCAAACTATTTAATGAGGGTTTTTTTTTTGTCTTTGCCATGCCCCACTGTCTGCCAGTAGCCCTTAAGCTGTGCAGACAAGAGCACAGAGCACCCACTCTGAATGCCACATTTGAATAAACTTCACCAGAGGCTTGTCAGCTGGCATTATTAAAAAAAAAGCACCTAACTGGTTTTAATCACAGAGAGGTATTTGAAGATTTTTTGAAAAAGGTGCAGCACTTGGGGAGAAGTTGGAACGGAAATAATAAAGTAATTTTTGTGCAAATGTTGTCTCTGGTGTTTAAATTTAGACTTTCCTTTGAGTTGTGTTTGAACAGCTTGTCAGGGAGAGATCAGCAGAGCAGAGCTGGTGTGCAGACTGATCCAACAGCAGCTCAAATACAGATGCAGATTTTCCTCGTCTGTATTCATACTAGAGGAGAAAGTAAGTGTTTTAATGTTACGGTTTGAAGGTTTCCTTGACGATCCAGAGCTTAAATGAACATGACAGATGGGTGTGTGATCGCCTGAGGGACGAGTCTTAACCTTCAGCACCGAGCTGTCCTCTGTTTCAGCCGTGAGGGGATAGAAACTCCGACAATGGGTGATTTTTTTTTTTTTTTCAAATGAAACAAGGCGAGCGCCGCCAGAAGTACTTGCTGCGTCATCACAATTCGACTGCAAAGGCAAGCGAGTTGACCCTACTTCCCATTCAACGCATGACCCCAGTGTTCTCTATTACATCTTTACAATCAAGCTCTAATCATCATATGAATACAAATAAGCAGACGGCTGTGAAATGAACTTGAAAAGGTGCCCCCGGGACAGATTGCTTGTTTCTGTTGACTGATGGATTCTAATCTGTTGGCAAACACTATGTGTATATATAACTCCAGCCACAGGAAATGGTTCGGCCATTTGTTAAATTTATGTAGAATAAAAGCGTGAGATGACTGCAGAGGACGGTGATGAGCGGAAAACAGTCGAGCCGAGTTCTGATTTCCACCGTTTGCTGCTGAAATCCCCTGAAGCATTGAGAGTACAACCAATGAAAGTGGATAGATTTGGGTTATCAGTAAACTTTTTATATTTCTAATACAATACACCAATTCTGAGGATTTGTCTCGCAGGTCTGCACAGAAATAGACGACATAAAAAAGCACAAACACTATGCGTCATCGTCCAGAGTTTCTCGCCACGTTCATCCTCTCATACTTGAAGAAATCTGCAATAGAGACCTGATTTTTCTTCTTCTTTTCAGACCAGGCTGTAAACATGTTTGATTAAGGTGACGGTTTGTGCATTTCAAGTGTGGCAGTGAATGGGAAATGACTAACTTTGATTGCCAGTGTCAATTAGCTACTTGAGGAACTGCAGATTTTGCTGTTGGCTCATGTTGGCGAGGTTATCAAGAAGCATGAAGCAGTCACAACAGAGGTAAGAGGGTGGTTTTCACTAAACCTTGGTTAAGCTTCAAAGTAGTTCACAATCTAAGATCTAGACCTGTATGTTAGTACCATAGACTGTATATACTATGGACAACTTGGTTCTGCCTCCTGCCTGTATACAGATTTGAAGCCAAAAAGCTCTCTGTATTTCCGCAATTTTTCCTAATATCCTGAAACCAGCATTGCACAGTTGTCTTACAGTAACTAAATGTCAACATCGCAACCAGAGGGGAGAAAAATTTATGTTCCGTTTAATAAATTTCTAAAGTTTGTCCACAGCCCCGTAAGCTTTGCTGGCAGAGGCGGGATTTATGACCTATACTGCAGCCGGTCACCAGAGGGTGCTGTTCTCGGAGTGGCTTCACCCAGTGAGGAGGCAGATCGCTTCCATTCTATATATAATCTATTGTTGGTACCCTTTCTATGTCCCATAATCATATCTACTTTAAATATTAACACATAAATATCAGGACTAAATTGAATTATAACATTGTCAAATTTAATAGATATGACATTCCTCTGTGGTTTTTATATTTTTATTAATTTAAAACAGAGTGGTGACACTAAACTGCAAATAAAGCTACTAGCAGGCCACATAGTTGACGTAGTTGAAGTCCTGTAACTCCTGTGGCTAGCTACAGTTGTGCCTATTGTTATTGTTATGCCGTGTTATCTGCTATGTCATTATTCACTTGTCTGTAGAATATTATCAAAGGGTTTTTATAGCCGGTATCTGACATCTTTTTTTTTTTTTTTATTAAATCCATGAAGCTTGATCATCCTGAATTTTGTTGTCTCACGCTTACTTCCTGCATACTAATGCATCTGCGGTACCAAACATCAGAACTGCTGTGCTCTCATTGCATCCTCTCACCAGGACATTGAAGGCTCTAAATTAAGATGCTGTTGCTAAGTTACAGCCTTGAACGCGGCTCTGAAAATGACCATTTATCCTCTTCTAAAGGGAAGTTATACCTCTGCTCTATCAGAGTGGAGTATATATGAAAATGACTGTAGGATCATGTTAGTTAAATTCCCAGTGGTGGAGATCGGCCTTGCTGTTTGCCAAAAGCTGAAAACATCCAAGCGTGATGGCGTCTTGGGAATAGGGTTTGGTTGGAACATGTTTCGCGTGTTATTTCCCGACATCTCCTCAGGGTTGTTGACACCGAACACAATACAAAGTGTTTTTTTCTTTTAATCTGCACAGAAGCAAGTGGAAATTTAATGAGCTCAAATAAATAAAACACAAAACAGACAAGTTGAAAAAGTCCTTTCTGTGAACAGCTCAGGTGGTTAAATTATCTTACACAAAGGAAGTACAAGGTTTCAGCCACTTAAATTGAGGGGAGACGGCAGAGACGAGTTCCTTTTCTACATCAAAAAATCATACAGAAATAATTAGATAGAAAGTGTCACAGTTCACAGAGGAATACTAAAAGATTTTTGACACAGTACTGACAAAAACAGTGCAAATTGTGATCTCTTTTCACAACTTTCTTTGGCCAACACCAGGAGAAACAATCTACGTCTACATAAAATTAACTCTATCTTGCATATTGGTACAGCAGGATATAAGTCATGTAATTAAATGCAGAAAAAAACAGACACTTTTGTACAGTCGCAATGTACAGGTAGCCAACAAAATACTCAGTCCATAGTCAAGTATACAGTGAATATTCAGTGTCCTGTGTAAACAGAAGGTCCATACATGGGGCTGAATCAGCAGCAGCAGTAATGGTAACAGTTTTAAATGATGCTTTTTTTGTTTTTTGATTTTAATATGACACATAATCAAAGCTGAGGTTTTTTTTTGACTGGTTATGAAACACTGAAATCAACAGTGATAGTGTGTACTGAACCACAAAAGCAAACAAAACCCTAAATAACAAAAGTGACAATTTCTTCTCCTTGATTTTTGATGTTTTCAAACACTGCGAGGAAGTTTTTTTTATCATTATGTGTAAATTTTGATAAAGATATGCTGTTGTATAAATGAATTTCATTTGTTCTTGTGTTTCTGAAACATTTGGTATTATGAAAACAGCACGAATTCTGGAACAGCGCCCTCTGCTGGGCCCCTGTAGATTTGAGGGGTACAACCTGTGCATTTGTGTCCCATTCACACGGCAGCCTGACTCATTAGCACTGTGAAAACACGTTAAAATAAGTTTGTTATTCATGGTAAAAGTGCTTTTTAGTCTGGTGATATGTTTAAATTAATCTCTGGGTTAAATATCAAACACTTTTGTAATGCTGTTGCTTTGTTGTGAAATAATTTGAGTTCATCTCGTTGTTATATTTTGCTAGCTATAGCAGCATTAAGCTACGTAATGTAGCCTGCTAAAGGACAGAAAGTTTAACATCTCTTTCCATTTTTTTGTCATTTCTAATTTTCCATTATTACAAAAGTGTTAGTGAGAGACATTATCCTTCTATTACAGCAGGTAAAAATGTAACTTTATTTACTTTTATCATGGCCAGTCTGCGGTATCTTGTTCACATGTCGTTCCTGGAGCTATTATTACAGAAATGAGACAAGATATTCTTCTGTTACTTCAGAATAAACGGAGTGTTGGTGCCTAAAGTGATCATTTATGACTGGTCTTTAACAGACTGCAAGAGAGAGAGTTTAAGACTTGGCATCAAATCAACACAAGAAGCTGTTCTGCTGTAGACCGCACACACCTGAGGGATCGTCAACATTTATTGGTAAGTTTAATGTGCGTCAGTAATGCACACGGCTTGGCTCTACTAGAGCGCCATTAAAAAAGTTTATATTTTTTTGGCCTTACATTTTATGAATAAGGTGACCTTAGCCATTATAAATACAGTAAATGTCTTAAACACTCAAATTAATGGAAAATATGTGTGACGTCATTATATAGAATAACTTCTCTCTGCATTACCAAATGTGACAGACAACCATTGCCTGTGGCATCACTGCAAAACAGCTCAGCGTCAGACAACCATCCTGCAAAAGTTGATATTTTTATGGTCAAAAACTTTCAAAATTCAAAGAGCAGCGATGACTCATCCGCTGTGGACACGGTGGCATACTAAAAAGTGGACACTGGTGTACACTCGATGCATGTTAAAGCTCAAGATTTCCATAGACAGAATGGTCACACATGGAGATTTAAAAGGTACCGCTTTGCCCACAGGGGGCGCCTAAACCAACTCAAATGGAAATTTCCTCACAGGTATATATATATTATAGTAAATTAAATGGAAACATGAATCCCGCATAAATCACCATGGCTATAAAAACACCACATGCAGCAGGTTATGTGTGCAATACTAGCTGTGTCCCAAACTATTGTTTCAGTTAAAAATATGACAATGGCACAAACTCCAAAAGTAAAAAAGTCACATTTTTAAGGTGCTTTCATAAAACAGAAACTCTGTGGCTCTTTGAAAACTGGATTTAATTGATTAGGGGGCCATCAGGGTGGTTTGTAAACTCAGCAGGGTCCTTGGAAAAAGAGCGTGGATGTGAGCGTAGAGTAATAGATGATACTGTCATGCAGAGGTGATAAGACTAGAGAACAAAGGAGGCATCAGAGAGGAGAGAGAGAGGACGAATAAAAACAAGGATGAAAACAAGTAAAAGGGTGAAAAAAGGCTGACAAGCACAGAGCTGAAAACAAGCAAATGCAAATTATAGTCTGCAAACACGAGCTGTTGTTTTGTCATCTGTTCCCAGCACAGCAAGCACAGACAAGAACTGGATACAGCCTCCATGTCAGGAAAATGAAGCCAATGAATAATGTCATAAATAACAATTAAAACTTCAGGAGCAAAAATGTCCATCTTGAAGCTCTAAAACAGTCGTCCACCACCCAATTAATGACGTATTAAATATGTCTTTTTAGCAATATTGCCAATTTTTAATGGCAAAGCAATTTCTCAAATAGGCATCAGCTTGACTTTCATGAATACTGCATGTAATCACAGGAGATCTGAGAGGATTCATTGTGGGGCATTACGCTCACAAATTTAATGTAAATCAACATACTTCACAGTGGAAAAGTCAAATACAAACACAACTGGTTGGTGGGATCTGAAATGTATTGTAGAGAATCATCTGCATATAGAGAGATTTTCTGTTAAGCTCTATACATATTGGTTTCTTTTTACGGCGTGCCTCTGACATACAGCCATACTGAAAGTCGACCCACCTGGATATGGCTGCTGCAGAGTGGACAAAGTTAAAATAATAAATATCAGAATGCAAGGAGGCAAATGATGAGAAAGAAAGTGAATTTAGCCAAGTCCAAAAAAACGTCCACCAATGTCAATGTGAAGCTAAATTAGCCGAGATAAGACAAGGTGTTCCGGCCACATAAATGAGGTAAATGTTAATGACATGGTAGTCGTTTCAGGCTCAATTTAATGTCTGTTACACCAGAGTAGCAGCCAGCTGCCGTCACTAGTCAGCACCATAATTACTTACTGGTTGATTGAACAAATTATTCATGTTTTCATCATTGAAAGCCCCCAATACTAGTGTTTTTGTGATGTATGCAGCCACTTGCCACTGGCTGAGGCAACAGCTGCTTTAATGCTACAATGATCTATTATCCGGATGTAAACAAACACAGGTGTTTGATGGGATTCAGTAGCGTGGCATGTTTTTACAGGTCGTGTTGGCTCTACTTAACTAAACAGGCGTATAAACACTAGTGTGGAGTAGTGTGTAACCAGCCGAAGTATGTGGGCGTTAACCTGCAAGGAGGACTGCTAATAAAGCTGACTGTTCAATACATCTCGCACAATGTTGACTGTTTTTAGTGGTTTTACCTTTGGAGTAATTGTTGCTTCTGAACACCACGAGCTTTAACTTTGAGGAGAGATGACAAAATGAAATAATTCAGAAGACAGTGGAGTCAAAGTAGGGGTAAAGTTTTGGTATGCTTGAATCATGTCTCAGGGCTAACTCCAGTTAACTCCAGCTCAAAGACTGACAGTTAAACAAGTCTTCATTGGGATCAACCTTAATTAAGCTCAATATATATTTTTAATGGAGAAAAGGTTTAACAAGCTCATTAAAACAGCTCTAAAAAGGGTTTTAAAGGCAGTCAAAATGACAACAAAAGCACCTACAAGTGCTTAACAGCCGCTGCCCTCCTGTATCAACATCTTCTGTCTGCATGACTGACCAGAACACTCAGGTCAAATGTTTCCTGTTTGCTTCTACCTGCAGAGACGACAGCGCTCTATGCAAACAGACAAGAAGCCTCCCGTCCTCTCCGAGTGGAAGTGAGCCAAACTCCGCTGTAGCTGTCACTGACTCTCTCTCGGTGACAAATGCACACAGCAAGTCACTGTTCAGGGCTGCTGCTGAGCCACGAGAGCTGATTCAACACTTTGCCTGAATGACAGATATTTATTTAACGGTGGCCGTGACACGTTTACAAACCACTTAGAGATTCATTACACTCACTTCCTTGTGAGTTATATATGTGATATTTAATCACAGCGCTGTTCACCTTGCAGCTCTTGGAGTTTTGGCATTGCTCAGATGTAAGATAAACACTAGGACGTCTTTGTGGGTTTGCAGGTGTGAAGGTTTGGCTTTTTCCAAACCATTTTATCATTTTTTAGTCAACTTTTGAAAGCCGTGCTCATTCTTATCTGTGTTTGAAACGCCTTGATCTCTCATGTGGGAGCAAAATCCTCAAGGTTTGACGAATGATCTGAAAACAAAGTCCGGCTGACAAAGATAAACGGTGACTGTTTTTTAGAGGTATAAATATAGAGCAAGTAAGCGTTTTCTCATCCATTTATCTTACTGACTGCATAAAAAGATAGAGGTGGACATGAAAGCTCGCCACAAGTAAAACCAAAACACCTCAATCATGTCCAGAAAAAAACAGTCCACCTCCTCCATGTTGACAGATGGGACACTGGTTGGACTTTGGGGCGAAAATACACATCAGAAGAGGAAGGAGGTGGAACCCCAATAACACAGCGCCACTGGCCAATCTGCACAATCTCCGACGCCTATTGCAGGGGTAGTTTTGGCTTCACTTTTGGACCAAACTATGAGCACCATCCATCTTTATATTCAGTCAGTGGTTTATTCTATAGTGTTGAGTTTTCACTAATTTCACACATATCTATTTCCTGCCTCACACTGATGCAAAACACACAAAGAAACCTCAAAAATGTTTGCTACGGGTGTTTTCTATTGGCACAAAATGTTGCTACAAAAAGGCTGCAACACGGATGCATTTATTGCGACTTACACAAGAACAGAGGAAAGTTAAGAGACAGTGCTTTGAATGGATTACTAAACCACCTGAGCTCTTGTGTTCTGTAACAGATCTGGCATCTTTAGGCGATAATACACATAAAATATCTGATCTTTTAGAGTCAAATGGGCTCCTTCATAGACAACACAGGATTGTCGTCTAACAAGTCAACAGTGAGATAGAAATGCATGTACAAAAATACAGCAAATTTATGAGATATTTGCTGGTTCGAGCTTCTAAAATCGTGGGAATTTGTTTATGGGTAACTTGAACTATTGGAAAACATCGCCTTCACTTTGGGACATCCTGTTGGCCAATTTCAACTATTTGAAAATAGTTTGAAAAATACATTTTTTACATGATTTGATCAAGAAAATGGTCGCTACCTGCAGCCCAATGGATTTGACTCAAACACATCAATATCAAAACATGAAACTCCTTAAACCCGCTCAGGTAGCTTCATCTTCGTCTCAGCTTGTCCTTGTCTCCATGTGCTCTCTGGATGCTCCTTTCAGATAAAATATACTCAGTCATTTAGTGTGATGGATCAGTGCATTTGTAGGTCAAGGATCAGTTCTAATGTCACTTGTCGAGATGAGTAGGTGGCAGTATTACACACCAATGCTACACAACAGGAGGCGGGATGCCGGCGAATTCATCCAGCGCTGATTTTGATCTACCGGATCGAGTCAAACTTTGCTATCCATCGTTTTGTCCCGTGACAGATTAATGAACTTCCTTAAAGTGTTCATGGTTTTCACGTTTGGTGAGAGAAAGCACAAAAGATCAGATAATTCACTTTAAGCTCCACGGAGGGGTTAGATTACACGGCACTGAAAGCTTCCTCGACACTTCATGAATCCCTCCTGGCCTGATTTATTTTGCGTCCGTGTCCCATTTAGCTCCTTTAGCGTGTTTGTGTCGTCTTACCGCCATTTTTCACAAGTCTCCAGAGAGCCCACACTGAGGTAGCATCATTAAGCTCTCTAACTCTCGCTTACTCAAACTGTGGCCAGTCTTTTCTTGAAGTGGAATCAGAGGAGACACGGAAGGCTGCACGTTTCCAATCAGGTAGGACTCTAACACTGGGTAAATAACAGCAGCGTTTGATACAACCATCAGTTCTCCCCACAACTATGGGTCGTCGTTAAGGTCAAAATAAATTACAACGGGATAAATACGGGGTTGGTTGTCCTAGATGGAGCTCTCGTCGGGCTGCAGGTCCAGCTGCGTGTGTTTCCTCTTCTCCAGGATCCTGTTGAGCTCCTCTGTGAACGAGTGGTAGAGCGGCGACATACCATCCGGGTCGGCCTGCCTTAGCAGCACGTAGCTGTTCCCGTTCATCTTCCTCAGCACGCTGGGCAGGGTGGCTGAGAGCCCGTTCGCGTAGTCCACGTTAGGAAGAGGGGGCGGCATCGGAAGAGGAGGTGCGGGAGGAGGTGTTTTGCTCGGAGAGAACTGACCCTCGCCTGGAACTATCTGGATAAATCCATCCCCGATGTCCCCGAATGTCGGCACGGAGATGGATCGACGACCGTGGCGGCCGTTGCAGTGACTGGAAATCGTTTTCAGCTCGAGGTGCGAACTCCTTTTTCTTTCAGAAGCCCCGAGGACCTGCAGCCCCTGCTGGGAGAACTTCCGGTCCTGAGCTCCTGCCCGTCTGGTGCAGAAGCTCACGTAGAGGAGAACCACACTCAACACTAAGCAAAGGCCTCCGAGAACTGCCACCAGAGAGATGTACACCGCCTCCATGTGTCTGTAGGTCTGGAACTCAGATCCTGAAGGCATCGGGGCGGGAGGCGAGGGGAGAGGCTGCTCCGTTGGCGTGGTCGTGGTGAAAACAGTTGGGCTGGAGACCGTCGTGGGTTCGGTTGTGGCCGTTGGCTCCACGGGGAAGTACGGATCTGTGTGGACCTTGACTGTGTAAAGATAAACCAGGACCGAGACGGAGTTCTCAACGGCGAAGCAGCGGTAGGAGCCGCTCTGCTGGGCCCGAGCTCCGATGATGAGGAGGCCGTCTGTGCCGATGCGGTAGCCCGAATTGAGGCCGTATCCCTGGAGCTCTTTGCCGTTTAGCGTCCAACGGGGGGTTGCGAGGTTGGAGCGAAGTTCACACTGGAGTAGTACATCATCTCCGGACATGACGGAGCGCCTTCGATGGACCACTAAACCAGAGAAAAGGAGAAAAGGTTTTTACTTGAAATGGACGTGTCTGTTCGCCACAATAAAAACAACATGCTGCAGATTTTTAATAAGTAAATATATCAAGTTTTGTCAGGGCTGTTTTTAAGAGGAGACTTTGAAAATGGTTGTTTGTGAAATCGAGGTTGGGTCGATCATTTCTGCTGAATTTCAAAGAGCTGGTAAATCTAAATGCTTATTAGCTTCTGCGACACGATTTCACACAGTCTAGTTGAGTTTTTTTTGTCCTCGACCACGTTCATGTCTCACTCCGATGCAGATGTCTGATCACAGAGATGACTCATCACACCACCAATGGGAGCTTGGACGCTTCTACGCCCAGTTGCTTTCTGCTTTCAACTGTTTTTCCTGTATTAAATCAAAGCCTGCTGATATACGATCGGTCAAAACTACCCGGTCTACAAACTGAAACCTCTCCTTCTACTTGAACTCAGATTCTACATTTTTACATCTGCAGGGATTAGAAAGAGGAGATGATTACAGAGAGGTCAGGTCGCAGAAGGTGAAGTTTTCAAAGTGCAGGTGAGCACCCTGCACGGCTCAACCTTTCAGCATCACTTTCCATCATCTTTAAGCCTCTTTAAATATAAGGAGCCCCACAATGCGGCCAGCAAGACTTCATGACCTCTAGGAAAAAAAAAGGACTTGATTAAAATGTGTACTCTGGGACCTGGGGGTAGAGGAAGGCTCGGACATCTATGAAACCTTTAATAGCAGCTAAATGCGAGTGGATAGAAGGTAAAATGAATAAAGAGACAAGTATTATATAGAGCAAGATCATTGTGTCATACCATTCCCTGAATTCTCCTTGCAGCCTCTGATCCCTCTCAAGACGTCTTGGGTTAAGTTTGACCTGAAATAAGATGATTATAAATTCAATACAAAACCAAACATGACACTTTTATACAACCAAGAGCGTCATTCACGGTGAATCATAGACTGTATATAGAATGGACGCCGTCCGCCTCCTCGGTGGGTAAAGCCACATCGAGAACAGCACCCTCTGGTGGCGGGCTGCAGTATAGGTGATAAATCCCGCCTCTTCCAGCAATCCCTATGGAGCTGTGGACAAACTTTAGAAATTTATTACACAGAATATATGTTTTTGTCCACCCTGCTTGTGATGTTGACATGTAGTTACTGTAAGACTGGTTTGTGCTCAAGACCTCTTTTTTCCGTACAGCTACATTTTTAAAAGTTATTAGGGGTTCACGTTTGCTATGATTGACACTTGATACAGCCAATGGGCGTACGAAGATTGCATAGCTCACCCAGGGATATGCTGTTGGAGCCGAGATTCATCATAGCGACTCTCGGCGACTCTCCCACCGAATGCGTACAATGCTACTGTGCAACGTTGGTTTCAGGAAGTGGAGAAAAAACGCAGAATTACAGAGCGCTTTTCGGCTTCAAATCTGTATACTGGCGGAAGGCGGAACCAAGTTATCCACAGTATATACAGTCTATGGGGTGAATCTTTGCTGTGAGAATGACCACTTTTGCTTTTGTAGGTCATTTGTAGGTCAAGTCTGTTTCATTACCAGCTGAAAACTCCTCAAAGCCTAGAAAACCGCTGTTGTTTAAAGCGTTTCTTTCAGGAGAGAAGAAAATGTGAGTTCAAGCAATTTGTGCCATGTGATGTGTGTTAGAGTGGACATACATCATGTCACCTCTGTGTAAATATGTGTCTGAAGTAGGTCACCCTGAATAAAATCCCTCTATATTGTACTCAAACAACTTCAGAGCTGTCTAAAACCATCAAAATAACTGCACATGAACTCAAACAGCAACCTAATTCTAAAAACATCTGCAGTCAGAATAGAGAACATCAACTTTTCTGCAGAAATGATCTGTATTCAGTAAGAGAAAGCTTAGTTTTCAATATCGCTGTAACTGTAGAAAGTTCCAGGCAAAGTGAGCAGAATATAAAAGCACTTTCTCACAGCGTTATATCCCCCTCATCTATCATCATCACCATGTAAATAAAAACACCTGAGAGCAGACCTCTAACCTCCTGTAGGTTTCCAAATGTTTATGGAATGTTTAAGGGCGTCGTGCAGCTTTAGATCTCGCATTAACATTCAAGTCCTTTTGCTGCTTTCTCTAAATGTGATGATGCCCCCTGAAAATCAAACCCACAGGAGAGGCTGATTTGTCTGCTACTGCTAATGGAAGATTAAGATGTCTGGAGCTCAGTCATGCAGAGTGAATGAAGAGAGGTATCAAACAGTCTGCAGAACAAACAGCGAGTCAGAGAAACTCGATCTTTGTTTGGGCATGTTTACTTTGACTGTGAGCGAGTTAACGTATGTACGAGGTTAAATATAACATCCTATTAACTTAATTGCTGTTGTTAGTAGCTAAGCTGAAGTACAAACATTTAATGGCAACATATTAATAGTGTGATGATTTGTTGTTGTTTTTTTCTGTAAGATTTAAAATCAAGAACTGTTTTTGCAAAATCATCTTAATTTTCCTTAAATGATGTAAAACTTTTAAAGCAGTATAGAAAATGATGATCATTTCAAGCCCCGCCCACCAAATGATGTACTAACTGTTGTGGCTGTGCACCTGTTTGAGTCAGGACAGTGTTAAGTGTACTGTCCTATGGTATGCTATTTATCAGGTCTGCTCGTTAAATTAGCCTCAGTGAGTGATTCGTTCACTTAACGTTTAGACGAATTCAACTGAACATGGGCCGTTCCCTCACAAACCGCTGCAATGATAGAATGCTGCGGGTTTAATGCACTATTTGTTACATGCTGTGTCCTATTGTATGCAAGTTGTTGTGGTGACAATTTAGCAATAAAAACAAAAAGTAGTTTTGTACCACAAAAATGATTCCAGAGAGTGTAGTTCAATGAGTGATTCGTTCACCAAGTGATTCAGACGTCAGTGCATGAGGTCCCTCATTTGCCGGCTGCTGGTCTGGCAATGTTGTTTCTCACTTCAGTTGAGCTGAAGTGAGAAATGAACGAATCACTCGAGGAAGTGATTCGGTTCAGTACGTTCACTTAAAAGATTCAGTTCTTTTGAACGGATCGTTAGTGAACGACACAACACTAAATTGAACAGCTTTTGAGCTTTGTGCTAATTCCTTTCTAGCAAACCTTTGCTTGTTGTTTGATTCAGACTTTTTTAAAATAAAGTTCACAGACACAGATTGGACACACTTATTTAAAGTAACATCTTAACTTAATATTGTTCCTGACAATCAAGATTTTAAACTAAAACTTCATCACATACTGCAGCTTTAATAGCACATGCTCTGTTTAGGATACTTTAGTTTAGTTTAGTTCAGTTTAGATTATTCACACACATCACAATATATATATATCACAAATATACATATACGTATATATATATACACATTACATATGCATACATATACACATGTACACTGGAAATTTCTTAGTGAATGGATGTGTGGAAAGGGTGACCCCAAGGAAACTATTTAAAGCTGATAGCAGGGGGCTCATTTCAGTGCTGAGTTTCACTAAAATACTGGATCAAAGTTTGGTCTCCAATCCTTTTTTTTTTCTGGAGGCTCATTGTTTCAATCCAGATTTTCCCTCACCAGGAGAAGCTCCTGCTGAGCTGAAGTAGAAATCCAGGTCGACTCTGTTACCTCTAAACTTAAAAACTCTGCAGGAAGAGGAATGAGCTGTATAAATAATAAATCAGACTCTTTAGTTGCAATCTGGCCCAAAAAACAGACAAAAATATCAACAGAAGGTCTGGTAAAGCAAAAAAAAGAACACTTTTAAAAATTAATTATAGCAATAGAAATGTTTGTTTTTACGTAAAAACTCAGTGTTTATATTCTTAGAGTTTGTGTAGCTGTCGTTTAAATACACGCAGCAGCAGATGGATCAGAAATAGATAAGAACAAACAGGTGGAGCTGCAGTCGAGGCTTTAGGGAGTATAAATTCTGTATCAGTGATGGAGCGATGCAAATTTATCCGTCTCTGCAAGAATGTAGTTCTTCTACCCCAAATCTGTTTTTTTCAGAAGCTCAATGCCTTCATGTCGACTTTTACTACTTCCTGTAAAACATTCTCAGAGTTCGTTTGTGTACTTACTGACGTCAGTGTGTGCGTTTAGTGCACAGGTGTGTTCTCTCTCACCTCTTTGCACGAGTCGATATCTCCACACACTGCCTCCCGTCCCAGGCGCAGAACGGGTCTCTGGCAAACACGCAGTCGTAACAGGAGGTGTACCTCTGACAGGCTGACATCGGCACCTGTACGACTCCTGAGCTGGAGCCTACGTAGATGCTCCGCTGTGAAAGGAATAATGAATTATTTATCTGCTCGTCACTGTGTTTGCAAATTACTTTTTAGCCTAAAAATACAACTAGAAACACAAACAACATTAGGCATACTCACGCAACACAGGTACCACTTGTTTATTATAATTTCCGGATGGAGTTGGAATGCAATGAATGTATATATGTCATTATATTATGCAGATTCTAATGGCTAAAAAAGATTAATCTGCATGTTTTTAGCATTAAAAAAAAGACATAAAAAATAAAAAAATATATATAAAATAAAAAATATCCAAATACATACCATAGCAGGGGATATAACCATGCTCACAATGGGCTGAGGTTTATCAAACAGCTGCAGCTCCTCTATGATGTGCATTTCTCCATCGATGTCTACAGCTCTGTGCAGCCAGCCATCGTCTGAGAGAAATAAAAAGTAAAGACAGTTTAATGAAAAACAAACACCCAATAGATCTTAAAATGCAAAAGAGTATTTAAAGTACAAAGCAGAGTTGCCGCACTGTTTGGTTTTGTCAACAAAACCGCTAAAAAGACAAAAAAAATCAACTGGAACCAATTTGTTTCTTAAAATTATTTGACAGTTGTGATCTTGAAACATTCAGTCTTTTTAAACAGGTCATAAATACATAATTTCAGGCAAAAATTGTCCTTGAAAACTTTAATGAGAGAAAAACCCACTTGTTTAGAAATGTTTAGAGTTGGATTAATACTCTATTTATTGATAATGGAGGATGTAGCCCCTTCTAGTTTGTAAGGTGATGAAGTTTATTTGGTATGGTGCCTATAAATGTATCACAATAACATACAATGATAAAAAAAGACTTCAAATCATAGTGAAAAATAATAAAAATGCAACTACATTGAGAACCAACATATTTAATTAGCATCAAATAAATATGTAAATAAATAAGTTACGAAGTTTGTCTAAGTAGGCTAAAAAGATTCAAACTTAAAGAATAGCTGGAAGCACAACAAAACAGGACCCAGCACAGATCCCTGAGGCACACCACCGCACAGACTCACTGTCTAAGACTGGTAAAGACCAAGCAACACTGGAAAATTCTTACTAAGAGAAATTGAGGAAAACCAGTTAAGGATGCTTAAAGTGATACCAACCCACTGCCTCAGTTTAATGTGATCTACTGTGTCAAATCCAGAGCTACTTGTCTCATAGGACATCATAAACTGTGTAAGTGGAGTGTACTCGATGGCCTTCCATCAATTGTGGGGAAAAGAAGGGTACACAAGGTTACCTGTCTTTTTGAGAAACTGGTAAAGACTCACCCGTCCCCAAAAACAGCACGGTATAAATGTTCCCATCCAGCGCCGTCTCTTTGTGCACGACTATCCTGACATAGTTGACGCTCCTCTTGAACATGAGTGGACGCACTCCCAAAGGGTGCACCTGACTGGCCATTAGCGGGTGCCTCCTGGCGAAAGTGAGGACATTATCTGGGAGATCTCGAGAGGAGTTGATACCCCGGGACCTGTGCAGGTCAGTGATACACTGTAGAGACGAGACACAGAAAGAGATTGTCAGAGAGGAAGAGAGCAGAAAATAGAGAGTGAAAAATGAGGCAGAGCTGCGCTGATGTAAAATATGAATACATGTTTTTTTTTAAAGCCTTGAATTCTGCATTTTTAAATCAAGATGAAGATTTGAGTCTTGATAATTCTTGTTTTGTCAGTCATGCCCTAAAGGCCCCTTCTTTTCTTTAGTTTTACTCTGAGAGGGATCACTATTTGGAAAATGATGATGATAGTGAACTAACTGGACGTCTGATAGGGTGATTCATGTTGGTGATTGTCATTTTAATCTAGAGTAAACTTTCTGTTTGGGTTGTTGGGATCATGAATCAGGATGATCCTATTCTCAGTAGAGGGATGGATTTAGTTTAGGCTGAGTTAGTGAGACATATCATCCTCACTAGTCACCACAAAAGTTATCAGTTTGTGTGCTTTAACAGTTTGCTAAACGTCTTATTTTAACTTTCATCTGGGCTGACGTATGCTAACGGTTGTTACCATAGTTTCATGTGTTTATCTTATTGCCTCTGATTGGCTGTAAGTGCTGACCGTTTGGCTTGAGCGTGTGATGACGTTTCCAGCTTTTCTAGCCAATCAGAGGCGAAGGGGGCGGGACTTTTCCCGGCAAAAGTCTTCCCCGGGATGCGTCTTTTTCCCCCGGAAAGTCACTAAATCACATCGGGCTTGATGTGCATAGTCAGGCGCATCAAAATCCGCCTCCAGATTTTTCATACTTTCGCATTGTATATTCGTGTCGGCCCAGGTGTGTAAGGACCTTTAAACTTAAGAAGAACCTGGACCACAGTCAAGCCCAATAGCACTTATAATAGGGTGTTTATAAAATCTGTTAAATGTCTTCGGTTTTGTACGGAAGTTTCGAGTTTGTGTCACGTGGACTTATTGAATTAGAAGCGCGTAAAAGACACTTGATCTGACCCGAAAAACTCTCAAAGTCAGAATATGGTCACCCTAACTTAGAAGCAACTTTCTATTAATGTGGACTTTGGCGCCCCCTGTGGACAAAGTTTGTATTATCCCTAAAAAGCACGTCGGGTCTTGTTTGACAGCTTGGCACTAAAGGAAGATGGATTACCTGACCCTGGATGGCAGAGAGATGATATTCAGAATCAAATTGTTTTCATCCAGATTGAAACTTGACAACAGAGACGCCCTGAGGCGTCATCGACTCTTTTATATTCTGTGATATTTGAGGCGAAACTCACAGATCCAGGTCTTGGCTCTGGAACCTTCCCCGTGTACTCCCTCCACTTTGAGTCCTGCACCTCCATGTATGGCCCTTCGAAGGCCTTTTGCACATCAGAGAAGGCGTACTGGCAGATCGCAGACGCTTTGATGTTCTTCCTGAAAGACAACCCCCCACCCCGAAGACACATCCAGAGGGACACACTCAGGATTAACGATTCAATGTTGGATAAACACTGAGGCTTTATCATCGAGGGAAAAACTGCCACCCAGATCAAATATCAAACAAAATTCAGATCAGGAGGAAAGGTTTTCGAAGCGGCTCGGAGCTTTTCTCTATTCTCTAAAAACCGTGGGTGTGAAGGTGGTACAATCTGTTAGATCTTATCATTTTTCTTAAAGGGACGTGTGTGTGAGTCGAATCACTGACAGGTTGTAATTTTCACTCTTTATCTCCAGAAGCTGAGCATCTGAAAGGATTTGTTTTGCAGATTTTTCAACAGAACACTCACAGAAACCCACTCCCTGTGAGTCACGGACAAAGCAGCTTCATTTGTGGTTTTCGGTGCAGCACCTGTGAAAGAAAACACTCAACCTGGAAGTCAGGAGCCAGGTGACCCTTAATCTGAAGCCCTGGAGGCGAGATTAGTAACGGAGGGGGGGAATATCTGCGTCACATTCTTGGGCCTATTGTGTGTCCACCTCAGTCTTCAAAAAGCATTCAGGTGAGAAAAATGAGATCCGAGTGAAACCGGAGTCTGTCTTCAAAAGTGGTGAGTAGTGCAGCTCGGGGGCTTAGTCACTCTTGCACGCTTGAGTCTGACACATGCTGACGAGTAACACTCCTACAGGTGTGAGTCTTTTATCAAGAGATTCAGCGCGTAGAAAGAGAGAGAGAGAGAGAGAGAAAGGTGGCACAGAAGCAGCAGGTAATAGTAAGACTGAGTCGAAAAAGAGAAAAATCGATGGCGTTACTGTCCTGTTACGACGTTATCCCCTTCATCACAATCCAAACACCCTTGGGACGGTTTTATGCAGCATGACTCTGCATATCAGCGTAAACACACACTCACACCGCTGCCAGCCGCTGTCCTCTGACACTGTCACTTTGTCGGCTCTCACTGCAGCTCAGATAACAACTCTCCCGAGGTTTGGACTCAGAATTTCTCCGGCTATCAATAATCTTCTGATTATCCTCTCTAAAATTTAGCATTTCGTCTCTAAAAAAGAAAAGAAAATAGAGAAAAAATGTGCCCAGAGTGTTCACATTGGATGCTTGTGGATGTCTTGTTTTGCTGGATCCAAAGATCTAAATCAAAATGACATTTATCAGAGACCATCTGCAAACGCTCAAGTTGGACAAGCTGGAACTGGAGACACTAAACATGTTTGCCTCATTTAATGGGACGAGACAGACGGACAAAGGAATGATTTGCAAATCTAAGTTGATCCATCTGTCTTTCTTTCTTTTTGTTTCTTTTAAACCAGCGATCATATGCACAGTGTTTGCTTATTTATCAGGTGTCTCGCCGGAGCACTTCTGCATTTAAACCATCAAACAGCTGAGACAATATGGGAAGTGGGTTTGCGTGTCAAGAACTAGGTCGAAATTTTCAATACTCGTGGATTTGAACAGATTTTGGTTCTGCTTTTTGTTTCCTGACACCAACAGACGTGAGGTCATGTTAATTTATTCCCTTTGACCCTGAAACCAATGAGTCCATCTTCAAAAATCCACTTAAATGTGTCGGCGTAACTTAAATAGACTTCCACCGGGTATCCCTGAGGTGTTTTAAAACAAAGAGAATGGAAAAGAGACGAGGAATGGAGGCCAGGAAAAGTGAATATTATTACGAAACACTATAAGTGACCTTTTAGTTTTGGAGTGAAAAATGTCATCAGTTCATCATCGCATCCTTTTTGACAGTTGTTAGAGTTATGGTTCTTAGGATATGGTGAAAAATGTTGGTTGAAAGATCACAGTGACCTTTTGAATCTTCTCTGAAGAAATATAATCAGTTCAACTTGTAGACTGCAGAAAAGATAGACGACATGACAGCCCCCCGTGTACAAGGACAAGAAGAGTCCAGTGAAGTTCTGTATTTTTCGGACTTTAAGGCGCACTTAAAATCCTTGAATTTTCTCAAAAATTGACAGTGTGCATTTTATGTATGATTACTTGTTGAGCTTACTGACCGGTTTTATGTGGTACAAAGCGCTCAAAAATCTGTCAACATGTGTAAGTACGACTTTGGTAAGCAACAAAGTTGCTCTGCTGTGTTAGTACCTGATCTGCCCCGTAACAGGACCCTTGAGCTGTCAACAAGACTGCCTGACTGTAACGTCTAAACTCCAAGTGAATTCATTTGGCAGCCCCGGCCCAGAGGCCATATTTTTTTTTGTAGGGTAGAAGGGGAAGGTCCCGCCTCCTTTGCCTTTGATTGGCTAGAAAAGCTGGAAATGTCAATACAGGCTCAAAACAAACATCGAACAGAACATTACAGAACATTATCGCACTTCTGAATCTCCTAATCCTAACCGTGACCCTCATCCTAATCCTAATCCTAACCCTAACCCGACAGACGATGATATTTCACAGCCATTAGGAATAACCAACTGGAGCCCAGCAATTCTAGCCAATCAGAGGCGAAGGAGGGCAGGACCTTCCCCCACTATCCTCCAAAAAGAAATTTGCGGCCCAGAGTATGCGCTAGCAACAATAAACCAATTAATGCTTAATGCACCTTACAATCCGGTTCACTCTATGTGTGAACATAGACACGTTAATCCACAGTGCGCCATACAATCTGGTGCGCCTTATCGCCTGAAATATACGCTAAGCTTTCACTGTAGCTCATTGAGGAATTATGAATAAGGTTTTATTTAGTTATTTGATGACGTTTCTCACCATTCAAGTCCAAAGATACCGTAGAAAACGCTGCTCTGAGCATCTCGGCCCTGCAGGACAAACACGCTGCGCAGGATGTTGAGGTGCAGCTCGTACTCCGGGACCGAACACACCATTCTGGCCTTGAGGAAGGTGGTCCACTTCCTCTGCAGGGTCCTCTGACCGCCCCAGTCCGTCTGCACACACAGGAGAGACAGAGTATGGATGATTAAATCAGGTAAATTGATGCAGCCTGGCACTGACTCTCAAACACATAACATTAAAGCGTGATTGTAGTAACAGTGACACAAAGATAAAAACAATGTGCGTGTATCTGCAGAGAGATTACATCATAATATGCACACATATTACTGCAACGCCATGGTAAACGAGAGTTTGATGTTGGCTCTCCGTCTCTGGGTGCGTACTTAAGCTCAGTTCATTTTATCTTCTGCACTGGAAGACAAGGCTGCTCAAAATCTAAGTAATTCAGCACACCTCATTTAAAAGAAAGATAAAACGACAGCGACTTCTCTTTTCTCTGTTTGTCAGAATTAATAAAGTGCTTCATCTTTCTTTGTTTATGTCTCCGCAGACGTCTGTCGTTCATCATGACGCTCCGCTCGCCTCGGCCTCCCACTCAAAGAGGCAAAGGAGCTTAAATTGGCAGAACAGTGAGGTATGGAAATCAGACGTGCCAGCATTAGAAACACTTCCATCAATTATTCCGACCACATTTAAGAGAAAGGCAGAGAGAGGGAGAGTACAGCAGACGAATGCACTCGCTCTCCAGAGAGGGGAAGAAGCAGGGTGAAGAAAATATCACAAGATTTTAGACGAGCAAAATAATAAAAGTGTGGGAAAGCGAAGGATAGCGGGTTCCATTCTGTGAGGACCTAAAGGAATGAAATGATTGATTATATTTTATGTCATTCAAACGAAGCACAGTCTGGGTCAACAGCCTGTCGTGGCACAAATCTATCGAAAAATCAGTCCAGAATCAGAGCGTAGGGAAGTAAAGAAGCGCCTCTGGGTAAAATTACCCTTGAAACCAGAGTGGAGAAGGTTGAGTTTGACATTTAGTCGCTTTCTCAAGATAGAGCATCCTAAATGATTTATTACCGGCTGGGTTAAACACTTGATTGTGGCTGGTGAGAACTTAGATCCCAACTCCAGCAACAACCTGATCAAACATGTTGTCAAATCAGTCAGAGGGAAGATGTCTGGTCCTGTTGACACTATTTTTCAGGTTGAAAAAAAGGGCACAACAGAAACTTAAGGCAAACTACAAGATTTGAAGGATGTAAAAAAGTTATCTGTATATAGAATCAAAGATTATATAATACCTGAAAGGGAATATCCAAAGGCCAACTTTGATTTATCTTTGGTTAATTTGATCTAGGCAGTAAAACGATAATCTGGTGTCTGGTTTGCAGAGAAAAAAATCAAAGTTCACACATTTAGTTCAAATTTCTTACATAATGTCTGAACTTTGATTTTAAGTTTGTTTTGTATCAGCCTTTTTATCTAATCTTGGTAGATTTTCTATAAACCCTGCTCCTATATTGCCTTCATTGGGTTTTCTTTACTCCTGTGTGACACACATACATAAATAAACCGAGCTCTGCTTCTCCTCCTGCTTGGACCTTATTTCCTCGTGTTTTTCGCCCTCCTCTGTGGAAATAGGTCATGATTGCCATGTTAGTAGATCCAGTCTCACTCAGAAGTGACAAACAGAGAAAGACAACCAGTCAGGCGGCTCAAAAGTGTCCAGTCTTTAGATGTTTCAGGCCAGCGGCTGCTGCCAGGGTCTCTGTAATCTGTGGATCTGCCTCCAACCAGCGAGGCGTCTGGCTGAGTCGAGGACGAGCTCGACATCTGCATGTGCTGCCCTGGCCTAGTTCAGGTGGAGTTATTACTCTCTCCAGTGCTCCAATAACTCCACAGAGCTGGAGAACCAGACCTCATTTCATCACCAGTGACTTATTCTGGTTGCAGAGAGGATCATGACATAATGAACTGTGAGACTACAAATAAAAGGTTGTAGAAGTGTCATGTTCAGAAATTGCTTCACAGCTTTTAGGTGAGCATGTGAAATGTACAATAAAACTGTACAGTGTTACTGTATGACAACACAAAACTGTAAGTCCTGATACGTTTTGATATGACAGGAAAATTACGAAATGATATGAAAAAACACCAGACAGTACGATATGTTACAATACCTTATGACACAAAATGACAGTTAAAATTCTGAAAGGATACAAAGTAAAACAATTCTATACATGATGACATGTTTTGCTAAGTTTAATAATTACTTTTTATCACAAAATGATACATTGTTATATGTTACATTACATTAAGTTCTTTGGGTTATATTACAGTGCTTTACGTTTTGTTGCGTTGCTCTACATTCCACTGGTTTACGTTTCCTATGGTTAGGTTAAGTTTCGTTAAATTGTGTTGCAATTGGTTGTTTAAAATTGTGTTATAATACACTGCATTGCATTACATTGAATCAAGTTACGTTGCGATACATTGTGTAAAGATGAATTGAGTTGCAATGCCTTGCGTTACTTCACGGTACGTTCCTTTACATTGCATTACGCTACGTTGCATTACGATAAGTTGCGTTACGATAAGTTGCGTTAGTTGTGTGCGATAAGTTGCATTACGATAGGTTGCGTCACGATACGTTGCGTCGCTATAAGTTGCGTCGCGATAAGTTGCATCACGAGAAGTTGTGTCACGATAAGTTGCGTCACGATAAGTTGTGTTACGATACGTTGCGGGACGAAGCGTTGCGGGACGATATGTTGCGTCACGATATGTTGTGTGACGATACATTGTGTGACGATAAGTTGCGGCACGTTAAGATGCATTACGATACGTTGTGTCACGATACATTGCGTCACGTTACAATAACTTGCGCTACCATAAGTTGCGTTACAATAAGTTTCTTTAAGATAATTTGCATTACAATACGTTGAGTTGTTTACGTGACTTTGTGATGTGAAGCAATGTGACACGATGTGATGCAACTTTATTTCATGTCAGGTTACAAAGCAATGTGATATACTGCACTGGTATTTGTGATATGGTATATTAAGGTACAATTTTTAATGTCCTAACATAAAATTTCAACACAAGAAAACATGGCACTGTACGATACAGTTTGACATGTTACGATACAACACAGTAAGGTGTGGTTTATGATGAGTTACAATAGGCTTTTATAGTTTGATTCAAGTCAATACAATAAGAATTGTTTTACTGTGGTCCAAGACATGTAGGTTTGATACAAGGTGACATAGAGACAATTTGCTCTTTGGACTTCAGTGCTTTACATGCTCTAAGGTCTCCTACTAGTATAAATAAAATAAATCACGAAAAGGAAGGAGAATTCTTTATGAAATGTAACCTCTACTTTTAAGAGATCTGACCATTTTCATGTTTTCATACTTTGATCACAGCTCGGGTCTGAGATTAAAGCTGATAGATAAATACACCAACTGAAACAATCTAACAGACTATAAATGTCATCTTTGCCTCATTTGAAGCATTTCAGTCATTATTTTCTCTGTTCTGATGTTCAACATATGAAGAAACAATCAGTTTGATTAACCACAAAACACTGGAAGTGAGTTTTTTAAGTTCGCATGTCAGGTAAGTCTAAAAATCTCTTTCGCCTGAGGCTAGAGACATAAAAATTAAAACAGTTAAAAAACCAAACCACCTCAGTCTGGCACTTTGCATGGAAAAATAATGGAAATCCTTTCAAGTGCTTGAGGGCTTGTATCACTGGTATCCCTGATGGTCAATAATTAAGGCTTCAAATCTAGAATAGTTTCAAACCAACATGTTATTCAGCCTTTGAGAGAAAAGAAAGCTGTCTCATTCTTTGATATGAAATCTCAACTCTCTGTTGTTTTCCAGCAACATTAAAGCTCTTTATCTTACGCACCAGATGCCAAATATTGCACAAGCTTTGTTAATTTTTTCATAAACTCTCGTCATCTCTGATTAAATGGGTGATCAAACTTTACTTAAAAAAATATAGAAAAGATGAAGCCAGATAATTATGTGACAAAGTAGAGCATTATAAAATCCGGAGTAAGAGCTTCATTAGGCTTAAAATACTGGACATAAAGTAGGAAATTTTCAGGGAAAACATAAGCTCTCTATCTGAAACTGTGAACTGGTTATTAAAGTGAATCCCTCGGTTCTGACTCAATCTGTGTCTCTCTTATTAATGTCCCTTTTCCTCACATAATTCATGTTAATGCTTTTCTCATTCTCACTGAAGTTTATGTACATTTGCAGGGTGTGATATCATGACTTCATTTTCACAGGCGCTTTTTTTGTTCAGAATAACAGATTTGTATTACTCAACTTTCCATTAAATTTACATAAAAACACATTAATTTGTAATTGCACATACACATAACAATTTTACTAATTCAAAGAAAGATTAAATATAAAGTATTTCAGCAGACTCGTCAAGGTCCAGGGTGAAACAAAAGGGAAAGGACCCAAGTATAGACGAAAAAAAGGATTTATTTAAGAAGAGCTAAATAAGAAGCAACAAAAACTTACTATAACTGTCCAATTGAAAAAATCCAAAAGATCAAAAGGGCACTGGGGAAAATTCATATGGAGACTCACACACATCGACAAACATACATACAATGAACCAACCAGGATAGAGGGGAAGACAGGGACTATATTTACACACTGGGAAACGAGCAACAGGTGAGGCTAACGAGACACAGGTGAAACTCATGGGTGATTAACGAGGAGGGAACACTAGGGAAGTAAAACCAGACTAGAAACGCAAGGAATCAACTACTACAAAATAAAACAAGAAACTCTGAGAACATGAAGGAAATAGGGTCAAACACAAACTGCAAACTCACAAGACTGGGTCACAGGAACAATAGGGAACAGAAACAGTCAGATAAACACAAAGAAAATAAACTAAAAATAACAAAAGCAGGGAAAAACTAAATTAACAGAACATATTATGACAAGACTTGGCCAAAAGAAACCACAAACAGAAGGAAGAAGAGACCTCTTGGAGTGCCATGCTGTCTAGACTGGGGATGCTGATGGTGAGTGAAATGAGGTGTAAGAAAAATGACGGGTGGAGGGGGTGAGATGGCTGTAACAAGAGGGGGGGGAGGTTTGTCGGACTTGTATTTTGCCTGGCAACAGTGGCACAGGAAGTGGGATTAGAGGAGGGTAAGTAGTGGTTCATTCGGCACAAATTACTGCCAGAGGAGATAGAGAACAGGAAGACTCTCAAAACCTATTAATGCTTCACTCTGTGTAAATGGCGTGAACTTTCCCTTTCCCAACTTTCCCTTCCCATGACCTTGCATGCACAAGAAATCTGTATTTTTTCATAATTAAATCTCTTCCAAAGTATTAAGACCTCTTGAAAAAAGCATTTGTCATGTCAAAGTTGAGATCCTGATGAAGCATCCAAAAATGGCTTACTAAGCTGTTTGCACCTATTATCAAGATGGTGTTGACGGGCAGATGACATTTTGATTGACATGTCTTTGACTTTCCCCACAGCTGGGGCGCACTTAACAATCAGTTTAGCATATGGAGCTTGTATAGCAGCAAATCAACTAGTAAATGTGTAAATAACGCCACAAATATACAAATGTGCATGTGCAAACATACCAATTTTTTAATGCACTCACTGTTGTTTGCATGCATGAAAAGGAGCCATTATTAGACTGGAGCAAAAATATGCCCATTTCTCGCCAGTGAGCCTCTTGCAAATATCAACTTATTCTCTTACATTGTTGCCAACAGTCACACTCAGCTGGGATGAAATTTTTACCGTCTGCTGAGAGCTGGTGCTCTGCAGTATTGATAAGCATTGTTACACAAAGACCTCTGGGGGGAACAGGAAAACAAATCCTTCACGACTTTGACATTTCTGTTTTTAAAGTGATCAAATGTTAAATAAGTGTGGGACTATCTGAAGCTTGACCACCACACAAAAAGGCATTATTAATAATGGAGAGTATTCCTTATTCATTTAGCATCTTAATGAGTTCCTAGATTGTTCCAGGAAGTGAACTATGAGAGATCTGTGTCATAATTGTCGTGAATTGACTCCAAAATAGTGAGCAGTTTCCCCTTTAATTTCATCTCCGTAAGTATTGGTAAAGTTTGGTGCTGTCAAGTTGAGAGCACACAGTTGGAGATGCTGACAGCTCTACACAGAGCCGTAAACAAACCTAAACCAAAACACCACTCTACAGCCACAAATAATAGTCAGAACAGCAACTAACTTCATCAACAGTACATATAGGGTCCTAGCCATAGTACTAGCCACCAAACATCTTTTTAACTTTGCCTAATTTCTTTAGCAAAGAGACTAAACACAACTCACCTACTCTCTTCCAGCAGCCGCTTGTTTGTAGCGAGTCCATTATAGACTACAGCGGGGTTTCACAGCTCAAGGAAAAACATTTATCATCATTACTTTATCATTTCCTTAAAGTGATAATCACCATAATAATCATTTTGCACTGCAGATGCTGTAGTTCCTCTGCCTTAGCGTCTCAGTCTGATTGCATTTCCATGAAGAAATGGTCTCACTACAAACAAACGGCTGCTGGAAGAGAGTAGGTGAGTTGTGTTTAGTCTCTTTGCAAAGGAATTAGGCAAAGATGTTTGGTGGCTAGTGCTGTGGCTAGGACCCTATATGTACTGTTGATGAAGTTAGGTGCTGTTCTGAACATTATTTGTGGCTATAGAATGGCGTTTTGGTTGAGGTTTGTTTATGACTCCTCAGACCGCTGTGTATTGCTATCATGTGGTCGTTACTAAAGTTGGTATAACTAGAGAAGCAAGCAGTTGGCAACATTCATCTCTTGGGGGGGTGTCTAACTTGGTGCTACGGTGTGTTTGACCCAAATTTATTTTACGTCCGAATATCCCTTTAAGCTTTTGTGGGCTATTGTTTCTATTAACTTTAACATCATTGTAGTCTGTAATATTACTTTAGTTGCTTTCTCTGACCTTGCAGACTCGGGCGATCCTCGACACCTTGGTCTGGCTCGGGTAGGCGATCTGCTCCTGGCTCCTCTCCGTGAAGAAGAAGTAAATCTTGTCATCGTCGCCGATAGAGCTGTTGATGCTCTCTTTCAGCAGCACCGAGCCCACAAAGTCTGCCTCTGCAAACACACAAACACACACACACTCACACACAGATCCACATGTTTAAACACAGACCTTTTACCAGCCGAGGAAGTGTCTCCTAGGAAACTAAGGATGGAGCTTTTAAGTATGATTGAAGTGCCACAATAAGCCGGTTAGAGCTGCAGTGCGCTGTTTGATGTGATTTTCATTCAGCGGGTCAATCAGTTTTTGTTGTAACAGCAAAAAATCTGATAGGATTAAAACGTGTAAAAAGACAATGAGGTTTGGTCCATTTGGAAAGGGAAATGACATACATTAGTGACTGCTGCTGTGTCTTCTCATTACTTAAAGTGCATAAAGACTATCTCCCTTCATATTTACCCAGAAGCCAGCGGGTGGGGGCCTCCTCGGTCCTGAGCGTAGGGAACGGGAAGTTTCTGCGCACGTCTGGAGAGCTTCGAAACTCGTACTGGGAGGCTGTGAACATCTCACCGTCTGAAACAGTTACAGTTACATCGGTTAAGGTGGAAATTAATGTTGACATCTAAGCTAAATAAGATGCAAATGAAAACAACACAGTGCAGCATGAGGAGGCTGACTGTCACCTGACACCTGATGTATTCATAGAAGTATAAAAACACATAGAAGGGTTGTTTTTATATCGAATGAACTTTAATTTTGCAATAAAAACTAACCTGCTTTAGCTATAGAAGACATATGGCTTTTTTAACCAGTTTGTGAAATAAATCAAAACTAACTACATTAAAATATCTAAACCTCAACACAACAATTACCTTAAATTGATAGTTTTATTCCCATTTAATAGGGTTGTATGAGGTGCTTGTCAATAGTAAGAGTATAACCCAGAGATCCCACCTATATGCTGTTAGTGTATGGGTCTTAAAATTAGCTAAATTTCATGGTCTGTTTCAAGGTTGCTAACAGCTCAGCATCCTCAAATATCCTTTTTTTATCATGTCTATGATTTCTGAACTTGTTCAAGCATCTGTTATTCATTCAGACAGAAATATTTCAATTAGCGTGAAATTTGACACAGCCTGTATGCACTTCTTAGGAAAAATATCAAAAAACTTACAGCCCTCTAACTTATCGTGTTGTGTTGTTCACGAACGATTCGCTCAAAAGAACCGAATCTTTTAAGTGAACGTACCGAACCGAATCACTTCCTCAAGAGATCTGTTTGTCTCTCAGCAGTCCATGTTCAGTGTGAATTCTTCTAAACCTTTAATGAACGAATCACTCACTGAGTCCAATTTACCGAGCAGAGTGGATGTAGCGTACCACAGGACAGTACACTTAAAACATCATGACTTATAAACTTAAAAACAATTTTGCAAACCTGTTTGCTAAAGCAACACAGCCAAACACTCTCGTCTCCCAGAAGCTCTGAATTGAACTGAATCCTGAACCGTTTAGCTGTGTATCAGTTCAGGAGGTCGGAGTCGCAGGCTCCTCCCACCAAGCACTGAATGATTCTGTGATTTGGTGAATGAATCTTTCGAACAAATCTTTTTAGTGAACTGATTCTAGTGATTCAGTACATCTAAAAGAACTGCCAGGCCCATCACTAAGAACTTAATTGTGTCGCAAATGTTAAATTAAATAGTAATCTCTCAAATTTCACTCTAGCTAATGATCAAATTACCTAAAATTAATGACTAATACCCACCAGCTTCTGCTGCATTTGTGCTTAGTGTTGGTTAACATATCTTTGCACGATAATGTGACTAACTAATAAGGTCAAAACATGCTATAAAAGGCTGTTTTGACTAGAAATATGTTTTGACTCATTGTTGTTCAGTTTTTGCTCATTTCTGGGTACTTTTTATGCAGCTTACATGTACATGAATTTCGGCGAACGTACCTACTAGCAGTCCTGTGTATCCTTTTGCTGGGTCGTATGGACACCTGTCTCTGCCCTCCTCAAAGCCCGAGGAGAAACTGAACCTCTCTGCATCCTTGCAAAAGAGGGAAAAAGAAGCACACGCAATCACGCCATTGTAATCTGAGACCGTTGGTAAATGTGCGGCGGTTAAATCACATGAGCTCTTACGATGTAAGCACAGAGAGGTCTGAAGGCGTTTGTTCCACAGGTGTACAGGTGAGTCTCATTGTAACGCTGAAGGAAGCGGATGTGATTGTAGCACTCTGTCTGCAGGGAACCACAAAGAGGGCAGGTTATTTCTGGCTCCACAATAGAGGAGCTGGAGGGAAAAAACAGGCCAGTCGGAGCAGTTCAGGAACGATTTCATGCCAGTATTGAAGGAATTAGTGTATTTTTAGGGTATGAAAAGAAAACATTCTAAAGAGATTATACACTTGGATTGATTTCAAAAGTATCGTCACATTAAAAAGCACAAGTTTTGGATTTAATCATTCAATTTTATGTCAATAAATCAATTCTTACTGCGAAAAAATGGCAGACGATTGGAAACAAAAGAGTAGAAATGCAGAATTGTACCTTATTGTCTCTTCCTTTGTTGAGACACTGCTTCTTCTGCTCAGGGGAAGCATCCCAATCAATCTGCGCACAATGGGGGTTAATCAGGATGAGTCAGTTAGCTCAATAGTCAGAGAGGACAAATGGATAAAAACAGAGAAAAGGAAGAGGTGAAGAAGAGAATAAGAGTCTTTCACTTCATTTTCTGGCTCCATCTTGTGTGTTGACTCTGCTCAGTAACTCTTGAATAAACGCCTGGTGCATTTAATCCGATATCCATAAAAATTGGAGGGACACAATGGGATTTGTTCAATCTGCTCGAGGCTATTATTAGTCCGTCCTCTTTTAAAACTCAGGAAACGAGTGAAAACTTGTGAAATCCGGTTTGCCGCGTCTTTGTTGTTACTTCTTGGCACTCACCGTGAGGTTCGCAGGTGTGGAGATGTTGGAAGTGTTGAGAGCGTGCAGAGCTCCTCTCCCTCCTACGTACAGGAGCCCGGCGTCCTCCTCCAGCAGCAGGGTGCTGTAGTTCTGGGAAGAGCCGGTGAAACGCGCACCGCCCAACAGACCTGTGAGATAAAAACCATCAGTGTTGCTTTTGTAGATCAGAAAGAGGCATTAATGTGGATTTCAGTCTATTTCATCAGTGTTTAAAAGACTCTTCACAGGAGCTTTAACTAATGAGGAATTCTGTCTTTTTAATTGTTTAGTCCATAATAAAGTTTAAGCAGCAGGACCACACCTCAAGCGTACTTCTCCCACTCCTGTAAATACAACCCTAACCCTCTCCTCCCCTTTCATTATCACATCCCGCACCCTTCCCTGCCTCCCACCTCTTTCTCTCTACTTCTTTCTTCTCCTCCTGCCCTCAGGGGTCTGCCATGCCCGGGAGCGAATAAGCTTCCCCAACCTGACAACTCAAACTCAGATTCAGTTTTCTGAAAGACGCCTTATTATCAAAGCAAAACAAAAAAACATGCTCCCTTTTTTTACTGCTAATGTGAATCAGCGGTCAGAAACACCAAGAAATAGCAGATCATTTGATTCATTCTTCTTACTTTTCTCCATATCAGTCGTGTCTATAAATCTAAAAGCTAAAACCAGATGTACTCACGAGGATCAGACTCTCATTTTCAAGTTTGTCATAATTACACGTAATGATCTCTGAAAAAATCATCTTAATGTCGCTTGAATGGGTATTAATTATCTCAACAAATCGGCTCCTTTTTTTCTCGAGATAATGATATGATTTATAACCACATTAGAGCAAAACAAGCGTTGTTGTCTAAAGATAATGAAGAAATTAGCCTGATATATGGAGATAAGGGAGATAATTGCTATCAGAGCAGTTTTACTCCATCTTTAAAGAAGCATAATGATATCTTTTATGAGACTTGATGTAATTATTTAGCTATCATGGATGGATCTTAAAAGCTCGCCATATTCGATTGAATGTAAAGATAAGTGTTCAGTTCTGGTTGCAGACCATAAAAACGTATTTGTACATAAGCTTCCATCGTGATTTCACACTCAGTGGAGACCCTAAATGAGCATGCCTAGTCGTGACTGCACGAGGGTGAAACTCAACAACACGTCAGGGAGACGGGGGGTCGCTGGAGTGTTCGCCAAGAATGAGGCGACGGGGGCACAGGGGAGGCGAAATTTGAGGGCATTCAGCAGGAGTCGTGGCCCAGTAATGCCAAATCGCATCAGCAGTGCTGCCACCGCATCATCATCACTCCTGCTGCTGCATGTGTGAGTGTGTGAGTGTGTAAGTGTGTGTGTGATGGTGGTTCATACAGTAACTGGGCCAAATTAGGGTTAGCTATGCCACTGAGCAGAATGTCATTAAAGTCAAACTGGATGTTATTTTTCTTCGCTAGTTCTTGCATCCTTGTTGCAGAAAAACAAATTATTTTCTCTTCTGGAAATATTAAAACTAAAGAAAATATCTAGAAACTTAGAATTGGATGTAGCCGCAAAAATGGGGGCAGATTGCTCTGCTGCTGCTGAGAGACAATAAAAATGAGGGCAGTGTTTTTTTTTCTTTTTTTCCGTGGATCTGGAATATCGTTGCAGAAGTAGCTGTACTTGCTCCAAAATGGATGTTAGCGTCTGATACAGAAAAAGAAAGGAAACCACACGTGCAGAGAGAACAAAAGGCATCGTCAGTTTTACGCCGAGGAAGATGAGTCAGCAGAAATCTAATGGGCATATTAATCGACTCACATCAACCCTATCTCACCCCCTTTCTTTTCCTGTGAAGTAATAAGACGTCCTATATTTATCCCACACCAATCGATTCAGCGTAATGTAAGGGGGCCTCCATGCTTGTCCCTGTTAATCTGTTCCCCTCTGTTATATTTCTCATGGAGCGAGAATGATCCAAGACAGCGGAGAGGGCCAGGGGATCACAGAGCTTTGAGAGTACAGCAGGAAATACAAGCTGAATGATGGTGAAATTTCACACTCTAAGCTTCGTGAAAGTCTGTTTCTAATTGGATCAGGGTCACTTGCCTTCCTTCAGAGAAAAAGAGACTGACATATGTTACTAATAGGCCAGAACATCCCACATTTCTGAAATTCTGTGGTTAATAGAAATGATTTTCTCGCTGTAACGGATGAATTGGGTCGCATTGAGGGAGAAAAAATGGCAAAGATTTCGAGGATTAAGTCAGGATGTTTCAAGAGCCCTTCGTTATTAGTGCTACAAGGATAAAGTTGTACAAAAATATAGTATTTTGTCATTTCAACAGAGAAACTCTCAAAACTACTTTCTCATCTATGATATTTATGATTATGTTTTCAAAAAAAAAACAAAAAAACATTTAATATGTAAGACCCCGAACCAATGGACTTGATTTTACAACCAGAGGGTCTCTTCCTACTGGCCACTGTGAAAAATGCAGCCTTAATGTGCTCCCACTCTTACTTCCTGTTGTAAACCAGATGTTCAAACCCCATTTACATGCACCCGGTTATTTTTAAAAACGGACACATTAACCATCATTTCCAACCTTTGTTTAGAGAAACAGAGAATACGCCTCTGAAAACGATGCTTCTCAGTTTGCATGTCCACCAGTAAAAAAAAGAAGGGAAAACGGAGATGTGGGTAGCCGATGGTAGATTGTGCGCAAGAAAGAAGGAAGGGACATTGTTGTTGTTGCTACTATGCAGGATTTTGATTGGCTAACGTGGGCTTGAACTATTTGCAACGCTGCCGCCCACATGTTCGCCCACGGCAACACATACGCAGGTTATTGTAAACAAAAACTTTTCTGAAAACTTAGTGGTGTGCACGCAGTTTTTTTTTTTTTGTAAATGGAGAGGGTTAAATGTCCGTTTATAAAAATAGTCAGGCACATGTAAACGTAGTCTCAGTCCACCTCAACTCCTTTTCATGTATGAAACAGGATTGTCATTAATACTGCAGCTTCACTCTGTGCTCACTCCATCCCTCTGCTTTACTAACACACACTTCATCCTTGTGTTGCTGCACTCTCAGTTTTGGATAGTTGTGCTCGACACACGTTATCATAATGAACTACAACTTTTTCATATGCAAGTTGTGTTACATGCACAGATAAAGAAAAGGAGAAGGGAGAGAGAGAGGGGTGACTTTTTAATGATGTGTCTTCTTTGTTTAAGATCTCCACTCAAGTTTTATTTTGTTTACTCATGAGGGGAAAATGTCATGTTTTGGGTCAGTAGTCGGGTTAAAGTTTGTCGGAAAATGCCGTCAAACTAGTCAAAACACTTCTTAAAAATGTGACTGGACTAAATCCAAAACAAAGACAAGGAGACAAACGTTCCCTCCTCTTGGCTTTAACTCACCTCCACTATCTCCACCGTGGCATTACTAATGTTTTCACTGCAATAACTCACAATGACCGTGATGATAATGAGGGTGACAGCGTGTCCCGCGGTGGGGGCTGATCTTGCGTAATGACAACATGATGAAAACTGTTTTAGAGTTTCCCCAAACATCACATGGGAGGCGTTATCCTCCCCCGCATGTCGACATGCTAGTCTGACTGTCACATGGACGTGCTAGGTGATGATGACAGCGGCTCCGCGAGCGCCCATCGACTCTCCAAAAGACCTGGCAGAGACTGAGTCAGACTGTGGTCTCTCAGCACGCCCACTTTCCTTCCTGCCAGTCCTTTCTTGCTGGCTCTATCACTGACAGCCAGACGAGCGTGTTAACTCTCTAACTGGTCAGTCGTTGAGTTGTTATCATACTTGTTCGTTCATGCCTGTCTGCCTGATCGCATGAATGACAGCTGAGGTAAAAGACACCAAAGATGCACAACGCTAGCTAGACAAAACTTTGAAACAGGAACTGAGCAAAGACATTAAAGACAACATAATTTTTGCATAAAACTTGGGGATATTGTTGTGTAAGTTGCAACCATAGACTGTACATACTATGGACAACTTGGTTCCACCATCCACCAGTATACAGATTTGAAGCCAAAAAGCTCTCGGTAATTCCGCGATTTTTCTCCACTTCCTGAAATCAATATTGCGTAGTAGCATTGTACGCGTTCGGCAGGAGAGTCGTCAAGAGTTGCTGTGGTGACGCTCGGCTCAAACATCGTATCTCTCAGGTGAGCTACACAATCTTCGTACGCCCATAGGCTGTATCAGGTGTCAATCATAGAAAACATGAGCCCCCTAATAACTTTTAAAAATAGGGCTGTGCAGAAAAAAGAGGACTTGAGCACAAAACAGTCTTACAATAACTACTTGCCAACATTGCAACCAGGGAGGAGAAAAATTTATATTCTGTGTAATAAATTTCTAAAGTTTATCCACAGCTCCATAGGGATTGCTGGCGGAGGCGGGATTTATGACCTATACTGCAGCCTGTCACTAGAGGGTGCTGTTCTCGGGCTGGCTTCACCCAGAGAGGAGACAGTCTACGGTTGCAACACCATTCACTTTGATTGGATGATAATGACCCCAAATATTGAGCAATATCAGGACAATTTCATCTGAGAGGAACTGCTATTCTGTCTTGACTTTGGCGCCCCGTGTGGCCAAAGTGGTGCCTCTTGTATCTTTGTAAGAAGTCCTGTTTCACTGAAATTCTGTGATGTAGAAAACGTAAACAAAAGCTTTGGTGTGCTGAGCATCCCTTGATCCGAAACCTTCCCTGCAGCACTGATTTCAAAGCAACAATAATATCTGGAGAGAGCAAATCCATCTTGTTGCAGATGGTACTGTTTGCTTGAGTGGGTGATAAGCATCACTTTCTGATTTAAGTTTGATTCATAACCAGCTAAAAACTCTCTCTAAGGCTCTTGAGAGGATGGAGTAATTAGTGCAAACCTCCATAAAAACAGGAAATCTGCTCTGTTCTTGAATGGAAGTTGAACTAAACTTTCCTAGAACTCTGTCTCTGCTGTTTCCTTTAAGGATCGCAAAAGGAAAAATTATGTAACTCTCAGTAAAAACCAAAGAGGAAGACGTCTGTGTGACTGTCACAAAGTATATCTCATGGGCTCAGATTTGAGTGAGCAAGAAGCAGCTCCTCAGAAACTGCCAAAGGTCGGGACACGCCAGCGGGGGATCAGGAGTCATCTAAAGGGTGTGGGGAGGAGAGGACCCATAGTGGGAGTCACGCATCATGAGGCCCTCTTTACCACGCACAGGTTCACACACAACACGATCATGATTGACAACAAAGCAGTGAGATTGAGTATCTTGAAAACATGCGTTGCCACATCATCCAGATCAGAAGAAAAGCTGCATACTCTCATGGATCACACTTAAGGAGCGGGGGATACTCAAACACAATGACCGCCTCAGGCAACATAAAAAGGCTTACTACATATGAGTCACTCAAGAGTGAGCGAAAGCCTTGGATTTTATCTCATGAAAATAGCGTCTGCATGATAAAACAAGCAGGCGAGAAGGACCATAATGACGTACAACACGACCCTCACCCCGGGGCAGCTGAAGAGCTCTGACCTTGGTTGTAGATCTGAGCATGTGAGGGCTGCCTGGTCGGGACTTGTCGGCGCATTTTAACACACCTGATGCTCATAATTTGCTGTTGACAACAAAGTCAGATGTATCAAAGTGGAAAATGGTTGTTCACTTTGGTCTGAAAATCAATGCAATCACAGCTGTGCTCCAAAAGCCAATCCCTCTGCTATTTGCAAAGAAATTGAAAAGAAATTGGTCCTTTCTCTCCCTGGATGCACACACACACACACACAAACACACACAGAGAGAATTAAAAGCTTCTTTTTCGAATGAGAAACACAAATACATAACTTTGATAAAACTTCTATAAAAAACACTCGCGTCACTTTTTAATCCCAACTTCAAACTTAATTCTGTAGGGGTTTTTTTCTCCATGACGTCCTACAAAGGCTTTCAATCATCTTATTCCGTCTCCAAAGGAGCAGCAACACTGATCAAAACATAGTTTTTCTGATGCTTTGATTTATGTTTGATGAGGTTTCAGCCCAGAAAGAACTTGGCAAGTGTTAAAAATCTACAGGATCAATAAACTCGATCTAATCTAATCTTATCTGATCTAATCTAATCACATAAGCTCTGTATCTGGCCTCTAAGGACCCCAAAATGTTCTTTAAGAGGTGTGATCGATTGTTCTGGTCTCTGATTTAACGGAAAACATAAAAACAATGTTGATCAACCATTCTCCAATCTTACTCTTACTCATTCTACATCCAGTAAAATGCTTTTTTTACCATATCCCTTCCCTGCTGTGGCACAAGATTAAAAGTTATAATATCTACAGCTGTGATTTTGTAACTGTGTTGCTGCTGTTAAACCCAAGCAGCAACCTTCAAACTTGAGAAATAAAACCAATGTGGAAGTGCCACAAACTGCAGTTCCAAGAGTGTCCACTTGAGGCTGACTCCAAAAGCCCTCAAAGCTACACACACACCTATTCAAAAAAGCCAATCTCCACACAAATAATAAACATAATGGAATTTTGCCGTCTTATTGTGGATGGCCTTTTTTTTAGCGAAAGGGCCTCCATTTTTGTGGAGTAATGCTGCTGATAAGTTTACTAAGGTCAAGAACACATGGATTGGTCAAGTTACAATGACAGTGCCCTCTGCTGGATCATGTGGTAAGGCAGTTTGGGTGGCCTTATTTGCTAATATACTGGATTACTTTGAGTTTTAACAGCTCTATACAGTTTAAATATAAACTTTACCCCCGAATATTCAAATAAAGATTTTTATTTCAGAATAAAAATGTACAGCCCTGAGAGATAATTGTAAAAGTCGCTGCTAGCTTCTTGCTTTAAAAGAAAGCCACACAAAAAGGAAACTGGATGTGAAGCCAAACCAGTTAGAGCTCCCCCTACTGACTTGCTGCAGTATCAGTCAAAACAAATTAGTTTCCTGGATTACCTGTTGTTGGATCGGTATCTGTCATAATGTGTAACAAAAAATGGATGGAATAATAGCTTCTTAAAATTACAACCAAAACAGTAAAAGCTCCCTTTGTGGCTGGCTGCAATAAAGGTCGATAAGCAAGCCTTCTCCATGTAAACAGATGGGACATGGGTCAAACTTTAAAATCTAAATACATGTTGAAGGCATCCTTTTCAAACACTTCTATCATTATAGCTAGCTCTTAACATGCTAATAAATGTTAGCGTTGATATGTCTGAGAGATTTGATTTGAACTAGACTTTAAAATAGAGTTATGATATAATGATTGACAGCTCTGTTGACGAATGAGGCTCCTACATCACTGTCTGAACCGATTAGTAGTAACACAAGAATCTGTTCTGTTGTGAACTGTGTTGTTAAGCGATCTTTCTTGCAATTTCTTGTCAGTATTTTGGCTTCACTTTTGTACAACCAAGGTAGAAGCATGTCGTCCATCGTTATATTCATTTAGTAAAGGATACAGAGACTCTATTGGAACCATTCAACGTCTTTCTTCCAGACTGTGTTGACTCAAACATGGACAAACAGGAAGAAAGAATCGACTGTTTTTGACTTTTTTTTTTACCAGCCTAAGCATGGCCATGCATGTGTTTAGCATTTGAGATAACAGCAGCATGTTAATGTTGACCTCCTCCTCCCCGAAGCCGCTATTTTCTATTCAAATATACAGGCACACACACACACATACACAGACACAAACACACTGTACCTTGTGCTTTGCTGCATAATCAATGAGGAAAGTCAACAGAGCGCTGAGGTGTGCCAGAAGCCTCTCAGCCTGCTGGTTTCTATTTACTGTTGTCATCCCACATGCACATGTCCCTTTCTGTGTGTGTGTATGCACAAGTGTGTGTTCATGAAGACCTTTTTGTGTGCATGTAAAGGGTACATCACTCCATGAAAAGAGAGGAGGTCAAAATAAGAACCCTTCAGAAACATCTGTCAGGTTTCCCCTTCACACACTTAACACCTTTTTTATCCTTAATCGAGCTCCTGAAAACGAGTGAAGATGCCTCTGTCAGTGACTCAGAGGATCTGCATGCGTGTGTGTGTGTGTTGTGTGTTTGCCAAAGTGACTGGGTCTCAACACTGAGCCGTCACAGGTGGTGCGTCCAGAATGTGTACGCTCACACTCAGACATATTTGAAATCCTCCATGCGGGGCTCAAGACCATCGCAAATCCACTGTTCGCTCTTGTGTTTGTGTGTGCGTCTACCACATTCGTCAGAGTGAGTGACTTCCTGTGTGACTCACCGATCACTGGACGCAGCATAGAGACCATGTGACGCACACACTCACACATATACACGCATGAAAACAGGCACGTGCTTATAAAAAGATTTGGGAACAAATGCTGGGAGGAAAGGCTGACTTAACGTCTTCGGACAGTGTCAGAACTGTCAGTTGTTGTCATCTCTGTTTGCATTATATAAGCATCTCTTCACGTCTTTACCCGGCCTTTAAGTCAATGAACCTTACTGTGTATTATATAAGCAATGATACACAGCTCCATCTCACGTCATACAAAAATAGGAGGCAAATAATGCAAAGCTAAGAGCAGCTCCCTCCGTTATTTTCACTTAATGTCACTTTTCCTATATGCTTTATTCATAAAGACAGAATACCACATGAGTGCAGCACTTTGCAGCATTTAGCTAGTTATAGCCAAGAGAAGAACTTCCTTCAACAGGCAGAAACCTCAAGCAGAACCAGACTCATGTTTGACAGCCATCTGCCGCTACTGCATTGTGTTTAGAGAAAGGATAGAGGAAGATGCAGAGAGAGATAGAGATGGACAGAGGTGAGACTAATGCGTGTATTTGAAGTAGGGCTGGGCGATAAACCAAAAATATACCGATACAGAAATGTACGACAATAACCGACATCTTTTGGCCGATGTTAATAGATTCGGTGTCAAATAAATAAATAAAAATAGTTTTTGAATGTGTGTAAGTAGGCTATGGCCTCATGTCCCTTTAAGACACTGTCCTACATCAGAGACGTGACTCCACCCCATCCAGTTCATAACAAAGAGGGAAAGACAGGTGAGGAGATGGAGGACGGTTCAAAAGTTGTAGCAGCTGAAGTAGACGAAGTTAATGTGGGAGGGGGTGAGCAGCTTGTGGAGTAGTTATTGTTTATTTATCGTTATTGAGGTGAACTGCTAAAAATATTGTGATATTTATTTGACGCCATATTGCCCAGCCCTAAAAGAGAGTATAAGATTGAGATTGTGATTAGATCCACTCCCATCTAATCTTCAACCGCATGAGTCGAGCACTTTGCAGCTTTTAGCGAGTTACAGACAAAAGGGAGAACTTCCTGTAACAGGCAGAAACCTCGAGCAGAACCAGACTCACATTGTAGGGCTGGGCGATATGGCCTCAAATCAATATCAGGATATATCAAGCAATTCACCTCGATAGCAATCAATGGACGATAACTACTCCACAAGCTGCTCACCCCCTCCCACATAAACTTCGTCTACTGCAGCCGCCGCTCCAGCTTCTACAACTTTTGAACCGTCCTCCATCTCCTCACCTGTCTTTCGTTCTTTGTTACGGACTGGATGGGGCGGAGTCATGTCTCTGACGTAGGACAGCGGCTTAAAGGGACATAAGACCATAGCCTACCTACACACGTACAAAACCAACTTTTATTTATTTGTTTTTTTTTTATTAACACAGAGTATGTTGACTGGGGCAAAATGACGTCAGTTATTGTCGTAAATTTTGGTATTGGAAAATTTTCGGTTGATCGCACAGCCCTATGTTTGACAGCCATCTGCTACTACTGCATTGCGTTTAGAGAGGGGATAGAGCAGCAGCAAGATGTCTTGACTCTGAGCTAATAAGAGCACATGCTTTAAGTAATCCAGTGGTTTTGAGAAAAAGAGGAACTTCACTGTCTGACATGTGCGCTCAGCTCTTGGTGGATAAAGATGTCAGCCACTTCCAGAGCGATCACCTGCTAAACATCACACTTAAAAGGCAGCGTATTGTTTACCACATATCTCAAGACTACAAAACAAAGTACCTTTTACAAAGCTTGAGTCAGATCCAAAACTTTCAGAGGACTTCTTTTTTCTAAACCGGGGGAGACTGCAGAGTGAGATGAAAGACAGCCAAGACTTTCATCTCAGTAAAGGAAGCCAGCTCCTCACATACAACACACAAATACTCCCCGTGTTGTTTCAAGTTTTGCTAGAAGCTAATCAGAGTGGTACCGACAAGATTCTGTCAGAATCTCACACCAGAATAACCATGTGGGGATAGAAACAAAGTATCACAGAGATCTCAGTGGGTTTCAAAGTCCAGCGCAGTCATTTTGTTCCACAGAGAGAATGAAAAAGTGTAAAAACAAACGACGTCTGAGTGGTGAAACAATGCTGTAACCCAGCTGCGATAAAGATTGAACAATGCCATCCAGAGCAGCTGCATTCAAGCCTATAATGTGAGTGAATAATCAATGTTTTCTGTGTTTATTTGCAGCTGCTGAGGCTGTTGGCAAAGACAATAATAGACTTGGCTGTATTGTAAACCAAGACGGTGGGTGGCCGCCAATGACTTTTGTCCTCATTGCTCTAATTACAACACCGGATGAAGAAAGATCGCCATTTACGAGATGACAGGGTTAATTACCACCCTCAAATAAACTCCCCAGCTACAAAGACCTCTTTTTGCCTTCTCAGCTTATCAAAGCAGCTACAGACGAGTTACAGTGCATCAATATTTCACGAGTGCATTACTTCGAGTCTGGTGGCAGACGCAGAAAAAGCAAAAAAAAGCTGGTACCCAACGGGCAAACATGGAGAGTTCAGAGCACAGTCAAGCATTTATCTCACCTCTGGGAGGAAACAACAACCCTGTCTCATAAACCCACAAACAGGGACTGTTTAGGAAAGTCGAGTCGTCAGCAACATCATATACAGATTAGAGATACATCAACAATTGTGGGAAATAAAGGAGGCAAAGCTCCTTCACAATAAGGATGTGAGTTTTTATTCCCAGACTTAGGAAGATGACTTTATATCGAAAAGTTTAGTTGAGAACAATGTTTGCCAATTCCTACTTTCAGATATTTCCATACATTATGGGAGTATCACCAAGGTTTCTTTGCACCTCGTCGTTCTCCACAGTTTTAGAGTCCAATGCTCCAAGGGTAAAGAGGAAAAATATTAAATATTAAACTTGGAAACAAGACCGTGAAAACAAACTACCCACCAAAACATCATGACCTGTGTTCAGATTTTGGGGCTGTATCCTTTGAAGGGTGCATTTCAGAAGATTTTGATTGCTCCCTCAAATGCAGTCGATACCACTGATCCTGTGCTGCACCGATTTTAACAGATTGCAAACCCTGAAGTGGCTGAGTAATGCATTTTTTCAAATTGGTTTCAACTCATCAGATCAGCAAGCACTGCGAATGTTAAAAGAGACAGATGCTTTGAACCTCCAAATTACCCTTAAAATGCTAATGATGATGGTTATGCGACGCTAGCAATGTAAGGTAGCAAGCATAGGAAGGTAACTGGGGTGGCTATGTGCTATACTGTGATTGTGGAAGGGGAGGGACCCCCCAGAACAACCAAATATTACTTATTGCATCAGAACAATGTTATTTTTGACTGGAGTGGTCCTGACTGAAAATCATCTGTTATTTGGATCTGCATAGCTCAACTAATGGCCACAAGAGCACAGACAAATACCACTACTTTAAAGGGATATGTTGGCGAACACTGAGTTAGACACCCCCTCGAGAGATGAATGTTGCTGACCACTTGCTTCTCTAGTTTCACCAACTTAAGTAACGACCACACGATAGCAATACACAGCGGTCTGAGGAGCCATTTCTTTATCATTTCCTTGAAGTAACAATCACCATATCAGTCATTTTGCACTGCAGACGCGGTAGTTCTTCTGCCTTAGCGTCTCGGTCTGATTGCATTATGATGAAGAAATGATCATAAATGTTCTTCCTTGAGCTGCGGCACCCCGCTGAAGTCCGTAATGGACTGGCCTTAGGTCTCGCTACAAACAAGCGGCTGCTGGAAGAGAGTAGGTGAGTTGTGTTTAGTCTCTTTGCTAAAGAAATTAGGCAAAGTTAAAAAGATGTTTGACGGCTAGTGCTATGGTTAGGACCCTATATGTTCTGTTGATGAAGTTAGGTGCTGTTCTGAACATTATTTGTGGCTGTAGAGTGGCTTTTTGGTTGAGGTTTGTTAATGGCTCCTCAGACCGCTTTGTATTACCATCGCGCTGTCGTTACAAAAGTTGGTATAACTAGAGAAGCAAGCGGTCGGCAACATTCATCTCTCGAGGTCTTGACATATAAGAGACGTTACAGTCAACTTTGGACTGAGTCTCTTTCACTCCCCTTTATAACAGAACAATATTTGATGTTAAACTTCTGATGGTAAATGGTAAATATAATGTTTAACATAGAGTTATGAGACTCTGTCCAATAGGGAGTGTTAAGAGAGTTTATTAAACTTCGCAAAAGATTATAAACTGCAAGAGATTGTATTGTTCAAAGCAGCTTGACTTCTCCAAAACTGAAAGCTACCAGCTGTTCATTCTGGAAGAAGCTTCAACAGCAAGAAACTGCAGATAATTCTCCTCACAACAAGCCACCACTTCCACATCCACACGGTCATTTTAACCATAATTTGCAGAACAATACCAGTAAAAACAGCTTCATTCATGAAATGGAATACTTAGCACAATAATTGCCAATTTTCCTCACATTAAAATGTCAATATTTCAAGGTTACACAATGTGCCTTATTTTCTCTTTTCTCTCCTCACTGATGTTTTCATTTAAAACTGTGCAGAAAGTGATCGCGCCACTTTTCCTCTCATACCTCTGAGCTCCCTCTGATACATCTTGTCCTTGCACGCCCACTCACACAGGCCATCTGCACAGCATACTGTAAATTAATGAGCGTCCCCTCACCTCAGATAAGAAGCGTAATATCAATCCTCCCACACACAGTCCCCCAAAGGTAGTGACACCCACAAATAACATCTCTCTTTTTTTTTTTTTCATTTACACTTCTTTACACCCAGGCAGGCGAGTCCTCTCTTTGCGTTCCCCAAGTGACATGTGTCACCACAGGGAAAGTGACAGAGGTTGCATGTGAGCAGATTTTACATGATGTGACTACATGCATGCCCTCATAGCCCCTTCTCTCCCCCAACACGCACATAAACTCTTGTCATACAAGTATTCAGACACACACACAGACTGATGAAACTCATGCTGACACACGTGCACACCCTGCACTCTCACATGCACTCACTTGCTGCCCCTCCCTGGACGGTTTGAAAGTAGGTCAAGGACGACTCTCTAGGAGGGCAAAGAGAAAAATAAAATCTGCAATGGGAGACTGACTCTGGCTGCGGCGCAAAAAAGTGCCCAGAGTAAGCAGAGTATGTATGATTTATGATCCGGGTCAGACACAGACTCAGAGATGAGTAAATAAATAGCAAAAGGCCTGACAGAAAGGAGCTGTTTTTCAGAAAGGGCAATGAGATCTGTCTGTGATTCACGGAAAAACTTACTTCATGAGGCCTAATGAGTTATTCATGCTGCCCCATTTAATGAAGTGTGCAGAGTTAACCAAGTGTGCTCTCCATTCAGTTATTGACTGCACTTTTAATGTGGACTAGAGTCGTTCTGCTGCCAGTGTTGTACCTCAGAGTCTTGATTTTTAATTTAAAAATCAAACTCTAACATCAACTGTTAGGACTTAAAAAGAAGGAGAAACAAGCTCTGACTTATTCATTGATGAGTCTGTTTTTAATACGAGGCCCTGATCATTTATTCAGAGCAAAGGCTGGCATGGCATGTGTGTTCACCTGAGTGCACACCCACATGCCGCCTTGTTCAGCACCAGCTCCCATCGGGGTGCCCCAAGAAGCGCCACAAGCAGTGGGTTTTGCTTTTCTACAGAAAATCAGGGAGAGATCAGGTATGTAAAAAAAAACACTGAGGAGAAGACGGGACAAGCTCAGACAGGAAATCCAACAGTAACACTCCAAGATAATGACAGAGAGTGATGGCTAATATATCCTGCTGATATCACATGATGAAGATTTTCTCCAAACGAAACCAATTTTCTAATTAATTCATGAAATAGAAAAATACTGTGTCATGTTGGATTGGATTCCAGGACATGACTGATACATACATGTATCAGAAGCAACACTTAACTTCATTATTCTTTACACTATAACAGAATGTATAAATAGCAAGAGGCTTCATATAAAGCATATGTGGTTTATTTGTGTCTGTTTTCTTCACTTTGGTTGATGTCTCTTTGATTTAGCTCCTTGTGTCTTTTAATACCCCACTTATTAATGTCTGCACTGGTGACTGGTCAGCCAACAATGACTACGAATCTTCAGTTTAGCAACAAATGCAAATGAATAATTGTTACTATGAGGTTTTGACCAATCAGAATCAAGCATTTAACCAGATGTTACTTCCTTTTTGCATTGAATAACACTATAAGTTATCTAAGAAGGTAGGGGTGGTAATACAACTGCTAAAGTTGGCAATTCCTGATTACTGTTGTTGATCAGTATTGTTAGCTAACTTAGATAACCATTATCAGATGTTACAGGCAGCATTAATACAGATGTTACTTCCTTTTTGCATTGAATAACACTATAAGTTATCTAAGAAGGTAGGGGTGGTAATCCCCAGTGGCGCCACGATCCAATAGTATCACGATACTTGTGTCACGATACGATATTATTGCGATTTTGAACATTTTGTAATAAAATGAACATTGCAATTTATACAGTTTTTTCAACTGTTGAGCTAATTCAGCACTTGTCTTTCCTTTATGTTTGTCTTATTTACGCTGTGTTTTATTTTTATGTAGCACATCTTGCAAACCTTATATATATACTTGTTGTACTAACTTTCTCCTGCTTTTCATGACGTCACCTCTGCCAACCTCACTGAGACAAACAGTTGATTTAATTTTTCCATTATCATAGATTTGACTTTATATTAACAATTAATTTGAAAAAATCTATACTTGGTAAATGAGACAATACGATATATCACCAGACAAAATACCACGATACTATGCTGTATCGATTTTTTCCTCACACTCCTATTAGAAAGGCAATTTTATCTGTCTACGATTTTTTTACTCAAATTGTCTTTTTAGTTGCTGGTAAATTATGAAGTCATGAAACAACAGCTGTTTCGGCTTTTTTTTAACTTCCCGGCCTCAGCATGACGTCAGAGAAAAATGGGTGAATATTTCAGCTTTATACAAAGTGCTATGTTTATTGTTTGTGAGTTTCTTGGAGCTGTAGGGTCTGTCACAAATGTTCTTCTAAAAATTCTCAACAGCACAGAAAATCTGCTCCTTGTGTGGAAAAACTTGGACCTTAGAGGAGGAACATTTGCACAATTTCCTCTCCCTCCAGCTGACAGCAAACTAATACTCTAGTGTTTGGAAACAGTTCCCCTCCAATCTGGATCACAGCGCAGTAGCAAACAAACAAACCAGGATTGTAGCCTCTCTGTCTCCTCTGCTATATGCTTCCCTCTGAGTGATTGCAATTCAGGACGTCGAGCATTACATCCTCCAATCGGCGGACCATCATCTCACTGCAACACTCTCAACAGCTCTCATGACATTGCACAAGAGAGCTCGACGGCTGCCAACATGTTCACTCCACCCCTCCTCTAATAATACTCTTCCTCAGAGGACCCAAGACGAGTGGAGAGAGGTGGAGTGGAGGTAAAAGCACAGCTATGTGATCAGTCTGCCGGTGCTGGGTTTCCCTTCACGCTGCAGCTGCAGTATGTTGGCCTTTACCGCAGTGATGAGGAGAGAGGGAGGGGAAAGGTGAGCTGGAAGAAGGGAAAAGGTGGGGGCAGAAGGAGGAAGGTGCTGATGATGTGTGTAAATACTCACTGTGTGCCAAAATAAACCGATTCAGCAGTATTTCCTGCGCGGACACTAATCAGATCCACTGTGCTCAGGTTCTCGTTTTATGAGGGCCTCCTGTCTATTGTTTCATTAGAAGTGTTTGCTGAGCATTGTGATCTAGGACAGGGCTTAAGAGAGACGATTAATAACTCTGTGCATGGAGGAGCTGTCTTCAGGGCCGACTCTTAGAAAATGTGCCACTATTTTAACAAGGAAGGGAAGGAAGGAAGGAGCCTGAGCAACGTCAAACAAGGACAGTGAGGTGAGTGTTTAATGAGCTTTATGCACGTGTGTGAATCTGGTTTAACATTTCTTTTGACAGTCTTTGTACTACCGCTGTTTGGGTTGTAAGCAAGCCGCTTTGTTTTGGAAATACATTTCCCATCATCCTTTTGGAACAATCACACCAAGGTGCAAATAAGTTCACAACTTTAGGACAGTATTTAAAAAGTTAGTAAAATCAGAATTTGGTGGTTTTAGGGCTGGGTGATATGGCCTCAAATCAACATCACAATATGTTGACGGTACGATAACTACTCCACAAGCTGCTCACCCACTCCCACATTAACTTCATCTACTTCAGCTGCTACAACTTTTGAACCGTCCTCCATCTCCTCACCTGTCTTTCCCTCATTCTAACAGACTGGATGGGGTGGAGTCACGTCTCCAATGTAGGATAGCATCTTAAAGGGGCATGAGACCATAGCCTACCTACACACATCCAAAACAATCTTTTATTTATTTAATTATTAATTTATTTGACACCGAATACACCGATATATGCAAAATGACATTGGTTATTGTCGTAAATTTCGGTATCGGTTAATTTTTGGTTTATTGCTCAGCCCTAGGTGGTTTGCAAATCATTTAAACTCTGTGTTTAATAAAAAAATGAACAAAATGTAAAAAAAAAACGTGTCAAATGTTACAATTGAAAAAGTTTGATGCCAGCACTACCTTTCAAAAAGTTTGTGACCAGGAAAAGAAAACACTAAAAAAGTTTTGAATTACTTATAAAACACCTTGAGGAACACCTCCCAACCAAAAAGCCTGAGGCTGAGTCTTTCAGACGACGAGAAGAGGTTCACAACTCTGTGAGAGACTGTGAGCACATAGTTCAACAATTTCAGAGTTATACTTCTTCACAGAAAATTACAAGAATTTGGAGGGTTCGTCATAATACAAAAGGTATGAGGCCAAAATCCAGTGCTGGATGGCTTTAGCAGCATGGCATAGAAAACAGACATGACTCTCTAGTGGAAATCACTGCATTGGCTCAAAATCAATTCCAAAAACCATTATCTGCACAAATGCATGTCTACACCATACCATACAAAAAGGAAACTTCATAATCATACCTCAGGTGTACTAAAGACTTCTCTGGTCCCTACCCTATTTTAGATAGACTGAAATGGAGTAGAAAACTATCCTGTGGTCTGACACATTACATATCCTAACATCCTTTTTGGGAATCATGGACACCCCATCCTCGGCTCTAAGACCATAGACCCTGTACGTGGTTAGTACTAATCCATTAGGCCATTGGCGACCAAATTGGATCAAGATGATACAAAAGAAACCTGTTCTGCAGATATAAAGCTAGATTAAAGGCACTGTGATTAGTTTTTTTTTTAACTGATTTTCAAACAGTCTAACTCTTAAAGTAAAATGAGATTATCAGCGACAAGAACAAGATTGTTTTTTCCTTATTTCTGAATTTCAGTGCCTGTGCTCAAGATGGATTTTCTGCTAAAAGAAGCCGAGTTGATATTCTGCACACACCCCGAAGCCTCGATGTTCAGGAATCTGCTGGAAAAGTTTGGCGCTGAGAAGTAAGTTAGCAAGCCAGAGGATTTTTTTTTACTTTATATAATTTTTTTTACATAAAGTTCCAAACTCATGGTAGAAAATGGAGTAGGATTAGCAAGAAGATGCATATTTTCTGTTCTGTACTAGGACCTCAGTGTGTAGACATATCATCCTCCCAGGGCTGTGGTGGTCGTTTTTGTTGGCTGACAAACAACAATAAATCTGATAAAATAGATAATAATAATAATAAAATTCTTACACGGTTTTGTCATAACACAGTAATAAATTTACAGCTACAGGCTAATATATGACCTCATCACCCTGCAAAATGTCAATTTATTGCCTGAGTTTGACTGAAATTACACTTTTAAAAAACATGTTAACACAGTAGTCTGACTGAAATTGCACCAGATTTAACTTCTACTACTGGGATATACCTTTATCATGCAATTTGGGATCATCTTTCTCTGTCATTTATGTATTTCAATCAAACTTCTGACTATGAGGAAGTTAAACAGCATGAATGCAAAGCGAGGAAGGATGCACAGAGGCAAAACTTTCCTGTACCAAACAAATGGTGCAGAGTTACAAAAGTGATGGTGTTTTCATCATTCAACGTACTTCCCTTTGGCTTCTTGCTAACATAGTAATGGATCAACCAGAACCCAGAAGGAACAAGCTGAAAAGGGGGCATGTCACCACCTTCTGTAGCAGGGTGGACATGCTTCTGAAACTGTGCATAAAACTGTACTGACTCATTCATCCAGAGAATCAACACAACATGAAAACTCCTCATTGTGTCTTTAATAACGTCGGTCAACAGTGTTCCTGCTGCTGCTGCTCCAAATGCTGAAAATGCTGTGAAACAAGCAAAATGAGCGAGCTGAAGTGATTTCGAATCCTTTTGAAACACCAGCGCACACGATTTTCTTTCACCTCACGCAGCACCAAACTGCTCCCGAGGGCTGAGCCACCAGTGTGTGTAAAAGTGAGCGTGAATGACTGCGTAAAGGTGAGCTTGAATGAGGTTGTAGTGTAAAGAGTTCAGGCTGTGTTTATGTTTTTGTTTGTGTTATTATCAAAAAGTGAAAGAAAACTCCTGTTACCTTTCATGAAGACGGTCGTCCTGGGGGTGACATCCAGGTCCAGGGATGGGCTGAAGGGGAAGGCCCACAGCTGTGACATCCTGGCGAGGAGCATCATGAGCAGCAGCAGGAGCAGCAGGGGCTGCTGCACTGATCTCTGGTCCCCCATGTTTAACAAGCGGGCTTTTGTCCGAGAGCAGCCTCGTTTGCTCTTAATTTGTTGAATACACAAATCTGAGCGGGAAAAGTGTGTATATTTAGGCCAGAAGAAAGCTGATGCAGACTCTTTGATTATCCTCCAGCTGAAAACACAGACTGTGAAGAAAGAGAGAAATACAGTTTGTATGAGAAAGAGAGAAACGAGTTGAGACCAATGCAGTTCTTCACTGATGCACTCAGTTCCTCTCACTCTCACTCAAGTTGCAAGCATATGTGGTAAACTCCATGAACTGCATTACAAAGCATTTAAAAACTAGACAGTAATGAAGATGCTGCTGAACATCCATGATGAGTGCAATGAAGTGAAGAGGGGAGAAACCCTGTATAAGACTTCCTGTCCTACCTGACAGCATGGGCAGAAAATTACCGGTTGATACGCACCATCACGCTCTGATTACAACCAATTAGCCGAAGTGAATGAGTCAGGTGCTGTTACATAAAAGACCATTTAAAACGTTGAGCGAGTTAAATAATGCAGCTCTGTGATGTGATATAGCAGCACACACATCTCCATCTCTTAATTAGCTGTGAGCACACCGGAGCAGCATGACGGATAATCTAGAGATTAGGCCCCGTGCCATCAGCTCAATCTCCGCCTGGCTGCCTGCTCTCTGGCTCTGTCGCTGATCAAAGGGTCAACACTGTGAATCCCGCTCCGCCACATTGTGACACTGGAGAATTCCCAGCTAAATCTCCACAGCGGCGGCTGCTAATCACTCCCAGTACAAAGCACAATGAGGTTAAAGACCTCTCTGCCTACAGTTTGGGTGTTGAGCTATAAAATGAGAGATGAGAAGAGAGAAAGTGCACAAAGATGGAGGGATCCCCTCACCTTAAGATTTATTTCCTAAAGCTGGTATTCCCAGTTTAATATATCTTCGCTCTATCCAAGCTTATCTTGAACAGATGAAGCTTTCTGCATGATTCACTAAAGTCAGTCAAAGCTGTAGTCAACTGAGGATAACTTTGAGATTTTCATCTTAGTATTAGGAGTCCAACTGACAGCCTAGCTATGTTATATTAATTTAAACTACTATATCTCATATATGTACACTTATGATGGCTGATGAATTCACTGAAATGCAAAAAAAAGCACTGGACAAAGCCGGTCAGTAAATGTTGAGTCAGATTTTTGGTCAATTTTCTGTTCCAAAGGTCAGGCATGATAACACTCAAATGGAAACTGTGAACACAGCAAAAGGCCAAAACTGAGGTCCACTTACAGAGAGAGTTTCACTTTGAATGGCAGGCCCTGGATGGGTTTTATTATTTGTCTCACAGTACCTCCACCTGCAGAAGATCATGCTGTTTCACTCAGCAGGGCCCAAACTCTGCAGCATCATGTTTCCATTAAAGCTTTTAGCCAAAACACAAAGGTGTGTTGTAGAAATTGTAATATTTCACAGACAGATTCTACATTAAAATGCTCCCTTGCTCACCCTCTTCAGGAAAGAAACAGTGGCTTTTAGGGACAAAAAGCAGCTGAGATGTTAGGGATCATGATCTTCTAAGTTAGCACATTTTTTGCACACAACAGCTCTCCTCTTCTTTAACTTCCAATATGATGTGGCAAAAATGCGTAAGTTACTAGTTTGTCTGTTCTGTGCCACTGTAGAAATGTGATGGTGCAATATAGTGGCCTCAATGGAAGATATAAATATTGAACACTTAGTCTAAGATAACGAAAACAAAACAAATGATTAACTTTTGAATATAATACTCCGTTTCTATCGAGTCTGTTCTGTTACATATTGCACACTGCACCTTTAAACAATACAAATCTATGAAGAGCACATATTTTACTTATACTTATATGTGATGCATATGGTAAAGATTATTATTATTTATTAAATAAATATAGATGAGGAATGAGAAATGTGATTGGGTTTACTGTTCACATTTTCCTTCCCTGTCAAAACTTTGTGCCGCCATTACTCACCATGCACCTCAACCACCCCCACTTGGTTTGAAAACCCAAATTTGGGCGTCTTTTGCATGTTGCAACAAACTTAACCTACGACATCTGCCTTGAATCAGAGATTTTATCGTCAAATCTCTCTGCTGACCTCCTTGAAATCACAGTTTTCCTAACAAACATCAGAATCCAGTTACATAGCCAACAGTGCCATAATTATTTCAGCCTTTCTGCACTCTTCAGTATCGCACTTCTGTTTCAACCAACTATGGTAATGAATAAAATGTTATTTTTGCAGCTCAGTCTGTAGCAGTGAACAGTATAAATTTTGCACAGTCCCGAAACCAGAGGAAAAAAACAACTTCATCCTTGTTTGATAGCTGCTTAAAACTTCATCAACCCCTCCTAAGCCCCCATCTGCTGAAACTGTAGCGAAACAGCGAGCGGCAGATCAGCCAGACTTGCGGGCATGTGGGTGAGAAGCCCTTTGGTGTGGTTTTGTCAGCTGCTGCCCTCACCTAACCCACAGCAAACACATCTTTGTTTCAACACATCTGCATTTGCGTTGTGTGTGTGCTGTACTACAGGAGCTGGCACGGGCGCTGCCTGACAGGGTGCTCTGTTTCCTCACTGACGAAAGCAGAGAAGCTCCAGGAGGGAAAGGTAAACACGTCAGCCTTGGCAATGGCACGGGCGATTCATCACACGTGTTGGGAGGAAAGGAAGAATTGAACAAAGCAGCAGGCGGTGTCTGGGACACCTTTGACTTTATGTTTCTTCCTGCTCATTGAGCCACAGAGCCGGGTTCACAACACACTGACAAGGACATTAAAACTAATTTCTATGATTTTTTTCCTGCTTGTCAAACATCTGAGTGACTGGATTTGAAGAGAAAGAAGATAGATGGACAGGTTGATTTAACTAATACCCTGACAATATTTCTGCATGGAGATCAATAAAGCCTTTGTGTTATTTCTGTCGTTCTCTTCCATGAATAGCACTAAAAAATCTGAAACACTGCCACACTTTTGACCATATTTCTGCTTAAAACACCAACTGGGAAATATTGAATGGCTTTAACTTAAAGGAACCACAGCATGTTACCCTCGGTGAGATATTGAAACATGTTTTCCTTATTTTCTCTTCTTTTCTTTATCACAAACTGTCAGGGATCTGGTTTACAGCTGAACCATGAATGAGATTAGTCACACACATGAGAACAAATACGTGAGTTCACTCTGTGGGCCACGAGCACTGAGATGTATAGAAATCTTGGCACGGATCTTTACACATGAAGCATGAAATTATGATTAAGTGGCACACTATTGGCCTCTCTATTTCCTCTGAGGGGGTTCCTCTTGAAAGTTACACTAACACGACCTTTACATTATGCCATTATTCACCAAACATACAGTTAGTGATGATTTCTATGTGAAGAATTTACTGACATCCTAATAGTCGGTTGTTGTTAACACATAAATCTTGGTTGGATCTATTTAAGCTCCTGTGAGGATATTTCAGTTTGTGGCAGTTTTGGTGCCCCCTGTGGACAAAGCAGTGTTGTGCTCTACATGCTTGTAAAAAAAAGTTAAAAAATAGGGCTGTTCCCTCAGCTGCTCAGCTCTCTACTCCCTCACTTCAGGATTCGGCATTAAAAATTACACCATAAAAATTGTCGATTTTGACGCTGATGGTCTTCTTGCTTATGTGTATCATAAAAAAAAGCTTCAATTTGAATTTTAGTGTATTTTATACATCTAAAAATAAATAAAACTCCTAGCAGAGGCTTTAACTATTTGTAACTGGAGACATAAACTCCGAACTTTTAGAGCTCCCCCTGTGGCTGGCTGCGGTACAGGTCTTAAGCCCCGCCTCCTCCATTGAAATAGATGGAACATGGGTCAAACTTGAAAACTAAAATAAATCTGGCAAATTTTTCTTAAAAATTCTATGTTAGCTCTGATCACGCTAATTTATGTGCAAATCCTCCTTTTCCAGTTGTTCACTTGTTTTAAATATTAACCAGAATAGATGGGATATCATGACTGTAGCTTTGTTGACAAATGAAGGGGTCGGCAGCGCTGTTAACCAGATTAACACATGGAGGAGGATCAGAGAGAGAAAAGACAACAAACACTAACATAACAGTCATTGAACTTTGCATAACCATGAGTGTCTGCTTCAATCAGCACAATAATCTGCTCTGCTGTTGACTGTACTCTTTGAAGGTTTGTTATCAGGTAAATGTGTGTTTTGCTTGGCGGAGGGGGTGCGATGTCAGACAGATAGTGCAATATGTCAGCATCCATTGACGAAGTATCTTTGCCCTACTTCTCCCAGTGGACGCAGATGGAGACGTGTTATCTATTTTGATATATAGTTTATGTTTGGATCTATCAGCATGTTTAATGAAATGACTTCCTATTAAGAAATGATTAAGAATTTATCAAAAACCGCTAATTTATCAATCATAAAGATAAGATAACTGTCTTTGTATTCATAAGCTCTTCTCTACCTAAACAAGAGATATAAGCTCTCCCTATAACATCTCTTCATCCTCTGTACTGCATCATCCAATTTGCACCTATGTGGTAATCACTCCTTTTTGTCTCATTGTCAGATTTGTTAATTGGTTGCATGTGCAGCTTTAAATAACACAGCCCTCTGGGGGGGGAAATTGCCTTTTATTATGAGGCCAAATAAATAAACAAAATTTCATCATGACTTTTGCCTTTTTTTTTTAAATGAACAATACTTTAATCAGCAGTTTTCGGTAGCTGTGTTTCTCCTTTGCTTTGTGTATTTAGGAAGCTCTTTTTAATCAATTTGAAGACCCCTCCAATGAGCTGTTTGACCTCTGACCTCGTGAAAATTGGCCTCCAGGAATCCAAAAGATCCAGTAATATTTTTAACCCTTAAAGTTGCAGACAATTGTTGATGATGTACAGATGATATATATATCAATGACTGTAAATAACTGTACAAATCTGTCCTTGCTGTTTTTGTCTTTAATGTTTCTAAAGAAATCTTCCCTTTCAATGTTCAGTTGTATTACTCGTGAATAGTTGCTCTGGAACATATCAAAGGAGCAGCAGTATGTAGGTTATCAATTCCACTGACACCAACCCTCTGCCGATGAGTTCGGACATAAAAAATGATCACAGAGAAAGCCACTCTTCTTGTTTACAGAGAGACATCAATATTACTTTCAGTCTGAACAGGGTTCTTGAGCATTTCTTTGTCAAACCATTTTAACCTGGTAATCAATCATAAGCTTTCATACCCACAACTCCACCTTTTTATAGATTCCACGTTACCTTACTTTACTGTGGCAGTTTACATCTTTGCTGAGACTGAAATGCTGGTCGTGAACAACTCAGCTATCAAATATTTCTTGTACATGACCAAAGAGCCACCTGGGAGCCAAAAGAGCTGATTCTTACTGAGCCAAATAATCAGGATCACTTTAAAGAGACCAAATTTCTATCACAAGGAGCAGCTACAGTACAGTGAGGTCGTTTACCTGTGAAAGTAGACAGATCCCGGCCCTGCTCTAACATGATAAGATGGATCATAGACAACTTGAGCAAGAGTGTACCACCTTTGTAGATTTGAAGTAATCTGCTGATCTACAGGATATAATAATGGGTTTGAGTTCAATCTTTTAATGGACTTGGATGGGTGGTGGCCCTCTCTGTTGCAAAAAGACAGCTCAAACTTTCAATAAGTTTTAATGTCAATGTAAACTGAAATAGAGTTGACTGATTCTCTTTAATTAGGGCTGTAAAAGACTCAAAAATAAAGTTTCACAGTTATTATGCACTTTTATTTGATTGTATTGGGTACTTCCTGTAAAAGTGGAAGTTTTTAACCTGGTCTGACACCAACCCTGCAGGGATAGCTAACATATTTAAAACGACTGAAAGAAAACATGACTCTTGTTGCTGAAGGCATTATGTTCTTATGTAACCCATTAAGAAGTGTTACTACTCATTTCAGTCTTCTGTCATACCAGCTCAAAACTTTCAGTTTGTGTTGACTTTGGCGTCCCGTGGAACAAGGTAGTCTTTGCTTATCTTTCCCTACTACATGCTTTAGTAGTGACTCTTACACACACACACACACACACACACACACACACACACACACACACACAAAAAAACACATCCTGCTGACTTTCAAAGGAATCATTTATCATGAATAAATATTGCTCAGTCACTCAGTTGACACCTACCCCCTTGCAGCAGTTACATGAATTAAAAATGACAAGATACAGATCTCTCCACTCTCTCAATCTCTCCACTGATGGTGTTTTCTGCCTTTAAACATCACGAAAGTCATCCGCATGAATTTCAGTCCATTTCTTGAATGCCTTCTTACAGGAGCTTTAAGTTCCACAATGTGCATATTCAACAACATTAGCATATTAATTGATATAACACTTATCCATGTTAGGGATGCAGGATATCTGGATCGTATATCGGCTTCGATATTGACAAATCAACTGGATCGGATATCGGATGAATGATGCCATTCCAGCATTCTGATCCGGTCTCTTTTTTTTTTCTATTGATTAATTTTTCCTTTAATACATGGAAGTTTTACTTCTTTTTGCCATGTGCTATGTGCAATTTGTTATTTGTTAATAATTTTAAGTAAATTTATATCTGTGTTAATTTGTTACCTTTTTTAACAAGGCAAATGTCAAGCCCGATGCCTTCACTCACAGGACAAGGTATACAGTTTATGCATTCAATAGTAGTATTGGATCGGTATCATATATCGCCGATACGGATCGGATTGGATCGAAAAAAATGGATCGGTGCATCTCTAATCCATGTGTCACTAATTTTTATTGATGCTTCATTCAACTTTTCTAACTAATTATCGAAGGTATGACTCAGTCAAAACGACAATTTTCTCCTCTCTCTCTCTCCTTGTGTCTTTTGTCTAACCCTTTCACGTTGTCCTCTCTACACTAAAAAAAAGAACAGCCTAAAAGCAAACATCCAAATGTGTCCAAATTTCCATCCTGCCTCACAACACTGCAGCCAGCTCTCAGAAAAAGTGACTTCAGTCCATACAAAAACACTTCCGCAAATATCCATACTATTATTTACCACAGCATGCAACTTTAACATGAGGAATATCAGGTTTATAACGTTTGTAAATAGTCCACGCGCGCTTAATGAGTGTGCAAACATCCGCCCATGTGCACCTGTCTGACCTGGACTGCAGCAGCGCGAGGAGAAAAAACAGCACCGCGCACCCTTTAATCACCTTCACCTGCGTGGACACGGATGTGTGGAGGGTGTATGTACATGGAAAAAGTGGAGGAAAGATATTCAGCGCACAAGATAAAAAGGTGAGATAGAAAACAGACTTACCTGCCTGTTTCCTAGAGTCCACAAAAACCCTGAGAGTCGTCCTCTCCGCTGTGAAACATCGAGCTACTCTGCTGCTGCTGCAGTTATCCAGCGTTCACACACACTCCCCCCACCCTCTGTCTCTCTCTCACACTCACTCACACACACACACACACACACACACACACACACACACACACACACACACACACACACACACACACACACACACACACACACGATTCATAGCCTATATAAGTCACCATGTCTTGTCTTGTGACCATACAGTTTCCTCATGTTCCCATCTTTAACTCCATAAACACTCAAAATTTAAAACAAGTTTAAGAGTAACAGAAGATACAAGTATTTGAAAAACATTTATTTTCTGATATAAATATTATTTATAATAGGCATGTATTATTAAGAAATATGTGTTTTAAATGAGTACATGTCCCATTTTTTCCACTTACCTTGACCTGAACACTTGGTGAAGCTTTTCCACTTGAGAAAGATTTTAAAAAGTGGTGTGAATACGGAGTTATTCAGAAAAGACCATTTGAAAACTACCACACAGTCTTAACTTCTTGACCAAAAACCATCTATAATAAACATATGAACAGAATCATGATGATCTATGCCCTATGACTGACCTCTGCTGGTGAATATATGAAATTACCAATCTCATACTGAATTTATGGCTCTCCACTGGAGCTGTTAAGATATCTGAGGGCAGTAGTCTAAATTATAGGAACCACATAATAGTATGTATCCATATATTCCCTTGGTTCGTCCATATTTATTACACCAACAAGTAATTCTTGAAATGCACTCTCAAGTCACTTTTCTGTGTACAAACCCAGATTTTTCCTCTATCTCTGAAAAGAGTTTGATATGAATAAAAAACTTTTTTTAATGTAATTTTTTAGTACTATGTCATATTTCATCATTTTTATTGTAGGTCTTTTTAAAAAGTATCTTCCCCTGGAAGCTCCTGTGAGAAAGTTTCAGCTTGTTGTGATTTGGCGCCTCCCTGTGGACCAGCAGTACCTCTCGTCTCTTTGCTGATGTTACCTTCCACGTTTTTATATTTCCTTTTGAAAATCAGACACAAAAAAAGGTTATCCGAGTATCTCATAGTTAAACAATTCCTCTACCACCTAGATTAGGTCAAAAAGAGGAATCATGCAAGAGATATCCTTATCCCGTTAGGAACTTTTGGTTTGGTGTTGAAGTTTACTATGTACGAAGTAATACCTATTATCTGTTGTCCTGTATGTATGAGGGTAGTATTTTCTAATAAAAAACTCATACTTTTCTCCTTTAAATTATTATGTTACTAAATTGCTGTGTTAATAATACAAGAAGCTGTCAATGATTTGATCTGACACCTAACCCAAAGCTATCTGGAGCATGAAAACTTACAATTAAAATTATCCTCTTGCTGCTGATGGCCTCTATTTACAATCTTTTCTTTCATGTGTTCTTTTCCACAACTTTTTTTAGGCGTTCTGTGCCCCATTTTCAATTAAATATAGTTTTTTTATAGTTTGCAAACCAACAAAAAGTTAGGGGAGAGTGGGGTAAAATGAGCCATTTTTCATATTTCAGATCACTACATTAAGGCAATCATAGTTTTGTCTCTAACTAGTGTATCTGCATATGTTTCAAGATGTTGTGCATCCCTGCAAACCAACAGAATGAGTGTAAACATAACTGTCTTGATAATATAGCATGCCAACTTACCCCGCGCCTATGGTCAACTTACCCCGTGTATGTGGTAAGTAGACCATAAGAGCGGGGTAAGTTGAGCCGTATCCCTACTACTCCCTTTTCTGCAAAAAGCCATCTTAACATGAGAATGCCTTAAAGTGATTCAGAACATTCACAGCTGTATTTTTGAAAAGAAAAAGTAACACATTTCAACAATTTGAACTGAAACTCTGATCCTCTCAACAGACTCCTTTACCCTCAATTTACCCCAGAACTACTATTATGACTTTATTAGTCCTCTAAGCTAAAATGGTGGACTTTTATGCTAGGTTTTTAACGTTGGAGGTTGGAGATTGGAGCTCATAGAACCTCAAATGTTGTATAAAACAAATCTTAAATGATCTGTTTTTTTGGAAATAAATATCTAACCCCTTTACCCATGTGCTTCTAACCTTCACAGACTCCATGAATTGATGCCCATCTCCTAAATATTTGGTCACATAATCAATTTCTTTTGGCTCAATTTACCATTTAGCTTAACTTACCCCACTCTCCCCTACTCGAGAGATTTTTCTGGAAGTAGGGTCGTCCAAAGCTGTTTGCGTTTGTTGACCATGTAAAGTGTTGGAAATAAGTTTAAACAATGTCTAAACATGCAACATTTTAATTTATTAACTAAAATTAAACCTCCTTAAGTAAAACGCAGACTTGTTCACACTTTGCCTTCATGTTCGTCAGCACCCACCTGATCTTAGCTTGAAACATACTCACCCCTGATAGCCTTGGTAATTCGCTAGTTAAATATTTGTACTCTTATGAGTGTTGATTGTCTCTAGATGGTGCTGTACGTCGTACCTTGTCGTTTACTCAGCTGGCAAACTTGTTAACAGCTCTGCTAAAGTCGTCACAGACTTGAATAGTTGCCATGACGTGCTCTGCCTGCCTCCGTTTTACTGTCGCTCCCCCCTCGGTGATCCACACACAGTCAGCTGCTGCTAACCAGCAGAGAAGCCCGAACCAACGAGTTAGCTTCCCACCACCACGCCGAACACTATCTGGTTATCTCGCTATGGTCTGGTTACCGTCTCTGTCTTCGGTATGTATTGTTTAGTTACCATGTTGTTGAAATAAACACGTGAAGCCATTTTTGAGACTGTATTTATCTCAAGATATCTTAAGCCCGTCAGCGTTATCGTTAACCAGCTAATAGCTAGCTCGTGCTACTACTCAAACCCGGGGTGTTGTGTCGTAGAATGCACCCCTGCTGTAGAATGCATCCCCTGGCGGGAGCGCGGTTTAAAGTACTTAAAAAGGCGAAATAATCCAAGTTTCCTTTACCGTTGGATGGATTTAAAAGCGTGTGTCTTAAATAATTTCATTTAGGCTATTCAGATAAGCCGAAAACAATAGCGAAAATATAACATTCTGTACCTTGACAGCTTACTGTACAGTTTACATACACAAGTACACCTTTATGTGTGCATTTTTAGACACATAAAAACAGAACTAAAGTTTGCTGCTCTATTTGACATGTGTCATGATCCAATACTCGTGTCTTTTTTATATGAGATCATTTTCTTCCAGTTTAAGGAGCTTATGAGTGGATGGGGTGAAGGGGATGCCTTCGACGGCAGGGGTGCAGTCTACGCCACAACACCGGCTGGCTAGTTCTAACCGTTATCGGACGTTGGCTGTGATTTTAAACCAAATATCGAAAACTACCATCCGGGTATCACTGATTTTAACCAACGCTATTCACAGACACAGCAAATCACAAACAGTGGGATGTTACTATTGTCTTTTACTGATAAGATTGAGCTGGAATATTCAGTTGCTAACTAAATAGCCGGAGCCGGTTTCATTTCTAACGTTTGTAGGAAGTGAGAATTTGGAGTTGTCGTGGGTTAAACCTCTGTGTTTTCGCGATTAAAACAGAGTTTTTGCACCCAGTTTATGTATCACTTGTCGTTTCTGTCGTCTTAAAGTGTCAAAACTAAAGTGAGAAAAACTTGATTTATTCCAAGTGGGGGATTTTGGTCTTTAAGTCGCTCCAGGAACACACACTTTAATCAAATGAAAGATCTAAACCTGAAGACACAGATGTAAATAATGGGTAAAATCTCAATTGTGTGTGCAGAAAGAATGAAAAAAGAAAGGAATAAGTACCACTGAGGTATTGCTGTGAGTATGCATCAGATATATAGGAGTATGAGATAGTGGGTTTAACTGCGTTGATGGATGCCCCTTTGGTCGTGATCTGTTGTCATGCCATGTTTTCCCAACATGTCCTCAGGTTTCCAGATTGCGCACAACAGGTTATCGCACCTTCTCCTGCCATAGACCTCTCAACAAGTGGAAATAGCGCTGAATCTTGCCGGGCCTGAGAGAGCATGAATTGGATATTTGTAGATCCGAGTCTCGCTCTGTTGCCTGTTGCGAAGGGAGAAAGGGAAGACCTCTGATTTGACGAGATATGAGTTAGAGATGCGATATAATGCAGCCAGCTGGGAGTCATCCTGCTTCAGCGCTTGCATCTGATATGAGCAGGGTCGGAAAGATTTTTGTTGCACTCCAGGGAGGTCGGTTTGGCCGAGTCTGCTATCTCACCGAGATCCTGATATGAGGCTGAGGTTTTACATCATTGCTTATACGCTGCAGTGATGGACTCAGACAGAAAGAATCATCGCCTTGAGACAACATTATTGCAAGCCATAATACACCTCCCTGTGAAACATTTGAAAGGACGTTTGTATTCAGGACGAGTCTCAGCTTGTGGCAGTCAAGTGTGAAGTGAGACAGACTCTTGTTGGTATGTTAGAGTGAATTTTTCCCCCAATGCTGCTACGTGTGAGACTGCGCCGGTGGCTTGAGAAAGAATGGGAAACAATGGCAGTAAAACTGATACAGCATTTGCATTCATTGTGGAGGAGAAAGACGGTAATCAGAAGAAGATGCGGCACAGAGACAACATTGTGCATCGTCATTTCAAATCTGATACCAATTCTTTCTCTTCACAATAGTTCAAAACCCTGAGAATGAAATGTTGAATACTACACCCAGGACGATGAAGCTTGTAAACAATGACAAAGTATCATATGACTTTTCTTTTGCCAGTTAACTGTGAAGAAGACAAGATTTCATGGGGACACAGGGAGAGTTAGAAGGAACGTAAGAGGGGTGGTTATAAAAATAACTCAGGGGAAGTACAGTTTCACAGACAGACCACAGCTGGGTGTGTTCTAGAGGAGAAAGGAGCTGTTACTTTCAGCCTCTTCAACAAGTTCTTGTTGCTTCAAAAAATAGCTCCATTTCGCTATGCCAAAACCTCATGTCGAAATCAAAGGCGTGTTAATATTAAAACGTGTTTTTCATGCAAGGATTTTAATCAAGATTTGTGGTAATTTCCTGTAATACCCTGAAATATGTCCGGCGGGTGTTGGGTTATTTTTAAACCAGAGTGGAAAAACGTTTTCCCTCGCCTGCTGAACTGAAAATACAGGGGTTGGACAATGAAACTAAAACGCCTGGTTTTAGACCACAGTAATTAATTAGTTTGGTGTAGGGCCTCCTTTTGTGGCCAATACAGCATCAATTCATCTTGGGAATGACAGATACAAGTCCTGCACAATGGCCAGAGAGATTTTGAGCCATTCTTTGTGATGTTGGCGGAGGAAAACGTTTCCTGACTCAAAGATATTTAGATCTGGTGACTGTGCAGGCCATGGGAGATGTTCAACTTCACTTTCATGTTCATCAAACCACTCTGTCACCAGTCGTGCTGTGTGTATTGATGCATTATCATCCTGATACATGGAACCGCCTTCAGGATACAGTGTTCAAACCATTGGGTGCATATGGTCCCCCAGAATGGTTCGGTAGATCCTTGGCAGTGATGTGCCCATCTAGCACAAGTATTGGGCCTAGGGAATTCCATGATATTGTAGCCCAAACCATTGCCGATCCACCCCCATGTTTCACTCTGGGCATGCAACAGTCTGGTTGGTATGCTTCTTTGGGGCTTCTCCCGTAATTCTCCCAGATGTGGGAAAGACAGTAAAGGTGGACTCATCAGAGAACAATACATATTTCAAATTGTCCACATCCCAAGATTTTTGCTGTTGGCACCATTGAAACCAACATTTGGCATTGGCACAAGTGACCAAAGCTTTGGCTACAGCAGCTCGGTCGTGTATATTGACCCTGTGGAGCTCCCGACAGACAGTTTGACTTCACTGAGTTGGGCAGCTGTGGTTTCATGTTTTTTGCATACAATCCAGGTTAGCACCCGGACATCCCTTTCAGACAGCTTCCTCTTGCGTCCACATTTACTCCTGTTGGGTGTGGTTCGTCCTTCTTGGTGGTATGCTGACATTCAATTTTGATACATCACAAAGACTTGCTGTTTTGGTGCGCCAGCAAGACGTGCACTGGTGTTGTTTTCGTTGACGATGACGTTGACAATAATATTTCGTCAACATCATCATCAACGAAAACAACACTGCAGAATATATGTTTAGCATTTGACGGACGAAATGCTCATAAATTTTGCAACTGTTTGTTGTCCACCACTAACGTTTTCGTCTAGTCTTCTCTTGTCAACGTAAACGCACATTCGTCTCGTCACATTTTAGTCATCTAAGACTTATGTTTAGCTCGTCAACGTCACGTCTTCGGCATGGAAAAAAAAGGGGAACACAACACTGACGTGCACCAACAATTTGCCCTCTTTTGAACTCTGATATGTCACCCATAATATTGTGTGCATAGCAAAACTGCTATTACTCTGCTAATTGAACCTTCACTCTCTGCTCTTCCTGGTGCAAAGTGCAATCAATGAAGATTGGCCACCATGCTGGTCAAATTCAACCATGAAACCTCCAACACTAAATTGGCAGGTGTTTCAGTTTCATCGTCCAACCCCTGTAACTCTTTCTGCCAAATTGTTTTACCAGCTTGTTTTGTGTTTTGCAGGCTATCATGAGGTGGTGACCCCAAGTCGGCCAGGCCATGAGATGATTGCTGCTTGGCGTGGGGAAAAGACAAGAGAGCGAAGTGATTGAGAAAGAAGAATGGGCAGGAGAGTCTGGGGCTGCTGGCAAAATGTCTTCTCCACCGCGGTTCTCTACGGCTCTTTGGCCTTGTTTACCTCCATCCTCCACAATGTGTTCCTCCTCTACTATGTGCAGACGTTTGTGTCAGTCTACAAGATTGATAAAGTCTCCTTCTGGGTTGGAGAGGTGAGTCATCCAGCATCTCTGTTTGTAGCCAAGTCACCTGAACTCGCAAAATAAATTTGTGACTTTTAGACTGGGCTTGAAATAACTTACCGTCTTTGTGTTCTTATGAGTCAGGGATGTTTTCACAGGCGAGGTGATGGTCCTTCTAACCGCTAATGATAGTTTAGCCTCAGTCAGAAATAACACAGATGTATGAAAGTTGCTTTTTCAGATGTAAATCTTTCACGGTTTTCTTACTTGGCTCCTCTGCTGCTCCACAGACGGTCTTCCTGATATGGAACAGTCTGAACGACCCTCTCTTTGGCTGGCTGAGTGATCGCTCTTTCCTCAGCTCTCCTCAGTAAGTATCTCCCAGTCCTTTCCCTTCTTTTCTTTTGAATTTGAATGAATAAGTGATAGTAATAAGGAGTAAATAAGCAAGAAAATAGATGTTTTTTAATTGGATTTGATGGCTATCGAGAGAGAAATACAGAAAAGACATTTTGATCAACTCCAGAATACATAATTCTGCTCTATTTAAACACATGCAAACTTCTCAAGATAAAATAACTCATTCAGAGGATCCAGACCTTCCTATTTTCACATCCCCTTTAGAAAGAGGTACTACAGAAACAGAACCAACAGAAAAAGTCGCTTTCTTCTTTAAAGAGAGTTTCCACCAGCAGTTTCTGTTCATGGCCTTTTTGCTACTTCTCTTGTGGAAGGAAATGCAAATTTTGAGACTCGTGGCATCTCAAGTTGGACTTACTTTACCCTCATACAAACAGGTTTGAATCCAAGGAAACAAATCCTTATTACGACATCCTTGCGCCTCCCGTCTGTCAGTCAGTGTGTCGTCTCCTACGTCTGTTGTCTCTGCACACATTCGTCTCGTAAATCCCATGACAGAGATATTTCATTGTACACAAACGCTCATGCGCATGTGCCAATGTGTATTAGTTGATAAGCTTTGGCAAAGCTTGTAAACCGTCGTTAACACGTCATTGGGACAAGCATTGTCAACACACACCTGGCAACTGTATTTGACTTTCATGATAATAAAAACTGCAGCACTGTTGACAGAACTGACTTCATCATGTTGTACCGTGGAAACCTTTCTTGGGTGTATTATCATTTAAGCTTTCATAAGATTTTGTCAGACAACAGTAAAGTGTCCCACCTCCTCATTTACTTGAGTGTTTGTCCTTTTAGAGATAATTGCAGTGTGATCTATCAACCTCTTCAGTTTGAGTTAATTATTTACAGAGGGGCTTTCCCGGTTTACATAACCCGTCAAGAGTGACCTAACCCTACCTTAATTTGCATATTATCACAAAACTTGATGTGTAACTAACAACTGCTGTTTTTTTTTTGTTGTGTCTGTGTGTGTTTTGTTGTTTTCACATCTTAGATCAGGCTCCCAGATCACATCTCCAGAGGTGGTGCTAAAGCGCCTGAAGGCCCTCTCCACAAATGGCCCCTTCTTCTCCCTGTCCTTCCTGGCGTTCTGGGTGGCCTGGGCCAGCCCCGGACTGCAGTTCCTGCTGTGCCTGTGTCTGTACGACGGTTTCCTCACCATGGTGGACCTCCACCACAGCGCCCTGCTGGCCGATCTCGCCGTGTCGGCCGCCGACCGCACGCGCCTCAACTTCCACTGCTCTGTGTTCAGCGCTCTGGGCTCCTTCTCGGTTTTCTTGTCCTACTCCTTCTGGGACAAGGACAATTTCTACTCCTTCCGTCTCTTCTGTGTGACTCTGGCAGCTTTTTCCATCTTGGGCTTTTTCTTTGTGTCACGGTTGTTGCGGCGCCGGTTCCAAAAGGAAGTCCTCCCCAAGCTGGATGAGGCACAGACACTCAAAGAGTAAGGATTGTCCCCTTAAACTTGCACTGAGATGTTGTTGGACTCAAGTGTTTCTTTTTTTCTTCTTGTCTTCTTTCTCACTCCTGTCTTGTTTTCTTTTGCACTGGCTCAGGCTGAGTGTTGGCCACGCTCCACTGACCCACCCAGAAAAACCTGTCACCATCGGACAGTATATCAAGCAGCTCTCCCAACACAAGAACTTCTTGTGGTTTGTGTCCATGAACCTCATTCAGGTAAGAAACAAAAGTATAACATCGAAACATCTTACTTAGTGCTGGATTTTATAGATAAAGTCAAAGCGTGCTTGTTATCAGACACTTTTTTTCAGTCTGCAGTTGCTACGACACGACCATGTTTGCTCAAGACTATTTGGTGAATTTTGTCGTTTCCTCTCTCGTTCCCTCAGGTGTTTCACTGCCATTTTAACAGCAACTTCTTCCCTCTTTTCCTGGAACATCTCCTGTCTGATAACATCTCTGCCTCTACAGGTTCAATCCTTTTAGGTAGGATCCTTCTCACAACAATTAATCCACACATTTAAGTCTGCTTATTTCACTATTTTTAGGAGATATCAAAATTTGACCACAAGATATTTGTTATACCAGAATTCAAAGTGATTTGTCTAAGGTGGCAAACACAGATCGGAGGTTTTAAAACACCAGCAGCATGCAAACTGGTGACATAAAAGGTTTTTTATAGTCCAAGAACTTTTTTTGCAAATAAAAAAAGTTGTAATTAAATCCTAAACTTGAGTAGAATCTCAGAAAGTCGAATCCCTGAATCTTTCGTATCTTGTTTCAGTTAATTTTGCTGATGTATTTTTATAATTTTTTTTTGTTCAAGTCTAATTTCTGCCCGTCAGTCTTTTATTTTTCTGCTTTGCTTCCACGCAGGGATCTCTTACGTTGCCCCCCACCTGAACAACTTGTATTTCCTGACACTGTGCCAGCGTTTCGGGGTTTACCAGGTTATCCGCTGGCTATTTATGCTCAAACTGGGACTTAGTGTGGCTATGCTGCTGGCAGGGGCTGACCACATTTATCTGCTGTGCATCTTCATTGCTAGGTACGGCCCACGCACACACACCGGCAGCACACACATCAGAGATCAGATGTGTGACAGCTTTAGCGTTTTCATTTGCTTGTTTTAATTTTTCACCATGTGTAAAAAATGAATACACAAACACACTGCTGTACAACTCAACGACAAGCGTATCCGCTTTGTGTCTGTGATTCATTAGGACACGTCAGTGACTTTTCCCATCACTGCCTGTTCCCGACGGTTAAGTCAACATTTGTCACAAATTGTGTCCAAATACTGGGTTATCTTTCTTGGCTCAGACGTTTTACTTGTGGGAAAATGTTGACCTACCTCCAGTTTGTGCTTCTGGCACTCACAGTTTCGAGCTCAAACGCCACACCCTGATTAGTTTTTCGCATGTCCACCGTTCCTGGGTTTATTTTTAGAAAGACTACAGAGAAAATAAGGTTTAAGTGACATTTATGAAAGTTTTAATGCAATTTAAATGATATTTTTTCTGCAGATGTGTTGCTCAAAGTAAATGTAAAAGTGATTTTGCATCATTTAGATGGAACAAATGACCAAACTGACACATTTTCACATATTGACCCCTTTTGTGGGGGATATCTGGACACACAACTTTGATCCATTCATTTTAAAATAACACCCAGGACTGTGACTTAAAGGGATATTCTGGCTTAAAATTAATTTAGGGTCAAACACACCGTAACACCGAGATAGACACCTCGTTGAGAGATGAATTTTGCTGACCGCTTGCTTCTCTAGTTAAACCAACTTTAGTCACAACCGCAGATAGCAATACACAGAGCCACGCGCTCAACCAGAAAGTCACTCTGTAGCCACAAATAATGATCACAACAGCACCTAACTTCATCAACAGTACATATAGGATCCCAGACATAGTACTAGCCACCAAACATCTTTGGTTTCTTTAGCAAAGAGACCAAACACAACTCACCATGTCTCTTCCAGCAGCCGCTTGTTTGTACGGAGACTTCTGGGCGAGTCCATCAACTACAGCGGGGTGACACAGCTCAAGGAAGAACATTTATGATCATTACTTTATCATTTCCTTGAAGTAATAATCACCATATTAATCATTTTGCACTGCAGACACAGTAGTTTTTCCTGCCTTAGCGTCTCGGTCTGACTGCATTTCCATGAGGAAATGATCATAAATGATGGTGTGTTTGACCCTAACTTAATTTTACGCCGGAATATCCCTTTGAGGGCAGAATTTAAGAAAGGAAAAAAGACTAATCTCCTTTAAAATCCAAACAAGACACAACATCTCTACCTGTAACATCCTTATTCTCACAAGGACAGGGTTTTGTACGCCTTTAAGCTCTTAGTGAAGAGGAAACAAAGTGAACAAAGGTAGAGCTGAAGTAGACATGCCAGGTGTTGAATGTCATTTAGTTCTTGCTAGTGAATCTCTTCTCCAAGTCAAGGCTGTGGTTATTGTTCATACTGAGAGAATGATTCAGTCCTTTTAAAGGCTTCAAAAGGATATAAAGTGGTTTGAATTACACAAGAACACACAAGTGCTTTAAATCAGGTGAGAAACTGAAACCATTCCTCCTCTTATAAGAGTAAAATGATAAATTACACAAACATGCTCATACCTGTTAAACATTGTCCCACATTAACACTCGACAACAGTTTTCACATCTCTTTATCATATAAAATTGAAGCCTGACTTCTCTTCCTCCCCAGTAACCGGGTGTTTACAGAAGGAACCTGCAAGCTCCTGAAACTGGTCATTTCTGACCTGGTGGACGAGGACTTTGTCGTCAACAAGCGTCAACAGGCGGCCTCTGCGCTTCTCTTCGGGATGGTCGCCCTGGTGACCAAACCTGGCCAGACTTTCGCCCCACTCATCGGCACCTGGCTGCTGTGTGCTTACACAGGTACGAATAGAGACACTCAAGAGATTCATTCAATGTACTTCTCATCATGTAGTACTCAGTGTTTACAGCATAGTTGCTTCTCTGTTCTGGAAAATCCAGATTCCTGCTCTATCTTGGATCAGGTTTTGCGTAGTTGGCACATTTTGAAAGGACTGAAGATCACAAAAGTCAAACCGAACAAACCAGATCCTCAAGCGTCTTCATTTGGCATTACTTAAGTTTGCCGCTGCAGGTCCAAAGTAAAGTAGTAGTTGTGCAATCTCAGCTGTTTACTGTGTGAGGTGGCACAGTAAACATCCTCTTTTCCCAGCAATGTCAAAGTCTTATTTGCATAAAAGTGTTTTAGTTATGTTTGAGAAGTCCTTTTGACTAGCCAGTTTTATATTTAGAGAAAAGGTGTGTCACAGGAGTGTCACAGCCACAAAAAATGCAGAATGGCAGCTACTCATTGTTAAAAAGGAGTTCACTGAAAAATGTGTGTTCCCTCGTCTCCAGGTTACGATATTTTCGAGAGGGAACCCGTGAAGGACTCTCTGGTTTCTGTGCCTGATATCGCCTCCGGCTCAGGGACCCCGCCTCTACGCCTGGGCTGCTTCTACATGTTGGTGTTCGTGCCTATCACCTGTGCCCTGCTCCAGCTGGCCGCCTGGTCCCGCTTCACACTGCACGGCCGCAAGCTGCAGGGGATCAAGACCCTGAGGCAAGGGGCCCAGCACGGCCACCTTATCGATGTCAAGGCCATATGAGCAGAACGGAGCGGTCTGAAGCTGCACAAAGACACTTTTTGAACTCTAACTTTTACAATCCTGATGAAAACGTGGGAGGAGGAAAAAGAAGCAGAGGACTGATCTGATGTCTTACTGCTCAGCCTTGTGTGCCAGAATATGAACCAGTGGACAGTATATGTGGCTTTATGGACAGAGAAGAATGCACTATAAGCTCACAAATCTCACTGGGAAGAATATTGAACCTGCCTTATTTTTATATTTAAATATGACCATATATTTATATTTGAACAGATGACCAAAAGATAAAGCAGAACAAATCAGTCCTTTTTTTCGGTGTTGATGGACCAAGATGATAACTCTTCATGATGTGCCCTCTTTTCAGCTGTTTGTAAAGGTGTCATGGTCTATAGTGCGGTCTTAATGCTCTCACTGCTTGATGAATCTTCAGGAATGTTAGTGTGATATAAAGAACAACCGAGGCTGCGGGTCTGTTTTCTAATGTTTGCTAACAAGATCAAGAAAATTAGTAACTCTGCGTTAGAGGGGCCGGTGGTAACTGCATGAAACCTGCACCTCAGAAGTGAACAAAGACTTAGTGTTTCTCTACATTTACACAGAACACCCTGCCAGTTTGTTGTTCAAAAGTGTATTTTCTGATATGTCCAGTATTGATAATGATGTTTTTTGCACAAAACTGCCATTTGTCTCTTGAACTTCTAACATTCTGATTGCGACACAACTTTATGTACTGTGATCATGAACGTTTTAATAAGAAAATCAGGCTGGTAAGCACATTATCAGCATTTTTTTGTAATTTTGCAGATTATATTACAAATGTGTGGCTCTACCACAAATAAATCTCATCTGTGTTGAACCAATCTCTTGTGTGATGCGACATTGAAGACGACTAATCCCCTGTCAAGGTAAATTAAGGAAGTGTAACCATTATGTGTATACAGTACGCCTATGAAGGAAATTAATATGCTTGCCAAGTGGGCGTAGAGTATGTCCTCACTGTATGCGTTTGTCATCATAGCTATGATGGTAACTAGGACAAGTATTAGTTTAGAAACATGTCTGAAGCAATCCTTTGTTTGAAATGCTGGAGGAACTGGTACACTGCAGGTATACAAAAGTCAGAGCATAATTGGCCAATTATAAAACAATCATTACTACAATAGAGTTTTACAATGTTTTCATCTAGACTGTAGCTTTCTTTTAGATCGTCTTTGCATAAGCCTGTGACTCCAGGGTCAGATGAAAAAGTATTAAGCTGCTGTCCCTTTAAGTTTATATTTTGGAATAGGGGAGAGTGGGGTAAGATGATCCATTTTTCATATTTTGGATCACTACATCAAGGCAATCCTAGTTTTGTCTCTTAACTAGTGTATCTGCATATATTCCCTGCAAACCAACAGAATGAGTGTAAACATAACTGTCTTGATAATATAGCATGCCAAAAAAAGTGGTCTCCTATGGCCGTGAGCTGTATCCCTCCTAAATGTTTGGTCACTTGGTCAATTTCTTTTCATTTCCAAGCAACAGGGGGTGGCTCAACTTACCCTTTGCCTCATCTTACCCCACTCTTCCCTACTCCCTGAGGTTTTTTTTTTTAATGAACTTGTGTAAACAGCAACACCAACAGCCAACTTAAGGTGACAACATTACCAAGTTTGCTCAAAAGTAAAACTTAGTCTCATTTTTGCAAGAGACTCGTGTTATAGTCAGCTCTACTACCTACGACATCTTAATGTTGGACAATGCTCTTACAACTTTGCAAGTTTAAAGCGCTTAACATCCATTAAATGTCAACGCCGGAGATGCACGTCACAGCTGTTTATTTTGGTGTCGGCTTTTTCACATTTAGTCCGTATTTGGCTTTGAGTTTGTGAAACTAGTCGACGGATATGTAAGACAATATTTGTGCTTAACAAAGACTGGCGTCGAGTGTTCATTCATACACGGAAGCGCTAACTTTTAGCCGCTTTTGGCGTTCTGCGCATGCGCGTGGTCTCGGCAACAGACGACTTGAGGCATAAATCTACGGTTTATCCTTTTGTGTTAGCTTAAAGTTGTTGTAGATGACGCTGCTGGTAAACTTTACTCTGTATCGTGATAGAGATTGTATTTTGCCAAATGAATGACTGATAAACTCAATCTAGACGCCATGAGACAGCGATGTCGCCTCGGTACCCATGATGCACCGCATGTAACAGTTTGAATGTTTGTAAGTATCTGTCGATTTAATGTAAACTCCGTCACCTTTTACTAGTGTTTTGAATTTTCAAAGTGAATATGCTCAAAATTGAGAGATCTGATGTATGTTTATATAGTTGCGCGGATTGTAACCACTGTTGAAAAGTATGTGACTCAGAATCACTACCGACACTTAGGCTCTGGGAAGTCAGTACACTCATGTTTCTCTTCAGATCGTATAAATCTTTCGCCTTTTACTAAAGATTTCCGTGGAGAGGAACAACATGAGTTCAACCTAATTTTTTGATGCCCTGCCTAGTGCGGGGCTTCCTCTACTGTCAAAGAAAGTCGCCTACAAGACTACAGTGAGTTATACTTCCACGTGTCTCCACTGAAGGGACGTCTGGAAATGCATGGACTGTTTGATCTCGACTCTTCACGCCACCCTATGGAAATCTTCAAGACACAGAACCTACTGAATTGCATTTCTGCGGCAGTTTTGTGTCTCTTGAGCTGACTGTATTAAATAGCATAGTATTATTCTTTAATAATACTAATGTTTTACAAATTCTACTTTACATTCTTGCACTGGTGTTATGCTGTGTTATATTAAGTGTGGGTGTTTTCACGTGTGTCGTAAAGTGTGTTTGTGAGTGAGATTTTTAAAAGATTGTTATGCCTGTCGAGGAAAGAGTGAAAGACGAAAGAGTAAGCATTATGACTTAACAAAAGTGACCAAAATAATAACTAGTATAAAATTAGAGCAGAGAAGAGAAAAGAAGTAGGTGGCAGGAAAGAAAAAAAGTAATAATAATAATATTAATAATAATAAAATAATAATAAATAAAAATTTAAAATATAATATAATAATAACAATAATAATATAATAATATAAAAATAATTATAATGATAATAACAATAACAGTTACAATATTAATAAAATAATAATTATTATAACAACAACATTAACAATAATAATGATAGTAGTAATAATAATAACGATTATTATCATTATTCTTATCATCACTTTAATAATGATAATAATAAATACTACTACTACTACTAAAGTGATAATAATAATAAATAGGTAGGTAAACAAATAATAGAAAAGCAGGTGAATTTATAATATATATATTTATATACACACACACATACATAATCATAATGAAATTAAGTGAATAAATAAACGTGGTAGGGTATCGTAGTGATACATATAGAATAAATGATGCTATACATTACTATGTAACTATACTATTACTTACTATTACTGGTGCATTACTTCCCTCGAGGTATGACATTAAACATCATTTTTGTTGACTGAGCCTGCTTGATTGTATTTCACATTAAAATCCAGTAGAGGGCGCACACACATCAACTACAGTGCAGTGAAGTAGTGTTTGCCTGACAATAGTAATTCATGCACATTTACAAATCAATGGACATCAACTCTGAGGTTTTGTTTTACACTCATAATGCTTTCATAATTTATTTAGTTGTAAAAGCCTCAAAGTGCTGCCGTACACCCATCATCCATTAAGAGTTCAGCCCTATTTCTGACCCTTTTTCACTTCAACATGTTTGTTTTTGTCCAGTTATTTCCAGTGTTTGTAATTCTTCAGTGAGCCACCGCTTTGCCACATTTGTCTTCCCACCCCTCTGCGAGCGGAGCACCATAAAAAAAGCGTACATAAATATCAAGAGCGCATCAGGGAAGTATTATCAGTCACACTTCCCATTTCTTGTGGCCTTTAGTGCTATAATGTATCAGCGACTGCCTGTCTCGGTCAAATAACACACACGCACACACAGAGATACACACTCCCGCAAACACACACACACACACACTCAGAACAGGAAACAAGAGTGAGGCAGGGGAGCAGAAACCGTACATGAGAGCTGCTGCAGTTTCAGCTCTTCTGACTCTCATGACTTGCACACAAAACTGCTTCAAGAAGGTTTGGAGACATCTCATGACGGGACATTTTGGGGAACATAATCAGGTAAGCAGATGTTAGATTAATCCCAGAATTAAACCTCAGGGTGTGACAGTTTAGGATCTGACTTTTCTCACTTTTGAGTTAAGTTTTAGATTGATGATTTGCTCTCATTTACAAAGCAGCATCCTTACATTTTAAAGCAATTCTGTACTAAAACTACACGATTCAACATGATACTGTGAGTTGTAATTGAGTCTTAGAGCTTTTTAAAGTCAATTTGCTGTATATATAATGGTCTAGTTTAATGTATTTTTTGTGTTAAACATATTTCTCTGAGCTTTTGATAGAAAACACAATTAAAAGTTGAATAATTTCACCCAAAAATGCAAAAATATCAATACACAAAAGCTCAGATTATACCTTCATTTATTCTTTTTTGATCCCCTGTATTTGTGATTTATTCCTGTGTAGTTGAATACAGTTTAAACATGTCAACAGAACATATCTGAGCATTATTTCCGACACACCTTTTTGTCTCTTTGTGTTTTGTCGGTGTAGGAGAAAAACAGAGAGCCGTAAACACCGAGTGATTCATGGATGAACAGAGCCTGATAAAACAAACTGAGATTGCAGCGTGACGTCGGGGCGATGCTGACTCGAGGCTGGTGCAGGCTTCCTGTTTTGTGGCGGAGCAGTTTTCAGTCTGATGCTCTCGTGGTCTGTGAGTGACTTTAGATTGAAGCTGTCTTGCAGCAATTGGAAGCAACATCCTGTCTATAAAGAGAGGCTTTTATCTCTGTCAGACTCGTGTGCTCGATCTTAACTCCAAAGTGCATCTTTCTTACTTGTTAAGCAGCATTCTCGTGATCATATCGAGCTCTGGTCGTGGATAGGTGAGATGGTCACTGAGGAGCTAGAGCTTTCATTTACAAAGAGATGCAATGACATTAAGACACGAAAATACAATGCATAAATCGTAAAACAATAACTGCTTAAAACAGACGCTTAAAAGCTACAAAGACCCTTCGGACACCAGCTAAGATTCAGGAATAATCAGAAAATTCCTACAAGAGGATCTCAAGCAGCGATTTGGTGTATAAAAGTCAAAACGATCACAGATATAGGGTGGTTCCTGACCATGCATACTTTTAAAATCAAGCAATAAGATCTTAAAATCAGATTGTAAATAAGCAGCAACCAGTAGAGATCAGCAAGGATAGGAGAAATGTCTTCTCTTCTCAAGTCAAGTCCAGAGCGTTGCAGTAATCCAGTTTGGAAGTAATAAATGCATGGATGAGAGAAATAACTAAACTGTGGAAATAACAGAAACAAGGCTGCACAACTTTTGACTCAGTATTAAAAGAAAGGTTTGAGTGTAAAACCACTCAGAGGTTTCTGGCTTCCTCTTTGACACAGGAGTTTGGTGGGACCAAAGCAAACCTAAAGAGGTTGGTCCTCGAGTCTGAAAGGTTATTATAATTAAGAGTTATTTAAACTCTGAATGTTCAGACATCCAGTGGCCTATATCACTAACGCAAGACAATATGGATTTAAGTGTGACATATAGTCAAGTGTCATCATCATAACAATGTTGCTGAATACTGAATATACCACTAATCTGACCCAGTGGGAGTAAATAGAAAAAACAGTGGGCCTAGTATGGAACCCTGTGGAACCCCACGATGAGTTTTAATGTAAATGACCTTTTTTATAGGTAAGAAATAAACCAGAAACCAAAAGTTTCCAGACGCTTGATTAAAATTCTGCGGTCAACTGTGTCAAAGGCTGAGCTGAGAAGTGTAACCATAGTGACACGTAAATAGACCCAAAATAACCACAAAAAAACAGAAGAAATTAAAGATTAAAATAATACAGAGATGCTTTAAAACATCAGACACTGACAAGAGACAAAAAAAACTGATCCAATTCTGAAAGCAGGAACTTTAACAAGACTGAAACTACCTACCAAGAAAATTAAAGTGCCTTCAAGTATGAGCAAAACAACCACGAGAGATTCAAAATGAGAAAATGTTGGATTACAAATGACTCAAAAGTTTCAGTATTACTACAGTGACACATACACAACAAAAAACATACACAAGAAAACATAAAAAATCAACATAAATATAGAGGACCAAGACGAAGACGATGCATACTGACAAGAAAGAGACAGAGAGCTACTGATAGGCCACAGAGAAGAACCTAAAAATGCAAAATGACGTCAAACCAGAGCAGAAATACAGAATCCTATCTTCATATTTATCACATGGATGTAAATCTAGGAAGCTTATTGCACAATGCCAACAATGAAGAGGAGAGACAGTCCCCTAGTGCACTAAGTTTCAGATACGCTCAAGTGACATGTATCAGCAATCGGCCTTGGCTCAAGAGTTATTGTAATTGGCTTCAGCCCAAATTTCACAATCAGTGCATCTCTAAAAACTAAAACAAGTGTATGCATAAACCAAAACAGCTGCACACAAATGCATAAATAGTTGCAAAAGCAAACACCTACGATGCAAAGTGACAGGAAAGGTACAGAAATAGGACCCCAAAGCTAAACGCAATCATAACAGTGTTGATGAAACAGACACCAAACAACCACAAAGACACAAAACTGCTGCACAGACATGCAAGATCACCACACAATCTTGAGATACGATGAGACCACAACAAGCACTCAGTGAAAATGACTGAAGGGAAGTAAGGCAGCGAGAGAAAACTACAACAAAGCTGCACAAAACAAGGGCAAAAATAGACCGAAAGGACAACTCTGGGGGGTCTGATGGTCTTTAAGGGGCTGGAAGGTTTCCACATCTGTGCACATGAGCAGATCTTCTCACTGAATGATCTATGATACTTGTCATACAGCAGAAATTAGGTCACTCGCTCTAGAGCTGTAACGGCTTTCCATTCAAAGGTGAGCCTCTAACTGTAATACATGCGTACAGGCTTCTTCTTTAAACCCACATCAACTTCTCATTTCCTTTATTCTCCAGGTCCAGGATGTTAACCCTGTATCTGCACTAACGCTGAGGCCACGCAGGGGAGCGTCAGGGGCATGGAGCATGTGTTGGTGCTGTTTGACTTTGAGTACACGGCGAAGGATGGTCGGTCCGTCTCCATCAAGTCCAACGAAACTTACACCCTGCTCTCCAAGACGAACAAACACTGGTGGCATGTCCGCAAAGACCAGGACACTAGGCCCTTCTACGTCCCAGCTCAGTATGTGAAGGTGGTCTCATCGCTTCCTGGAGAATCTCATGATCTAAATAAGCTGGATTTGTCTGAGTGTGAAAGTAAAAGCGAGCAAATGGATGTGGCGAAAGTGAGTCTAGCTAAGACGGTTCTTCAGGATGGGTCAAGAGACAAACACCGGTTCTCAACGTTTGGGTACGGTGAGGAAAACACAGATGTTAAGCTTTACAGGACTCCAAGGAAAGGGCAGAAAACCAGCTCTGTAGATACCCTGGAAACTGTCAAACCACACAACACCTCGACATCTCTCCATGATGACAAACTGCAGCTCTATGCAAAACCTCATCCTGTGGCAAAGACCAAAAAAAGGCAGAAACAGTCGGCGAGCCAATTGCAGCATGATAAACTACCACAACCACTGACCTTTCTGCAAGACGAGGACATAGAGATCCCCCCACCTCCAGATTCACCCATATATGACACCATACCAGAGATAAACATAACGGAATATGACGCTTTTCCTGATCCACCTGCTCTGGTGTTTCCAAACAACACAGATACCTCAGATCAGCAGGATTTGATTCAAAGTGGAGAAGTAACTCCTGCTCCGGATGCACTTCCTATACAGAAGGTAGAGTTTTTGTTACTATTTCCATTCCCATTCATAAAATGTTGTTAGAGCCTGAGATTAAAAGCCACTGTCATTTTTCAACCAGTAGAGGGCGCAGTTATATCATGTAGAAGGATTGGGTTACATTGCAGTTATACAGAGGGTTTTATCTTATATATTGAATCAAAATACAACACTCAGTTTGACACAAACTAACATAAAAAAAGAGCTTTATAAGTCAAACTAAATCTTGTCTTATTCAGTCATGAGAATTTGATGCTTTTCAACATGTCTGCACTCAATATGGGCCCAAGTAATGAGGATAAGGATCAGGACATAGACTTTTATGTTGAGACTGATGCTGAGAGAGCGGTCAGGATGGGTTATTTAGAGATAAAACAATATCCTAAAGCTTTTTACTCGCTAAGAAAAGCTGGAGCACAGACTTTTTTGGTGTTTTGGGGTAAAATTAAACACACAAAGATTAATATTGTTGATAACAGTTGGATCGAAAGCATCAGCCAACAGCATCCACATTCCACCTCAAACAGCCACGCCCCCAATACGCAAAATTTTCAGGCTAGTTAAAACTTGAGTTGTATATTTATCCTACCAAAACATGTTTGTGCAAGTTGTGAGTCATGTTTGCAGAGAGGTTGGTCAATTTGATGTGATTCAGCTTAATCCAATTCAAACTTTAGTCAAACTTAACTTTTTAAGACTTGATAGTTAAACTCCCATAGTATGTGTCTGCAGATCCGCAGAACCAAGCAGATCCAAAGCCCTCTTTGCGCCCCTGCTGGACGGAGTAGGTCATTGCATGATAGATCCACAACCCTGTTTTAAACCGCTGTTCCACATCCGTTTTTAGGCCCAGAAATTTGATTAAATAAACAAGTTAATAAATAAATAAGTGACCGCAGTTACATATTATCATCCAATCACAATAAAAAGTCTTTAAAATTTGTGAAGAAAGAGTTCAGTTATTGGGACTTGTAGCACTTCTAGCCAATCAGAGGCGAAGGAGGGCGGGACCTTTTGAGACAGTTGGCAAAATTGGCGTTAAAAACACCAAACACATCATCTGCATTTGCTGTATAAACAGGTCTGTTAAAGGTCTACAAGGTCTAAACTCTTAAAGACTTTCTGAAACTTTTTTGGTATTTGTACAAAGCTGTCTTCAGATCACGTTGATTTTGACCCCTTTCTTACTGCAAAGGTCCGGCCTTAAAATACCGAGGGCCTGTTGGTTTGGGTTCACACTAGTATCTGTGCCAGCTCATTAGCATATGAATAACCGGCCGTCCCCTTCATACCACCTCAATGCATGGAAAGAGGTGTTCCTATCATGAATACTTGTGCAAAAAGCAGCTGACTCGAGGTCTTGTTTTTGCACAGCTAAACTCTCAGCGGATCTGAAGTCACTTTAAACCGGGTGTGTATGATTCAAACGACGATTGAAGTGAAGTTTGATGTTGTTTTCTGACTTGTTTTGGAGGCTTGTGCAGCGTGAGTGAGTGAGGAGTAGGAGGTGTTTTTTTGTTGTGACAGGATTTGCAGAAATGCTGTGCAAAGCGTGTGATGTAAATGGAGAACAGGTTACAAACAGGTCATGTCGGCTTGGTGACTTCTGAGGAGGAGGAGGAGGAGGAGGAGGAGGTGGAGGAGCTGAAAGGGTTAATCTGAGAGCGAGAGAGAGAGCTGCCAGCCAGCCACTCCCAAACCTCCAGCTGCTACCTGGTTTCCCCAGCACCGATGACTATCCTGGGAATAAAGAGTCAGGACACCGCAGGGGAAACCATGAAACCTTTGTGATCATACTCCTAATTTAACCCGCTTCCTTGTTTGGATGTAGTTCTTTGATAACAAACGACAAAAATCTGTAGTTTCAGGTAAGTTTCACCGCCATTTTTCTCTGCACCTGTTGCAAGGTTAGAGCCGGTTTGTGGAGGTGGAGAAAGTGTTTGATTTAGCTGTGTGTGGAGCTTCTCTCAGTTTACTCAGGGTTTGTGTGTGTGCATCATAACTCTGTCATTACCTGCACAGTTTGAAGCTGTTGTGCTACTTTAGTTTAACTTTAACACACTTACAAACTTGTCATGTTGAAATCCCTGCATTTTACACTCACTTGAATATGTTGGAGCATGAATGAGCCCCCCTTCCACTCACTTGTAACAGAACTGTGGACGTGCCAGGACCCCTCAAGTGCACTATTTCTCACCCTACAATGGAGGGCCATCTCCATGGTGATGTGAGGGGGTCTGGCCTGACTCCCAACAAGCAGGGCTTTAGAGCTTTTAGTGCCAGCCCTGCCATGCAGTTGGCGTGTGTGCGCATATGTAATGTGCAGAACTTGCAATTAGCTCAAATGTGGGTCAGTTAATATCCAGGGTGTGTAATGAAGGTTATTCTTTGGTCTCTAATGGGATAGGAAGTTTGATGAGCGGATGACAGATCCAGTTACAAGGTTTGGTTTGTCTTAAGAACCGCCAAGTATTCAGACCTGTTTCCACATTATGTTGTTATTTTGGATGCTCTATGTTTTGAGCTTGTTTATGCTACTATTGTTTGTACTTCTTGTAAAAACCTCTCCTACAGTCAAGGGGTGCAACCTGAAAGTTGATGATTCACATGATCAGTCATCAACACCCTGTACCAACTTAAATTTAGCCGGTCAAATGTCCACTTTTATTTGGCTGCTTGTACTCAGAAATGTTGGTGTTGTCAAGAGTTGCATTCTCATGATAAGTAAAAAAAGTCTCTGCAAAGTAATGAGTGTTTAAATGATTTGTTATTAGAGACCCATGGAGGCTGTAAGCTGAGCTGCTGCTCTCTGAGACTAAGAGGCTGAGCTAAAAAACCAAAAAGAAGCAGACCATAATGACAGATCTGATTAGTTTTTTAAGGCTGCAAGCTGAGCGTCCGCCAACCATCATTAAAAGTGGCCTGTAATCACAGATCTAAATTTTTTTTATGGCTTTTTGAGGCTGTGAGCTGAGCTGCTACTCTCTGAAACTAAGAGACTGGGATGAAAAACTTCAAAACCAAAAGGAGCAGACCATAATGATAGATCTGATTAGTTTTTTTAAGGCTGTGAGCTGAGCATCCACTAACCGTCATAAAAGTGGCCTGTAATCACAGATCTTGATTTTTTTTCAAGGCTTTTTGAGGCTGTGAGCTGAGCTGCTGCTCTCTGAAACTAAGAGGCGGAGCTAAAAAACTTCAAAACCAAAAAGAAGTGGACCATAATGACAGATCTGATCAGTTTTTTGAGGCTGAGCATCTGATAACTGTTACTAAAACATGCCTTTAATGACAGATCAGATTTTTTCATCAAGACTTTCTTAGGCTGCGAGCTGAGCTGCTGTGAAATTTAACTAAAAAAGCTGTCTATAATCCTTCATCACAGTTAAGTTTTCAGCTAAAACTGACTTTTCCTTCACTTACAACTTGTTATTTTTTAAGCTTGAGATATTTTGGTGTTCGGTTGAAAGCAGATGCTACTGAAAATAATTAAAGTGAGTCTGACAGGTTAAAAAAAAAAGGGATTTGTGCGTCATTATTCTGGAGTCTGATGCTGTCTGGAGTCGTGTACGGCTCTCAGAGGTCCTGTTAAATATTGAAGAAGACATGCAGGATCCATTTTTAATCACTCAGTTTAAGGGTTCAACGTTCGATTGATCTCCGACAGCTCAAACTGAAGTGACCACCCGCCAAGCTGCCAGACTCACTCGTCCATTATTGGAAAGGAACTGTAGGAAACCTTTCCTTCAATAGTACATTCATTCCTTTGAGAAGCAGACTGAATCAAATGCCAAAAAACTGCTCCAACAGGTCGTGTGAGTGTCTCGACATACCTCACTGTGCATGCCTGCCTGAATAAGCACATGAGCACTTCAAGTGTAAATACGAACAGGTGCGTGCAGCTGCAGCCACCTGGTCAGAGGAGCCTTTTATCTCTGCTGTTCAGTGATCAGGATGTTAAATAAACAGTTTGAACAGGGACACATTATGCATTTTGCTTTTTAACTATAACGCTTTTACTCTGATTAGATTCATTCTGCGTGAGTTTGATCTTTTGAGAGCAGAGTTGTGCAGGTTGGCGAGCATTTTTCATGTGAACTGGATGTTCGGTATGGAGCTTTTACAGGAGGTGACAGTGACGAGTTTGTGATGCACATGTCTTACCTCAACATTCAGGTCAGAGGGCAGACGATTCAGTGTATAGAAACAGTCTTAAAGTCTACAAGGTTATTCAGCGACAACCAGGCTAAAAATGAAAAACAATTTTTCAAGATGAAAACTTTTTTTCTTAGATAGTGGTCTCAGACACCATGTTTTGTGCTGATTTTTAGTACAGAGGCAACATTTGAGCTCAATTATTCAAGAAAACTTAGACTTATACGGTTTCTAATTGGTTTACAAATGACCAAATGTGCATGGCAAAGTCATTTCCAGCATTCGTGTTTGTTGTAGAAGATGTCATGTTTGCAACCCAAAAAATGGGTTTAATATTTTTTATTTGTGTCTGATTTTTTCCAAGGCTGGTTGTTGCTGTATTAAATTATGCGTGCAGCCTCCTTTGTTACCAGTCCTAACCTCTGCATGGTTACCTGACTATTCTAACTGCTTGATATAAAAGTGGGTTAGTTAGACCCTTTACCTAAAACTCCTGTAGCAGCTGGCTATAAGATGGACTGAAATGAATACTTTCTGCCCTAAATTCAGATTCAGATTCAGATTCAGATTAACGCCAAAAATGGTCAGAAATACAATCAAACATACCCAACAATAGCTGTGTAGTGTTATAAATGAACCTGCGCCGTCATGGTTCTCCCGGCCAAATAACCACATCCATGGAGGCAGACATGTTGCGCTTGTGGTGATAAAAAGTTGGTGACTTTTCTCTCGCTATTTCCCCCAGTCAAATACAGAATGTTGTAAGAGCCTACATTTGTCAACACAGCTGTCAATCAACCACTTTTTTAACTTAAAATAACAAATTTTAACTAAAATTAATTAACTAGCATGATAAGCGCTAACTTTGATGACAGAAAAAGACATTTAAAGTGTATTTTGATTTTGTTATGTGACCCATGAAGATGGTGGGGTTGTTATGACGTTGACTGCAGCTAGGGGGAGCTCTAAGCATTTTGACTTCACAGGTTGTAAACACTTTTGGTGTCCATTCGAACATACAGTATATGCTATTTAAAGTTATTCTACATGACTGTCACCCCTGGAGTCAGTTTAGGGGAAAACACCTTATTGTGAAAACCGGCTTACCTAAATTTTCAATGCCAAACATAAACTGTTAGATGCAGGTGAGATATTTAAAATAAAAGGAAATTCAGCAGATTAGATAATAAAGATAAATCAGCTGGTTTTGTCCAGAGAGGGCGTCAAAGATGAAACAACCTAAAAGTCACCTGCAGGAGCTTTAAAGTATTCTTGGCGATAAGGATCTTTTTTGATCCAGATAAGGTGTCTTGATTGAATTCAAACTTGTTTTTCAAGTTCTGGCTCTTTCTTATCATAACAAAGGTGGCGATCGGATAAGCCGTGCCTTCTTACTCTTATTTTTGGAGTCAAGACAGAATAGATTTCCATTTGTTAAAGAAGGGGAAAAGTTCTGCAAAGATTGTTGATATAGCTCAGGGAGAAAAACGGGATGTCAGCTCTTTTACTCTGATGTAACGGTAAAACATGAGAAACACAAACAAGAGCTGAGAGTCAATGACAGAAGTATGTTCTCAGACTCTGATTACGGGGTTGAGGGTTGTAAAAAACAAACTCTCACACCCAACATGCTCATGGAGGTAAGAGAAAGCAGAGAGTCTACATTTTTCTTTGAGATGGTGCTCTGTGGACATCTCGCTTTGTTGATCTACAGAGCAATGCAAAGATAATCTAAAGAAAGCTTTGGTAAGTCTTTGGAAAGAGCAGCGTGAGTCGTCTGCACAGGAATGCTGAGTGTCATCACTGTGGGGAAATGTTTTTGTGAAATTAGTATGACGTACTTGATTACTTGATTGCTGTTTTCCAGAAGCTATTAGAGCCAAAGCTGTAATTATTGAAAACAGCTTTCAGTTTATATGCATGCTGGGTGTTGTTTATGCACCTGCAGTTGAAAGTGAAGGTGGCATCTTTGTGAAATTGTGAGGTTTCCATTTCTCAAAGAGTGTTGCGGCAACTGGTACGAAAACATTTCCCCTCCTCCCACTCAGAAACCTTTCCCCTCCGCGGTCTGAGTGGGAGGGATCTGTCATTAAAAAGCAATATCAGCAGGATTACGCGCTGGCATGCAGACCCAGTCAAGATAAGAACATGATAAGCTGATGGACTCCACATTTGGCACTTCAGGAGTTGATCCTGGATACTGGACCATGAGGGGAGTGATGTAATAGAAGGTGGAGCCAGATTGATTCAATAGCTCGACTGTGTGCTTTGTGGCGTGATTTGGGCTCCAATTTGGTCCCCCATTGTTTGATTGGATGAGTCCTAATGTGGTTAAGTAATCAGGCGGATTGCTGCTTCATGCATTTTTGAGGGCAGAGAGTTGTCTGCTCGTTGCTTTAGGATTTTCACTCAAATCATGATGGAAACAATAGTTAAGGTTTATAAACAGTATTATTGAAACGGCAATTACATGTTTTTGGATAAACAAACTGAAAAACTACTTTAATTCTCAGACTTACCTGTGAGCAGGAATTGTAAATGTGGATGTAAAAGACCAACAAAGTTTTGTAATAATACAAGTTTTCTTTGAGGCACATTTGCATGATTAAAGCTCCAGTAAGGAGTTTTTAGCTGGTTATGGAGCAGATTGAAAATAAAACTGAAGTCTCTACACAGCCCTAAAAAGCAAACAGGATCATTAGCATAAAGATTGGCTGTTTCCAAGTAGTAATTTCTGATTTGAAAAACTACTATCCAAGCAAAACATGAATAGCTTCGTCTACATCACAGGTCTTAAGTAAATGATACAAACGTCTACAGGAAAGAATTGGCAAGAAGTTAAAAAGCATCTTTTGTCCACAGGGGGTGCCAAATTTAACACAAACTGAAAGTTAATATTATAATTGGACTGAACCGCCCTTATTTTTCAATTTTGGTCGTCACCCTCTTTGTTTCAGAGTTGAAAGCGACCGTATTTGGTTGAGATGGTAAAGCTGGAGAGAAGTTTTGCTCAGTTGCCAAAGCGCATTTATGGTTAACTGTAACCAGTGTTGCCAACTCCTTAGTTAGGAAAGTCGCCACTGGTTGTCGTAAGAGTCGCTAGAAGTCACTAGATGACGAAGTAGCTAGAGGAAAGTAGCAAGTGGCTGTCGTAGGAGTTGCTAAAAGTCGCTAGATGATGAAGTAGCTAGAGGAAAGTCGCTAGTGGCTGTAGTTAGATGATGTCGCTAGATGACGTCATTGCCTAATTTGCGTAATTTTTTGGTCAAACCGATGCACACCCGCAACCCGTTGGGAAGTGTAACAAATGCTACTTAACGGGCTGACACCTGCTTTCATGTCAGAGTCTCCAAACGCCAGAAAAAGTTTCTAGATTTGTCACTTGGCGCTTTTTTGAAAATAAGTCGCTAGGGGGATCTGAAATGTCATTAGTCTAGCGACAAAGTTGCTAGATTGGCAACACCCACGATAACTGGTGCACTATTTAGATGCTAATTTGGCTTGTAGGGAAGAAAACCTTGTGACTCATACAAATTTGTGGTACAAAATAATGTTAAATAGTATCAAGGCCTACAGCTACAGCATAGATGAACTATTTAGGAGAGGATATTGCAATGACCTTATTAGTTTAGTAAGTCTCGTAGAGGCTAGCTGAGATCACATGAGATTTCCAAACAAACCCTTTTCAGCTGTTTAGATCAATTTTCAAGGACTATGACAGCATATGTTGTTTACCTTGCAATTTTCAGTTTTCTAGTATGGGCACCGAACATTGTAATTTTGTGGTAAATTTTACAGCATGTTATGAAACACACTGGAAAGCAATGAATAAACTTGATCACAGAACTAGCACAAGAGTCACCTGCAGCGAGCCTCAGACCTATTTTAGGATAAACCCTCTTACCCACAAACCTCCATAAAAATACAGCCACAAACAGCCCTGCCTGTGTGCAGAAGGAAGTGGTGATTGAACAATTCGCCCTAAAACTAGACTTCCGTTTTTATGCATTCACTCTGTCTTTAAAAACACAATGTCTCATCACAATACTCTGAAAAAAACTCCTCCATATTATTGTGGGAAAATGTAGCTTCCCTTTTTCCTCTCCATTATGAGGAATGAGTGACCTAAAATGAAACAGCTGGACAGAGTACACTCTAAAGTAGCTGTTCTGGGAAAAACTGAAGTTTTTGGTGCACCCTGAGGTTATGTAACAAATTTTCTTCCTAAATCTTAAAAATAAAAGGTGGTACTTTTGAAAAACGTATGTTTCCGTTGAGGTGGTTCCTGTTTTATCACGCACATGTAGGAAGTTTGTGCTGCCCGCTCAGTCATCGAACCCTCCTCTCTGTCTTGTTTTCGTCGTCTCTTTCTGTTCGGCTCTTTGAAAACTCAGACAGTTACCCTCTACCCCTCCATCCTGCGCACACAAGTTCACCCACATGATCACACACACGCACACGCACACACACACACACACACACATTTCACCCAGTCCTAACACAGTCCCTCCCTGCTGCTATTGTAACAGAGCTCACAGTTCTCCTTTCTCTCTGTGCTGCAACTGTCACAGCTGCAGCAGAAGAGGATGTATGGCTGAGGGCGTCTTTATAAACGTGCATTTAGCATCTCAGCCCCATAACAGGTTGATTTACTGTCTTTCCATTTTCGAGTTTTTACCCTTTTGGATTTATGGCGTCTCTAAATAGACAGATAAAAGCATGATGGACATGTACTCCAGGGTTTGGTCGAGTCATCAGGCCAAGCGGGGCTTGACCCTGCCGGTGGTTCCTCAGGTAGGTCACCGAAGCAGCTGTTTTTACTTCATCCACCCACAGCATACTCATACTCATACTTGTTAATATTAGCATGTGTTAATATGTTTTGGCAGCCAAACTACTTCCTGCTACCTCTGCTTTTGTTTCATTTCCTGGACCGAGAAAAGTTTGATGTAGTTTCCGACCGTGCTGAAAGTTTGTTTGGTGTTTTTGGTTTGGTTGAAAACCTGGTAATGCTCTTAATCTGTGAAGATAGCTTTTAAAACCAAAGCTTGATTTTCAGCTCAAAGAAGCAACAGAAGAGTCTGTATCTACGGGTTAAAGTTTGAATCTGACTGATTGTTTGTTGAAACTCCTTTTGGTCTTCATATCAGAACTATCAGATCAGACGATAAGTGTTACCACATACTGTATAATCTCACTTAAAAGGAGCATCAATACAAGTGTGACTGATCCTCTTTAAAACCAACTTAAAGGTGCTTTCTGCCGTGTTTTTGCGTGTTATGTTTAAAAAGCAGATATAAGAAAAGAGAAAGTACAAAGTCTGTAATCGAGGAGGTTTTTTATTTCAGAGCAAACCTATAAGAGCTTCGAAAAACTCCCTTACAAGTAGTTAACACAGCCGTGTTAGAGCACAAGTATTATCTAGGGTGGTGAGCCCCTGAGGAGCAATGAAACCCACATATGCTAAATATATACGCCACATTTTTACACCATTTCTGGTACGCAACTTTACTCGGGTGCAGCTGGGTATAACAATTTTTTATTAAAGTGAGGTTAGACCCAAGCTACGATTCAACACAAGACAAAAATGAAGAGTCATGAGGGTGAAGAATCAAAATATTCAGTAATTGTTTTTTTTTTAGCATGTAGCTGTGTTTTAAAGATGTAAAGAGGCCTTGTGAACACTACACCAAATATGCTAGCTTATCAATATGTAAGGGAAAGTATTAAATGGAGTAGTTTATCAATACTTGAATGTGTAGTCGAATGAATATGTTTGCAAATAATTGTTGTAGAGTGAAAGAGACTGGGGTACAGTCTTTGCCAAAGAATCTAGCATAGCAGTTTGCAGTTGAAAGTCATTTAAAGTCTGATTGCTGTTCTATCTTTGCTGACACAAGTGTTAGAAAAGACAAAGACTGATTTCTTGAGAATTATGCTGCATTCAAGTTACCTCGGAAGTCAGAAGTCTGAGCTGAAAATGGCGTCACACCAGAGTTACCAGCGTTTCAGTTACCAAGTCGGAAAAAAGCAAAATCGGAGGCAGAAACAAGATGGTTACATCTACGTTATCCAAGGTATTGTAGCGCTTGCCTTGCCCTTGCTTATATTCAGACAAGGCAAGCACTAAAATAACTTTAGTAAATGTAGCCATCTTGTTTCCACCTCCGATTTTGCTTTTGTCCGACTTCACTGTTAACTCCAGTGTGACGTCATTCCCAGCTCGGACTTCTGACTTCCGAGGTAACTCGAATGCAGCATTATAAACCAGCTGTATAAAATAAAGATTAAGAGAAGCTTTTATCAATATTTGAAGTCTTGACAGATTTTAAAAAAGCTGTGAATGATTGTAAACTCCACGCTAAAGGCTTATGTAACAACATTCAAGTGGAGGTTTTGAATCAGGAAGGTAATCAGACGATACATTCATTACTCTGACTATTTAGTTTGCAAAAGTTACTTTTTCAAATCTAAATTCAACTTTATTTATATGGCACTTTTTGTAGAAGAATGTAATTTAAAGTGCCTCACAGAGGCTAAAAACAACAGTAAAACCCAACCCACACACACACACCCACAGTTCTCTAATCTGACCTTTGAAGGAATACTGAATGATATAACTTGAAAATGAATCATCTGAAAGTGAAGTCACAAACTGGAAAGGCGGGAGTGTTTTAGTAATAATTTGTTTGCGGTGAGTTTTCAGGTTTTGCATTCAATATCTATGAAGTAGTGGTTGTGAAGGATGATAAACCACAAGTTGAAAACACAAGTACCTCAGAGTTGTAGTATGCCTCATTATGTAACTTCTACTTCACAGTTGCCACATACTGTATCAGCATAAAAGCGGCCCATTGAAACCTTTCCGTCATAAACACCATGAGGTGAACTTAACATGGTGTAACACCAGCATGACTTAGTCATCTGGACAACACCGACAGTGTCTAAAGCTTGAGTTCGGTCGCACTATCCTGAAAAAGAAACTCGTCACAGCAGACGTCACGGCTACAGTCATGGATTATTCAATTGACCAAGGGTGTGTTTAATTGTTTATGAATTAAACCTGACTAAATATCATCTCCTTACTATGACGTATTAGCATGTAACCATTCAGTGTTGTCCCTATGGATTCACAACAACCAGAATTGGCATCATAGTATTGATTGATTTGTATCAGCTTGTTCTGTTTTCCTTTCGTTGCACGGAGGAGGGGAACATTCCTGTGTGGCTATTTCAGTGATCAATGATGCAGCTCTTTCATTTCCTCTGTCTGTCTGTCTGTCTGTCTCTGTTCAGTCATTCTGTTTTATTTGGAATCAATGTTTCAGGGTCAGATGTCTGGATGTCTGCTTCGATTGTCTCCCGGGTTAATGAAGCCAAGTCAGCAAAGTGGGAACACCGAATAGACAGATTTAAGGAAAAAAATACGTAGTGACTAATGGGGTTGTTAATTTCACTTTTGCTTCCTGAGTTCCTCATTCTGTCTGGATTGTTGGTTAAGAGTCTGAATTTGATAGGAAAACAACATTTTAGCGTTACATATTCAAAATGTTAGTAGTAAAAGCACTTGGTGGTGTAGGAATAATCTTTAAAGTTAAGTAAAAAGCTGCAGTTCCTAAAGTGTCCACTTGGGACTGGCTGTTCAAGTCAAAGGGTCCCCATTGGGTCCCATGTGCACATGCCCATTTTCATTGTAAAGATAAAAAAGTTCAAAACCTGATGCTAAAAGCATTTTAATTCAACAGCCTATTTCTTCATTTGTTTATTCATGCAGGGATTTTTTTATTGCATTTCATTTGATTACAATAAGGTTGATAGTTTTGCATAGATTTGCATAACAGTGTTTGGGTTGACTTGCAGGTGGCTGCTTTGTAGCTGTTTGCTCAGCCTCTCCACCCATCTGCCTGTTTGGGACTGTTCAGAAGTTAGTTAGATAAGGTTATATGGCTGCTGGGACATGTTCATGTTTTAAACAGTGTGTTTTGTAGGGCTGGGTGATAAACCGAAAATTTACAGATACCAAAACTTATGACAATAACCAACGTCATTTTGCCCGTAACGGTATATTCGATGTCAAATAAATAAATAAAAGTTGGTTTTAGTCTCATGTCACTTTAAGATGCTGTCCTACGTCAGCGACATGACTCCACCCCATTCAGTCCGTAACAAAGAAGGAAATACAGGTGAGGAGATGGAGGAGATATCGAGGTGAACTGCTCAATATATCGTGATATTGATTTGAGGCCATATCGCCCAGCCTTAATGTTTTGTGTTGAACACTTACAGTGCACTTATTACCCTGATTATGTATGAGGACATTATTATGTCCTTAGAGTCTTTTATTTTGAAAAGCAGTGAAGAAATCTGTCTTTGCAGTGAGACATTTCTATTAAAGGTACAGCATGTAGAAATAAGTAGAAACTTGAAATAGCACTCAGAATCTAGATTGAGAGGCTCCCTTGCTCACCCCTCTCTTTAGTCGATTCCAGAGGCAACCTTTGAGGACGAGAAACCCTCATGATTTATGATCCTCCATTTGTCAAGTTAGAAAAAGTCCCAAAAATATGAAGTGATTTTCAAATCTAGGTTATTTTACACTTATTTAAACACACTCATGGACATATCGTATTCCTGCACACTGTTTTTCTAATATGAGCTTGTTAAATTTTTTAAATGCAACCAAGACGAAATAAATCCTGCAAAAGACTGATGAAAAATTAACCTTTGCTTTAAAATTTGACTAAGAAGTGTGTCTTAAAGCAGAGTGGGCTGGGCTGCAATGCTTTATGGATAGAAAACTAAAAACTGAAATTCAAGACTTGTCAAACAAACATCGCACCTTTTTATTTGAAGTGTTTCCCTCCAAATGTGATAGACCCAAAGTTCACAGGATGTTATCATCAAAATGCAGTTTCTATTACCTCAAAATTACCGATTATTGCTCTGTCTTTCAACCTTTCACTTCTGGCCCCCTTTGACAGCTTCATTTATAGCGCTGCATATTAAGCACAGAGATACAGAAACTCGCAGAGACACACAGGGTTCTCAGGTCTTGGTAAATATAGATCATGAGGCTCGCTGAGAGACACAACGTCGTGAAGAGTGCAGTCGTCACAGGTTCGCAGCCTCTCTTTGTATTTGCGCCACCATGACGGCGTTCAAAAGATTCTGCAGGGTGGTTAATCCCAGAGGTCTCTCTGTGAGGAAGAATAGTGGTCCCAGTGGAGCACAGGTAAGAAAAGTACAACCTAGAGGAGGAGATCATTGTTTTTATTTAGGCACGGCTCTGAGCGACTGAAAGCTTTGTGCACAGAGGCAACCTTTCATCGTCTTACTCAAATTGTGGTTCTGTAGACAAATTAGTTGTGACGATGGAGACTATTTGCATGTTATGCTCCTGCCATGCAACAAACAGTCATGAAGAGCTCTTTTCATGAGTGAAACCTAATATGAAAATCGAGTAATTCACTGAAACTGTTTCTAAAAGGTTAGGTAAACAAGATACTCAGAGTGGACAGGAAGGAGATTAAAAATAGTTTTTATCATCTGAAATGGACTTTTAGTCAGATGCTGTTATTCAGAAGTATTTGTGGTTGTTTGGTTGTTAATAAATCAACAGGTATCCTGATGAAATGAGGCCAGATTTCAAGTTCAAACAGCATATTTGATTATCTGTTAGTACAAGACTACAGCTCATCTAAGTCAAACACGTCTAGGCCAACATGTTACAGGAGAGGCTTAAAATCTTTGAGCTTCTTTTAGCTTCTCCATAATTTTCATAAAAGATTGCTCATAAGGGGAGAAATGTTAGTATGTACGCTAAAAATAATAAGAAATGGCAGGTTAACAACCAGACAATACATAGTTAAAGTTAAACATAGACTAGCTTAGAGCTAATTAGCAAACAGGCGTTGGCTAATATCAGTATTCTGCCTCTTCCAAGCTAATATTGTCTTTTAGTCATTTTACAGCACATGAAAGAAAGGCAGAGTCAATGCTAGTGTTATTATTATCTCCTGCAGTGATAGTGAGTTAGCTTTTTCATACACAGTATAATGTATATGTATACATATGTGTATTTTTTCTAATCAAATGTTGGCAAGAGCATTTAACTCCTGTATATGTGCAAGAAAATGAGATTAAACTATTATGAGCTTCTCTATTATTTTCATAATAGTTTGCATATAAGAAAAGGAATGCTAGTAGGTATGCTAAAAACTCTTAAATTGTAAGAATTGGCAGGTTAATAACTGAACAAGGTCATATTTTGAGTAAAACATAGACTAGCTTACAGCTAATTAGCAAACAGACGTGGCTAATGTCAGTATTTTGCCTCTTCCAAGCTAACATTGTCTTTGAGTCATTTTATAACACATGTAAGGAAGGCAGAGTCAATGCTAGCATTATTATTATTTCCTGCAGTGTTAGGTAGTTGGCTTTTGAAAACACAGTATAATGAATATGTAAATATATATATATATATATATGTGTGTGTGTGTGTGTGTGTGTGTGTGTGTGTGTGTGTGTGTGTGTGTGTTTATATCTATTACACTTCTTACTTACTTTATGGTCCTCATGGTTTCATTTTATGTCGTAGGGTTCTTGCATTGTTTGGGTTTCTAATTAAAATTGAAATTGGCCTTCAATTTGAAGGCCTTGTTTTCATTTTATTTTATTTCCATGTGCTGATGTTCTGTGCTTTGCAACAGTTTACCAAAGCACTTTGTAAACTTCTGTTTTTAAAAGTAAAAATAAAATTATTATTTTTTTATATGTGGCAAGAAAATGAGACTAGAGCTGAGTTGATGATTTTTGTTAGAGGAACATCTTTGCGGTTCATGTTTTTTTCAGCTGTGGGTGACTTCCTGTGCTATTTAAGATGCAGAACGCTGACGTAATGAGAGCTGCGCTAAGAAGAGTGAACTATGGCTGGTAGCACGCGACAGGTTTCATCTTGTGAAGTTGTGTTTACAGAAGAAAAGGAGAGTCCTTTATATGCTTGTTTTGTGTTTTACAGAAGCACACACTCATTGCTATGACACTAACTTTAGTTCTAGTTTGTACTAGTGGGTTTAAATTCTGCATATTTTGTTGTTTTTTTCTTTTCATTCAGGTGGAGAATGAAAGTCTCAGATCAGCCGTATATGTCAACGTAGCACAACTGCGCCAAAGCATCTCAGAGTCTCCCCCCTCGGCTCCTTCATCCTACTCGCCTTCTTATCTTGACCCAGAGGGATGGGAGGTACATGTTGACCAAGAAAGTGGACAGGAGTACTACTATCACCCCTCAACGGGGCGCACCACCTGGGACAATCCGTTTCTAGACTCCCCCTTGGACCCTGAGCCACCTCCAGAAGAGGGTCCTTGTTCCCCTTCGCCTCCACAGTCACCCACTCTTTCCCCATCCACCGCCTCCCCCTCGGGGTGGACCTCAGATTGGGAGCAGTTGGTGGATGAAAGCAGCGGTCAATTTTACTTCTACAACCGGATGTCTGGGGAGACGTCCTGGGAGCCTCCGGAGCAGCTGAGCCCGTATCCTGCTCAGATGGAGCCCATGAGCGTGCACAGGTTTCACGAGGATGGGCCGGTAAGGACAGTCTGGCTGCTCTACTTAGACCCTTCTCTGGCTCCTGTTTTAGCTTCACCCGGGGGAACGCTGTAAATACAGTCTGCTTTTAATGGGATTAAATCTGCAGCACCTACATAGCAGACGAGCGGAGAGGCCCAAGGCACGTGTAGTGACCCTAACATGAAAAAAAACCTATATAACTGTCAATATATGAGTACATTTTTAAGTTTTTAGGGAAAGAAATGAACTTTTACAGTATATTTCATCATATCATCAGATAAGATGTTATACTTAGCTAGTTTTCTTAACAATCCAGGCGACAAATGACCCCCTTTTTTGTCCTACAATTCTTGAGTCAGAGAACAAAGTTAATGGGCCAAGAAAGAAAGAGAGAGAGAAAGAAACACCGGGGCGAGGGGAGCGCTGCGACGTGTTTATCAAAGTCACGGAAAAGTCATTAGACTCTTATTAACGGTGTCATGGTGGAAAATGGATCAGCTGACATCATGCAGGGAGATGAAGCAACTTTTTCGACACTAACCCTGAACTGAAGTGAAGTCCTGTGTCATTGTCAGACGTGATATTTGTCACAGTTGTTTCCGTCATTCTCAGAAGTAGAAGGGTTTCTTTGAAATACACTGACCAGAGCATAAATGCCACTTTTGCCACATATTTAATGCTAATTGTTAGCGTAGCTTTAATATGTGCTGCATAAGTCAGAAAAACATATTCAGGATTGTTTTTTTAATCCACCCTGTTTCTTTTAGCCGCCTCTACCCGAGGAGGACTACCCCACAGAGGATTACCCAGCTGTGGATCCACCTGAGCCCTACGATCAGCTCCTCGCTACAGGGCCTCCCACCCTCCCTAAAGAGTACACCCTCAGCCACGTGAGCCGGACCATCATCCCGAGGGCCAACCTGGACCGAAGTACTCCCTCCGGTTGGATCCTCACAGTGGAACCCAACGGGACCTGGGTGTTCACCAGCGAACACTCCCCGGAGCAGGTAGATCCAGATCTCACAGCTGTCTAACATCCACTTTATGGAGATACAACACGAACTTTCTTTGTGGCTTCAGAGTTTAAAAAGGGCAAGGACAGGAGGGTCACTGCCTTATTAAGAAAATGTGTCAAAAGAAAACTCAAAAAGCAGCCTCTCAGCTAAAATATCAGGAAGTTGATAGCAGGGGTGTCAGACACAACATACAGACTGATGCTTTTACAGTGTTTGTGTTTAACAGGACCCATTGAGCCTTAGACGTCTATTGGACGTCTCCTTTTAGTTTAGACAGAAATTCACCGTTCTATAATCGGTCTATGTTTTAGCGCAAATCTTGAGGATAGAATTTAATCTATTAATTATTAAATATTAAATAAAAAACAACAACAGTCATTGATCAATGTAAAGTGTAGTTTATTAGATGGCTAGTCAAAGCTTAGACGACTAAAAAAGTTTCATTTTTAGACCAGTGGGAGACCAATATTAGCCCAAATATCTAAGGACCATTAGACGTCTATTAACATCTTTTAGCGTAAAAAATGCTCAGGGGGAGGGTGTCTCTGAATGCAACAATAACTGTGAAAGCTCCTTTTCCTTTAAATCTTGATGATTACGTCTTACAGCTAGAGAAGATCAGACTTTAAAACATTCAAATATTACAAAACAAACCATCCAAAAGAAGGATTTATGACATAGAAATGTCAACAATCTGGAAAATTATGTTAAATTGTGCTGTCAGTACTTGGGTGTAGGGCTGGTCGATATGGCCTTTAAATTAATATCACAATATATTGAGCAGTTCACCTCAGTAACGATCAATGGACAATAACTACTCCACAAGCTGCTCGACCCCTTCCACATTAATTTTGTCTACTTTAGCTGCCGCTCCAGCCGTTACAACTTTTGAACCGTCCTCCATCTCCTCACCTGTCTTTCCCTCTTTGTTGCAGACTAGATTGGGTGGAGTCATGTCTCCGACGTAGGACAGCATCTTAAAGGGACATGAGACCATAGCCTACCTACACACATCAAAAAACAACTTTTGTCATTTTTTCGACAGAGAATACACTGATATGGGTAAAATGACGTCGGTTATTGTCGTAAATTTCAGTATTAGTACATTTCCGGTTTATCGCCCAGCCCTACTTGGTCGAGGATGCTTTTGAAAGAATTACTGCATCTATGCGACATAGCGTCGAGATAATTAGTCTGTGGCTCTGCTGAAGCCCATGTTGCTTTAAGAGCTTCTTTTGGACTTAACTTTAATCTGAAAACATGACTTTGGACGATTGAGCAAAAATCAAGTTCCTTTTCTTCTTAGCCCAGCTGAGACTGATTTCTGGTTCAGGAGTGTCTTGATAGCTGTCAGATCAGGAGTCCTCCTCATGATTGTGGTTGCATGTACAGAACCAGAATGAGAGAATAAAGGCTCAAAAAACCTTTGCTGATTAGAGCTCTTTCCAGGACTGAAATCCCTGACCAGAAACTGGACTTGATTCCTGTGCGCTGCAAACTGTTCTTTGGCATCCGTAGTAATTTAAGTCTGTTGCTGAACGAGCTAAAAACTCATCACAGGAGCTTTAACTATAATATGATCTTGTTTTGCAGTGGATCAAGTCTGTGGATGATCGAGGGCAGACCTACTACTATCTGAGGGACGGCTCCAAGTCTCAGTGGAACCTGCCTGAGGTAAAAATCTTTCACTGCACCAGATCAATAAAGAACTGTTTCCACTTCGCACACACACGAGACATAAGATGGAAGAGCATGTTTAGATACACTTTCAAAGTGAAACAAGTCACTTCATCCTTAAAGGTCTGATATTTTTAAACCCAAAGAAACCAAACTGAATGTATGTTTTTGTCCCTCCAGGCCCCTGTAGCTCCAGGCCAGTCCAGAGTGGAGGATGGTTTCGAATCAGACAACGTGTCAGTCTTAAAAAACTGGAGACACTCCATGGGACCTCCACTGCTCAGCCCGGGCCCAGATGACGGGGTACAAACACACACTCTTTAACACACACACACACTCAAACCGGCAAGTACACGGTGTCTCACACACTCAGGGTGTGTCAGCTCAGAGTAAAAGCTCCAGTCAGGCAGAAGCAGTGAGGGTGAGTCCATGTGTAACAACAGACACTCCCAGGTCTGTAAACCCTTATTTAGCAAGTCAAATCAGCTGTAGTGCTCTCGTATTTACACTGACAGCTCGAACACTGAGAGACGCTGCGCACAGAGAGCTACAAATATACACAAACAAAATACAAATAAGGGCCTGCTTGTCTGAATCTCATCTGTAATCGTCAGTTTAACAGCTTGTTCAAGGTCACAACATTGACGGCGTTTAAAGCGTCTGTAGTTGTTTATTTATTAGAGATATTACCCTGCCCTTTGAATGACTTTGAAAAATACAAATCTACTTTTCTAGTTTTTCTGACTGTTATAAATTTCCTTGTTTTCCAGAGATTCGTCCCGACTCACAGGAGGAACACGTCGGACTACAGCAGCGACAGCTCCAGCACGGGGAACTCGCCGGAGACGCACCACAATGTGAGTGAATCGTATCATTCCAGTCCAGTCTGCTGATACTTGTTACTGCAGAATAACAAGAGGCTGAAGTCTTCCTGCTGTGGTTTCTAAACGCTGATTTGTGTATCTCTCTGAAGGCATTTGGGTTTAGACCCTGGAGGAGACCTTATTATCTGACATCGAGGTGGCTGCGGTATAATGTGGGTTATTAGTTTGAGAGTCCACCTGAGCTTTATGCATAGATAGAAGTGTCTATCTATGATGGGCTAAAGGTGTACGGACTATTTAGATCACTGAAGAGGCTTTTGTTGCTCTCAGACTGGCTTTTTTGTTCATTTCATCAAACATCATGTTCATTTGAAATCTTTTGGCGCATGTACAGTGATAGATTTCAAATGCTGATTTTCAATTAGGATGTGACTTTGACAAAATATCTCATCCTGTTGACTCCTGACTGTCAAATATGTTATTTATTCCCTCTGAGCATTTTTTGGTCTAAGAGGTCTAATAGATGTCGAAATGTAACCTGGATGACTGGTCTTAAATCAGGCTACCAAAGGTCTAAAAATGAAACTTTTTTAGACATCTAAATTTAGACCAAGTCTAGACTAGCCGGCTATACTATACGACACTGTGTATTGCTCAACTGCTATTATAATTATTTTGGTTAATTACTTGGAGATCAGTTATGAAACTCACAGTTGCTTTTTGAAATAAATAGTTATCGAATAATGGGTCAAAGTGCAACGTCTGAATTCCGTCTAAAAACACACAGAATCTAGACGGTTGAAATTAGGTCTAAAATTAGGTCTAAAAAAAAAAACTACATGTCTAATAGCCGTCTGTTGCTCAAGGTTGTGAATATTTTATCTGGAAATTGTAAAAACGGGGCTGTTTCAGACACCCACCCTCTCAGGCATGTAAAAACAGCCAGTCTTGTCACTGATGGTCTTGTTTGCTTTTGGAGATCATCAACAGGCACAAAAATGAATTTTGGTCTATTAAAGAAATGTCAAAAACTCCTTATTGGACCTTTAAAAACACATTAAATTATTCATTGTCTGCCTGCTGGAAATACTCACGAGTGAATTGTATCCATGAGTCATAAAGCTTAGAGATGGTTCTGCACGATAAACATCCAGATTTTGTTCATCATTTGATGTTAATTGTCAGATTTAATCAGACAGAATTAGCGTCTTCTCCGTGGTTACAGGTGGTTTCCATGGTTTCCATCATTAAAGACGGACATTTGATTGCTGAGGTTAGAGGTATAATTCATGTAATTAAAGGATCTACAGACACTGACTGCATGCTTTGGTTGAAAACGTGGCGTCTGTGCTCTTATCAGTCCTGTTTGAGTTAACGCTCACTGAAAACTACAATTCCCAGGTCTTTTGAGCATGTTCAACTTTTCCCAAATCTAAACTGTATCTGTGTGACCCATTTTTATAACTCCATTTGTAGTGTCAGCCACGGCCAGAAGCATTGGGTTTTTAGGTTATCTCTTTGTCTCATGAACACAGAAAGAAAAGCTCTTAAGGGACTTGATTCAAAATTGGCCCAATGATAAACTCTGTCAATGTGAACTCTGAAAACACGTCCTCTTCCATAACCAGTCAATTCACCACCAGATTCCCCAAATATAGTTGAATAAATGATGATAACTTCATGGTCTTTATGCAGACATTTTCAATTTGGTTCTGTCATGTTAATTTTTGTCAGTGACCTCTAAGAATTTAATTTATTGGACTTAAAACTTATTGCATTAATACAGACCATTTATGTATCAAAAAAAACAAGAGAGGACCGAGGATTGAACCCTGAGGTACCCCATCCGTCAAAATTGTTCTCCTAAAGCCTGATCTTCTATTCATAAACATTACAGACACGACATATTGTTCATTTCTGTAGAGCTGTGTGTAAGTAATAGGTTTCACTTCATTCCTGTAACTGGTATGCATGGCCAAGTTGAACTTCATTGCTGTGCTGCTGTATTCAGATCCAAAAGTCTGCCTGAATTCAGCTCATATGGCTTCATTGTTGAGTTTGTGTTCATCATCGTCATTATGGTTCCTTCATATCTTTATGCTATGGCTTCCAGTGTTAGCTTTACAGTTAGAGGTAAACCTTAAATAATTAACAAACTTGTCTTTTTGACATTCTTTTCAGGTGCAGAACTTAGAGAAAGCAGGAATTCTCAACAAAACTAAAGTGTCCGAGAACGGCAAGAAAGTAAGGTGAGCTGAAATTCACTCTCAGGTCTTTTCTTCGCTGATGTGACACTCTCAGTTTTCACTTTTTTGAGTTTGAGCTGAGTTTGGTGTCTTGTGTCGGCTCTTCTGTGGCTTTGTTAAGTGGCAGGCAGTGATGGCTCTTCTCTGGTTTCAGGAAAAACTGGACCCAGACGTGGACGGTTCTACTTGGGGGGGTGCTGACATTCCACAAAGACCCTAAGTCTGCGACAACAGGGGCCTCGGTACGATTTAGACTCATAAATATAGATTCTAAAATAGGTTGATGAGTATATATATACATGTGTCATAGGGCATACATGATACCAGTTTTATAAAATAATGATATTAATGTGTTATTTTTGGAAAACTTCAATACTATCAAAATAAGGAAAGGCAAAAAAAGAGTGAAGCAACACACTACTTAAAAACAGGACGTACATGTCACTATCTATATCAGGTGATATACTAATATAGCACTTTTTTTATTGTATGATGGAGTGGATTTCAATAGTGCTCATGAATAATTTGGCTTTATTTTCTGCATTTTCTTTTAAATTTTTGTCCCAGATTATCATAAAACCAGATATGTTTTATAAAGAGTGGGAGTATGTTCCTCAGAAACAATATAGAAATGGAGGAAAGCTCCCGAATCAGTGGGCAAAAATGAGCATTTGAAACAACAAGGCAAGTGTCATCAGCAAACAGTAAATTGATCCATGAATACTGACTATATAAAAAACAAAAGAGGACCGAGGGTTGAACCCTGAGGTGTCCCATTCATTAGCTTGGTTTTAAATGAGTTTTGCCTATATACAGATACATGATAATAGGGCCCGACCAATATGGATTTTTTGGGGCCAATGCCGATACTGATTATTGGGGGGGCTATCTTTATGATATATCTACAGAATACCATATACTGTAGATATACTGTAGGCTACTGCTCTTCACGCCAACAGGAAAACCGATTGATCAAACTGGGACCAGAAAAGCATTTTCAGCTAACCCCCCACTGCAGCCGCCGATTGGCGCCTCCACGTCTTAACTCACATTACTCATTTTTGGTCCGGTCTCATCTGGGGACATGCAGCTGCCTCAGTAAGAGAAGTAGCTCGATCACATAATGTGTACTGTTGTTTATTCTACCGTTACTGGCACGGCTAACAGTGTAGCAAGGCTAATAGCAGGTGGCTAACTCTAACTTTAGCTTGCGTATGACATGGTGCTTCACCGTTAACTCGGCGTGACCGAGACCAGCCCATCAGGGAACATCGTGAAGTGGGTTGTGAAACTTTTCAAATAGCGGAACATTTTTGAAGTGAAACCAAATCCTATTCTCCGCATTTTATTTCTGAAAATATAGGCGAAAATCTTTGAGTTTTGGCTGATTACCGATAGGTCTCAAATGGGCTAAATTTGGCCAATTTAATTGGCTTGCCGATAAATCGGTCAGGCCCTACATCATATATGTTCTCTATGCTTGTACACTAAAAAAAGTTCTCCCAGAGTTCTATTTACTTGTTTTTAATTAATAAAGAGAACTAACAAGTCGTTTTTTTTTCCACATTTATGGTCTCCTCCGAACAGTATTTATAGTTGTTTGTACTTTTACCTCCGTAGAGGCTCTGAACACTCTCTCCCTTCCTGTTTGACTCAGTGAAGTAAAGCGTTCATCCAGTGTTAATAAAAAGCTCTGGCACTTGAATGCTGCTCATGTTGCATTCTGAACATTTCTGCGAGGGTTGTTGCTTGGTGAGAACTTGAGGACCAAATGTACCGTCACTTTTTTTTTCAGGGGGGTTTTGTTCTTAAGCTTCCAGCCACCTTCACCTGAATCCTCTTTTTTCATTTATTCACCACTTCGGCATCATGTATCATCAGTTATAAAGAAAATGAAACACTAACCTGCAGCGTAATGCGGGTTGTTGTGTCACCTCTATGAGGAGTGACAGCACAGATGAGCCCTGAGGCCAGAGGCAGGCTGACAGGGACACTCGCAGCTTTTGTTCGAGTGTGGCTCATTTCTTGGAATGTGGTGCCGTCAGTTTCGTAAACAGATGTGTTTTTTTCTTTTCTTTGCGCAGAATAAAACCAATCAGATCGTTCCAGAGGTGACGGTGGATCTGCGGGGAGCGACGATTGGCTGGGCCTCGAAGGAAAAATCAAGCAAGAAGAATGTTTTAGAGGTGTGTTTGTTTGTTGGCAAAGAAAAAAAGGCTGTTGAGTAAATGCCTCTATCATAAGTAAACACCTTTGTGACACGTGTGCTTGTATTTTTAGCCCTCTTACCTTTTTCTTTAGGATATTTTCCTTCTATAAATATCCCAGAGTAGAACACGTGTTGTGAGTAAATGTGGTTTTGTGCATAATTATTGCTCCGTAGCACCACTTAAGTGTTTTACTATCTCTGTTTCAGTTAAAAGGCAAAAATGGGGTGGAGTTTCTAATTCAGTACGACACAGAAAGCATCATCAATGACTGGCACAAAGTTTTAGTGGACACCATAAGACAGCTGGTAAGTCGTTTCAAAAGATTGGTTCAATCTTTTTAATTATTTTATCATTTACAACCCCGTCCTGAATTAAAACAATATGGCGGCAGAAAGTGTGTGCGGCTCCTGGGTACAAGGCAATTTCAATGAGTAATAATAGTGACTAAGTCTATCACATGATACTGTGATACTATGACACTGATCAAATGATACGCATGATAAATCCTATCCAACTGTATCATATCATACACCTCATCATTTTACATTGTGTTGTCCAATTTTGTCATATCATATTATATTACACATCATATTGTATCAAATTTCATCACATATCCAATCATATCTCAACCTCAGTATCATTTAGTATTGTATGATATCATAAACTGTATCATACTGTTTTATATCATCTATGGTGAGTAGGGGCTGTATGAAAAATATTGATTGATGGATTGATTAATAAGAGTTGTACTGTATCCCATGTATCTTACCATATTGGATATTTTCACACCGTGTCAAATAGTTTTGGATCATATCATATCATTTTTTTATCATATCGTATCATATTGTATCATATTGTGTCATATTGTATCTTTTTGAATCGTATCATATAGTCTCATATAATTTTGAATCACTTTTTATCTTATCGTAGAGTATTGTATTGTATAGTATCATATCGTATTGTATTGTATCGTATCGTATCGTGTGGTATTGTGCCTTAGTGTATTATAGCACACCGTTCCAAATTCCATTATTATTATCATGTCATTTTTTTGAATTTTTGAATTTTGAATTACATTTAGGCTAGTATCATCGCATGTCGTATCGCAGTGTTTTATCATATAATGGTATTACCTTCATACTGTACCCTGTCAGATCATATTACATCAGACAGTATCATATCTTTACAAATCCTGTCATATGGTATCATACTTCCATATAAAAAAAAAAAAATTAGTTGAAAAATTTCATGGTACGTTATCTCAGTATACTGGAGGATGCAAAAGAGAGACTCTAAAAGGACTGAGTTCAAAATCTGAGAAAAAAAAAAAATGATGTCATTGACCTTTGCTTAATGACAAATGATGCTGAATTAGAGTTGATTGAGTTTGATCTGAAGTACATAAGTAAAGGCCACATTATGCCTTACTTGGGTTTGATTTACTAACTTTCTGTGCCCTTTTTCAGGAGTATCAGGACCACCATTCAGATGAGGAGGATGGTGATGTATATGAGAAGATCCCCGGCATAGAGAAAGAAGACAAGGTCGCTGCAAGCATCGACAAAAGAAGACGTACGAAAAGAAAAATCTATATTTGTTCAAGTTTGGCATGAAATGTCAGGACTCCACTGTGTTTGATATAATAATAAGCTTGAGTTTTTTATGATTTAAATGTCACATTTTGCTTTTTACAGCTTCCAGGCCGAGTGTCGTGCACTCGTCCAGCAATGCAGGAGAAAACGATCAGAAGAGAGTTCGGACCAAGCTGATGAAGTTTCTCATGAAGCGTCCCACGCTGCAGTCTGTCAAAGAGAAAGGATACATAAGAGGTGAGTTCAAACAGCTATAACACAATGATGATATTGACTGTTACTACTCCTATTAAACATAATATTGCTCTTTCTTTCCCTGCAGAAAATGTATTTGGATGCCATCTGACCACACTGTGTGCACAGGAGAGGACCACAGTTCCAAGTTTTGTAGAAAAATGTGTCAGAGCAGTGGAAAATAGAGGTAATCATCCCTGTCTGAATGAGTGTGGTACCCTCTTGGTGATTGCTTTATAGATTAAAGCTGATTCACGTGTCGATCTGCAGGTTTAGACATTGATGGACTGTACAGAGTGAGCGGGAACCTTGCGGTCATTCAGAAGCTTCGCTACAAGGCAGATCATGGTAAATGAACAGGAATATTAAACCCTCTTTTGACTGCAGCACCCCCTGCTGTGCGTTAATGTACTGTGCGCCTGTTGTGTTTAAACAGAGGAGCTGGACCTCGAGGATGGCCAGTGGGAGGACGTTCACGTCATCACTGGAGCACTGAAGCTGTTTTTCCGAGAGCTTCCTGAGCCACTTTTCCCGTTCAGCCACTTTAACGACTTCGTTACAGCAATCAGTGAGCAGAGTTTCACATCTATTAAACTACTTTAGTCTAACCATTAAAGAGAAGCAGCACAATATACAGTAAATATTTCTAATGCTGCATCTGGCTGCTTAGTGTTCATGATTTTGATCTTGTTTTCAGGGATTCCTGATTACAGCACCAAACTGGACTGCGTTCATGAACTGGTCAAGACACTTCCTCCTGCAAATCATGATACAATGAAACTCCTTTTTGGACATTTAAGCAGGTATTTACATCTATCTTGAGTTTGTTTCCATCAAACTGTGAAATAACTTTACCATTCGAGTTAGATTTGTAGATTATGTTTTCTGGACCATGGTCTTTCTAATTTCACCTGTCTCTTTCTTTAACTTATTTTGACTTTAACAGATAAAACTAAATGATGAATCCTCTCTCTTTCTCTTTGTCAGGCTGATTCAGCACGGTGAGAACAACCGTATGACCGTGCAGAATGTGGCCATCGTATTCGGTCCGACTCTCCTCCGCCCGGAGATGGAGTCGTCAAACATCGCCATGCACATGGTCTTCCAGAACCAGATAGTGGAGTTCATCCTGAACAATTACGAGCATATCTTCTGCTCCAGCTAAAGCTGCAAACACCCGAATGTGCTGGAGTTATTTTGAAATTCGACATTTATACTCTGCATGAACGAAAACAGCTTCAGTTTGGCATCAACAACAAAAATCCTCTTGTAAGATAAACAAAAGGGCTCTTCAGAATATTTGAGATTTAACCACAGAAATATTAGATAAAGGAATGTTCAAATTGTACTCACTGAGCATATTTGAAGCATGATTAACCACTTTTTTTTACTCCATACGAGGCTGACACTTTTAGAACTATGTTTGGCAGTATTGTTGGATTAGAAATCAGTCCACACAGGTGTAAACAGGTGTGATCAAACGCACTATCTCAGAGCTATCAGCTGGTTGTGATGGTGGTGAAAAGACTGTATCATATTGCTCTTTGAGAGACCAGCTGTCTGAATCTCACGAGTCACTTTCTGGAGATTTTAATGTTTCAGCGTTTTGGTTTTTAAACCTCAGAGATAATCGAGCCTGAGTCATACTCGCACAGGTGCATCAGTGCTCTGTGTGAACTTATCAACAGTGGCTTTCACCTTCATTTTAGAACATTTAATGACTTTCAAACTTGTTTTTTAATTGCAGTTGAAGTTTATCACAAAGGCCAATAACTGAGATTGTATTCTAATGTTTGTTTTTGTTGTTCCGAAGTCTTATTTTTACCTGTGAATTTATTGTAATATAGAAATGTATAAAAGAAATATTAATACATACATCCTGCTGTGAAGTAGATGATGATATAGAATACTTGGGTTACGTGTAGATTATTTTAAATCACGCTTTACATGAGGAAAGTGTATAACAACACCTGACAAATATGAACTAGTCATTGATACTTTGACCGCTGGCAGTAAATAAGAGTGACCATAAAGCATAAAGTGGATCTTAGAAGAGATTTATAATCTGTAAATAGAAATAGATGGCATATTTATGCTAAGAGTTGTTGAAAATGCACAATATTCAATAATAAAAATAACTTTGTAAAAAAAAAAAAAGAAAACGACTGTTTTTTCTTGTGTAAAAAATCATTCACTTAAAAATGTTTTTTAAGTAATAGACACTGTTTTTCTAGATTTTTGTCATGTAGCAGGTAAGAAATATGGGAATAGAATAACACTTTAAAAAAAATAACTATTTATATTGCACCTCTAATAAAAAGAGTTCATTAAGTCTTTTGGCCGACAGGCAAAAAGCAGAAGGACTGAAAACAACATCATAACCTAACAGAATAACAACCACAATCGAGGCAACCCAACAACACAGGATGAAAGGTAGGAACATGAAAACTGAAGAAACACAAAATCCCAGCACATGATGTAAGACTGAGGACAAAAGCAGCGAGGACGCAAAAAGATGGTTAAGACAAGACACATGACATTTAAAAGTAGTAAAAGTAGTTTAAGTTGGTAAATGAAATCAATGGACAAACAAAATGGACATATAAGCGATGAATAAGCAGGGCAGTAAGACACTCAGTGAATTGTGAGGAAAATCACTGGGAGAATGATAAGAGGGAAGATAAATGAAATGTAAGGCACAGTTTGGTGCTATAGTACTATGTAAAATAAAATATGATAAAGATAGGGCAAAAAGTTAAAGGGAGAATAAGTAGGTCAATATCACACTCTAAAAGTGTTTGTTTCTTTCATGAAGATTAAAACAACTCATTCTTTTAAGTTTTTTATGACTGCATTTTAGTCTGAGAACTTGTTTTTGATACACGATTTAGCTTTTAATTTTTCCAACCTTTATATTTTATTGATTCCCATATATTCTTTAAAAAAATGTCTGTTTTCACCCATTTAGAGCAGTTTTTTATGACTGCATTTTAGTCTGAGAACTTGTTTTTAATACATGATTCACTTTTTAATTTTCTAACGTTTTTTTTTTAATTTATTCCCATAAATTCTTTTGAAAAAATCTCTGTTTTGACCCATTTAGAGCAGATACGCTCTTTTTTATGAAGTCGATTAAATCTGTGTATTGAGCTGGAACCATAGACAGTCTTTGGTCGGATCCATTTTGAGGTTGGACTCACTTCCGGACTCTGTCAGCTGTGAGCACCGCATCAACTGAAATGAGTTTTGAGTGGCCCTGGCAGTACAATTTCCCCCCGTTCTTCACGTGAGTAAACTTTTAGTCAAACCACTTCAAACACACGTCTTCTATTACTACCCACCCTCTATTTTTTCACGTGACACTAAAACGAAGCGTCCCGGTTAGCGAACTATCACCCTGTTAGCTGCTAAGTGGCTAATGAAACAGACAGCTAGGGAAGTGGTTTCCACAGAAACAGGCTCCAAAACTTTAGTCATTTACACTCTTGAAGGGTTGACAGCGTATGAATATGTGTAAATGTGGTTAGTTAATGTTGGTGTGTGCAGGTTTAGTCAGAGAAAATGTGGATTTGTGGCAGTAAATCAGCGTTTCTCTGTAGTCTGGAGGCAGGGGCGTGTACAGAGGTGTGTACGGACCCCCTGAAGTCAGATATAGGACATGTTAAATCAAGTATTTGGTCTATTCTTTAACAGATACTTGAATTATATTCCCACTGCTGTGTTTTGCTTGGTCATGTTTTGGAGAAGGGGGTTCTGGTTAATGCAGGGATGAAAGGGGAGGGTACAAAAAACAACAAAGCAGTGAACTTATGTCTTCCTATAACTGGGTAGCCAATAAACACAGACTCTATTTCCATCTGAGAACCACTGTTGATGACTCAGTGTTTTGAAGGGGAAGATTTCGCCTCCACTTTTCGAAAACGCTGACTAAATGAGCAAAGAGACTCTCAAAAAAAGGAGGAGTGGGGTGAAAGTGTGAAACGAGAATGAGGCGCACTTCCCACATCTTCAAAGACAGATGCGTCAGAGAGGAATAAGTCCATCACACTCCTCCATAGTGTGCAACTGTCATATGTGCATTCACTTTCAACATCCTAATACACAAACTGTTGGTTAGTGTGTTGATAGTGTGCCGGGTTTTGCTTGCAGTCTTTCAGGACTTAAAATAGTGATTTTGGTAGATGACACTAAGTAGAAGTTAAAGGGATATTCCAGAGTAAAATAAATTAAGAGTCAAACACATGTGACACCGAGTTAGACACTCCCTCTAGAGATGAATGTTGTCGACCGCTTGCTTCTCTAGTTTTACCAACTTTAGTGACGACTGCAGGATAGCAATACAGAGAGCCACGTGCTCAACCAAAACGCCACTCTATAGCCACAAATAATGCTCAGAACAGCACCTAACTTCATCAGCAGTACATATAGGGTCCCAGCCGTAGCACTAGTCACCAAACATCTTTTTAACTTTGACTAATTTCTTCAGCAAAGAGACTAAACACAACTCACCAACTCTCTTCCAGCAGCTGCTTGTTTGTCGTGAGACCTCAGGCCAGTCCATTACGGACTGCAGCAGGGGGACGCAGCTCAAGGAAGAACATTTATGATCATGACTTTATCATTTCCTTGAAGTAATAATCACCATATTAATCATTTTGCACTGCAGACGTGGTAGTTCTTCTGTCTTAGCATCTCGGTCTGACTGCATTTCCATGAAGAAATGATCAAAAATGTTCTTCCTTGAGCTGTGTCACTGTAGTACACAATTTAGATCTGGTTTTCCTCCTCTGGCGGTTGAGGTCAGTCAGTTCAATAATATTCCTGAAGAAAACAGACTCAGTAAGTTCAAGTTGTGTGACTCTGGACAGATTTTCATTTCCTTTTTCACTTTAAACTATGACGACCAAAAAAAGTTGTGAGGTGATCAGATAAGCAAAAACTAGACAGGCTGTAAAAGTTGAATGTACATGAGGAAGACTGTTTAAATACTGTGATATTGTTAATTAGAGTAAAGGTATGCATACGTGTACAAACTAGACTAGAGCAGTGGTTCTCAAGTCCAGTCCTCAAGGCCCACTGTCCTGCATGTTTTGGATGTTTCCCTGCTCCAACACACCTGATTCAAATGATCGGCTCGTTATTAAGCCATTGCAGAGCTTGATAACGAGCTGATCATTTGAATCAGGTGTGTTGGAGCAGGGAAACATCCAAAACATGCAGGACAGTGGGCCTCAAGGACTGGACTTGAGAACCACTGGAGTAAAGGATAGAATTATCATGAAATATAAAGAAACAGTCAGCCCAATTCAGAGTTAATACAATAAACATGATAATCTCTTAACTGATTGTTGATTTATCTTGGTACATTGTCCTGTATTTAACTGTCAGTCATTTGAAATTACAGTGAGTGAGCAGCATGAGCTGTGCTGATAAGTATTTTTCCTGGAAGTGCCCAAGATTTAGCAGAAACCTTCAGGGTGATGTTATAAATCAGCGCTAACGTGCGATTAGATCTTCGTTTTTATCTGCTGTAGCTGCTTTTCTTCAGACATGCAGACCAAATTAAATAACAGGACCAAAACTGAACAGTTCTGCATGCTTCTGGAAAATGAGGAACATTGAGTTAACTTTCTGTACATGTGGTTGGAGGATGTCTTTCTTTTATGGTGCTGGTCCCTGTAGTATGTTGCAGAACCATAGGAAGGTAAATCTGAGATTTGGTTGGATTACGGATCTTATTCCCAATCCTCTGGTGTTAATCTGCAGCTTTAACAGGCTCCACTTTGATCAAGAGACTTTCACAATGATTTGGAGCCTGGTTCAAGGGACTTTCTCAGAGATTTACAGAGGTCTAGACCTGACCTTTGGTGTTAAGTGTCGGGTTGGTTACGGCCAGGGTTGTTTTTTTGTGAGGTCAGTTAAATCCATCTAAACCCAGAAAAGCCTTCCTTGAATACCCACCTTTGACCCGTTGAATCAACCTCCTACTTTAATGTTCTAATAAGTCATCAAGAAGACCCAGACTTATGACTTTTTTAAAGGTTTTATTTCACATTTCATGCTCCTCTGTTTGTTTACAGACTACAGCCTAATGTTGACACGAGACAGAAGCAGCTGGCGGCCTGGTGCTCCCTGGCTTTGTCATACTGCCGGCATCACAAGCTCTACACCCTGGATGTCATGGAGGCCCAAGAGAGTCCTGTGTTCAACAACAAGAAGATAGAACGTATCCTAACATCTGTGTTACTGTGGTCCAGGCAGGAGCTGTACTTTACCGTGGTCTACATCACACTGAGTTCTGTTAGCATGAATAAGCTACGGTGGCCCGGTGGCACAAATTTTTCAGGAAGGCAATAAATAAATATTTTATAAAACACATAAGAGGTTTGAAGAAACACCAAAATGATTCACATGAACACAACATTTATTTTAGAAAAATAAATGTAATTCATAAATCATAAATATTTGGGAAAAAAAAGAAATAAAAAATATTTTAGAAATTCAAAACAATTTTAAGAAACAAAAATATTTGGGATTTTTGATCAGAAGTCAATTTTGTGATAAAATACTAGAAAAATCTACTCACCCTGTTCTCCTATATATACTTCTATAATCAGAAAATGACATATGACTGTTGCTAAGATACACTTTAGGCACTTGAGTTTCGTCCAATCACATTTAAGAAGTTTGGTCCAACCCTCTCTGCTTTAAAAAATTCTAAGATGATGTTCAGTCAGAATTTTTTTTTCAAATTTTAAAAATGTTTTTATTTATTTATAAATTTATTTATATTATATGTTATTTATAAATATTCATTTATTTATTAAGTTATTTTTTGTTCTCAAAATATATTGGCATTTCTGAAATATTATACATTTTTTAGAATTTATTTGTGTTTTTTATTTATTTTTTTATTTTTTTGCCTTAATGTAAAATATTTTTGGGTTTTGTCAAATGTTTGGAGGTTTTATGAGATTTATTTGCATATAATGAAATATTTTTGCATTGTATTAATTTTTTTTTTTTCCATTATTTTGTTATCGCCTTTCTGGAGTGTTCGTGCACTGTAATAATCAGATTTGCTTGTGAAAGGTTTTTGTTCTGCCAAAATTAGATGATTACTCGACAGGATATCAGGCAACAAAGTGTGTCAAAGTCCTTCAAATACCACATTTAAAGACCTTAATAAAGGTCAGAAAAACTGCAGTGGATGCAGAATAATTCAAACACAATTAAAATTCAGAGAAAAGTGAACCAGTAGAGTGTAGCTTTTGAAAAATACGATACATAGATATAGTTATCATGTTTATTCGATTAGGCTCCTCCTTTTAGAGCTTCCAGGGTGCATTTGACTTGGAGGAGACCCCGGGGTTAGACCCAGGTTATACATCCCAGCTGGTCCAGGAATGCTCTGTAATCCTTTTCTGAGACCCAGTTATCTACTAAGTATTAGATTTACTGGAAGAAAGAAAGAAAGAAGATCCACTTCTGCTTTATCAACTTTTGTCATTTAATGAAATTATCTTGTGAGAAAGGAGAGCTTTGCGCTTATATTTGCACTTTGAGAGAATTTTTTTTTTTTTTTCATATAAACTCTTGAACAGCACATTATTATTCCTCTGTACATTTGTTTCCTTTTCTGTTCAACCTTGACTGATTTCCAGGAAAACTGTCGATGGAAGCAATCCAGGTTGTTTTCGAGGAACTGAGGAAAAAAGGTCAATGTTGTTCTGAGCACTCATATCAGCATCTTACTGTGAATTAACTCCAGCATCAGTAAGTGTTTATCATCATTGTTTGTGTGACTTCAGGGAACCTTGAGTGGTTGGACAAAAACAAGTCTCGCTGTTTAGTCATGTGGAGACGACCGGAGGAATGGGGCAAGTTAATATACCAGTGGGTGAGTCATCAAACTTAAGAAACATTGTGTGCCGTCTGTTAAAGTGTACGTCTGTGCGTCAGAGAAACGGAAAGAATAAAGTGTTCAATAAAGACGTGAACTCAGGAGCAGTGAAGAAGAGAGAGTGACTGAAGCAGGAAGCCACAGGAGGGGCTGAAACTGTTTGTTTTGGTCACTGTACTGGATCTTTACTGAAAACACGACTACAGTGACTATTACAGCTCATCAAACAGCCTCAGAGAGTAAACCACAATCAAGAACAGCCTGTAATCAAGAGTTCCCAGGTGCACCAGACTGATCCATCCAGTACAAAATAAAACCCAGGACAATGTCTGCCCCTGTAGATTCTTTGAAAGATGTTTGTCGTGTCTGCTCTGGCTAACAATTAATGTTATTATTTCTGGTGTCAGCTGTTTATGAAGATGACCACTCTGCTCTCCGGGTTTCAGGTTTCCAAAAACGGGATGGTCAACTCTGTGTTTACACTTTACGAACTGTCCAATGGTGATGATACAGAAGGTGAAGGTACGTCCATGCCAAAATAAGATCAACCAGCATCCATGCATTCTTATCAGGAGTTAAAGGGATATTCCGGCGTAATATTAATTTAGGGTCAAACACAGTGTAACACCGAGTTAGACAAGAGATGAATGTTGCCGACCGCTTGCTTCTCTAGTTATACCAACTTTAGTAACGACCGCACGATAGCAATACACAGCGGTCTGAGGAGCCACAAACAAACCTCAACCAAAACGCCACTCTATAACCACAAATAATACTCAGCACAGCATCTAACTTCATCAACAGTACATGTAGGGTCCCAGCTGTAGCACTAGCCACCAAACATCTTCTTAACTTTGCCTAATTTCTTCAGCAAAGAGACTAAACACAACTCACCCACTCTCTTCCAGCAGCCGCTTGTTTGTGAGACCTCGGGCCAGTCCATTACGGACTGCAGCGGAGTTTCGCAGCTCAAGGAAGAACATTTACGATCATTACTTTATCATTTCCTTGCAGTAATAATCATCATATTAATCATTTTGCACTCCAGACGCGGTAGTTCTTCTGCCTTAGTGTCTCGGTCTGATTGCTTTTCCATGAAGAAATTATCATAAATGTTCTTCCTTAAGCTGCGAAACTCCGCTGTAGTCTGTAATGGACTGGCCTGAGGTCTCGCTACAAACAAGTAGCTGCTGGAAGAGGGTAGGTGAGTTGTGTTTAGTTTCTTTGCTAAAGAAATCAGGCAAAGTTAAAAAGATGTTTGGTGGCTAGTGCTTTGGCTGGGACCCTATATGTACCGTTGATGAAGTTAGGTGCTGTTCTGAGCATTATTTGTGGCTATAGAGTGGCATTTTGGTTGAGGTTTGTGTGTGGTACTGCTATTGTACGGTCGTTACTAAAGTCGGTATAGTGAGAGAAGTAAGCGGTCGGCAATATTCATCTCTTGAGGGGGTGTCGAACTTGGTGTTACGGTGGGTTTGACCCTAAATTGATTTTACACCAGAATATCCCTTTAATTTCTTCTAATTTGAGTTTTGGTTTCCTTCTCATCATTCATTATTCCCACTGGGCTCTTTTGTTTCTGCAGAGTTTCACGGTTTAGAAGAGTGGATGCTGCTGCGCTCACTGCAGGCTCTACAAACAGAAGGCAGAGCAGAGATCATCACCATGGACGACGGGAAAGGCGTTAAATTCTTCTGAAACGGTGCTGGAATCACACACACTCTGTCTGGGAGCCATCATACTCGACCTTAACAGGGAAATTTTTTAAGATTTAGCAGTTCGAGGATACGCCAGGTGCACCTGAAGAGGACGCTGGTGCTGCGGTTGTTGTTGTTGCCTTTCGGTATGCCCGGGTTCGGCCTTTTTATTGGGAAGAGAAAGTTTATCATTTGTAAGTGTTCGAGGGGTTCAAAGAGCATTTAAAAAGGCGGCACATTTGAAGCTGTCACTCTATTCGAGGCAATGTTTGTTGCCGGTTAAACACGCAACGAGTCTTATCAGGGGAGTAAACATGATCATGTCTGGATTCTTTCAGGGGAAACCTCTCCCCCAGCAGCTGTAACTTCACTTTCTTTACTGTAAATACGACTAATTTTATCCCGACTTTCCCTATTAACCCATTTCCTCGGTTATGATTAGCTCTGGATGTGTTGCTCGGCTGTGACGTCCCTCCTCTCCAAACAAAGCATCCCAAAGAAATCCCAGAATGCAACACCAGGAGGACTTTTTATTTTCAGAGTAAATGCTTCCAGAAGAGGAACACCACAGGGAACCAATCCTCATCTCAGCTGAGTTTTCATATTAGTGGACTCCATGTACAGTTCGCTGTCATCCTATCATTGTGCAGTAGCTACTGTGACACTCCTGTTTTCCATCTTTCTCTCTTTTTGTGTATATCCAACCTTCTTTTTTCATATCCTGTAGGAAAATAAACAAGAAATTTGCTACACTTGCTTGTTTTGGTTCCTCTCGGGGGTCTTTAACACTCTCTAATCATGTCACAGTTGTTGTGTCTGATAATGTCAGCAGCCCCCCTGCTGGGCGCAGACCTGCGGAGTGGCACCACAGTGATGGAGATGTTTTTATGCTCTACTTTTCTGCCTGCAGCTGCACTGAGTGTCTAAATACACCAGAAGGTCCACTCACATCATGTGCTCTGTGTGTCCCTGCCCGCGGGGACGATACAGCTCCAGGGAATCCAGCGTGTGTTTCCAGATAACGCGCAGTGTGAAGACAGGTGGGGTCCCTCAGCGTGGCCTTGTCTGATAAAAGTGTCGTGTTTCAGCAGCAGGAGAGGGGGGACTCTCGGCGGTGTGGCTCCCCCTGCAGGTTAGTCCCGCACACTGCATATTTCCCGCCTGACGTAGGGCGACATATCGGTCTCTATCAGCTGATCAAATGGCGACAGGAGTGAAGTGACTCATCAGAAGTGTCTTAATTCAGAGAAACGGGAGAGGTCGCGCTGGTCAATGAGGTGCCAATTAGAAGACGAGACATCCTGTTCTCCTGCAGGCTTTACAAACACCACAGGTGGTTTCCTAGGTAACCAATGACGAAATTTAATAAAACTGCTAAAAATATACAACATATCTGATTAAAGTGGCATTGCTTGACATGATTTGTTTGGGTTATTTACGTTTCAGACGTTAGAGAAACCCGCACAGCTTTTTGGACTACAATTACGCACAGAAAACCGACAATTAAAATCATCTTTAAAACCGAATTCGATGATTTACGAACGATTTAAACGATTTGATTTGATCAAAAATGGTACACAGACTGTGTCGATATTGAAAAATATTCTTCTGCTGAAAATAAATGCTCATTTTCAGTAACAAATTTAAGAACAGATGGGACAAAGAAAGAAAGAAAGCCCTAAAAAGGTTGTGTTATGCTTTTTGATATTAAATATAGGTTGATGATACCCCCTTTTTTATATGGTAAAGAGCTCTTACTGATCTGTTCATTTAATATTATTTTCTTGTTTTAGTCCATCAGGTTTTAGTCTTTACTTTTCAACATTTTTATCTCCAGTGTTTCCCAGAGGTAGCTCAAAAACCATTATCCATGCGCAAAGTTTGTGTCTGCACACACAAGCGCAGGTTAAACTGGAGCATACAAAGAGACAAGCATACAAAACATCATCCAGAAATACTTCTCTCGGTTGTTGACGTACATTTAAGTCAAAAGCATGACTCCTTAGTGGAAAAGTCCCCGATTTGTAACCTGTAAACATTTGGTGCATCATGATACAAAAAATAAAGATAAATAAATAAAGGAAACTCTGCACTGTTAAGCAGCTGAAATGTCTCTATATCAGAAATGCTTACTAAACAAGCTGGGGAATGATTGTTTAAACTAAGTATCTTCAGCGACTGTAACTTGGTTCTTAGTACATTCAACTTAAATATTCTTTTTCATTCCATTAGGAGCTTGAAGTACATTGAAGGTAGTCCAGTTCACTTACTTAACTAATGCTGCATTACTTAAAAAATTTAAGGCAACAAGTTACCTCGATTTTTTTTAAGTCGAGTCTACTTATCTCGGTTGACAGTGTGTTGATATCAAATGTAAAACAGGCAAATTTAGTGTTTGGTAACACTTTATTTGATGCCTATCTCTATAACGTGTTATAAATACATGTATAATGCGTTATAATCACGTTATAACTATAGTTATAAACATTCATAAATGATCATAATGCTTTATAGCAATAATCATAAAACATTATAAAGCGTTTTATCATGACTTAAGAGGTCAGATATTATAATGTGTTATAACTGTTAACACTTGTATTGCATTATCTATGTGGGCATTATCAGTGAGTTGGTAAAAGTTATAACACATTATAATAACTGACCTTTTAAGTCATGATAAGTTGCTTTATAATGTGTTGTGGTTATTGCTAAAAAGCATTTTGATCATTTATAAGTGTTCATAACTATAGTTATACAGTGCTATAACCTGATTATACCGCATTAAACATGTATTCAAATGCATTATAGAGATAGGCGTCAAATAAAGTGTTACCAGTATTTTTCATGGAATAATATCTTTTTTAGATTAAATATGATGTATCAGCTTTGCACTATTTTTTTTAGTGAAATGTTTATGTTTATGTGATTTTTAAATCATCATAATCTGTTTTTATGGACATTTTACTAAACATCCAAACTCTTTTAGAATTCAGATTGTACATAATAATTAATATCAAGCTTGAGAGCACCGAAAGAGTCCCAGTTTGCAAACACTTCTCAGAAAGCCACTGTAATTACTCCCTCTGGATACTCTCGTTCGCGCGTCAAAAGCAGCGAGGGGCGGAGTCGGGAGCGCGCACTCGGAGCGCACGGGGCGCACAGCCCTCCTGAGCTCTGTTGATATAGGCAGCTCTGTCCTTTGAGCGGAGGTTATGGCTGAGGACTCTGTTAAGGGAAGAGGAGAAAAGAAGACAGCTCGGATTATTTGATAAGAAACACACGTTTTATTACATTTCGTGCGCGCAATCGTGTTTTTACGCAGCAGCCGTGATGAGTAAGTACCCTTTTTCATACTTTTCTGTGTTTTTAAAGATGTTTTAAAGGTTCATTCCAGCTCTAGTGTAGATTTGGTAGACATGCATGTTTAATCTTGTCTCATTAGTCATGTTATAAACTCTTAAATTTGCGGTTATCGTTTTGTTTCAAGCTTCTTACTTCATTGACACCATGGAAAAGTAACCCGTAAGTTACAGTAACGGTACCGTGCTGGTTCTGTACCATTCCCACCTCTAGGCTCCTGATCAAGAAGGCTTTGAACCTGCTACAATGTCGCACGCACAGGTTGAGATACCAGGACGCGGTTTTCCAGGCCTCTCCATGGATTTGACCGACGACTGCTTATCCCGGGTGCCATCCGTGCTGAGGACGCACGGTGTGGGCGCACGGAGGAACTCTTACGGGCTCCAGAAAATAAGCATGGACATTGACTCGCCTCTGTACAGCGGCGCCCTCTCGAAAGCCCTGTCCTGGTCTGCTGAGAATATTTTATCTCTGCCCGAGTCCAGAGCAGAGGATGAGAAAACCGACGACTCTCCAGCGTCTCCTTCCCCTGTCTCCAGCCCGGGAACCAGCTCCAACACGCCCCCCTGCAGCCAGGAGCAAGACACCGGAGGAAACTGGGACTCCGTGCAGAGATCCAGCGCGCAGGACGTGAGCTCGGAGTCCGAGAACGAACTCCAGAACAAGCAGAACAAGATCTTGTCTCGCATCACGTTTGATTCTCAGTGGGAGCAGGAGGAGAAGGAGGACGTGGAGACCAAAGCTGTGGCGACGTCTCCTGATGGAAGATACCTGAAATTCAATATAGAGATTGGGAGGGGGTCTTTCAAGACGGTCTATAAGGGACTGGACACGGAGACGACAGTGGAGGTTGCATGGTGTGAGCTACAGGTAGGATTCTTACTTTTATATTTGATTGTAGGATCTTTATTCTTACTGTGAAGATGGAAAAACCAGCCTGGAAGAGTTCAAACACAACTTTTTTGGCCTTCTACTCTGAAATATTGAATTCTTCACTTAAACAGACTGTTAGTTGTGGTCTTAAATCATCCTTCAACATAGAAGAAGTATGAGATTTTGGGTTTCCACTGGAGATACTCCTCTGCCTGTCTGTCCCCATCCACCAACCCCCCATCAGGTCTGACAGTTCCCCTGCTCTCCTGCCCCACTCAGCTCTAATTCCCCTCTCTGAGGCCCGCAGAGTCGATGTGCAGCAGCTAATCTCCCGATTATTATTCCTTGTTGACCTTGAGTCAGGCTGTGTCAGGCCCGTTCTTGGTAACACAGGTCATCCCGTCAGCAGTCAGCTCCAACTGAACCACTCCGCCTGCCTGCCTGCCATGATCCCCTCTAATCTCTGTTTTCATTAACAACCAGTGACACCAAGACGAGCTCTCTGAACACCTCACGTGCAAGGCTGGACAGAGAATAGGTCATTTATATTCAGCTCTGCTGAACCATGATCAGCATGCATGTGAGATGATAGTCCAATTTCTCCTCTCATCTTGCAGAACAGGAAAAGGGACCATGTGCAGCTCAGGGTCGGTGCTCACGTGTTGTATGTCAACAGCAAAAGTAAACCAGTTTCGCACACTCATGCTAAAGTGTCAGCACTCTCCTGGGCACGGAGACGCCGAACAGCCTGGAGAACATCTGCCACCTGAAATTCGATGGCACAGCGCAGGATTTAAAGATTTAAGCTTTAAGTCCACCCACACAACGTTAGCTGCAGTGTGTGACATGACGTGAGGTGCCAGTGTCTCAAAGCTCCTGAGCCGTCTAAGGTGTTAAGTTGTGCCCTCTTACCCTCTAAACCTCAATGTAAACATTGTGCCACTGGCACTGGACGCAAAACAACCTCCCGACGTCAGATTCGGTCAGTCAGTTACTCCTCGCTTCTTCTTAGTGAGAAATATGTACACAAAGAAGTTGTAATCCTCGTAACTCGTCACATGAATCATTTATTACCTGAACAAACTATTGATCTTGAATATTATATCTAACCTTGATGTCACTGTTTGCTCAAAAGGTGCAGCCACTCTTAGCTCCTACTAATGTGATACAAGGAGTAATGCCTCACAGGAGCTTTTTGTCCTTGAAGGCCACCATTGCTTCACTGATGGGAGGAGCGAGTAAGGGAGTTTGGATGTAGAATCTTGTTTTTTTTTTATTTATACGCACTGCACCTTTAAACGACTTTGGAAACAGTCACTTTGGAAGATCTCTAATACAATATGCTATCCAATAAATATGTACAAATAGGAATAACTTATTCCTATACACCTGGTATGTACAGTTGAGTAACTGCAAAGTTTCGCACATTGAAATTGTTCTAGGCGTACTGGCCCAGTCAATACACAAATAATTGTCTAACTGTCATAAGGTCCTCTTTTTTGGCTCCACAAATGCACAGAGGCAGCCTTTGTCTTGCCTTTAACCTCTGCAGGAGGCCCCCCGACACTCAGACAGTCAGGGATTACTCATGCAGGGCGAAGTGAAGCTGCCCTCAAGGCTCACGCTCCAGCAGCAGGAGAAGCAGCAGCAGCAGCAGCAGGTTGAGACTTCTGCCTCAAGAGGCCACCTGTCAGTCCACACAACAGGTGTCTGTTCTGAGGAGGGAGAGATGGGGGCACTCCCGGGCTCTTTGAGACACAGATGTCCCTTTTACCTGCACTGCTCACCCTCACGCCCTGGAGTCAAACACAAGCAAAGGGTCCATCAGTATTTGTGGTCTGACTTCAAAAGCTACCTTTTCTTTTAACTGTTGTGGCGTGAAAAGAGCGTTGGCTCTGTTCCAGCGCGCCGTATTGGAAACAAGCATGCTTTTTCATCTCTGTACTCGAGACATGGGCCCAGTTAAGCTCCTTTAATCGCCGCTAATGAGCTTAAAGGTGGCCGTTGTTGATATGGTTACTGTTGTGATAAGTTAACCTCGACGTCTCGGCTGAGGCCACATTTCTTTAACCAAATCAGCGCTCCGACTTCCCCCGTGTGCCCCAGATTGTTGAACTGGACACAAAGGCATGCTGTTGGTGGTTAAACACACTCTCCTCTGTAATGTTGACAGAGCAGCAGCTGAAGGTGCGTCATTACAAGTCAAGTAGAGATGCCCTAAGCTCTTTTAACTATGTATTACACAGCGTGAGCAGTAATCTGCAGGCGGCGAGGTTCAGCTGTGCAGATTGCAAAGGCATCTGTTTCACCTGATTCACTCTCATGCAGAACATCATCTGATTCTGTGATCATGTCTTACAGTCGGAGTGCTCTCCCAGAGGAGTTACAGTGAACACGGGTCCGTCAGGGGGGAACGTTTTGTGCTAGAACACAAAAAGTAAACAATAGCGTGAGATTCTTCCATGATATGTAACACTGAAGAAGATCACCCAGGGCAGATTGGAATAATAAGAGAGGGCTCAGGGCATCGCTCATAAACACTGGCTATTAATAATAAGATACTACAGAACAGTAAACACTCAGTGGAAACAGAGCTCCCTTAAGCTTAATTTAGCAACAGTGAGACCCAACAAAGGGATGAAACACATACATCAGATAAACACTGAGACATGTCCAACCAGGAGGAAGAAACCTGGTTTCAACTTTTTCATTTGAAACTAAAAAGACTTTCTTTCAGAGGTAGAATAGAAAATTCAAACATATTTTATTCCACAATAACCGGAGAATAAATGAGAGCGCACAGGCAGTACAATCTTCAGAGTGAAGTAGGGGTGTCCTAATACAACTTTTTTACCTCTGATACGATACCAATATTGTAGCCTTCAGTTTTGTCTCATACCGATATTGATCCGATATTAGCACAAACTTGTGCATGACAAGTTTTGCATTCCGCTGCAACATCTTTTTGGGCCAACATCACTCCTACTCCTTGGTACTTTGTTAGAACCTTAGTACACACTGTTGTTGTGATCACATGGGCTCTACATGCTGGATAAGGGTGCTGCCAGACAGAGGTGCTGGAGCGGCGTCTGTAATGGACTGCTTGTATTAGAGTGCTGATATCAGAGATTTTAGATGCAGGCCAGTATAATCCAATATTTGATTTTTTTTTATATCGGACCGATATCCGATATCAATATCGTACCAGGACACCCCTAACATGAAGTATAATAGTAACAGGAATGCAGTTGAACTTGTGGTGTTAATGCACTGTGATTATTACACATGAAAGATTATTGCACTGTATTATTTCACATGGAGTCTTGATGCTTCATAATCAACATTTTACAAGAGATGTTGGTGCATCATTAGTAACATTAGACATGGGATGTTATGGCATCGTGATCAGCATTTCACATTTAAGAACTACACATAAAAGTTTTTAAAACCATGTAAGTCACTGAAAAGTTAAATGAACTGTAAACGCAGGATAAGTAATATTGCACATGCATGTTGTTGCTTAATAAACAATAATTCACATTACATGTAATTCCACCGGGTAGTATTGCGGATGAATTGCTTTTCTTCCATGGGTTGTGTTGCAAATGAGAGGTTATCGCACCAAGGAGTGATACTGCACATGAGATTCTTATATGAGACGTGTTATTGCACCATAAGTCATTGAAAAAAAGTTACAACATAAATAATGTTGCAAACAAAGCTTCTACTAGCGCTACTTTTAGATTCTGCACATGTGTATCATCTATTCCACATCAGACTCTTCTGTAGTTGTCCTCACACTGGATAGAAAAAGAAAACAAGAAATTCAGCTCAAAGCATCCCATCTAATCTAATCCACCCAAATATGAATCAATTTCTCTCCAACCAATGTGAAAAAATAAATAAATAAAATTAAGTGGTCTAAAAAACCTCCTTTCTGAGTACAGAAAATGTTCAAACAAACCGCACTGAGGCTCGACTCGCCTCTTGGTCGGACTTTATTGAATTATCTCAAGTTGGATCTTGTCCAAAATTTAATGGATTCCTCTTAGCCTGAGCTTCACCTTTCCACAGAGTTCTACGAAAACAGAGTCAGCCTTTGTTTCATAATCAAGCCAACAGACAACATGACAGCGAATGAAAAGCACTAAAATAAATATTTGATGATGATGGAGGTGATAGTTTAGTTTCCTGGCTCAGTGAAAATGAACAAGGCTTTCCCTGCTTGTATGCCATATATATATTTCATCTATTCAAATGAATGTAATCAATTGATCAAAAAGTGAATTATTTAACAGTAATTCCTGAATGAGGAGAGCTGTCGAGTCACTGATCGAATGTTAAAAACTTTGGTACTATAATATAAATCTATCGTTGTATTCAAGGAAGGAGAACAAATATAAAACATCCCGTGTGGCCGCTTCCTGGCAACCCTTGCCCCCCAAAGGGCTCACAGGTGACTCAGGTGCCATATAGGCAACATAAACTGGTCTCTGAAGGACATGTAGCGTGATAAAATATGGATGACGCTCCCCTCCTGCTTCCATTCATCCACACTGAGGCAAAGTTTACAACCTTCTGTATGTCAACGTTACTGCTGCTCGCACAAAAACTGCTGCGGCTGTGAAACTCTACCGACTGGTCGTCGCACTAAATCATGTTTCTGATCAACATAACTCACCTTGAATGGAGCACGGTTAGCTACTGAGTAACTAATAGCGATGGGTGCACTGAGGCACAGATCCTTTTTGGTGGAGCCCTTTTAAAGGGCATCAGTTGCACAATGCCTGATCTTTTTTTAAGGGCAGCTTCCAGCTGTTTCCTCCTGCAGACATTTAGACACTCTTGTTATGCTCTTATGTGTCATTTTAAACCTAAAACATACACACAAACCCTTCAATCATCATGCTCTATATAAACAGCATGCTCTACTTCACCACAGTCACCTGTATTTGCTGAGACATCTTTATGAGGGCCGTGTGCTTAATGCAAGATGGGCTTGAGTGCATTTAAAAATACTGCAGCACCCACAACCAATTAGCTAGATCCTTGGGTGCATAAACACGGACTAGGAGAGGGGTTTTTCTGCTGATTATGACATACCAAGGTGTAAAAGTTAATGCACTGCTTGTGTGGCCTTTGTTTTTGTAGATGTCAAAGCTCTTTTTGTTGGAAACTCCGAGGTGTAATGAGAGCTGTTTTAATTAATCTGGTTTGTTTTTTATAGCTGCTGTAGGAGTAGTTTAAGTGCAGTGAGGTAGGAGGTTACTTTCAATAGCTGCATTAAGTCTAAAATTGAATGATAATGGAATTTTCAGGTGAAAAGCCATCAGAGGAATCACACGAGAAATCAGACGATAGAAAAATGATTGGGTTTAAAAATTTGGGAAGATCTCAAACTGGCTTTGGGAGATTGAAGATTATTCTTGTGATTGTTTTCTTAACTCAAAGATTAGTCATTGGGTATGTCAAATGTGGGAAAGCTAACTGAAGATGGTTATCTCCAACGATTTGTTTAGTTCCCATCCCAAAGACACGAGGAGTGCTGCGACTGTCGTAGTTGTGCCAAGTTCTCAGACAGTCACCAGAGAGGAATTCAAGGCAAGTCTGAGTCGAGTCCCCATTATTAATGTTACGAGTGCATTTAAAAAGTAGTATAAGTTGATAAATTGTTCATCAAACTCTCTGGCGATTGATTTTGTACCTTGTTTCTGTCAATCAATCAACACATCTGATTAAAAAGTTGTTTTATTTTGGACCTTGAAAAGTTATCTGAGGACAAAAGGGGGGAAGAGGGGTGTCTGAAGATTAACATCACCCCTGCTGTAGTGAGATTTTGGACCTTTACTTTCTTAAACGTGGGCCCACTTAAGAGCTGCGTGCTGCATGTTTGAGCAGAGTTTTAAGGCTGGTGTAATAGCAGCAGATTAAACCTGGCCGTAAAATGTTACGAGGCCAATCACAGAGGCATAAATCTAGTTTTGGCACAAATCTTAGACCTTTCTTTCTCCTCCTCTCACTCCTTTTTGCCCCCGGGCCTCATACAAACCTTGCTGTGTAACCTTTATCTGAATGTGGCTAGTGTTCAGTGACGTAACACAAGCTGTGGGCTTCCTATCAGTTCTTCTGTAGCCAACATCAACACTGTCTCTCCTCGCAGGGCCCGCGCTGCAGACCGACCCATCTTATCAGAGCCTCCAGTGTTCTCTGAGGAGAGAGTTGGGGCCCAAAATGATAGTGTGTGTTCGCACATGGCAGCATGTCCCGTCAAAGTTAGGACTATTTGTTTTTTTTGCGTCAGCGCTGCAGAGTTGCATTTTTTTTACCTTTACAGTAAAACTTGTCCAGGACTAAATGTGCTCTCTTTCTGCGACTTGTCAGCGTGAAACAGTCTGCTTGTTTCAAACAGCTCTGAAATCAGATAACTCTGCGTATCACCGGCTGCTGTGATAGTGTGTTTTAGGGTGGATACTGTCGGTACAAGCTGGGGCAGCAGTGTGACTCCGTGTGCAGCAGCAGCAGCAGCCTCGGGCTTTTTGGTGTGTTCGTGCGCTCCTCTGAAGACCAAATCTCTCGAAAGTGTGAAGCTGAGTGGGGGAGTGTTCTCTGTGTGCTGGGATGAGCCCTTTTTACGTGTGCACCACAGCCCTGAAAATTCCCCAACACTGTCTGTGTGAACACAAACAACCTGACTGTCCCACTGAGCATTTTTTGGTTTAAAGAGGTCTAATAGACGTCTAAATGTAGCCTAGATGACTGGTCAGGATACCACAGGTCTAAAAATGATAGTTTTTCAGACGTCTAAGTTTAGACTAAATCCAAATCTGGGCTATGTCTATTCTACACTGTAAATTTCTCAATGGCTATCATAATTATTTTGGTTAAGTACAGTCAGGCAACTCACAGCTGCTTTTTGAAATAAACAGTTATTGAATAATGGTTTAAAGTGCAACTTCTAAATTCCGTCCAAAAATATACAGAATCTAGACGGTTGAAATTAGGTCTAAAAAAAAAACTAGACGTCTAGTAGCTGTCTATTGCTCAGTGGAGTTAATGATAAACAGAGTTTCTCCCTCTTCGAATAAGTTCATTCTTTTGTATTTGACCTGAAATACAGACTAAAACAGAGAGCTGGGAACCCCACTGGAAAAAGAAAACCTCAAAAAGAGGGTCATGTGTGAAAAGGACTATATGGTTTCCAATGTAGTCTTCCTCTATGACTCTAAAACAAGATCATGTAAATAGATGTGATGGAACAAATCTTAAAAAAAACTTCACAGAGAAGCTTTTACATGTTAAAGAATGAAATGCAAACTTGTATTTAAAAACTTACAGTGTGATTTCATGATGTTGCTTTAGTCTGACTGAAACTGGACTTTTAAATGCATGTAACCACATTGGCCTGACTGAAATCACACGAAATCGAACTTCTAATAGTCAGACTAGCATACCTGGATAGTGAGGATTTTCTCTTCCATGTATACGACTGAAACTGGCCTGAGTGTTTAAGTGCATCTGAAGTCGATTAGAACAAAGTGTATTCTTGCTTTGGAGGTAAAATCACTGATATTATACTGATTTTTTTCATGATTGATGATCTTCAGTTAGTGTCGATAGAATAAGCCACTATTAGTCTTGGCTTCGACAGTAATCTGACTGTCTGTTTGATTTTGTATCCAGAACATTCTGGGAAGTCACAACCCAAAGACAATTTGGACTAATTGGAAACAAACACGGACCACATCTGTCTCGTTATTTCCATTGTCAGCAGCAGTACAAGCCACAACTGGATTGTCATTAGACTCTGCCAACCACGATGGGAACAGTGAGAGGAAAAACAGATTAGTAACTGGTTTCCATCTCTGCGATATAATAAATGAGCTGTTATACTTTTATGTGCTCTAATGTGCTGTTGGCTCCGGCTCCGTCTCCGTCTGAGTCACCGCTTTTATTGGGATCTCTCTGATGATCGATTCTCTGTGATTCTCTACAGGCATGTTTAAAGTTTTCCAGTCGGAGAGTTCTGGTGACCCATATTTTATACAGTCAGCAGCTCTGCTCCGTGTCTTTAAAACCCGGCTCAATGGAAAGCTTGTTACGTGACACCAGGCTCAAAAGATCCTTTCAGAACATCAATATCCATTTGTCCGGAACAATATTTTGAGATTACTTTTATCATATTGGGTCTCTGTTTTAAAGGATCATGCACGCAGTATGTCTAAAAAAGACATTTTACATAACAGTGATTCCCAATGCATCTGAGGCCTCAGTGCTCTGTCTAACAATAGCAGCCTCACAGGTTAATTGCACGTCACAGGGAGAGAGATTAAACTATAAAAAGCTTGTTAGCAATCCGTGTCAGACAGTACAACACTGACTAAAGCCTTCTGCTGTGTCGTCACTGTGCCAGTGGGTTTTCATAAGGTTTATCTGGGTTATTAGATACATTTTTAGAGATGCAAAGTTAGATCAGACTCATATTTATTGTCTGGAAGTAGGGCTGGGCGATAAACCGAAAATTTACCGATACCGAAATTTACGACAATAACCAACGTCATTTCATCTATTTCAATATATTCGGTGTTGAAATAAATAAATAATAAAAGTTGGTTTTGGATGTGTGTAGGTTTATGACGCTGTCCTACCTCGGAGACTTGACTCCACCCCATCCAGTCTGTAACAAAGAGGGAGAGACAGGTGAGGAGATGGAGGACGGTTCAAAAGTTAATGTGGGAGGGGGTGAGCAGCTTGTGGAGTAGTCATCGTTCATTTATCGTTATCGAGGTGAACTGCTCAATATATCGTGATATTGATTTGAGACCATATCGCCCACCCCTCATAGAAGACATGATGCGAGGACTCCCAAGGATACTTTTTCCCAAGGAGTCCCAAATTAGGAGCTTTCGCCTTGCCACGTAACTCACCAGATGTCATAAACACATCAAGTCTGGTGAAAGTTTGTATTTTTAGAGGGTCTCACCCACAATACTGCAAAATTGGCTCAATACTGCCCCTATAAACACTGAAAAAGGGGTCCCCATGGAGCTTATTTTGAAAACCACAGTATATAATCACCACATTAAGACGCCAAGCAAAAAGTCTTGCATCCATCACAAGATGCGGTAGCTGCAGCTAGCATTCGCCCCAAAATAAAGACATTTGAGACTGTAGAGAGTTTACCAGAGACAACTCAAAAGTGAAACCCATACGGACAAATTTATTGGCGGCAGGTAGCTGCCTAACCTGAGTCTGGTCCTGCTCAAGGTTTCTGCCTGTTAAAGGGATTGCTAAGTATGGCAAAGTGCTTCATTCATGTTGGATGGGATGGGTCAAATCTGTCTCATCTCAAGGTTGGGTCTTTGTAATACATCAAACAATGATTTAGGCCTAGACCTTCTTTTTTAGGATAATGACTGTTGTGATTTGGAGCTATGTAAATAAAGATTGATGGATTGGATAGATTGAAAATCACTAAATTTACGGCAACTTAATGCTGATATACACTCACCGGCCACTTTATTAGGTACACCTGTCCAACTGCTCGTTAACACTTAATTTCTAATCAGCCAATCACATGGCGGCAACTTAGTGCATTTAGGCATGTAGACATGGTCAAGACAATCTCCTGCAGTTCAAACCGAGCATCAGTATGGGGAAGAAAGGTGATTTGAGTGACTTTGAACGTGGCATGGTTGTTGGTGCCAGAAGGGCTGGTCTGAGTATTTCAGAAACTGCTGATCTACTGGGATTTTCACGCACAACCATCTCTAGGGTTTACAGAGAATGATCCGAAAAAGAAAAAATATCCAGTGAGCGGCAGTTCTGTGGGCGGAAATGCCTTGTTGATGCCAGAGGTCAGAGGGGAATGGCCAGACTGGTTCGAGCTGATAGAAAGGCAACAGTGACTCAAATAACCACCCGTTACAACCAAGGTAGGCAGAAGAGCATCTCTGAACGCACAGTACGTCGAACTTTGAGGCAGATGGGCTACAGCAGCAGAAGACCACACCGGGTGCCACTCCTTTCAGTTAAGAACAGGAAACTGAGGCTACAATTTGCACAAGCTCATCGAAATTGGACAATAGAAGATTGGAAAAACGTTGCCTGGTCTGATGAGTCTCGATTTCTGCTGCGACATTCGGATGGTAGGGTCAGAATTTGGCGTCAACAACATGAAAGCATGGATCCATCCTGCCTTGTATCAACGGTTCAGGCTGGTGGTGGTGGTGTCATGGTGTGGGGAATATTTTCTTGGCACTCTTTGGGCCCCTTGGTACCAATTGAGCATCGTTGCAACGCCACAGCCTACCTGAGTATTGTTGCTGACCATGTCCATCCCTTTATGACCACAATGTACCCAACTTCTGATGGCTACTTTCAGCAGGATAATGCGCCATGTCATAAAGCTGGAATCATCTCAGACTGGTTTCTTGAACATGACAATGAGTTCACTGTACTCAAATGGCCTCCACAGTCACCAGATCTCAATCCAATAGAGCATCTTTGGGATGTGGTGAAACGGGAGATTCGCATCATGGATGTGCAGCTGACAAATCTGCGGCAACTGTGTGATGCCATCATGTCAATATGGACCAAGCTCTCTGAGGAATGCTTCCAGAACCTTGTTGAAGCTATGCCACGAAGAATTGAGGCAGTTCTGAAGGCTAAAGGGGGTCCAAACCGTTACTAGCATGGTGTACCTAATAAAATGGCCGGTGAGTGTAGGTTAACCACTAATCATAATATCTCAATGCCCAAGTTCAAGTCTATTAATAGCTAGTTTTTTTGTGTTTTATAGAACAAACTTTAGGCGAATTGTTCTGTTTGTTCACTCAGATCCAGCTCTTTTGTTGGATTTCTTTATTCTTGTCTATAATCTATTCATAAGCTAAATGTTCTGATAGCAGCCCTTTTCCCTCCAACAGCCTAATGAAACTGTGTTTTTATTTACAGTGAGATTGTGTGTTCCTTTAGGCGTGAAAACACGTGGTCGCCCCGCAAGTTTCGGGCCCCGCAGAGGCCCCGGGTCCTGCTTCCTAAACAAACCCGAGAGCTCCAGTTTTAATAGCTGTTGGGTTTTGAGGCCACAGTTGGTGAAGGAAAAAGCTGCTCTGCGGTGTAACCTCTGGTCATTCCTGAACTGACCATGTGTGTCAGAGCGTGCAGGACGGAGGTGTCGGGCGTGTAAAGTCGCCATGTGAGTCCTTTAGATGAATTAGCCATTGGTGTACTGTAATGACTCTACCTGTTTGGAGTCCGGCACCCGGCGATACCCATCAACAAACACGTGTTGGATGTTTTCTCAGTCAACAGCAATTATCGGCGTGCTTTCCTTTTAGATTTGACCTGTGCTATCTGGGTTCAAAGTTATCTTTAGCCTCTGGGGGTTTCTAAAGTCGGAGTTCTCAGAATATCCAACATTTCGACTCTTTAGCAGAAAAAAATGAAGCTGTTAGCGAAGGAGTCGTTAATCTTTCATGTTGTTCTCTTCCTGTCACAAGGGGCACCTCTTGCATACCATCACTTTGTAAACTGTATCCGGTCCTGGTTGCCAGTGTGCACCTGATAGCACATTGTTGTGTGTGTTAGTGTAACTGTACGCTGCTGCTGCTGCTGAAGTAGAGCACAAATAAGCAAGATACCAAACACCCACACTTCAAAGTTTCCATTTATTCACTTTTCCCGAAAAACAGCTCGAAAGAAAAACTCATGAAGTGAATAAAAGAATGTTCCAATGCAGGAAACAAAGTGATATTCCACTTTTTTTGTATCAGCTTCATATAAAATAATATTAAAAAGGACGATATTGCCCAGGGATGAAAGCGCACGTTTGCTGCATGCTGAGCCCGGGGTCGGATCAACTTCAAAAGACTGAGCTCTGATGCTCCCCTGTTTAGATCCCTGTCAAATACCAGTTCCCAACAATGCTTAACATACTCTTCGTCTACAAGAAACAGATGTTTGGAGGTCTCGACATACGCACCGTTTGTTGTCATGTGTGGAGAAATGTGCTTGAATATTTCTTTCAACACTGACCAATCCAGGGGTGCTGAGATGATTAAGGATGTAGAAGTATTAAGTAAGTCGCTAATCCCAAATCTGTCTCCATTAAAGACAGACAAATACCTTTAAGTACTTCAAAGGTCGTCTTAAAGGTGCAGTACGTGGTATTTAGCCACATTTAGCAGAACAGACTTGATAGAAATAGAATAAAAGATGCATAACAAAGATGTCAAGTCAAGTCTCTGAGGGGAAAGTCTCTCAGTAACAAAATAAACAACGAATACCAAAGTGATCTTGTTTCTGTTTACTTAGAGTGGGCTTTATATCTCTGCATGGAAATGGGTCTCTTTATACAGAGGCTGCCATATTTTACAGCCATGTTTCCACAGTAGCACAGAAAGGACAAAATAGTAGCAGCTAAACCGATTTTTTAATGTATTAAATGACCCAAAAATGCACCAGTTTGAAGATAATGAAGAGAGTGCTTGTTATTGTACACCAAAGAATTTGTATTTACAGCCTCGGAGGCCACCGTCACTTTTAAAGCTTCTTCAATGGGAGGGGGTGAGCAAGGGAGCATTTCTGATCTAGAACCTAACCGTTAAATATTGGTAACTTCCCCATTTTTACTGCTATTACTTTAAATCCTATGATGGTGACAAGGTCTTACATTTTAAAGGCTTATTAGAAGTAGTGAAACCTTAATGTGTTAATTAACGGGTTAAAGCTCCTGTGAGGGACTTTCCATTTCTGTTAAATTTGACCGCTCTGTTGACTAAACCCTCTTTGCTCATTTTTTCTTGTACTTCCGAGCAAAATAATCCCACGCTGCTCCCTTTTAGTTGTCAAACTTATCGCTCACTCAACATGAAAAAAAGGTCATTCATCACTTGCTCCAACACCTACCCCTCGCCAAAGGTTTAAGACATTAAAAACAACTAAATAAACATAATCATTTTTCTTATTGGTGGTTTTATTTGTATTTTTAAGGTGATAAAAAAGACATCAGTATTTATTTCAATCTCTTTAATGAACAGCTAAAATCTCTTTGCAGGAGCTTTAAAGACACCAGAAATGCAAGTTGGAATGCAGCCAGATGCAAAATTTGTTTCTGTAACTTATCATTTAGGTATTTCCAACTGATTCATAAATGCAAAAATCAGTCATAAGCTATAACTCATCAACCTTTCTTATAGTGCTAATATTGTATGAGCTTTGCAAAAGGTAATGTAGAACTTTTGGTCATATCTTGAAATTAGCAGATATTTGTTTATATATCATGGACAGTTATTAAAAACTCATAAGAGCGATCTCCTTCAGCAGAGATCCACTTACTCTTGTATTTTCTCTTTCCGTTGGACAAAGTGCGGTGTATTTGACACAGATACACGTTTAACAAACAATAAAAACAAGTATGTGCAAACACACTGCGCTGCTGGCGCCGGAAGATCTCAGGAATCCGCCCAGGAGGGACATACCTTTAAGACTTGTCAGATACGTATTGTCAGGTGCGAGTTGAGGCCTGAAGCTTGTACGGTTGCTTAAATGATAATTACTGTAAATGTTTGAAGATAATTGGTGGTAATTATTTCATCAGTTGGGTTTTCTGTGGTTACGCTAACGTCGGTGATGAGATAATATCAGTCTTTTTGGAGGCCACCTTTACACACCTAAGAGGTAAAGGAGGTTAATTTAAGATAATTTGTCTCCTCACTGCAAAACAAGGCAAATATGAAGATAAATATGACCCTAAAAATTCACCAAAGCGAACAAAATCAGTGTATTTGTCTTGACAGATTTCCTTGCTTCACAAGCAGTAAGTGGTCAGAGCGACTTGTTGTAAAGATGTCCACACACAGATGATTGTTTGTGACTCGAACAGTAGCCTGAACCTGTTGACTCTGTTTAATCGGGTTTAACAGCCCACTGCTTTCCCTCGGCTCTTTACAGCCCTGGACGACGTAAGACGACAGGCTGTTATGTGCGCTGTGCGCTGTGCGAGTGTGCCTAACGCGCCGCTTCAATAATGGGCCTCTGTGTGCGGGATGACGAAAAGCTAAATAAAGTTGTTTATTTGTGGAGGAATCTCATGTGACACATCGCTTGTGTGTTGAAGTGTTGCACGGCTACAGCATGAGGCAGGCTTTGCACATCAGTCAGGTAAAACTGTGCTTTTGCTCAAAGTCTGGGAATGCTAAATAAAAATACACACATACAGGCAGGTAGAGAGGGGATAGTACAGTCTTTCTACAATATTAAGTTGATAAAGTTATGCTACTATGTGAAATATAAAAAAAAAAAAACAGCTGAAAATAATGAAAAATAGTGATTGATTGAGGCTCAATAAAAACTTCAAATAAGTTTGTTTAACAAAACGGTGAAAGTTAAAAAATGTGAGTTTTAAGGTCCTTACACGCTGGGAACGACGCAAATATACGACACAAAATTACGAAATATACAGAGGCGAATTTTGACGTGCCTGATGATGAGATGTCTGTCTGTAAAGTAGTACTCTGTTCTCCGACACGTAAAAAATCAGCCGGTCGGCCATGTTGGATATACTGGTGAATCTGACGTCGCAACAACACGAAATCTGATTGGTCAGAAGTGGACACACAGTTTGCGAAACTTTTGAAAAATCGACCGTGATCCGAAAAAATAAATGCCACAATATCGCAGGACGGGAAAACGTCGCTGATGTGAACGCTTGCATTGACAGGATACAGGTTGGAAAAAAAATATTGAGGTCCAAAATAATCACACGAAGAAAACGCCCCCGATGTGTAAGGACCTTTAAAGTTAAATTCAGAATCGTACAGAATGTATTAATGCTCATGGCTGCATATGAAATACTACAGGGTTACCTTGCCAACCAAGCAGAGGCTTAAAAACCATTGCTATAAGTAATGTATTGAGTAATGTATGATGATAATTACAAAGCTTTACATGTTATTATATACTACCTACATATAAAAGGAGGAGGCAAAGGACTCTGTTCAGTAACAAAAGCCAGGATAAAACAAGACTTAAAAGTAATTAACCACTTATTTTGGTGACAGTAAATGTGCAGGTGGAGCCAATAAAACCCTTAAGGGCTTGTCGAGGGTTAGCCTTCCTAAATAAGAACATTCAGCATGAAGACAAATCATTAAAACAAAAAGTGTTAAATACAACTGGAGACAAAATATGGGTAAAAAGAAAGTTTGATGTGGAAATCAGAAACTCCTACGAGAAAATTTTATTTTTGACCCCATAAACAAACCTATCTCTTCAGTCTGTCAAAAAAATATTATCCTGCAAACTTCTGAATGTCAAATATTTTGTGTAAATTTGATATGAAAATATCAAAAAGTGTGTTTCTTCAATAACTCCACTGACACCTACCCTCTTGCACCTCTTTCAATTATAACACAAAAATCATCAGTCTTATCGCTTATGATCTTGTTTTTTTTTGTCATAAAAACGCATAAATAATTATTTCAGTCTATTTATTAACTTTAAAGAACCCTTACATGAGCTTTAATTGACCTAGCAGAAACTGTATCGATGTCAGATGTCATATATGTCCCTGTCGTAAAAGCGAGTTAAAGTAGTTTCACCCATAACTTAGATGTTTCATCTTGTTCCCCTCAAGTCCTCGTGTCAACAGAGCTGCTTTGAATATTTGTTGAAGACAAACGTTGTACTTGCTGTTTCCTCCAGGCATCTTGTGATCCCTCTGTGGTCGGTTGGCTTTTCTGAGGAGTACAAAGTGTTTGTTCCATTCACTCTTTTCTCCTGAATCACTCGTAAAGTAGACTCTCCCCTCTCCTTCCCTCTCAGGCCTCCCTGGTAAGATTGGAGCAACGATATCCTCTCATTTTTATATTTAACTTTTACCTGAGGGGGTCAAATGAGAGGCGTCACAAGTCATACCGATCTACAAATACAACTTTTAAGCAGTAAGGAACAACCTCGGGTAATTCCTTACATGTTTACTGTGCTGACATCTAAGCCATCACTGTTTACCTCTTATCAAAGCTACTTAGGCGTTTCTGTTACCATAATCTAGCATGTAAGAAGCGCATCAAAACATGAGGACACAGAGTTGTTAGGTAACAGGCAGGACGGTTGGTAGGTTATGTAGCGTGCGAGGAAAAGTTAGCATTGACTGTAATTGCGCAATGAAAATCTCAGTTTGAAAAGGAGGAGGATTATTTAGGAAAAAGTGGGTCTTAAAGGACTATAGAGTGAGTACAGGGAGTTTATGGAGGAATTTAACTAAGGTTTAAGTGCTTTCCTAAAAGCAAACACCAGGCATGTTATGGGATGTTGTAAAGGCAAAGTAAACAGATCTAAAGACAGAGATCGTTGACCTTTCAAAAGAATCCATCTCTGAGAAATGTGAAGCAATATTTCATAAGACAAGGGGACATTGTACTTGTTCAAATACTCTATATTAAATCTGGACCATGCAAGTTTTTTGGCAGATATTGGCTTATTGGGGATAGATTGGTAGTGATGAGTGAAAACACAGCAGGAGAACAATGCCAGAGTAGAAACAAGATAGATTTATGATCGTGAACTTAAACTGACTGTGTGGGAGCTTCTGGATGTGAAGACAACTCATTTCATTATTAACAATAGATTCTGACTGATCATGACGTGTGTCTGGAGATTTAAGTCATGAAAATAATTTAGAGTGTAAATGTTTACCAGCCCCTCTCAAAGGGGAGCATATATATAAGCAAAGATGGGATGTAATATATTTAGATACCCCTACAAAACACCTGATTTTAATCAGAATCAAAGAAAGAATACTATAGGATATGATATAATGCTATACGATGCAGTTTGATACCATATGATACCATGACTTACCATGCTATGTGATACTTTACAATACTAAAGGATATGCTGCATTACAATACAATATGATACAACACAATACAATATAACATGGTATGATATGATACAATACGTTAAGACTTAGTACGATGCGATGCGATTCAACATGGTACGATACGATACGACATAGTTCGATACGATACGATGGGACATGGTACGATACGATACAATACGACATGGTATGATACCATATGATACAATACGACATAGTTCGATACGATACGATGGGACATGCTACGATACGATACAATACGACATGGTATGATACCATATGATACAATATGACATAGTATGATTTAATGTGATATGACATGGTACGATAGGATTTGATACAATTTGACAAAGTTCGATTCGATACGATACGATATGACATGGTACGATACGAAATGATACGACTAAGTACATTTAGATACTGTATAACATGGTATGATACGACAAAGTACGATTCGATACGATACGACATGGTACAATATGATACAATACGACATAGTATGATATGATATGATAAGGTTCGATATGATATGATGTAGTACGATTCAATACGATACAACGTGGTACGATATTATACGACATGGTACGATATGATACGACACGACACGACAAAGTACAACCTGCTACAATAGGACACGGTACAATACAATAGGTAACGACACACTTTATTGCCTCCTTGGGGAAATTAGTCTCAGATTAAAGTTCTGGATAAGTTTGGTTCTGCCTATTAGAAACATACATTTTTTTCACCTCTGTAACTAACCACATGCTGCAAAGTGCTCTATTCGTCATGGATTAAGATATTATATGATTGAATCCCAAAATAGGATGAGACTGGATCTTTACTGAAGTTGATCCTCTGTGTATAATAAGAGTTTTATCTAGACCTACTGTCTTTGGAAAGGATGTTGAAATAACATTTGTAGTGTATATAAATTCAGACTGATTAATTGATACTTGTGAGTTTCCATGTTTAAAAAGTGTTTTTGATAAACTACATCTTAGGCATGATGAGTTAAACTTTGTTTTTAACATTTGTCAGTGTGGACTGTGGGTCTGTGAGTGTCCTATAAGTTCCATAAAATCTAAGAGAACCCGATTAAGGCTACATTTCCATGTATTTCTTAATTATCTTTTGATCTTCTGTGTCAGTGGAGCTTTTAAAATATGTTTAGTTTAATAAGAGCATCTACTCCAGATGGGAAAAGTCTCTTTTAAAGGCCTCTTTTCACCATTGACGCACACCAGAGATAGTGTAATCCTGCATCTAGGTCTCTCTACTCGTGCTGGTAATTAGCCGGGCGCCACCAGTCAGGAGGTCAACTTGTCCGAGTGAGAGCAGCAGTCAGAGGCTGGTTTGAGTCCTCAATCCTGATGAGATTAATGGCTCACCTCCCTCTGGCCACTCCATTTACAGAACATGTCAGGTTTTCCTTGGACAGAGCACAGTGCCGCCTCAGTCCTCATCCGCTCACATCTAAATGCAACACTGTACCGGAGTGAGAGGCTACGTGCATGTTTAGAAAAACGTGACTGTCACTCAAATCCAAAGAGTCAGTGTAAGAGGTGTGAGGTCAGACTGCTTTATTTTCTCCCTCTCCGCTTTTGACCTCAATCCCGAATCTCGGCGGGTTCATCCTCACCGCCTCGGAGGGACAGGAGTTTGGTTATGCTGCGGACGTGCAGGTCTTCTCCTGCCTTCCCTGTTATTAAAGGACTCTGTGAACCCCGGCCTGTATCTTCAGGGCTCTTCTGTTAGCGTCTGGAGAGCAGTTATGGCCTGTTAACAGCACTTTCAAAAAGAGGTTAATGTCAGGAAGAAGAGGGAAGACCTCGACCTTTAGAGTCCTGAAAGGGTTCAGACGGAGGTCAGAATAAGCATACAGGTGAATCTGATATTTTCACCACTTTTTTAGATATCATGGCACAGTCTCTGTCTTTTTTAATCCCATAAGGAAAAGCTTCTCTTGATGTTTTATGCCGGTTTAAACTTCCCCATGTTGTTCAGATAGATTTATATCCTGCTGTCTTAAACATGTCAAAGAAAACAGAGATAAGAGTTAACTGGAGCAAAAGTTGCTTCCTTGTTTTGCCACGTTTCTTATCTGGAACCAGCTGAGGTTAGATTTTTTGTTTTCTATTTTACTTATAATAAGTCTGATTATAGTTTCCTGTCCTGTAGTCTTTAAAAATTTTTTGCCACCAACTGTTGAAAACGGATAAATGAGGCTCAATGTTGTTCCTTAATCCTAACCCGGAACGGACACTGTAGTTTATTTTTGAGTTAATTACATTAGGTCGTTAATCACTACATCACACAATGTTTAATCCATGGGTGTGATCCCTGTTAATGCACTTCTGGTTACCAGTTACATAACCTGCATTGGCCACAAAATTAGAAGGTCAGATTTTGGACTCCAATTTTAGTGGAATCAAGTCAGGTGAAGGGGTTAACTTAGTGTTCGACTTATTAGTTTCTCAGTAGCCAAGCTAATTAGCTATATTAGGACAGCTAATTGGCCGATATCACATTGATGATTTGTCATAGGGGGAAATACAACAATTTCGTGATACTGGAAAATGAGGAATAAAGTTGCTGAACATAATAGAACATTTGATTAAATAATTACAGGCGGAAAAATACTCTGCTAAGAAACATCATTCCACAAAGAAAGTTTGGATGTCTGTGCTGCCATCTTAAGTTACTAAAAAAGGAATAATAATCAAGCTAATTTTTTTAAATTAAAATCTAAAAAAGTTGGAATAAATCCATTATTTCATGCACATTAAAATCGTAGCCTTAGCCTTTAAAATAGATTCACGAAGGGTGAGGCCAAAAGGATGCTGGTTACTAAACGATGCTATTGATAGACCGGATTAATCCGTATATGTTTAGTTAAGTCCAAAGTGTTGAAGTGCTTCAGTGCTGCTGTATTACTCATGATTGGAGTAAATTGCACATTTGCCTCAGGCCTGTTCGTTGAAAGCGTCAGTGTAATTGCAGACAACTTGCATTAACAGACATGTTTATACACGCTCTGTTGTGCAAGGATGGCATACATACGTAGATGTGTTTAAGTTAGGGCTAGGCGATAAGACAATAAAAATTAATTTCCCTCAATATCAATATAAAACATGGTCAATTTGCTTTTCAATTTGCATTCTGCCATGTTTTGGTAGACTACACGAATAGCCAATTATCATGAATGAATGAATAATTAACACAAAGACCTCACAGATGCAGTAGCTTATTGTATTGCAAAAGACATGCTACCAATAAGCACTGTTAAATTTCATTTATTAGTAACAGGGAACATTTAGAGATTGACATGATTTTCTTATATCCCGATTTACATGGATATCGACTGATATAAAAGAAAAATATTGTGATAAACTTTTTCCCATATCGCCCAGCCCTAGTCTATGTATACATGTGTGCACATGATGATGGGAAGGTGAAGTCACTTGTGTGGTTTGAGACACGCCCTTGAAGTTTGCAAAGTTGTAGCAGCTTGTTCAGGAGCCGGATGCTGTATTCTTACATTTCTGTGCTCTTATTTCATATTTCATTGCCTGGTCCCCTTATCTTCTCTGCTTTTATTTCTGCAGCACTTTAAGTGAAGCTCTTTTTGACTCATGCCTGTTCAAGTACTCTCTAAATAGATTCAAAGCTCCCCCATTGACCGAGAACTACCTTATATCTTTGCTGATTTGTCCTGTGCATACCCAAAAAATCTCCTTTTGCTGCCTCGTATAGTCAGAAAATATTACTTGTTGTGTGTTTTTGAATCAATCATATGAATAAAGACTTTGTCAGTCTTGTTCCAAATATTTCTTTTGCTTTTAGGTCATTATGAAGGAGCTTTATGTAACTTATAATCTAATATCCGAAGTCAACTTTTCTGCATCTTGAGGAATCCATTTATAATGAACCATTTTAGCCTTTTTCTCATAGTTATTTTAAAGATAAATGCAAACATTTTGGACCTGAACCTGAAAAGCATACTTCTCACCCTCAAGCACACATCCCTGCAGGCTATAAGCAGAATGACTGCATCCATTTTTTCACTTGGCCTACTTTTACGACCTGTCGATACTGCGGCCTGTCAGATTCCTGCTTTGACTGACTGTATCAGTCTGAGAGTAACATCAGGACAAACTGCTTACTACCTGCGTTGGTGCAAATGTTGGCTGACATGCCGTGTTCATGTCCCGGTTGTCATAATAAAGGCGCTGACAGGGACTTCTTAATACCAGCGGCTCTTCTCCCGTCAACACTGCTTATGTAACTCCACTTATGTGGCTCCAAGCCAAGGTATTTCCAACTTCAGCGATTGCAGACCCCCCAACCCAACACACACGTATGTATGTACTCACCTCCCGGGAGCTAAGAATAAAACATCCAGCTGGAAGAGACGTCGGGATTGGAAAACTTTTAGCACAGGCTCCTTAACACACCTTTGAATCCAAAGTGTTTTTATGAACACCCCACTTGACTTTTGAAATGGAGATGGTTTGTTTTTACGGCTCCCCCCTGCATTGCCCTCTCCAGTGTTATGTAATGTTTTCTAGCCTTGTTTTTTTTTTTAAAGAGGAGAGGTAGAGGCTTATAAATGTAGTCAAATATCCCATGGAAAAGACAGATAAAAGCCCCGCACTGCTGTCAACAGAGGATTCCTCTGTTGGAGATGCCTAGAGGGCCTCTAACCAAAGATGGATATCGTTGAGGCAAAATAAAACCAGCTGGAGTTATCTGCAAAAGCTGAAAAAAACAATGACTGTTAGAGTTTTACTGTTGGCTGTCATGATACAAAGTATGATTGGTTTTATTCCCGTTATTAGCCGCAGCTTAAATGCTTGTTTTTATTGGCGGGAGGCTTTATTTCGTTATCCAGGAATTAGCCAGCACCAAAGCGTTGCCATCAGATGACAGCATTGAGAGTTAAACAGCTCATTTGTTCTTCCTGACTTCATTTTCTGCTCTTTTGACATTTTAGACAAACATCCTCTTTATTTCAGGTTGAATCGGAGACAGGTTTTGCTGAGTCATGATTAAATAATCGCACATTATCAGCCCACGTTCTGTAAACAGTGTGGTTCAGAGTTGCCACGGGAGAAGCACGGCTCTTCCAGGAGTTCCTCTGAAGTAGCCAACATCTGTTTTTTTTTTTTGCGTTTTACTATTTTGCAACAGTGCCACGCGGCGATGCCAAGCTCTAGTAAATCCTGTAGTTTTTGGAAAAGCTGACACCTCCAAGAAACTCGGCTGCATAACACTGTTACAACATGATTCGCCGACTCTGTGCAGGCAAACAGGGCATCTGTCCGCAGGAGACGGAGCTCACGTCTCAGGGGTCTGGTGTTGTCGCTCTTAGATACACAAATATGCAGATGCATCAACCCATAAACCCAGTGACTCATTCACCCCGGCTCATGCTCAAACGTCTCACACACTCCGACATTCAGGACATAATCTGGGTCAGGTAGCGAGGGATATTAAGGATAAGGCGATCTCATCATCTGTAATTCACCTTCTTTGAGGTCATTAAACTAAATTGAGTGTTGAAAGCGCACATTAGATAAAAATTAACCAGATTCATAGCATGAATGAACATTTGAGTGATCTAATCTTCTTTTTTATAGCTCTAATGACAGCTTCAGTGTTATTGAGTAATTACTCTTAACCAACTGGCATCAGAAAATGATCCTGGCGTTTGTGAAGAATTTGGCAGTTCTCAGTAGATAAACCCAAACAGAGTTGTATGAAGGACGCAGAAATACCCAACACAGTGTGCCAACAACAACTGGACACCTAAGAGAGAGAGAGAGAGAGGCCAGAAAATGATATCCCTTAAATTTAAAGCTCCTGTGGAGAGTTTTTAGCTCTTTATAAAAACAGACAGAGAAAATAAGCAAATCATTTTCTGTAGATGCTGTCATCTCACATCGCCATGTTTCTATGGCAACACAGAACAGACAAACACATGTGTTTTTGAAGGTGGTGAGCAAGGCTGTGCACGGTGTATCCCTAATTAATCCACTTTCTGTACCTGTAATCTGTTTTCCTGCGTGACAATATCAATTGTTCAGCGGGGTCAACAATGCACAGTTTCCGTGCGGCTGTGTAGCTTCCTTCTAGTGCCATCTGTTTTCACCACAAACAGTCTGCAGCCATGCTTACGGCTGGTGCGCAAGCAGTGCTCAGCCAATGAGAGCGCTGAAAGCTGTGAGGCGTAGCGACATTCCTACCACCTGCAACCAATTAGCTTAGAGTTGCACCACACACCTCTGCTGGTGTCTTGTCAAAAACTGAGGGTTCCTTTGAAATAAAACAGCACTACACAGGATTTACCTACTGAATAGTATATACATGTTTTCTGAAAGAGTATGTTTAGGATAATTTTTTTATATTTATTCAGGGAATAAAGTCAAATTCTGAATCAAAAAGTCCAAACTCTGATTTTTAAAAAAAGTCTAGATTCTGATAAAAAAAAGTCTAAATTCTGATTTTAAAAAGTCTAAATTCTGATAAAAAAAAGGTAAAATTCTGATAAAAAATATTTTAATTTCTGATTTTAAAAAAAGTCAAAATTCTGATGAAAAAGTCCAGATTCTGTTTGATAAAAAGTCCAAATTCTGATTTTGAAAAGTCTCAATTCTGATTCAAAAAAAGATCAAAACTTTGATTTAAAAAACTCCAAATTCTGATAAAAAGGTTTAAATTTTGATTAAAATAAGTCAAAATACTGATAAAAAAGGTCCAAATTTTGTTTTAAAAAGTTCAAATTCTGATTTTAAAAAATTCCAAAATTATGATAAAAATCTCAAAATTCTGTTTAATAAAAAGTCCAAATTATGATTAATAAAAGGTCCAAATTCTAAAAATATTATCCTTACTAGTTTAATAAAGCAATCATAAATATCACTCAAACTGTTTTTGACCCAGCATATGTGGCTCAAGTTGCCCAGAGCGACTTTGGCAGCATTTTCCCATGTTTCAGACGACCTATCTGTCCGTGCACTTAACCTGTGATGTTTAAAAATTGGTTTAAAAACCATTAAGGCTTTCTGACAGAAGTCTTACATATGAGGAATAAACTGCAGCTTGTGTTCACATCTTAAACCGATCACTATCGACCTTAAAGAAAACCACTTAGTCAAAAGTGGCCTCTGTGTCTTGCTTGTGACCAAGGGCCTCATGTTGGAGTCACTGGTGTGATGTGACAGCTGACTGACGCATGTAAAAAGGGGCCCTGCTTCCAAGGACCTCAGACAGTGCAGGGCTGTAAAACAGTCTGCCTCATGCATGGAGCAGCAGCAGCAGCAGCAGCTCCTCACTGGCTGACGCTCAGAGGAAAAGAGCCAGGAGGAAAGTGAGAGCTGAGAGCAGCGGTCAAGCTGATTGTAAGCATAAACATATGCAAAGCTTTTTTTCCCAGAATTCTGCCTCAATGCAGGATTCATGGTCCTGGTCCTGGAGTTTTCCACCCACCACAGGCAGAGTTACCCCAACGGCGCCTAAATTGGGCCATTCATCCTGGAGGAAGCACAAAAATGTCTTTGTTCATCCAGCGTGATGCCAGTGTTTGACACGGATTTTCGGAAACCTCCTCCATCGGTTTGTAAAGTCAGAGACCCCTCGCGTAGGAAAGTACATGCGATTATGTAATCCCCGGGGTCGCCTCGACGCATGGAGCTGTGGTTTCCTGCAGCGAGCTCGTTAGAAACTGCGATTTATCAAATTTGGCCTGTTTTCTTGTGTTTATTGCTACTTACTTACATAACCAAACACATGCATACACACACGCACATGCACATACATAAACATAACCTTGACCGAACCAGAGCTCTATAACTCAACTGTCAACACCGCCCCGTGTCCATGGTTGACAAAACAATCAGACCTCATGGTCCGTTTAGTCACACAATATTCAATCATATGACCTTTATTAGTCGTCATTAAATTACAGACAATAAAATGTTAATAAGATTTATCATTCCTTTGACTAAAAGTTTGACGTAAACAAACTGGTCTCACCTCATTTTTCAGTTATTGGCGTCTCTGTTATTGGTAACGGTTTTTATGAGATGTTGCTGATTGATCAAGAGTCAGTCCTGCAATGAACTTAAAATCTAATAAAACAGCTCAATGGTCTTCAAAAAAAGTAAATACATTCAACAAAACAAAAAAAGACCCCTGCTGAGGAGTAAGTGGCCAACATAATATGGACAGGATGTGGAGCTGACTGAAGTGAAATCAGATAGCTTGTCCGATTATCAGGATCATCTACTTCCCTCTGAGGACCGACAGAGTCTCATGTTTCCTTTTAATGCTACAAAGTGAAGGAGGTTCATCCTCTCATGATGAGGTAACAGGATTACTACAGAAATGAATACAAAAGGAGTCTGGGTTTGCTTAGAGTCGAACCTCCTCACTTGTAATAAAGCTAAACTATGATCGTAACATAGAAGACGACGTATAGATCTCACGACTAACTTGATTTTCTTTTCGCAGACTCGTAAGCTGACCAAAGCAGAGCGGCAGCGTTTCAGCGAAGAGGTAGAGATGCTGAAGGGCCTGCAGCACCCCAACATCGTCCGTTTCCACGACTCGTGGAAGTCGACGGTGAAGGGCCACAAGTGTATTATCCTGGTGACTGAACTCATGACGTCGGGCACGCTCAAAACGTGAGTCTCATTTTGAATTAGCACTTTCCTCTTCTAGTTGTTTTCTTTCTAAAATATATATCTGTGATGTTTTATAATTGTACAATTTAAATTCTTATCTCATTTATGGACTTTTTCAGTTCTCAGTGACTTGTCTACATATGTATTTCTCTTAACGTCCAGTAGTTCATTAAATTTATTCTAAACTTATTATTTTTACTTTTTATTTCTCAACATCTTATATATTTCAAGATCTATAAAACCCGAATTCCAGCACTTTTTTTATGATTATTATTTTTGTTTTAGCTCCAGAATTTCTTATTTAAGCACAGTAATAAGAATATCCAGCAGTAGACAGGGAAGGGGGGTGTTTGTGATGTGCATCCTTTGTATAATCTGTATAAAACTAATAAAAATATTGTTAAGTAGAAAAAAATTAACCTCCTCACTTTTGAAGAAGACTGTTGTTGTGTCTATTTCTTTGTGTAAAAAGGCATCATAGGCAGACATTTGTTTCCTGTGTGACAAATATGATAAATGTCGTCGAATAAAACCAGAGACTACTTTGGATACAGTCCTCGTTTTTAAGACTTCCTTTCGGCTGTCGAAATAAGAGATTCATTGTTTCACAGCACTCTCTCTTCTCCCACTACCTTTATGCGTTTCGAGTGTGTTACGCAACTCCGATCTCTTTGTTTAGATACTTGAAGAGGTTCAAGGAGATGAAGCTGAAGCTGCTGCAGCGCTGGAGCCGTCAGATCCTGAAGGGGCTTCACTTCCTGCATACGCGCACACCTCCCATCATCCACCGGGACCTCAAGTGTGACAATATCTTCATCACCGGCCCCACTGGCTCGGTCAAGATCGGTGATCTGGGGCTGGCCACTCTCAAAAGTGCCTCTTTTGCTAAAAGTGTCATTGGTAAGTGTACACATCCACTAATTGCCTCTGTATCACATTTAGGCTCCAGTCCAGATGTTTATAACCTTATAAGAGCTCTTTGAACTCACGCACAAGCGACCACAGTTTGAATTCCAGCTTGTAATCTTAAATGCGTCATGATTACTCAAATGGCTTTTAATTTCAGAGCGAACGTGTGCGACTCGTACAGGGAGTGTCAGCCACCAGACGCAGAAATAAGACTTGTTGTGACTTGATTCTTGCGTATCATTTCCAATAGATCTGATTTTCAGGTCCAAACCAAACACTGTGTTTGAGTCACTCATGAATAAAGCTGTGTTACACTCAATGATCAAGAAAAATATTTTATTTAATAGATATTTATCTACCTTAGCCTAAGTTTTTATTACCTTTCCTGTTCTCAGTGGTTTGTTCTTCAAATCACGTTCAGTACCAGGCACTAAAACATGCGCAAAAACGTCGTTTTACAGTCATTAACTTTTATTAGTGTTCCCACAAAACTACTTGTAATAAAGTGATTTCTGATTAAACTTTAATGAGCTATCCCTGCAGAAAAAACCTTTTTTTAAAGCTGTACCCAGTGACATTAAAGATTACCTCAGGGGATTTGTGCAGACCAAAACAAATCCAGAAAGAGGTGTAAAAATTGGACTTAATATCAGGTGATCACCAACGTCGGATTTGTCCCAAAGCCACTGTTGTCTAACACGCTTACAACATCAATAACATACAAGATATCCATATGAAATGTGACAGTATTGTGTTCACAGCTAATTTTGAGACCCTCAAGACAACAAAATATCAACAAATGCATGTATAATAAAATAATAAGCATTAAATTTAAAATGTATGTTTTACAGTTGATGTTGTCTTAGATGTTTTCAATGTTTAAATGCAGACATGTCGTCACCATTTCTGTAAATGTGACTTCCTTCTGAGTCATACCAGACAGCTCTTTACTGGCTTTTTAATAATGACGACAACTCTTGTGGTTTTGAGATACTTTGCAGTTTCATCAAACTGTTTTCTTGACAGAGGTCTACAGTAATAACACCTGCAATAAAACATAAAATATATGTGAAAAGATTTTTTAAATTTTAATAGTAGTTTAAGAAAGTTTAATGTTTCAAGCTGATAGATCTATTATTTTGTAAAATTAGGGCCTGTGTCCACTGACAGCGTTTTTTTCCCCTATGACTTACACCAAATCAATGCAGTGTGGTGCTTTTGTTGCACAATCACCCCCCTGTGTCAGCTGTATTTTTGTTTTTGGTGTGCTAACAGCACTCTAATTCAGATATTGTTTAATTTTTTTAAACATTACTGTGGTGATGATGTCACTTCCCCATCACTGGCCAATCGAAATCCAGAAGGTATCAACTTTGTCAACACCAGTACTGGAGGTCTGTTTAGAGGGGTAACTCGGAGTAACGCCGTGTTGGCCTTTTGCAACAGTTGGCATTGATAATTGAGAATGCAAGTGCAAAAAAAAGATGCTGTTGGTGGACACAGGCCCTTAGCTGTCGTACAAACTACATTTCTGTCCATGAAGAATGAGTTAGATTTGTAACCGTCTTTTTCTGGTTCATTAGTTGGGAAAAAAAAGAGTTTGACCAACATCTTCTGCCCTCTCACAGGAACGCCAGAGTTCATGGCCCCGGAGATGTACGAGGAGAAGTACGACGAGGCGGTGGACGTCTACGCCTTTGGAATGTGCATCCTGGAGATGGCCACCTCTGAGTACCCATACTCCGAGTGCCAAAACGCCGCCCAGATCTACCGCAAAGTCACCAGCGTGAGTAAAGAAGGGAGGAAGACCCTGCGTTTAACGTAATTGTCAACATGTGTTCGCTTTCCTCCATGTGGACTCTGAAATGAAGATCATACATAGGGGCCAGGATGTCTTCTGTATAGGTCTGGATTTCCTCAACCTTTGGAAAATTGGGGGTTCAGGAATGAAAGCCACAGTTTGTCTATTAAAGGCTTAGTTTGGTCATGGGTGTAGAGCTGCACCATAATCTGACCACTGCTCTGTTTCAGCCCAGAATCATGATGTAATTTTCACTGATTACCAGTGTGCTTAGCAGTTTCAAGATCCTGTTCCTGGTGATGTTTACCGCTGCGCTTCCCCCTCCATAGGATAGAGCATGAGTGGAAAACTTACATAACATGCTGCCTGCACGAAAAAAAAGTATATTTTTTCTCGCATTTGAAGATATCTGTCAAAAGATGGAAGCTTTCGTTCCCAGGCTGCAGATGTCAGATCAGAAAAAAGTTGACTTTCTCAGAGCAACAGACTAGAAGTTGCGGTGCGAGTTTTTCTACGTCCAAAGCATTACAACAGAGGCTTTAGGCTTCTGTATTTCAAGCTGTTCAAGGGTGCCAAGTACAGCGATGACGCCTCGGTGGGCTCGAGGAGGCGATGCTAGAATTATATGTTTTGGAAACTTTAGCCTCAGTCTGCAGCTCCACAAAGAAGCCGTTTCTTTCTGGCCTCTCACATATTCAAAGCAAACAGAGTCCGACGGCGGCTGGAAAGTGAGAAAGCGACAATGCCAACATGTCGGAGCGGGTCTGGCCCCTCCACAAACAGGACGACACAATAATGTTCCATGCGCAGTCGGAAAACTCACCCATGATGCAACATGTTTTAATTAAAGTCATATTAGCTGTGCCTTTCAGGATTTGTTTGTGTTCGACGACGTTTATGTGAAGCACAGACGACGCCTTTCCATTTATGCGAGGCAGTTTAATCTTTTACGACATCAACTCAAACCTATAAACTTTATGTAACTTTTAACAAATATGACTGACTTTTATGTGAAGTCATCTGCTATTTAAGGTAGTGGAGTGAGAGCTGCAGCTCGACATGTGAAAGCCATGACACGCACAAATGTTGCTCTTGGACATATTTCCATGTAGGAGGTATTAAGAGATTTTCCTTGGCTTCTTTTACAGTTTACCTTTCTTTCATATCAAATAACTAGACTGACACATGAGTAAATGTCATTTTTTTCTGATGTAAAATGCTGACTCATTTTTGCTACATGGTCAAAAGCATGTGGACAAAGTAACTCTGTACAAAGAAGGAAAAGTTGAGCATCTAATTACAAGATCATTTGCATAAATCTGCAGCCTTGACCCCTTTTCTTTCAGACTCTCCACGAGGAAAGCCCTACACTGTCTTATTTAATAATTCGTCAGGCATTAACATCATTGTTTAGAGATCATTAAGCGGATAGAAATGTGCCAGGCTGGACTAAGTCTAGAGGACATCAGCTTATCTCTCGGGATTTTATCTTGACCTCGGTCACCACAGGAAAAGAGCCGAGTCACAAATTAGATTTGGATTTAGGGAAACTTGATTTACTGTGAAGGTGCGTGTGAGGACAGCGAAGTGAACTGCTTTGACCAGGACACATTTGCGCTCCTCCTCAGATCCTCTCAGTCACTTTTTTACAGATACCATCACTGCATTTGAACCATTCCCAAGTAGTGAAGGCACAAACTGTTATTTTGATCATGAGAAGTGATAGTTATGTAAGAGTGAATCAATAGTTTTGAGCTTCAGTTTCATGGTTAAGACTTTTTTTTACAAATGTTAATGGGAGACTGTATCATCTTTATGACGGTAAGAACTTATAAACACATAATTTCACCTTTTTGTTATAAGTAATGCCAGAAAATAACATAATTTAAACTATTTTTAAATCTCATATTATGACTACCCACCTCACAACAACACTTTCTCTCATTTCTTTGTCTGTTTAATCTTAAAATATTATTTTCTCTTTTAAAATTATGACTTAAAATCGCTTAATCTGAACTTTCTCATAACTTTAACTTTTCATTGACTGATTTGTACTTTTCAGCATAAATTCTGCTTAAGTAACCATCTCATTAATATGTCTAACTATCGATTCTTTATTTTAATCTCATAAAAATTAACTTTTTGTTTTACAATTTCACTTTTTTCTCTAAAAGCGTTGACTTATAGTTTGTCTGTTTACCTAAAAAAAAAAACTTTTTTAGCCTCTGTTTGGATGTTTTATCTCAAAGAATGCATCATAATCAACAACCTTGGCTGTTTGTCTCCGAATTATGACTAATTATTATATAAACATATCTATCCTATAATTTGGACTATTTAACTTCAAATGTTGGCTTTTTATCTCATAATTAAGACCTAGGACAAGTCATAACCTCAGTTTTTATATCATGATCCTGAGTTTTTCATTATTTTGTCTTTTTTATTATCCAGGCTTTTACTTTTCATTTCACATTTTTTGGACTTTTCATCTCAAATTTATAACATTTTATCTAATTTCTGCTGTTTTAGTCCCATATTTATGATTCACTTTCTCATAATTTAAAGCTCCTGTGAGGATATTTTTTGTTTATGTTAAACACTACAATTTATTTTGATTTATTTCATGATATCCAAGAGAAAACAAAACCATCAGTTAGAAGACTGACAGTGTTTATATTGTAATTTTTAGTGCCGTAGAGGGTAGATATCAGCCGAGCAGCTAAAGAAACAGATCTGTCTTTTACATTTCAACATGAAATATTCTAAGGAATTTATGAATTCGACTGTCAAAAGTTGTTTTTTAAACAAATGTCATTACTTAAGCATGTAGAGGTCAATATAAGCAAAAACTGTTTTTGTGCCAAAACCGATATAGAGCTAAAGTTCCTCACAGGAGCTTTAAATCTCATACTGTAATCTTTATATTTATCTCATGACTTTTTGACATTTGTTTCATGATAATATTTCAACTTTCATTTTTAGTGCTCCTTTTTTTTTTACCTTCTTGTTGAAAAAGAAGTCCTTTGTGATGACATAAAGCACAGGTATTTAAGCGATTACATAACACCTTGTGTGCAATTTCCCAAGACTGTAAAACCTCTCACAGCTCTGCCGTGTCATTTACAGAAAGGCAAGAGCAAAGGATTTGTGGTCAAAACAAATACAACAGGTACTGTTTGACATGTCAGACTGATAACAGAGGGAAGCCCTTTTCTGGCACATCTTCATATTTGGGTGTTTTGACCTCACGTCAGCTGGTTTCTCAGGTATCTGTGGGCCAAACATCGCTCTGGCCTTGCTTCTTCGCTGTCTTATCAGTGTTTTGACAGAGACGGAAGCTCAGCGGTGATCTGTGTTCGCTCCCGTGTAAACCCTTTAAAAGACTCCCTCATTTCTGTAGGCCAGCTGTCCCGTCAGGGTGTTTTCTGTTTTGAGGTAAACTGAGCAAAGAAGCTCCAGCTGTCAGGAGTTGAAGGATCGGCATGTTGGTTTATTTCCACCTTTGCGAGCTCTTTGGTTTTGTTCTCTCCTGGTGTTGACATGACGGCAGAGCAGAATGTCATGCTGGCTGGTGGCAGATGTCACAAAGAGGAGGATTACATGAACATTCAGAGCAGCTGGGAGTGACTTCTGTAGGATAAGGAGGAGATCATTGCTGCTGATTACTTATGCTGCTCAGATCCTGTCTGCTGGTGCTTTGTGCTTCAGTGTAAAACCCTAAAACCTCATGAAACATCATTTTTTTTGTTTGTTTGTTTTCGCAGGGGATCAAACCTGACAGTTTCTACAAAGTCAAAGTCCCAGAGCTGAAGGAGATCATCGAAGGCTGCATCCGTATGAACAACGATGAAAGGTGAACACCGTTAACAACAAAAATAAAAATAATAACCCCAAGCTTAATGCACATATGATCTCAAAAAGTGCACAAACAGCATTATTTTCCTCTTTTTTCCCCTCATTTTAAATCTGACTAAAAACTTCTACTTGTACTTTCACACATTTAATCCCAATCCCAAAAATATTTTGCTAAAAAACACTCCAATCTCTACAGTAGCCTGAATGTGCAATTTTCCGTCCTGCAGGTACACTATCCAGGACCTCCTGGACCACCCCTTCTTCCAGGAGAACAACGGCGTCCACGTGGAGCTGGCCGAGGAGGACGATATGGTGAAGCCGGGCCTGAAACTCTGGCTTCGAATGGACGACACCAAGAAGCTCCACGGGAAGTACAAGGACAACAACGCCATCGAGTTCCTGTTCGAGCTCTACAAAGACGTACCCGAGGAGGTGTCTCAGGAGATGGTAGGCGAACACATGAAGATAGTCGATCTTTACGACTTTATGGGCAGCCATTAGTGGAGAAATTAAAAAATTGATCTAAGATCCAGAGATTGATGGTTATCTGTGTGCTCAGCTTGATTAATGATGATGGTTTTTAATGGTTTTCTGGGGGAGAGCTGACTGAATATGCTCTCAAACAGCTTATTTCTTCTCAAAAAGGTGCTGTGGAGAAAATTCAACAAGGTTTGAATTGAGACGCAGCCTTTAAAGACTCGTTTAAACTGTTAAATCAGGAGGGTGACATTATTTGTGAGATGAAAATCCCTCTTTGAGTTATTTGTCCTTTGACCTTTGACTCCAAACAGCGAAAGCAACCTCACTAATGTACCCACACATCATTATGCATCGTTTTACTGTCCTGTTACCACGGCCGCCAAGTGAACGCCTTGCAGAGCGTGTCAAGGGCACGGCTCAACATTTAATCATCAGCCGTTCGAAATGTGAGAGCGTGTCTCAGGAAGCAGCCGGGGTCACGTCTTTAATAATATAATGGCCCTCTTGCTTGTTACGAAACAGCCCCTCCTGTCCTCCACAGCCGGCTCCACAGAGGTCACTTTTAATGAAAATGCGAGCCACAATTCCTTGCTTGTTTACCTCTTTGTGGTAGTTTTCATCAAGATCAAATTTGGTATCAGCGGGGGACATCTAGTCCGGCTGATCTGCTGTAACTCGACTACGTGTTGAGAGCCAGGCCAGGACTGAGTGTCCCACTTTGCTGGACCGGGTGTCACAAGAGGGTGGCGGAAGAATGCGCTCAGTGTGCTTGAATTTTACGAATAACATGTTTGCGTTGATACAAAGTGGCAAACTCCAATGTTGAAAACAGGAGCCACCGTTAGAGCAAGAGAAACTGCAGTTCTTCAAGTGTCCACTAGAGGCTGGTTCTAAATGCATGTCAATCCCTATTAAACCTCATTTCAAAAAGTCTGTTTTACCAGCTGAGTCAAACTTCTTTACAGGCTCATACCTCTAATCAGTCCCGATGGGGGATTGAATATTTTTAATGACTTATCCATTAAACTAAACTCCGTACACCATAACACGCTGGAGGTTTGCCGAATACATTAATTAAAAATGCGTATATCTGAGGGAACGTAGCAACTCATTGTCAAACTCATGAACAAGAACGACCCAAGAATTTCTCTCCATGATCCTCAAATTCACATGACTCTACGCCAAACGCTGTTACCATGCTCCACTTGCAGTCAAACAGGAAGTCGTTTTTTTTTTTTAAAGGGGTTAAATTATTGTTAGTCACCAAATGTGGCATACAGTCACCAGTGGAGGCTTGAAACATTTGATGTAGGTGTAGTAGGTGGGCGTGGCTTTAACACTCTATTTGCTAGTTCCACAAATTGAGTGTTAAAGACACCACACCCTGATTTTCTTAGAGAGATGTGCTTTCATAGGCTTATGCATCATGTCTACACATATTTAACAGTCTTTACAGCAACCCAATACTTGCCCCAATCCAAACCTAAACAATTTAATATTTTTGTTTTTTTTCCCCTGAGCCCTCTTATTTCCAAGGACATGAAAACCATCTTTTCTCTATAAAGCAGATTTTTCCCTATGAAGCCTAATCGGGTTAAAAGCCACATCATTTTCCTCCAACAAATAATAGTCATCTTTAAGTTTTCAAAAATGTTTATTTTCTTCCCCAAATTTAATAGTAAAACATTCTCAAATTGAATTTTCGTGTTAGGGCTCAGAACAGAAGCTTTCATACATGGCCTGACATGCACCTCCTCATAAATGTAACCACGAGTCAAACCAAAGCAGACTGCAGGCCTGCCAGTGATTGGTCCATTCAGTAGCATCTTGTTTCCTGCAGTCGTAACACTTCCAGTACCCCCGCCTACATCGCTTCAGCTGCCAAACATTCCTCCTTCTCTGACGTCTCTGCTCTCTCTTTTCCTCTTTGCAATAGTTGTAGTGGGATCAACCACTGCTCAACATTTATCCGCCCCAGCTCCATTATTATACACCAGGATTCACTCGCCATGTTTCCTGTGCGCAAACAAACGGAGAATGTAGCAGAACCGGAAACTGGGGGCAAGACTTGCATAGGAATCACACCGCAGGGTCCCATAAACTAAGCGAGCGGCTTCAATCCCAGCATTCAGTTCCTTCCCCACGTCATCCCTCGCTTCATATCTTCTGTTGTCTGCTGTCTTCTCTGATTTACCCAAAAATAAAAGCAGACCTTTTTGCTTTACACGGCACAAGGAAGGTCATAGCCGATATGACTTCCAGGTGGAGTCAAGACTTCTCTGAAAAACACAATTTCTCTTAGGTCTTTTAAAAATAAAAGTCTTAATCTGTACAGTCTGTGGTTTTAGTTTTTCTTCTACCAGAGGACTGTACACCAGCTTCAGCACGTCCTCATATGCCTCGCCATAAACCGTGACGGATACACATGTGTTGATGTTGTGCCCTGACCGTTTCTGTGTCTTGTTATGCAGGTCGTGCTTGGGTTCGTATGCGAAGCAGACTTCAAGCTCGTTGCCAAGGCCATCAGGGACAGAGTGACGGCCATAAAGCGGCAGAGGGAGAAGCTGAGACGACAGGCGGAGGAGCGGAAGAAGAAGCTGGAGCAAGAGGCCATAGAGGAAGAGCCAGAGCCTCAGACTCCACTGGCTAGAGTTAGTGAGGTTATCTCAGCAGAGTCCCCCACTCCGGCCTTCACGCCTCCGGCCCCACTCCTGTCTCCGGTCACCAGTTCTGTGGACTCAGGGGTCAGCTCCAACTACCCTGCAGAGCCGGAGGAGCCTGAGGCGGACCAGCATTTTCACATCCGGCACAACAGCCTCTCCTCTGCTAACTGTGAGCAACAGCAATACCACACACGAGTTCCCTCCCTCCTAATTACATATTTTTGTCAAAACTGAGTTATTTGTATTTTCTTATTCTTAAACAGTTTTAAGGTGTTTTTCTATCTCTTATACAAAAGTTACTGTCTGTAGGGTGACCATATTCTGACTTCTTAAAAAAAAAGACATAATTATGCGGGGTGGAGTCACGGAATCGCACAAATTTTGTGCCTAGCCGGCGGCGTGGCGTAAGCACAGTATAAGTCAGGTCCGCCGCACCGATAAGGCGTGCCCAAGCACATTTAGGTATTAAGGTGAGCGGCGCAGCCCGGCATAAGTATCCCCCCTCCCTAACTCAGCTCCTCCCAGCGGTGTGAGTCGTAGAGAGGGAGGAGATAAGGCGTGGAGTGGGTTTAACACAGCCGATAACTGTTTTCACCAATCACATCAGCTCTTCTCCTCACCTTTAAATCTGCCACCGGCGAGGCGTATTACAATTTTCGTGAAAGATTTTCAGGTCGAATCGAGTGTCTTTTACGCGCTTCTAACTTAGTAAGTCCACGTGACACAAACTCGAAATTTGTGTACAAAACCGCGGACATCTAAATGATTTTATAAACTTCCCCAGACAAAGCCGGACAGCTCCCCAAAAAGAGGACATGTCCGGGTAAAATAGGACATATGGTCACCCTAGATACTGTATATCTACTCAGTCAAAGCTGAGCTGGGTTCTACAGGATTATATCTGTGAGCCAATGAGCTATTGACTTGAACAAAGGAGGCCCAATCAGGTTCCACTTCTTTGATCTCACTACAGTGAGGGCAGGAAAAGGGGATAAAAACACAAAAAAGTTCCTGTGCTAACATTAGGAGGAAAGCACAAAAGGCCGTTTTTCCAGGAATAGTGTACGAGTATTTCTCATTATTAAATTGTTGATAATCTAAGTATAAGAGCATGATCAGTTTTAATGACTTACTCATCGAGGACTCAGGGAAACAATCGTGCAGCCGACAGTTATTCTGCAGGAAGCTGTTCAGACTCCAGAGTGTATGGGAGACATACAAAGAAATGTGAAACTGTAACTAAATTATTCAGTCCCTGTAAGTCTCGTGGTGTGTTTGCGTGCTGTGCTGTGTTGCATTTAATGATCATTTCCTCGTTTCTAATTTAAAACAACAGCAGAAATATTCGTCTCATCGCTCATAATGAATTCAGCCCCTCGGAGCGGCGCTAACCCGCAGATTTTTATTGAGTAACTGTTTTTGTGTGTGGTAGGTCTCAGTTTGGGGTCTCTAAGTGTGTTTGTGTCAGTCAGTCAGGCCACAGTCAGTCACATGCTCATGGTGTTTTATCCTTTTGTTTAAACAGCTGACTGTGAGACGGACGGCTATCTGAGCTCCTCCGGGCTTCAGGATCCGCTGGAGGCCGGCAGCTTTAACTCGCCCGTGACCCCTCCCACCAAGCACCCTGACACCCCCATCCCCAATGGGCTCACCATCCCGGCCCTCCGCTTCCCCTCGGTGAGTGGCCTCGGTGAAGAGAGAATGACTTTATGAATCACTGACAGAGAGTTTGATAGATGATGTTATGACAGGAAGTTACACCTGACAGCGAGGGAAGGCAGCTGTATTTATATTTCACACAGGCCAAGAAGCTGACAGATATTTAAACATTTGTGATGCTTTTAGATTAGAAAGAAGTGAAGCATTTGCATCTAGAGAATTTTCCAGAAAGTGACTCAAAGAGACGTAATTCGAACATCAGAAAAACTGGATTCAACTTCATCAAGTGAGCAGATTAGAAAAGTTATTACAGGTCATTTGAAAATATGCAGCAAAGCTCATCACACAATATAAAATTCTTGTCAAGACATTTAACTAAGAACCCAAAATGTCAACCAAAGCTAATTTCTCCATCAGTGGATTTCACGGTGAGTTAGTGGAAAGAGAAATGCGGCATTAAGGAAGAAGGAATAATCTGTGTGGTTGAAATCAGGACTTTTCTTGACTATCTCGTACTGAGTCCTCATTTGCATGTTCTTCAACACAACTTTATTTTCTATTCATAGAGTATCGCTGTTTCTAACAACATTGAACACGGCAACTCAGGGTCTCCAAGCGGCTTCAACTCCCCCGTGGACAGGTAATGATCCTCAGCCCTCTTTTCTCCCCACTCTGCTCTTTTTTTTTTCTTCACACAGAGGCGATCTATAGTCCCGTCTTTAATTAAGTCAGAGAACTGAAAATCAATGCGAATCTAGTAGAAATGTCTAGTCTTCCCTCTTTAACTCCACCTCCTCCTCCTCGCCCTCTTCCTCCTCCACATCTGTGGGGCTGTCACAACAAGCTGGAGGCGATCGACAGGCTCCTCTGTGTTTTTATTGCTGTGAGGCAGCGTGGACCCTCGCAGGTCTCTCCGTGACGGGGGTCTCTGATGTTGAGGAGGCCCTTGTTTCCATGTTTTTCATGATGGCGGGATGTTAGAGAGAGACTTTATTTAGATTTTAGAGCCGAGAAAAGCTCACTTGTTTTGGCGATAAATATCCCCTCACTTTTTTAGTTCCGACTTTCACTGCTACTGCTTTATCTAAAAACAAGTAATAGAGAGAAAACAGCAGTATAGTTAAGTTATTAGTAAAAGAAACTGACAAATATCAACTCCTAATGTAAGTGTGCTTTGATTTGATATATACCGATAAACCTAATATACCTTGTAGAAGTCGTAAGGTGATAAGCTGGTATGTGTCACGTGGTGTTTGTGGTTGCTGTGGTAACATACGGGAGCTTGGGTCATGCCGAGTAGTTATGAAAAGACGTGGCTTACCTGCAATCAGGTGATTTTTGTTGACCGCTTCGTATCGCTTCGCATCGCTTCGCATCACATCATATAGTATAGTACAGCATCACCTTGGATTACCTTTGTGTGATCCTGCTGTATACCAGAAGGGGTCCTGTGTGTGTGACCGTATTAGCAGATGTTTCATTAAAAACACCCTAAAGTGCAGTCTAAGCCTCTTGCTTGTCTATGTAGAAAGCTATAGCGCGTCAGACAAATACTGGACCCTCAACTTTCCTCTCAAGCGACAATGTTGGTCTTTAGAGTTGCTACATTAAAAATATTTATTTTGGTTAAAGCTCCTGTGAGGAACTTCAAGTTTGGGTCATGTATGGCGCCCCCTGTGGACAAAGCAGTCTTTGTTTATCTCATCCTGTACGTGCTGAATTAGCGGCAAAAAATGTCATCTGCTGACTTTTGACAGCCAAATGAATTATTTATTATGAATGTTTTTTGCTGATGGTCTTGTTTGCTTTTATGTATCATGAAAAGGCATTAGTATGAATTTCAGTCTATTTCATAAGTGTAAAAAAATCCTTACTGGAGCTTTAACTAAAAAAAAGACTTTGATGAGCCATCTTACACCGCCGTGACTCAAAAGTGAAGAACTTGTAATGTTTGACATTTTTGAGGGTAAAAACTCAATAATAGATGATCATAAATGTCATGCACCACAGGAGCTTCTTGTCCTTGAAGGCCACCGTCCCTTCACTGATGGAAAGGGTGAGAAAGGGAGCATTTAAATCCAGAACTCCTGTTTCTACACACTGTAACATCGAACCTCAGCCTGATTGTCAGTTTTTCTGACAGTTTTTCTGACTCATACGCTGAAAACTGAAGCAAACGTCCAGTCTAATTATCGTCCTCTTTTCTGACAGGAGAGAAAATACCTCTTTTTGCTTCGGTCGTTTCCAGGAAAACCTTGGATTTAATTGATAGGTAGATTTTTTAGAGCAGAACAGACTATTTGACAAAACCAAGACAAATCTTATTTCCATGTACTCTGTGTTTAAAGGTAAGATAATCTTTGCTTTCACCTGAAGTAACCCACGAGTCTGGGTCTTCTAAATAAAGACAGGCGGACACCACCGGCCTCTCGATGTTTCCCGCTTGTGGATGGAGGGGAGTTTGTTACCACAGCTCTCCCAAAAGGCCCAAGAGACACAATTAGCTGAACCAAAGCTTTTTATAAAGCCTCCTGAATGTTCTCCGCTTCTCAGAAACCTAAACCCTGATCACTGTATAAATACGACGGATCACATGGATGGGCTGCTTTCTCTGGACCAACTCCAGCTTCATATATAGACTCTGAACCTGCCTCTTTATACTCTATTGTTTAACTTGGCTGTTCCCTCTCTAGAGACAAGCCTCCTTTACCCTTCAGAGTGATGTTTATTATTCTAATTATTATCAATGGTGTTTTAATAAGCAGCTGTGATTTATTTTCAATTCCTGTCATGCTTCTGTTTCATGAATTTGCTTTGTGGCTCTTTAGGGCGTCTTTTCTAATCAGAAGCTTGTTTGGTGTCTTGGCAGCTACGCCTCAGATGTGACTTCGAGTTTGAGCGACGGCTATGAAGGCCTGTCGGAGAAGAGCGAGAGGACGGCTGCGAGGCGGACCGCTGCCAAGCTGTTCAGGAGGAGGGCTCGGTCGAGGCTGCGCATCACAGGGGTACAGTAAATCAAGAGTTTTGTGTCGTTGCAACACCACATGTGGAGTTAAGCTAATCATAAACAGATAAATCAAGTTAGCGGGTTTATTGTATTTGTGATTTTGCACTGGAGCTCCACCCTGATTACATAACTGCGTCTGTGCTGTCCTTCCTCAGCGACCACAGCTCGTTTTTCATCTGGTCTGAGGTCTTTCACTGTTTGCTCTGGAGACAGACAAACACATCATGTATAACCACACGTAGTGCAAATACAATGTCGCATGTAAACACATAGCATTTTACAGTAGACCCACGCAGCTTTAGGTTTGCTCGTGCACACAAAACCGTATTGTTTACCGCGTGTTTAACTTTACTCAGTGGTTTAGCGGGTAAACAGACACCTGTCGCCGCTCCTCATTGATCCTCTCCGTCCTGTCCTGCAGCTCTCTGATAAAGTGGACCGTGTGGTGGAGTGTCAGCTGCAGACACACAATGACAAGATGGTGACCTTCAAGTTCGACCTGGATGGAGATAACCCCGAAGACATTGCTGCTGTCATGGTGAGTCAACGCTGCTGTGAAGTCGATAACCGGACAATGATCAACAAGTTGCATTAAAAAGCTTCGATCGGGTTAAACGCAGAGCTGCTTCGGTTTTGTGTCAGTGTTTACTTTGGTTATGAATGGTATTGAAATTCTATTAAATCAAGTTTTGGACCAATTGATCAAATTTGGTGACCGTTTAGCTCAGGGAAATCATTGATTAGCCCTGGTTATCATCCCAAATAAAACACAGATGATGTCCTTTCTCTTTAGTTATACCTTTCGTTGCATAATTCAGATTATCTTTCCGGCTACAAAACTAGAAGGGCAACTAGGGAGTGGCGACCACCACCAAAGCTTAAAGTTTAGTTTTAAAGACATGCTAATCTGAAGAAACAACTGTCCTTTGAGGATCCACAAAAACGGCTTTGTTGTTGTTGATGATTGAACGGGCTCCAAAGTTTTAAGGCCTCCTCCTCCAAGCGAATCCTCCACCCAAGTTTCATAAGACCATGAACCCGCTGACATACCGCTGACTGAGTGTAAAGATAAACATGTGTCCACCGCCTCCCATTGAATAACACATGAAGCCAAATTACCCATGTGATGAGTGCCAATGTCATGAGCGCCAATGTATTGTGCGTCATTTCGGTGACCAGAGAAATCAGTAAAATGAACTTTAGTGACCTTTGATTGACAGTAGTCACTCTCTTAGCGCTGTACACACTATCTACCAGAAGTTTGCCGATGTTGACCTCTGAAAGTTACTGGTTTCCCGAGGCTAGTTAAGAATTTAAAGCTCTAGTAGGGAGTTTTTTGTGTTTTTAAATTAAATGAAATTCATACTGATGTTGTTTAATTATGTAAAAAAGCAAACAAAGCCATCATAACCAAGATTGTTTTTTATAATGTCATTTCTTTACATGTGAAACCAGCCGACCAGCAGCAGAAGCTATTTAATAACATGTTACGCACAAAATATTTACAATAATTGACACATTTGACCACCCAAAGTCAGCAGGATGAGAGTTACTTTAAGCATGTAGAAGAAAAAAATAAGCAAAAACTGCTTTGTCCACAAGGGGCGCCAAAATTGACACAAAGCAAAAGTTTGTCACAGGGGCTTTAATAGCAAAAACCTTTAGGATATTTATTTTGATGGTGTATAATCTTGATTTTAACGAGCGTGAAGTTCAGATTGTTGAAATAAGGATGAACTTTGACTTGATTTTTGACATCTTACGTCTTGTTCTCCAAGAACTCACTGGTGGTTGAACTGTTACAAATTCATGCGGTGACTCCAGACATTGCCCACTTTGTTCTCATGTCCTGGGATGATGCTAGCACCGGCAGTGACATCAAACATGTGAGGTTAAATCTGGGTTAACCGTGTTCAAAATGACGAACACGACATTGAAAATATTTCCTTTTAAAGAAAAAGTCCACCTCAAACAACGTGGGGTCTTACGTTTGAATATTTCATCAAACATGTGGAATGAAATAATTTCCCTAGGTCATCGAGGGGTTAACAATGAGACTAATCAGTTTTCTGTGGAGACTGGACCTCCTGGCACTTTGAAGGATTTGTACAGAAATAAATAAATGAGCTCACCCTGTCAGCTGATAAGACAGCTCAGCTCCATCGGAGCCGAATGTCCTCGTGATTCATTCTGCCCCCAGTTAACAGCCTTTTGTTTGTTAATCCTAAATCTATGTGATAATGTATCTAACCGTCAGAGAAGTGAGTGACGTAGGGACGCAGCCCATCAGCCCACCCTTCTCTTGTTGTCATCGAAGCCTGTTTGAGGCCTTGTATTCACTTCTTGTTTACTGAATGGTCTATTTTCTTGACTATAAAAAAACACAGTAGGCTTTTGTTTACAAAGTCCTTCCACAGCAGAGGCATATGGCATCTCACCAGCATGCTGTCCTCAAAGAGGGTTTTGAACATGCAGACGTGCAGACTTGCACCACGCTGACAGGAAACAGTCACCACACCTCAACCCGCAATTACCAACAACACTCAGAACTGCATGAATATGCAAGAGTAAAAAGCTCCACTCATAAACTACTGTACTGTGGATTTACAACACAAGATTTATGTACTTTTTTTGAGGTGCCGAGGGTGGGTGAGTGTTTGGGCTGGTGGGTAGATTTCACAGATGGGTGCACCATTAGAAAACAAGTGCCAGAAAAGCTAAAGAGGGTTGACAGAGCTAACTGTGGATGCATTTTAGAAGCAAACTCGAGTGTAGAAAACTGGATCCAATGCCAAAGTGAAAAAAAACGCAGTTCCTTGGGTGGCTGGCATCAAGAGTGAGCCAAACCTGATTAGATTTTGTCCATCCATCCATCCGTTTTCTACCGCTTGTTCCCGTTAGAGGTCATGGGGGGGCTGGAGCCTATCCCAGCATCTTCGGGCGAAGGCAGGGGACACCCTGGACAAGTCGCCAGTTCATCGCAGGGCTGACATATAGAGACGAACAATCAACCACACTCACATTCACACCTATGGGCAATTTTGAAAGTGGCCAATTAACCTAACCTTGCTTAGGCATGTTTATGGGATGTGGGAGGAAACTGGAGTTAACCCACGCAGACACAGGGAGAACATGCAAACTCCACACCCAGGACCTTCTTGCTGAGAGGCGACAGTGCTAACCACGTCACCACTGTGCTGTATTAGATTTAATATTAAAATCAAAATATTCTGCAGATTATGATGAGTTTGATTCAGCATCGCATTAAAAACAGACCTGACTCTGCAGTGGGAATCACCACATAGACTCAAAATCACTGTCTTTGAACACAGTTGGGCGCTGTTTCCACAAATGCAGGTTTAAACTGTACTTTGCAAAGAGGAAAACATATTTAATCATGATCTTGCAACTTCCATGCTATTTTTCCTCTGATTCCTAATTGTCTTCTCTGGTTTTACAAGGTCCACAATGAGTTCATCCTGCCATCAGAGAAGGAGGGCTTCATCCACCGCATGGGGGACATCATCAAACGGGCCGAGTCTCTGATGGCCAAAGAGCAGCCGGTCCACCCTGTCGGGCACAGACACCCCCAGCCTGCTTTCCACAACGGGGTTAACTCTTTATCTTCCTCTCAGGTCAGCAGCACACCACCTGCTCCTCACCTGTAAACCACATCACCGCAGTGTTAGCTGAGAACAAAGGACGTAGCTGTAACAGAGCATTTTATTGACTCGTCTGATCATCGTAAATTACAGCAGCGAGAGTGTTTCTCTTATCTTGACCAGGAGCATAAATCTGGTGTAAATGGAAAGCTGTACCGTAGAGCTTTCTACACCAGAAATAAAAACCTCAGCGGAGTGCTTTCCACACTGTCCGCATCCCTTATGAAACTCACCCTTAAAGACAGAGGGTTAAGTGTTCCTGTGCCACCTGAGGCTTTGCTTTCATTTAGAACATTATGTTACTGAAAGCACTAATGTCATAAAGTCGCTGTGATTTGTGGAAACAAACTCCATGCCTTTTTTTTTCACATGTATTTGTTCCCATGTGCACAAATCCTTTCCAGTCCTTCCACCATAATGAACTTTCCAGTATTTGTGCCCACAACGAAGGGATAAAATAATTCATGTTGGGATTTATGAACCGCTTTCTCAATCAGGATTCTGTGAAACTGTAAAATAAGGACTTCATGGAGATGTTTAGGAGCAGTGCCAGCCTGTTTTCGAGATATGAGCCAACGCCTCATCAGACACAGTTTGTATGCTTGAGGAGAAGGAAGCGTCTGTTCTAGTCTGTGCAGTAATCAAAGAACAAAATCTCCCTGTGTGCAGATAAACGATGCTCAGAAATGATGTCGGACGTAAAAATGTGCAGTTTCATGTAAACAAAAGGAGAAATAAGAGCGGTAAACCTCCACCTTGTTCACCATGTTTCCGACCCCCCGGCTACATAATTAACTGGAACCACTGTGGACAAAATCTCTCCTGGCTCCTCTCCAGCACATGATTAAAACAAGGCATGGATCACATCCCAAAAAAACCATTATGGCTGCTCTTCCCAGCACTGTCCATTTCAAGCTGGTTAAGCCAAGATGAAAACCCATGATCCCCTAGACTCATCTGTTTATCTTCTTTTTTAGTCTCTGGGACTGGGTGCTATTCTGGGAGTTTTTGGAAGAAGATAGAGGGAATAAATGAAGTTTGAATCTCTGGAAAGAGAAGCTGGACAAGCTGTCGCTGTTTTCCCTTAACCCACAAATGTAGCAATGCTAGCAGTGAGGCTGTATTCAAGTAGGGCAGTCCTTTTTGGCTAAAACAGAATGATATCATAATCTTATATAAGACCCACTCCGATTTAAATCAGGTTTTTCTTGTTTTTTATATGTTCCCATGGTGTTTTTCTGAAGCTACGGGACATATCATGAGAGAACTAAGTGCGAAATTAAATTTCTGAGTATTTCTGCATTCAAATTGCTGTGAATCTCTGGCAGATCCAAATGGAAGGTTCAGAAACAGTGAGATTTCCTACATCACAAATCCAAGCTCCGCCCCCAGAGCTCCACTATGCAGGCCAGACTTTGCATATAGATGAAAAATAGAGAGGATGACTGCAGAAAAAGCCTGTGCAGTAGCGGATTACAATGCTCGTAAGAAAGCTAATAATAATGTTAATTTTCATCATGTCCCTAAAGATATTAGTGTCTGAGAGCTGAATAGCTTGTGTGTTACCTGCCTCTTCTGTTGCACAAGCAATGTTAGGGAGCAAGCTAGCATGAAGACGAGTGTGAAGAGCGTTGTCTCTGCCCACGACCCAAAGCCAAATTACATTGCTAATGCTGACTATCTGATGCTGGAAGATTCTTTATAGCTAAAGGATAACTATCTAATACAAGAGATAGATAGATGATAGTAGTTATATATGCTGTAATACAATATACTGAATGTAAGGTGTGTTGTAAAAATCACCATAATACAAATGTGAATGTGTGATACTGTTACATACTTCACATTCGGCATAAGAAGTACCCATGTTGCTCTTGTAAACAGTTATGAGATCACTGTTTTAGTTTCTTTCTGGCACAACATATCAAATCTCAAATGCTTCATCCTCTGGGTACTATGAGCTTTAATAAACTAATTCATCTCTATCTCTGAATGACAAATACCAGACAGCCTCACTGTCACACTGATGCCCCTCAGGCTCATCTGATCAGCAGATTTCTGCAGATGGAGCCACGGTACCGCTGCCACTTACTCTTAATATGAGGTTAAATTACCACACAAAGACTTTATAATGGGCACACTAACTGGTCAATAACTTTGGATTTATTGTGGAAACTGCTCTTCATAAATTACCAGTAAATTCTTTACGGCTGTGTTAATCTTTACTTTATTGTCCGCTTAATACACAATGTACCAAACTGACGAGCAATATTCTCAGATGCATTCTTCGAAGTCAGTTTACAAGAAGATAATACGACTATTTTGCATCAGTTTAACCTCCTTTGTTTCATTCTTTTAGTGAATATTGAGCTCAGGACGGATATGGTATTGACTTAAACGTACATGAATATGATCCTATAACGCTGTATTCCAGCTGTATCTATCTGTAAGCGCTTGTTATCAAACCTGCTGTGCATTTTTGTCCTTCAGCCAACTCACAGCCTTGTGCAAAAGTCACACATCACCTTATTAAACGTAGAGATTGAGTTTTATCACTTGTGCTCTCTTGCAGCCCAATCTCCACAGTCACTCCCTTCCTCGAACAAACTCCTCCTCATCATTACCTGGTAAGTCCCACAGCTGCTCTGATGAACTTCGCTCGCCCGTTAGAGGGATATATTTACCTTGAGGAAATGAAACTTGATTTGTTTGAGTGGATGATTGGACTTTTGCCTAACCCCCCAATCATCCTGTAAACATTTTCAACTCACAAAGTAACATTTAGTGCGTGCCAGCTTCCAGCATGTGACATTAACCTTCATCTGTTTGTTGCATTTTTATTTTTTTTGACTTCATTGTTGTTGCATGTGTGTATTAATATCTGTGCACGTGCATCCACTCATGCATGTGTGTGTCTCGTCGTAGACTTTGGAGCTCTTAACCCAAACGTAGCTGCACGTGGCTCCCCCCACTTCCCCAATGGAGACGTCTTCGGTGCAGACATTACTTCACCTGGGCGACCTCTATTACGTTCACAGTCTTTCCACAACGCCCCAGGTAAAAAGCTTCCCGCTCCTCTCTCTGGTCCTTACGCAAAAAGGCCGAGCATTGTTTACTGTTTCAGCTCTCTGAAAAAATTGTTACAGTCCCCTTGGCAGAGAATAAGTCGGCGCAAAGCTCAGCTACCTCATAAACTCCCACCCTCCTCTTCTCAGGGCCCGTTCTCGGTATTGTTCAGACATTCACATGGCGCCATCCGCCATCCCTTCACCTCAAAGCCTTCTTCTGTGTCTGCTTCACAGCCGGGCCTCTTGGGTAATTACCTCACCTGAAGGCTGCTTTCTGACTTTTAGGGAGCTGTGAATGCTGTTGCTGTGAAGCATGAGCTGGTCTCCGGTTCTGCGATAGGCGGCAACATCTGTTTGCCAGCACAAACTCCTACAGAATTTCCGAGAAAGCCTCCCACCCCCTTTTAAGTCTCCAACCCTAGAAAGAGCATTTGAAATCGATTAAAGGACGCACACACAGAATCAGCCAAAAGTCCCTGTTCCAGCCTCTAAACATCCTCATCCCCCATTGTTTTGTGTCCTCTCACTTGTGGAAGTTCACCACGTTGCTGCTTGCGCAATCCTCCTTGGCCAACCGCCACTTTCGCAGAGTGTTTCCAAACCTATGTTTCCATCAGCGAGGAAAAACTAGAGCCTGTTTTGCATCATCAGCAACAGGAGGCAGGACTTTTAACTGTGAGGCTATTGTTAAGGTAAATGTCAAATCAATCGATGCGGGTAGCACATTGGCATCTCCGACTTTTCCCCGAAGGAGTTCTGAATCAACCTCGACTGCTTTAATCTCACAACAGGACCCTAATGTTGAGTAAAGACACACGTGAGTTCGGTTTAATTTCCCCTGCAAATAGTAAGTGAAACATCCTTACTCGCTCCCGTCGATGCCAAACCACAAAGAGCCATGTAAGCCATGTGTGCAACTGTTCCCACTGCAGTTAAAGTTAAATGCTCCTCCAAACAAAACACCTTTGTTCGGCTCAAAAACCAATCATTCGAAAGTACAGGAAAGATTTATGCTCGACATGGCGTAGCTTTTGGCAGGAGGCTGCAGGAAGAATTAGACTCACCAAAACCTGAGAGAGAGGAAGACAGAGTGATCTAATTTCTGGTCGGCGCTCTTCCAAACAAATTAAATCAAGGCTTAAGCTAACATGTCTGAACTTGCACTTGAGATATCTGAATGGACTTGGCCACCTGTTGCAAAGCCTTAAATCTGAACTTTTTTGCTGCTTCTATCTTGATTTATTGCAACAACTGAAAATATTTGAAGTGCTGCATTTCTCCTCGTGTGCAGGCCTCTGTGGTCATTCAATAGGCCACACCCTGTATTACTCTGAATGTATTTCATCTTCTAAATTACTAAATAAAAGAAAAAAAAAGAAAAATGTCTGAAAACTAATGACTTGGACCATCAAGTCATTACATTAATATTTATGAGGGAATAAAACTGGAAGCAGTGTCATTTTCTAATCGGTCAGAAAGCTCAGTGCTAATATTATATTGTTATAGTGCTAATATTGGGCACTTTTATTTTGATTTATTTGCAGTTGAAAAGAGAATAGATAATAAAAACAAGTCCTAATTAGGGTGACCATATTCTGACTTTCAGGGGTGGAGTCATGGAGTTGCACAAAGTTAATTTTGAGAGTTTTTCGGGTCGGATAGATTGTGTTTTATGCGCTTCTAACTCAGTGAGTTTAGGTGACACAAAATTGAAACTTACATTCAAAACCCTGGACATTTGAAGGATTTTATAAACTTCCCCAGGACAAACCCGAACAAACCCAGACAAGCCTGGACAGCCCCCCAAAAAAGAGAACATGTCCGGGTACAAGAGGGCGTATGGTCATCCTACCTCAATCAAGTTATATTGTCAACCAGCACATACTGTTAGCTTTCTTTTCAAGCCAAACTATAAACAGTTACATTAACTCAAAATGTGTTATCATGCTAATATTAGCTGTTGTCTAATGCTAGCTAACTATTAAGCCAAAAAGCTTTTATAATGATAAAATGCTGTTTCAATTTAATGAGTTTTTTAACCTGCTAATATTTTATTACTTTATTGAAGTTTGTGAGTAACTGAAAAGTTACAGAAATTGGTCACACTTTATTTTGTAACTCATTGATCGTCATTCGAGGGTAGGAGATTTGTCAGATTACCATCATTTATCAGATTTTCACACTTTTTCAAAAAAGTATAGCGATATTACAGCATTTTTTGCCCTACCTTTGATAAAACATGACAGTAGTATGTTATGCTGTGAATATGGGTTTTGATTCGGTAGAGTCGCCCCCTACTGGTTGGCAAAGATTGCTGACGGAAGATATTTTGAACTCGAAAAGCTAAATTCACTTGTTTTGCACTCTCTGTTTGAGCTAACCTTAACTCATTTCATCTTTGTCTTCCAGGGTCCCCACTCCATTACCAGCATCACCACAACCCAGCATCCCTCCTGCCCCACCACCAGCACTACCACATACCCTTCATGGGCCACAGCCACTTCCCATTCCCATACCCGGGCTCTCCCGGTTCCCCAAAACCAGCCCCTCACCCTCCCCTCACTCGTGTAGCCAGTAACCCCACCTTCCCTTCTGTCCCCTCCCCAGCACCTGGTTCCCCAAATCCTCTGAACGAGACCCCGAGTCCTGTGAGCAATGAGGGCGTCACCATGTCCCCTCCTGGCCCCCAGCATCCCAACATGTGGCCCCCTCACACGCAGCCCCTGTTTTCATTGGCGAATGTCATCTCCATGGCGATGAGCATGGCGCAGTCTTTCATCCCTCCTGCGAGTATGCCCGCTCAGGGGATGCCCTCCTTCCCGGGTTACCACCACCAGCTGCCCGGTCACCTCCCGCCACAGTCAGGCTACCCCTCCGTCTACCCCCAGCATTACCAGACCTCACCAGTAGAGGCCCTTTACCCCACGGTGGGCATCCAAGCACAGAACAACATCTACAACAGCCCTGAGAATGTACCACAAGTTGATGGTTCACATCAGAATACTCATCCAGGCTGGCTGCATCCAGTTTCTCCACCTTCCATGCCTACCACTCCTCCACCGGTTCCCCAGGAGCCTCTGCAGCAAGTCGGATTCTCCAGTCCAACCAGTATCATCCAGGATGACGGTCTCAACCCTTTGGCTCCATTCTCAGCACAGGTTCAAACCCAGGCTGAGCTGAAATCAGAGGAGTCCTGTTCAATCTCCTCATCAGATCTGTCCCCATCACCACCATCAGAGAGCCCAGAAAGCACTGTAAGCATCATGTGGTCTCTTATTTTATCGGTCTCTCTATGGGAAGATTCCTTAAGGGCTCGCGTCCTTCAATGTTGCTTTTTGTGCTTGCTGTGCCCACAACATCAATTTGAGGGCACTTCATACCGATGATTACCGTTGCTAGGTTACTTAATTTGTTCCAAGGCACTTCCACTTCCCCAGGGACCATCATGCTTGCTTTATAACACTCTGTCTGCCTCATAGTACTTTTTATTCAAAAGGATGGAAACTGTGTCGAGGCGTATGCAAATGTGGCGTCAGAACAGACGTCTCGTCTCTTATAGATTTTGACTCTTAGGTGATGGAGAAGTGATGTTAAGGTTTGCAGTGGTGGACACACTGAGCAGTGAAAACTCAGCACTGCATCTGTTTTGTGTTGAAAACAAGCACACCCTGCTCAAAAATGACGTCAATGGGCACAGGCCATTGGGAGGCAAATTAAGGCCAAAGTATTACCACGATTAACTTAGGAGGTAACAATATTAGTTTCAGTTTGTTTTGAATCCAGCAAAAAATCACTTCCAGGAGCTTTAATTAATTAAACAAACTTTTAGATTTTAACCATTTCTAATGTTCTTAATCCAATACTTATTCTCTCTTTTACCCCATATTTAAGATCTTTGTTTTTTTTTAACTTTTTGTAGCTTATTTCCAAGTGTAAAAAATTCTGCAGCCCCTGAAAACTGAATCAAAACCTCAACGTCCCTGATATCTAAATCACAGTATTTACTAAAAAGACTATTTTCTGTGTACATCATACATGTTAGGCTAATTCTGCTGTCACACTAACAGTAAAAATGTTTGTTTTTTCTCTGTAGTTATCTTCCTTCAGCACACAAATGCAACCTGCTATCCCTGAGATGACTGCCAGTACCCCCAAATCGAAAGCCTCTACCACTGAATCTGGTGAGAATTTTCCTCCCGTTGTCAGAACATGATTTCTGTGTTGTTTTCTTCAGCTGGGTTACGTATAGATCAGAGAGCATCCTGGAAGTTAATAGGAGAGTTGTTTTCTTTATTAGAGAGCAGTTTTGTTGACTTTCATGGGTTTTTCTCCTCCGTCACTGCACCACAAACACCTTATGTAGTGTAGGAGACCAGCCAGAGACTGAGAGAAGTGGAAAATGACATAACCGTGTTGTGTTTATATTTGTAGGCCAAACAAACACAAACACACACATGCTTATGGTATACACATGATCTTACCAGCAGCCAAATAATCTAGTTTTTTCTCCTTCGGCTCTATTTTATGATGTTTTCGCTCCAAATACCGTCTGATGTCCCCGTTATAGCCAATTTAACGTCCAGCTTGTTTTTCTTTCACTTCCCTCCTCTGTCTCCTTGGTGACATTATCACCCATTAACCGTGCCTCAGGAGCCGTTGCGTAACCGAGTACGGATGTAATGTTCCATTCAAAACCAACACAAACGTAGGTGTGATGGCGACCCTACCCACAGCTAACGACCAATCAGGACGCCGCTGTGCTCATTACCAGCCTCTCCTCCCACATCCACACCTGTCAGTGTTTAGAGCCCACATTCAACAGAGTCCCTCTGTTTAAGCGGGGCACTGACCCAGAGGCCGTCTGTGTTTGCTGTTAGAGGGACACTCGGTGGGCGAACTGAGGCACTGCAGGATTTAAGAGCCTGAAAGCCTCTATTTACTCTGTTTACTCTTTATATAAGCTGGATCTGGACAGGTAAAGTCATTCTCAGGAGAGCAGTCAAGACTTTCAGCAAAATTAAAGACAGCGTAACAAGAATTAAGGAGAATAAAGTTGTAGTTTTAGGCTTTCTTTTATTTTGAAGGGGGATACCAGAGGACAGATTTCACAAACCTCTTATTTTACAAGACATCAGCATATTTTACGAGCTCTTGTTGAGGCCACAAGCTTCACTGTTTGATCTGCAGCTACAGGGAGCACCTATGACCTCCCTCAGCTGGTATCAATCAGCTCAGGCTGTGAGACTATAAAAGAGGGGCTGAGCTCTCTGGTCCAGTTGGGTTTTTGCTCCTTAGGAGGTCCACACCTTCAGTTGGCTGTCCTGTTTTCTGTTGTGTGAATATTTTAGTTTGAGTTACAAGATATTTCTGTGTTTATTCAGGAATCATTATTTCCTCTCTGACTTTTGACTCATCTTTTTCATTTGTTTTGTTTGTCTATCTGTCTGTGGAGAAGTTTTCCACAGACAGTCTTCTGATGCACCGCTTTGCCTCAGTTGGTAGAGCAGACACTCCATGAATGGAGGCTATAGTCCTGCCTGTGCAGATTGTAGGATCAGTTCTTGGTCTGGACATGATTTGGTCCCAATAATGACATGTATTGATAATGAGAGAACTGATACTAATAATGGACGACTTACATCTGGTTATGCTCAACATTTAAAAACATTATCCAGTGATGGTCTGAGATTTGATTTGCTGTCATTGGGGATGGGAAAATGTGTTTTCATTTAGAAAAGATAATGGTGCTATCTGCCTTGTGGTGGCTGATGCTGATAATGTAAAAAGGCCATTTAACAGCCTGATTAATAGACTTTAATGCTTTACTTCTACTTTACTGCTGTTGTAAAATCTTAACTACTTTAGCCAAGTTAGAACCAAATTGTAGTTTGGATTTATTTAACTTATTCTTATTATATTCACTCTTACGAAAGGAGTATTAGGGCCACATTTAGAAGAAAAAAAATTAAGACTTTGAGATTTAAATTGTTAACTTACAAGAATAAAGTTGTAATAAAATCACTATGATAGGCTAATTATGATAACGTGGTGCTAATGTGCCTATGATTTTAGTATGACTTTATTCTCATTAGTAATGACTTCAATCTCGAGGTATGAATATATATATTTTTTTTATGTGGCCCTTATACTCCGTCATACTCTCTCTCTCTCTCTCTCTCTCGCTCTCTCTCTCTCTCTCTCTCTCTCTCTCTCTCTCTCTCTTAAGCTTTTGTATTTTGGGGTTTTCATAATCTCATTAAGAATATTTTGTGCAGATTTTTTCACAGTGAACAACATCTGACAGCATGTTTTTGTTAGAGAAGAGCAGGGCCTTGGTTTAGTCTTTGTAACGCCACTCTAAAGTGGGACATATGTGTAAGAAGTGTCTGCAACAATGTGAGCATGCATATATACACAGCTGGTTACAACTCTGTACCATGTTATCAATGCTGTAAATTAAAGCTCCAGAGATTACTATTTAAGGTGATAACTGTAAAAGCAGAGGGAGACTCATTTGAGGACTGTTATGATTAGATTAAAGTCAAAGCTTGACAGTCAGGACGGACTGAGGCTTTGTTCTGATGATCAATCACCTCTGATCAGATTAGGAGAGAATCACTATGACTGAGCTGATGATTGGTCCAGAGTCGTATAAATTCACTGACTGGATGGTACAACTTCTTATTCATGGAGACTAGAAGTAAGTGGAGAAATGAGGAGACACAGAATCCAAAAATGTTTAGAAATAAGAGCTGAAATAATGCGCATTGTTGCAATCACAATCCATTCAGGGACATGATCAAAATATTGATTTTCACTCGAGTAGATGTGCTACTTTGCAGATGCATTACTCAATTTATTTGCCAAAGTATCTCTGTGACAGAAAGACCTTTCTCTGTGTTTTATTTTGAAAGGAACTGAGCAAGCTAAATTGTTTCTTGATCTGAGTTTGGATCAACATTCTTCATCTTTTCTTGCAGAGGTTCACGCCGCTCCGGTCACCGTCGGGCGATTCAAGGTGACGCCCAGCATGGACATCCCCATGCCTTCTGTGTCGCCCATACCTGCAGCCCCACAGCCAGCAGACAGCGGCAGCACCCAATCAGAGAGCAGCACCGAGGAGCAGGGGGAGTCCGAGACAAGCCTGGGCACCTCCCTCACCCTGTCGCCTCCTCACCCGCACCCCCACAGAGCTCTGACGGGGGTCAAACAGGAGGTAGACGCACAGATGGGTTGGGTTCAGAGCCAGGAGAAGCAACAGGAAAGAGAAGAGGAAGAAGAGGAGGAAGAGGAAGAGGAAGAAGAGGAGGAGGAGGAGGAAGGGGAAGAAGAGGTTCTAGGAGAGCGACAGAGGATGAGGAGGAGGACGAGGAGGAGAGCGTACAGCCTGAGTCTGATGGGGACGTCGGCCGACAGCGGGCTCTCTGTGACGGCTGCAGAGATGGAGGGGAGGCTGTGGGACGGAGCGGCGGGCAGCCCGCAGTACAGCAACGCCCTTCATCATCTGTGGATGATGACTTATAACAGAAACCCTCCGTACCTGAGCAGTGACGACTCAGACAGCGATGACGAGGACATGCTGGAGGAGCTGCAGGAGCTCAGAGAGAAGTAAGTGAAGACGCCCAAAACACACTCAGAACAAAGACGTGTGAAAGAGGACGAGTCAAAAGAAACAGGTTTTTAAAGAAAGTTAATCAGATCTGAATGATGAGAAAGTTTTGTCAAGGATTTTAAACACACATGGACATACACAATCATTTTCAGACTAATTTTGTCACCTTTGGTAAAACTTTTCCTACTTTCTCAATCTTTACGCTGTTAGTCCAAGAAAAAAACAACTGATTTTGATCCAAAATCCTCTACTTTAATATCACAAATATCAATTAAAAAAGATTTTAATCAGATTTAAAACAATTAATATAATAAAAACTGTGGGTAACCCTTCCTTCTACAGTCCTCTAAAATACCTGGTAATAACATGAAGACAAAAAAAACACAATAGTATGTAATTTCAAATGTGACTTAAAGTTGATTTTAGGGAAATAATTGCTGGAGTACAGAGAAAAACCTTCACTATCACACATTAATTCAACTGAATAATCAAAGTATGACCAGGTCAGAGTTAGGGGTCGTCATAAAAAGGTAATATTCAGGTAATACATTGAAAACAGCTAAGACTTCCTTTTACAATCCTTATTATATACACCAGTAATGACATAGTAATGTGTTTTTAGGCAAATTCATAGTAATTAAAGGACTGTAATAGGGAGAGTTACCTGTTAATTTTTAGGACTGTTAAATATAAAGTGTTTATAAATGCTCATTAAGATGATGTCTCCAAACTTCTTTTTTAAGTTTTCACTTTTACTGAACTAAACTTAGAGAAGTGAAAATGCCTCACTGTTAGATGTTGAATCCAGCAGATGTGCAGACAATTTAGCTTGAGAAGTCACTCAAAGTGATTAACTAAACATCATCGTGATTATAAAGCAGCTTTCTGAGTAATCAAAGATTTCTTTCATTACTCTCTTTTATGAATATAATTGTTCCCCCAAAAAATCTAGTTAAAGAAAAGTTGAGCATCCAATTTTCTAGAGCCTTCATTTCTTGAAATCCTTCAAGGATTTTCAAGGATGACTGCAGATGTATTTCCCCAACCTGTCAGATCAGTCAAAGCCAAACCTTCATTTGTTTTGTTCCTTTTTCTAAGTGAACAACAGACTGAAACAACAAAGACAACATGGACTGTTTACCCTGTACTGCCCGCTCCACCCACTGAGCTGTAACCGTTTTTCTCTTCAGACACCTGACGGAGGTGCAGACCTTACAGGCTGCCCAGAAAAGGGAGATTGAGGAGCTGTATGAAAAGATGGGGAAGGTTCCTCCCCCCGGAATCGTCTCTCCTGCTGCTATGCTCTCCAGCCGACAGCGCCGTCTGTCCAAAGGAAGCGGCTTCCCATCGTCCCGCAGGAACAGCCTGCAGCGCCTGGATATCCTGCCTCTCCAGGGTGAGGGATGACGCATTAATTTTTCAGTTTAATGATATTTTAGAAATTAGGTATGTTTTTTAAAGCTTGTCTTCTTTTTAGGGATCATTAGGAGAAACTCTCTTGGAGGCAGCAGCAGCAGCTCCCAGGAAAAACCCAGCAAAGGCGTCACCTTCGCCACTGACATAAGTAGAATGGTGGGTAAATACTCCAACAGAAAACACGGTAAAAATAAATATTACAAAGGTTTTTCTCCTCACTGTTGTTCTTCTCTTTGTTTCCAGTAAGAAACTCTCAGCCCTAGAACGCTGTATTTTTGGTCTACCTCATCTGAAGTGTGACTGCAGTGGTCCAACCCGTCCAGTAGGAGGAACACTTTTCACCGGCACACCGATCAGCAAACGGCTTCTCCCCCGACAGTGTTTAATTACCTCATCGCTCAAATAAGCAGTCACCGGTGAAGCTGTGATATCCAGTTTCCCTGTCTGCTTTCACTCACACCAGGTGAATCTATCGCAGCTGAAGCACAGAGAACCTACCAATGTGTTAAGAAAAAAGAAACGTCCTTTTTTCGTCTCTTGTAAATAAAACTCTCAGATCCACTGGTTCAGTCGCGGAACTCTGGGAGAGGATTTTATGTTTCTCTTAAAACGAGCTTTTTATCCGAACGCAGTCAAACCGACTAGGAGTTTGACCCAGTGTGAAAATAGTTACTGTTTCCCTGCTTGTCTGATTCACTGCCGTTAATCAATGTGAGCACAGAAATGTGAACCACGGCGAGGCTCTTGACACTTTTACTGACAGCTGTACAGAACACTTCTGATTTTCTTATTTGCTGTAGTTTTATAGATTTGAAAGATGTCTCAGCACCTGCTGACTGCACAGTGAATACACTCTGATCATTGCCTTCCAGGGGCCGTAGAGAGCAATCTAGATGCTTTGTACAGTTTGATTAATATATGAATCATGAAATCATTTCGCTGAAGTCGTAGTTCGACGCCTGATTGGATGACTTGATGAGTTCGGCAGCGTTTTGCCAGACTTTTTTTTGATTTAGCAATCATGCGGGATAGAAGTGTTGCTTATAAAAAACACACATGAAGAAACAGATGTTAGTCTAGCGCTTTTTGAAGCAGCGATAATCGAAAATTGTGCAGAAGACTTTTGCATTGATCAGGCTTGAACTTCCAAATAACTGCATTCAAGTCAAAATGATTTCTTTGTATTGATTAGATGTACAAAATGAACCTAGGTTTTTAAACTACTGGCTTTCCTGTTTATTGTACATGTGTATATACATAGTAGAGTGCATTGGTAGATCATGTTTACAAGAGTAATCGAAACCTTAATTCTTGCTCGAGCAGAAATCATGTTTGTCGCTTGTTCCTTAGATCAAGCACCTTGTGCACTTTAGTAACCTTTAGTTTTGGATCATTTATCACTTTTTGTGGGTAAAACTGTGTTCACTTGAGGGAGAGAACTGATTTTATTCTTGATTTATTTTTTTCCCCCTGAAGGGAGGCAGAGCTTATTCTCCAGTTCATATCTGATCACAATGTTTTCTATTGGGTCACAGTAATGAAGATCAACCCTCCAAGAGTTTTTAAACGAGTGATTTACGGGCTCTTGACAGAGGTCAGTCCAAGCTGTGAATGTGTAGCCGTTGCCTTATAAAATATTCACAACGCACACTGAATTTTCTGGCAATGGAACTCCTGTAAGATTTTCCAAAAAAAAAAAAAAGTTCATAATATATTCAAAGAGGTCTCAAAATTTTGAATGTAAATATATATAATGGTATTGCTTTCTGAAGCTGCTGCTGTCCTGCCATGCTGAATCTGTGCCTTTCCCTTTACAATGTCTTATTTTATATTTGTACTCCAGATTTGGTGGCTAGATCAGACGCTGTATATCAAATTTTGGCAAAAATAAATGCAATTGTACAGAAAATGTTACAGCTGTGATGTCTTTAGTGTCATTTTTTCCTGCATTAATACAATACCACTTCTAGAAAATATAGAAGACAGTTGAAAAGCAAGCATCTGTGATTATATAGAGTTGCATGGTATGGATAAGGAAACATTCATGCTTACTATACACAGATTTTGGAGTATCACATGCTGCCATTCAGACAATTTATATTTCAGGTAAGACCTTACATATTTCAGCAACATAATGCCAAACCTCATCCTGCACATATTTCAGCCGATTCACTTAAAAGCCTGGGTGCAATTTGAGTTCTGAATGGGGCAACATTCACTTTCAAAACTCTAGACACTGGTGTTTTTGGTTCCCTCCCTTTTTTACGTTGTTTTTCTAACAGTATCAAACAATAGCATTTAAGTTTCAACATGTCTTTGCACTATTTTGAATTAATTACGTGTTTAAATGATCTGCAAACTGTCCAAATCTTATAAGAATCTTAAACAGTGTCCAAACATTTTTTGGAATATGGGTTATAAACAGACATACATTTTGACAAACATGTTACACATTAAACTTTTATTTTACAAATCATCTCATCAACATAAATATGTTTTTACCAGCTTCATCTCTGCGTCATTTTAGCTGTGTCACTGTATCATTAGCTCTCGAAGGCCACTGTAGATTTGACATTATGAACCACCTCAATTTAAGATACTCCTCTGGCACTGACAGCAGATCAAATGATCAGAGTTGAAAGCTTCTCAGAGCAAGTGTTTCAAATTAAGGTCAGTGGATTACTATTTCTCTATCGGAGGCAAGCTCACTCAAAATCAGGACACACAGCTGAAGTCAGCAACCAAGCATCGCATCTCCCTTTCACGATCAGGGAAAAATCAAGTCCATCACTGTCTCATCATGAAAAAGCTGCCAACCAGCCATGGACTATTCATCAGTGGCATTAGTGTCCATGGAATTCCCTCCTCGGTTAAGTGCAGGGCAGACACGCAGTCCTGAAATAAGCAGGTGAGACATGCAGCTCAGTTGGCACCAGTCTTTGGTCCCTGTGTTCTTTGGAGCTTGGCCTCTTCATCCATTTCATCCATAATCCGCTCCTGGGAGACTGAGTAAAAAGTATAGCCATCTGGGAGGGGAGTGTAGGGTCAAGGCAAATATATGACAAGAAGAGAGGTAGTAGGGGAGAGTGGGCTAAGATGAGACATTTTTCATAAAGGTAATCATAGCTTTGTCTCTAACTAGTGTATCTGCATATATTTCAAGATGTTGTGCATTCCATGCGCTTCTAACCTTCACAGACTCCATGAATTGATGCCCATCTCCTAAATATTTTGTCACATGATCAATTTCTTTTATCATTTCCAAGCAGCAGGGGGTGGCTCAACTTACCCTTTGGCTCAGCTTACCCCACTCTCCCCTACCGTGATATTCCAGTGACCATATAATGTTGTGTGTAAAGATTACCACCTCAAATAGCAGACCTGCCCATTCTTCTGAACTGAGGAGCTTATAAATACAGAGGTGACAGAAATGCAGGTTAGCTCAAAGCTTCCTTGTCTCATGGCGGACTAGTTTAATTAAAACTATTGTGTGACATTGTGTAATATTAATGCAGTTATCTAACAGGAAAACATACTGTATGACAAAAGTATAGTTCTATTAAACTCGGCTTTACAGATGGAATCAACTTTGGCTTTGAATCTTGAAAATGGCTGCTATTTAGCTTGTTACACACAAGAATGTGATAATTATCACTCCCCAATACAGTCAAAGCGCTTCCTGGATAAACATGCTAGCATGCTAGCATCTGACTTCGCATATCACTCCGCGTTTTGGCAGCTAAGCGCGTCAAAAGATCAGATAAGACTACTGTCAACTGTGTTTCAAACTTACGAAGATACACTAACCTCGCGTTCTTACATTAGGTTTTTAAAAGCTCAACCATTGCCTAAGTTTAGCATGCTAAGCTAACGTTACATAGTTCACCTTGCGTTGACGTTAGTGCGCAGGGCAAGGATACAGATTCCCAGAACCAGCGCTCCGATAGCCAGTCCCGTCACAACGTTTCGTGTCCGCAGCTGCTGCGTTTTCTTCTTCCACTGTTCGAGCTCTACCTGTCGGATGAAGTGCAGCTGCTCTGGAGAAAGACTTTCCTTCGTCGGGTCTATCCTGGTTGCAAAACGGGCATTGGACTCTTTCGGCGTCTTGTCAGCCATGTCTGCAGCAGTCAGGGAGAAGGTTGCGTCGCGGAAAATAAACGCAACGCTGATCTACAAGACGGAAGGCGCGGAAAGGCAACGCTCGTAGCCTATCAGTTTGCCATGAGATCTGCGGTAAAACTGCGAGCGGTACACTCAAATGAACCCCGTAGTGATGGGCACGGCAGTTCTTTTAGATGTACTGAATCACTAGAATCAGCTCACTAAAAAGATTCGTTCAAAAGATTCGTTCACCAACTCACCGAATCATGTAGCGCTTGGCGGGAGAAGCCTGCGACTCCAACCTCCTGATCTGATACACAGCTGAAACACAGGACTCAAGATTCAGCTTCTGGGACCCAGAGACAAGAATGTTTGGCTGTGTTGCTCTGGCAAACAGGTTTGTAAAAATGAACTTGTTTTTAAGTCATGATTTTTTAAGTGTACTGCCCAATAGTATTCTATTTATCAGGTCTGCTCTGTAATTTGGGCTCAGTGAGTGATTCCCTCACTGAATGTTGAGAAGTATGCACCCCTCGCAAACCACTGCAATGATAGGATGCTTTAGGAGGTTTAATGCACTACTTATTACATGCTGTGTCCTATTGTATGCAAGTTGTTGTGGTGGCAATTTAGCAGTAAAAAAAAGATAGATTTGTCCAACAAAAATGATTCCAGAGAGTGTAGTTCAAGTGATTCAGGTGTCAGTTCATGCGGTCCCTCGTTCGCCAGCTGCTCAGCTGGCAATGCTGTTTCTGACTTTAGCTCATCCGAAGTGAGAAACGAACGAATCACTGGATGAAATAATTCGGTTTAGTATGGTCACTTAAAAGATTCTGTTTTTTTGAACGAATCGTACGAACGACACATCACTAGACCCCGGCCTGCTGCATTTAGCTCTCCGAATGAGACTGGTCAAACCGAAGAAACAGCCCCATCTGCCGGATAAAACTGCTAAAATACAGTTTCCACATTATTTTGGTCAAAAGTACACAAACATACACTGTGTAAATGATAAACAGTTTATGTATACATCCCACCAAATAACAAATGTTACAACATTTGACAGCTGAGCCGTTTGTCAGTTGGTGGGACAGTTAGTCGACATGGCGAAGAGATTCTTGTCTCCACGAAGCTACAAACCAAGTTACAAGTTTCGAGAAGCTTCTTTTGACCTACTCACGGATTTTCTTATTGATTTTAATAAAAGAAACGAAGAAAACCTAAGCAGTTTGTCGAACTGTAGCGGGAGTTTTAAAGAAAAAAGACTACTGGGTAAGTAAAACCGATGAATTTACCTCCGAGAGCTAGCTTAAAGCTGTTAGCCAGTTGAATTTAAATCTTATCGTCAGTCTGCAAACAAATATCAATTTATATTCTGTAATAGTGGCGGTATTATCTATTTTACTACTTTGTTAACATGGGACAGTTTAATTTCAACTTTGTAAAGATTGTTTTTACATTTTATACCATTATTTTGAAATTTTTGACCGTTATATGATGTAACTCGACGACGTTCATCTAACTGTTGTCTGCAACTTCAAAACGTCCTTATTTTATCGTAGAAAATCCAGGTACGTATCCCACTGTTTGTTTGTTTTTTTACCTCAAGTGTAATTCATGGATGTTCAATTTTCTTATTTTTCATATTTAACAAATCAACATTAAGTTATAGTGTTGGGTGCCAATACTAATTGTGGGTAAAATTTCTAATTGTGAAGCAAATGGGAGTTGGAAGTAATCTCAGGATGAGATTACTGAGAATCACATGAGATTTGCTCACTTTGTGATGTCACCAATTGGTAAAACAATAAACATAACCAAACTGAAATATCCTGCTTTTTGGTCCCTTTCCAAACTTACCTTGTTCGATTTTAGGGTCAAGAACATAAGGCCATCTTTCATAGTTGATCATTATAAATTGAAAAACACAACTCTGTGTCATGACAACAGTGGAGGAGGCCTTGAGAAAGCTGGGGAGGGGGTCAAAAGATAGTTTGTCAGATAGAGGCTAAATAAGGGTTTTAGAGGCAATCCAAGATAAGTAAAGAATCATTTTAGCTGTAGATAATGTAGAGCCACCGCAAAGACACCAGGGAGACAATATAAAGCATAAAACCCCTTCTTTGAAAAGTAGCCATTGTGTTTATGACTACCCTATGCAAAGCAAATTCTGTAACGTCATGCGTACTTCTCATTTACTCAGCACAATTTGAAATGATTGAACCATCAAGTGTGGTTTGACTATACAGCACAATACATCTCTGTCTGGGCCACTGAAGCTCTCTGTATGCTATTATAACTCTGAAGTCTTTCATACACCTGGAATTGTGAGCCCTGTCATTATAGAGACAGGCTCTCAACACAAACTGCTGGAGGTTGAGTCTCCCAGCTGTCGGCACTTCAGACAACAAGCCCTGCCAGTGAGACGGAGCAGATGGGAAGCAGTGTTATTAACTTGTAATGAACATCCCTGCGTTTCCTTGTGCTTGACAAAACGGCTCAAGTTTAAATAAATCGACAGAGGGACTTCTGTTAGTAGTTTTGGCATACTTTGGTGAGAGTGCTGGATTACTTAAGTAACCTGCAATTCTCTTAGAACTAATAAACCACTCACAGTTTTTACAGCACTGGTTTGTGGGTGGTGTTAAGAACCCAGCGTGGTAAGAAGAAGTTGTTAATATTTCACTTAAATTGTTTTGAGCTGACATTTTATTCGAATCTAAGTAAAACCAACAGAAAGTCATTGTTTAGTTAAGAAGTATTCTGACTCATGTGGTTTCAGAACTTTTTAAAATCATATCTTTACTGGAACATTTGGTCCTTGTTGGTATTTTACCACAGAATCTGGAGGATGATTGGTTCCATGTTAGATGATTAAAAACTATACACAGTTTTATATAAGAATCACTAAGTGTAGCTCATAAATGGCAGAGAATAACTAGTAACTAGTAATACCTGGAGGTTAATGACTCACAGGACCGTATTTCACAGAACAGCGTGATATCACTTTATTGCACACACCACACACGTTTATTGCTTTATGATAATGGCATAGAGGTTGCTTTTAGCGCACGCTTCTTTGAAGTCTTCGTCAACTTCCCCTTTACATACTGAGCAGATGCATCTACTCTCTTCTGTTTTATTGTCTACTTTAAATATCCCACATCTCTCTGTGGTGTTAGTATACATCTTCCTGATAACTAAAGAACTGAGAGTTGATCCCCTGGCTGGATACCACGCTATTGAATTACTTCAAAGGTAAGAAGGAGAAGCACTTTTGACTTTCTCTGCTACACCCAGTATGATATTGATTTAGCCTTGCCTTTCTTTAAGTAATTACCCAACCCCCCACCTCCTCTCACCTTAGGTTCATGGTTAAGCACCTCACGGATTTGTTCACCACACCCACACCTCAAGGTGCAGCTTCTGATCCACCAAGAAGTTATGAGGTTGCTGTGTTTGACAAGCTCAAGGAGAAATTCCCTCTCATCATCTTCTCTTGTGTGCAACTAGCAAGCAAAATGTCTTTGCACAGTCATGTAAGTTCTACAAATCCCACAGCCAATACCCCTCTGAAGTGAAAACCAAATACTAATACTAATTTCTTCAACATTTCCTAGATGATCGACAACAATACTGCTGTGCAGTTTCTGCACACAATGGGACTGAGTGTTTCCAAGCAGGAAGTCATTAATTCAGAGCTGATGGTTTTGAAAGGGCTAGAATTCAGACTACATGCTCTAAACCCACTTTCATACGTGGAAATCCTTCTGGAGGTTCTCGGTAAGCACTTATGTTCTGTGTAATTAGTTCTAAAGTTTGTCCACAGCTCCATAAGGATTGCTGGAGGAGGCGGGATTTATGACCTATACTGCAGCCCGTCAACAGAGGGTGCTGTTTTTCGCGGTGGCTTCACCCAGCGAGGAGGCAGACACTGTCCATTCTATATACAGTCTATGAGTACGACCATGAGAACTTTAATTTAGTGCGATGCCAGTGGGACTAATTCGTTTACGTTTTCAGAAGTCAAGTTTCAGTCGGGCTGATACCATAAATCAATTACAACATGTAAACAAACTGAGTGTTTCTGTAAAGATTCTTCTGTCTTGCACTGAATCAGCTGCACTGACTTTATGAAACTAAACTCCTTCAGGTCACAATGAGCCATCCATCCCCGTGGATCACCTGCCTCACCTGTGCCACAACGTTCTCCAGTTTGTCACCCTACAAAGGACTGCCATCTATGACTCCTTGCTGGTGACTACCATGCAGTGTGGGAGCCCATCCACAGAACAGAGGTATTATGTTGCTGATTAGGGGATAGTTTCCAGCTTTTAGGGAGCAGGTGGTGGACCTTATGGCTGTATGGATGAGCTTATGGTTGACTAGACCAGCTGGGTTTATGTTGTTGTTGTGGATTCTCATGTTTCTAATGCCTGCTTTACCTAAAACAAAGCAACACACTGTTAATGCAACATCAATATAGATTAGAAAAACAGTTTTCTATTTACATTCATGTATTTTCTAAGAAGTTCTGTCTTCCGTTAGCTTTCGTGGTTTATGAGAACTTAAATAGAAATATTTGGGTGAATTTTTCTTGTTTCTGCTTTGGTTACCAGGTACTAACCCTCATAGATTAAAATCAAGTGCTGGGTGACTGGTGAAGAGTTATTAAAGCTTTTAAGCTCCCCACTATGGCTTAAAAAACACTTTTAGGGCAATGAGAGTCCAGATTGAGCTGCAAAACAAGAACGACAAAGAAAAGAGGCTTCATGGGGCGGTAGAGTTGTGGAAATGTCCTCTTTTTCACGCTTCATATAGTCATAGGATTCATTGTTGATGTCTGCGAATGGTTATTATTAGTACTGCTGTTATATTAGATGAATCTTTCCTAACAGAGAGAAGTTTTTGTTAGTGACCGAAGACTGCATGCTCCTTGGTGTTGGCGTGATCGCTGTCGCTGCATTCATCCTCTTGGTCAGAAAATGGGAACAGGTGACAAGACTTCCAGTAATTCGCACGAAGCCATCAGCCTTATCCTCAAATATTTGTGTTCTTCTCAATCTAACTTCTGTGGTGACATAGGCTCTTTTAAATGTGTTGCAGGTGGTGGCAGAACTGAGTCACATCACAGGGATCGCACAGAAGAGCATCAGTGATTTTACTCGCGTGACAGTGATGCACATTGTTCAATCCGGATCTTCTGCACCTTCTACTTGAATTTTGTTGCCACTTTACACAGCTGCTATTTCCGGTGGTTTTTTTGTGTGTGTTTTTTTGAGATATTGCAAATCTTGAACTGCAGCAACCAAGAGATGATCAGATTAAAATAAAGTGTCTTCTGTACAATGAAATACCTCCTGTTTAGAAGTGGTTCTAACATAAATATGTAGCCTTTGCCCTTCCCTGATGCACTTATTGTGCATTAAGGTATGCATGTTTTTTTTTTCTAACTCTAGTAGTCTCAACAGTTAACATCTTATGACAGCATAGAGACAACCCTTTAGTGGATACAGTTTTGCTTGACATCGCAACCATAATAGGTGGATAACCTCACTGAGTAAATAATGATCTGCAGCCGATAACAGCTGAGCTGCTTGGATGTCATGACATATTTAGTATTATTGTTACCTGCTGGTCTGACTGGACTATTTTCTGAATCTAGCTCTTCAGGCGGTCAACATGAATAAACTGCAGAGTCTCTGAATACAAGCGAGGTACGAGGGAAAGTGAAGGGTTGAACTGCCAGACCCAACACTGCCCCACTTCTTTGTCATTGGATAACTCAGTTGTAAAGTAGATGTCTTGAATCTTAACACCGGAGGGACACTCAGTCTGTGAACTCCTCAGTGTTTGTTTTGCTGAAAAGCTGTTCCATCTTGTTCCCTCTCCTCTTCCAGTTGTCTCGGCTTTGTTTGCTTGCTAGCTCCCCTGTGGGTGGGTCCATCTAATACTCTCCCTTTCACATGCTCAGACCTGAGCTCCTTTTGATACCTCACAGGGTGTACTTTCTTGCCTTGGGAAAAGAAGATGCAAAGTAGATTCGTTCTGAAAGAAATCAAAGATATTGGATTGCATGGAATAAAATAGAGCACATGTAGTTACAGAAAATGTAATAGAATAGCATGGGGGTTCTGAGCAAATTGGCTTAAAAAACACCAGGTGGTGGGGAAAATTGGTTGGTAGCATCCTACGTAATTCTGCAGTGCAAATCTTAGAAAATGCACAAGTGGATGCCGGGGGGGCCCTCACTCTGTGGGGAATCTTTGAAGTCATTGCTGAATCTTGAGTTGTGCAGCGGATTTCGCTGGAGATAGTTTGAAGGCAGGACGCTGAGCCTTTATTCCATCGCTCTCTGCCTCCACTGGAGCACTTTCTTCAGAGCTGCAGGGGGACGACTGCAGGGGGCAGGCAGAGAGGTTCTGGAGTGTCTCGGAAAGCTTTCTGAGGGGGAGTTGCATTTTGCTTTAGAGATGCTGGAGTAACACAGCCTGGTGTGCTCAACAAGTGGTGTAATTTTCAAATTCCATACAGCTTCTGGTGACCCAAATCAACGAAAACTTTTCACTATATTTATGGACATGTGTACATATCATTAATCATCTAAAAATATATATATTAGAACTGATTTTTAATCTTGATTTCAAATACTGTAAGTTCTGGTCCTGGGTGTTAAGTGGTCGGGTTTTACTTCACAATTTATTGCAAAATGTAATCATAACAAACAGAATACTTACAGTGTGGAGGGCATATTACAAAAACAGATGGAAGCTTTTTTGTGCTCTGATACAGTTAGGTGTAAACGTGTGAAAAACAGCCAGGAGGAACAGGTGCAACAGGTGTATTGTTTGTGTTGTAGGCTGCTACTATATTTGTACAGTGTAGTTTTACAACCTTGAACTTGCAGTCATACACAAGCTTTTATGTGAGGATATAATGCCTGTTTTTTTACACTATCAAAAATTACTTATGGTTATTGAATTGGTTATTGTTAGACATACTATAATTTATTCACAGATAAACATAAACAGAAGAAATGAAAGACAATGAGCACAGTGACAGACTGAGTCGACAAAACAAAAATGCAGTAGCAAGGGATGTATGCGGAACATTGAAAACACCGTCGCTTTAACAATTTTGTACCATTTAAGAAAAGAGAAAACTGATCCCCCACCAACCATGAGAAGTTTGACTTATGTGTGAACATGTTTTTAAACAGTCCAGTTATCAGCTGAGGGCAATGGATGGATTTTGTATAAGTTCTGAGTGATAGTTTCAGGCTCAGATACAAATTTCATCAAGTATTTTTCATTTTGATTTAAAGTAAATTACCATAGTACTTTGAAAACGGCAAACTTCACTGACTGTGAGGCCAAGAAGGGAATTTCAATACACTACAGCTCCTTGTCAAATATGATAATGCATTATATGAACTAATCTGTGTCCTCAGCTTGACATACGTGTGCCATGTGAGGGTGGTTTCAAAGACGCTGACTGCCGTCCCTCATGCAGCTGGAGCTCCTATAGATTAGCAGAAGATCCGGGGCCAGGATTCATTGAGTCACTCTTCGACTTCTCTGCCTCCCCACGATCTCTGCTGATCTCCTCGCAGTCTTGTGTTAGGCTCCATTAATCTCACCTCCTCTCGCTGTCTGTTTGAAGCATCGAGCTGCACACTCACCTTTACTGTTTTTTCATTCTCTATATTCACACAGGGGGGGAAAGCACAGGGGAAGACAGAGGGAGTTCTGGTGGGATTTAATTCAATGCCAGTGGAAGCATGCGGGTTTCTAGAGGTTGGAGAGGCTCAACCACTCGGCTCTATGTGACCACCTCGTCCATCACGCTCACACTGACAGGAGCCGAGCGCTGCAGCCAGTTTCCAGGGCCTCCCTCAGGTATTTCTCATTACCATTTGCAGAGAGGGAACCTTTTAAAGTACAAATATGTCCTCTGGTGGGTTCATTACAGTATGTCTGCCAACTGTAGGATATATTTAGTTACTTCACTCTCAAGCTGAGATGTATGATGTTGGCATGTCTTCATCTTGGCAACTGTCAAGTGCGTAAGGAAAGGATTACATTCTCACTCATATACGGGTAAACCAGGGTTCACGCTTGCACAGTCACACATAACGGGGAACATCTCCCTCCTGCAAGAAGAACTGAACAGCTTGACCTCAAAGACATGATGAGTGAGCTCTAAATATATAACATATTACAGGGTATATACTAAAGCTAAAAGTCGGGAGAGGAGTTGTCAATTTGACGAGGGAAAAACAACTTTTAGCTGATTTTTCCTTGCTTGCTTTGTGCATACCTACCAGATGAAAACAGCTCTCAAAAATCAGTACGACTCCAAGATCTTTTTGCAGTTTCTTGACGAGGAAAAGGTTCACAAATCAAACCAAAAATAGTTCAATGCCAACTGAAAAAGGAAGTGTGTCTAAACTTGCAGGAGAAAACTCACAAGAATCTCAACCGTACTCTCTAGAGGCAGCTGCGGCAAACAGTTCTACCTCTTAAACTCATATCTGAACACTGGCAGCAAATATATCACCATAAGACCATAAGTAGATTACAGCTAAGGCCCGATAAGCACATTATAATTTGCCTAATAATCAGTTGAATCACACTTATGTGGTGGTAAATAAAAAAGGAATATAAAAATGACTTGGCCACTGATATATAATCACTTTTAACTGCTCACAATGTATTTAATTTAGCATTGTACCTTTAAGTGACCCCTCTTGCATACAATATGCACTTCAATTACGATAAATTCACTTGATGCTTTGGGTCAGCTGAGAGCCATTTAGCATATCTGCCACAATCAAGCACTTTGTATAGCTAATTTCCCTGATAGTAATTCTGGCGGATGGTCCTGTAATTTTATTGACTGATTGAGTAAGAGGTCAGGATAGCGTCTGACGCTGGTCACCCTTTTCGCCATCTATCATTTTAAAAGTCAAATGCCATGATCTGCAGGGGAATGGGATTGAAGTTTGATTGGCATCGACCTTGTTTCTCTTGCATAATTATGAATGATTTAAGTATTAGTGCCTTCTTTCGTCATAAATTATTCATCAAGCCTGCCTTCCACCCCCACTGTATGTTTGCTCCTCTGCTCCTTCTGCTCGCATGGGATTTCAACTGTGTCAAGCTGGTCAGAGAGAAACAGATTAACACCGGATATAAGGCAGCAGCGATCACTCTGAAGCTTTCGAGTTGAATGTATGTGAGTGGATTAACCCAATGGTTTTTTAACAGGAAAAAGTCTCTGAAGGATTTCTCTTATGGAGTCATTATAGACGTTTAACACATATTTAAACAGACTTTGGGCTCAGCATGATAGTTGCCCTATTTTTATCCTTTTGCCTTTCCTGTTAGTTAAAGTACTTCCAAACACATTTCAATGTTTTATTGTCCAAGTGTTTGTAGAGCAAATTTGGTTAAAATTTGTTGTTCTTGAAGTTGCCTCACAGATAGCTTTAAACTGGACTGGATTAGACTGAGTTGGATTGCCATAGATTGGACCAGAATAACACGCATGATATAATTTTTATAAATTAACATTATTCTTAACCTAAAGAGTTAAGAATAATGATCACATTTTCACAAATCCACCTGTCATTTGTGCACCTAGGAAGGTATTGTAGCATGGTATCAACTGGAGCCCACGTTTGACTTGAGCGTGTGATGATGTTTCCAGCTTTTCCAGCCAATCAGAGGTGAAGGAGGTGGGACTTTCCCCAACCATCCTACAAAAAGAAAATATGGCCAACTGGAGACCAAGCTCAAGGTCATAGCTACACTAGTGCCCGAACATTTGACAACATATAACCAGTATTTTCAGCATGCAATGAGAAAAAAATATCAACTGTTTGATTAACAGTCTAATATTTGCTGTGCCGGTTAGCAAGGGCATTTTATTTTTTAGAGGATAAAGCATATTTCAGCTACTTCTTTTATATTGATTAAATTATATATTTACACTTAGACTTTCTTTATTTGTCATTGCACAATAAAACACAGCAGGAATTTCTGTCATTGGCTTCTATATCACAGCATGATGGGGTCTAATTTAATATACAGAAAAAAAATAAAAACAATAAAAACTAAGGGTAAAACAGCAGCATGGTGGTGTGTAATAGTGCACTTTATCAATAATTCTTGGCCAATACAAGAAAGACACAAAGCAATTATGATTTTAAGAAATGT